GCATGTACAGTAATACTCCAAAATATTCAATGTCTTTGTCGCCTGTATCAGGGAACAAAGAGAGCACGAGGAGGGAACTAACTCGAGAAAGAAGGATAGTGCTGTGAATGCCGGGTGGCCCGTGTCCGTGTTAACGAAGTACGGATAGGGTGCAGCGCAAGAGCTTTGTGTGGAGAGCCCGGCGGGTGATGGCATCGCGTTTCTTCCAGCATTCCATCATTCTGATAATGAAGCTGCTGCACACTTGAGTCGGTGAATAGGCGTCAATACATGCACCTGCAAACGTGAACAGGCCACGCTGCATCTGAGCATCTGAGCATCTGAGCCTTCTGGGTGGCTACAGCGGGGTAGCATCAGTATGCTGTGCTCCCGCGGCGGCAGCTCTCCCTGCAGCAGAGCTCTTCGCTCGGGACCGCTGGACGGCGACATGAACACCGGCTGAGCTCCATGTTCCAGTGGCTGACAGGGGCCCCTGAGCCGGCTGGAGCGCTAGAGGCTAGCGTGTGGTGGCGCCACGAGCCAGGGCGGCGCCCAGGGGCCAATCGTCGCGCTAGCACGGCTGCAAGCTCTCTGGAGTCTCTGAAGGCCAGCGTCTGCCGGCTGAAGAGGCAGCTCGATTACGAGCAAAGCGCACCAAGTACGTACCGAGCCAAAGCTACCTACTAGCACTTACCCACTGCGCTGGGCCAACCGTGCGCCACCGACCTGGAGCTTGTTGCTGGGAGACCCCCAAGGATCGCTGAGCTCGCTGCTAGCATGTGCACTGATACGAAATTGCGGCAAATCGCTGCAAATCGCTGCGAATGCGCCTCACTCTTTGATAGTGCTAGCAGATGCTGCTCGCTGCCATCACATCTCGTCACATCCATCCCGTGGGTCCCCTGCGCAGTCATTTCACGCTCTCGACCGCGTCTGCTCAGTACACTTTGTGTGCTCCATATATGCGCAGCTAAGGCGCTCTACTGTGCAGTGCTTTCATGCGGCCGTACATGCATATGTACATGTATGTATGTACTTTGCTTGGTGGCCTATCAATAGCTCAGACAGGTTTCTCAAGAGTCCTGTCTTTCACAAACCTCCACTCTTCTTTTTTCCCGCCCGCTGGAATCCCATTTCGTTCATTGTGCCTCTATTGCCTTCTTTTACGCCGTCCTTTGTGTCTTTTTCGCTTCCTTCTTCGCGGCATTGCGACGTCAGCATCGCTAGAGCCGCGGGCCTTGTCTTGAATCGATCTTTGCTGCGTGCTGCCACGAAGCCTTCCCTGCAATCGCCCTTGTCGGCGCCCCCATTCCCGTGATTTGCATCTTGTTGCGCCCAAACCGCCCTTCGACTAGCCTTGGACGCCGCCCACGATTGCAATTCAATAAGCCCTCTAGCCGCCTGTCATTCACAAATCCTCGTTTTTCTCTTCTTCACTCTCTTCCGAGCTAGATCTCGCCCCGGAACTCGTCCCCGCGCCGTGGTTCGAATTCTGCAACAATCGTGACTTGGCCGTTGCCACCCCCCCCGGCGGTACTTTGTCGGCAGGTCCATCTGTCGTATTATTAGCATTACCCAAAAGGAAAAAAAAAAGGAAATTTACCGCTTTTCTGTTGGCCACCATCCAGCGACGAGAATCCATCGTCCCGAGTCGCCCTACCTTTTCTTTTTCTCTCCTCTCTCATTTCTCGCCTGGCGGATCTTGTTCAGCGTTGCCGGCATCTCTGGCTGGGATTTGAGACCCAGTTGCTCCGCACCGTCCTGTTCGCTTCACAACGACTTCTCCAGACATTCTCGTGCGAGATACTAGCGGTATGGCCCCCTCTCCATCTGAGTGCCTCGCGACCCCTATCCCCAACGACGCACCAGCTCGCCTTGTGGGCTGTTGCAGTCGCCAAAGATGTACATGCTACTCGTCACGGGCAGCGTTGCTAACGTGGTGGCATTACCAGGTACCGCTGTTTTCGCCTCTGATATTGAGTAATTTACTCTGCCCCCGTCGGCCGGGTCATCTCGACCCCATTCTTGCGGCCTGCTTGCCCAGGCTTCCGATAGCGCAACATTCCTTCTGCTCGACGACACTTGATCCAACACATCTTGCCGTTCATGGACGGCCGTGGGCGTTGAGAGCGAGCACAAAGCATTACGCACAGGCCGTTGACGCTGCCGAGCACTACTCATAGCCGATACTTCTCACCGTTGCGCATCGGCAAAAAACCATGGCGACCGCTCTTCCGCGCCTTCGCCCCTCGATGGGCCCCGACACCTCTCTTCCCACCCTTTCCGTGCCCAAGAGTCGCAAAGGCACAGCAGCCATCCCCAGTCCGCCAAAGTCCCCCAACGCGCCTCGCAGTGGCTTGCGAGCACCCTCTTCAGCATCTCCCGCTCCCACCAACAACAGCACACCTGCCGCGGCGGCCACTAAAAACTTGCGGAAAACAGTTAGCATCAACTCCTTTCCGAAGCCTCCCAAAGGCGACAACCGACTCGGTAACAGCATGCCGTCTAGCCCGCTGGCTGGCGGTCGCCCTACGCGAAAACCAAAGTCGGCTAGGGACTCTACAGCAAGCAGTAATAATCCCACGCCCACACCGAGTTTGTTGAACGGGAGTGCCGAAGGAAAATTCATTAGCAGTGTCCGTATGTCTGATGGTGTGCTGAGCGCATCATCCCCTCCTCACAGCCGGAGCTCTTCTGCTCAAGGCTCTTATTCCACATCAGCGACGACGTACGAGGACTCAGCCGACGCGTCCGGCAGCAACTCTGAGAAACGATCATCTGGTGCCGAGGTAAAGGGCAACGTCATTGTCAGCGTTCGTGTGCGACCTGATCAAACGAATGACAACCACACTGATGGAGAATGGATGGTTGATGGCCGGAGGGCTCTCATTGCGTATCGAGGAAAAGAAGGAGGTGATTATTACTACGGTATGTGATGCATCTAAACCTCTGAACCTTACATGACAAGACGTATATTGACTCAATTCTGTAGACAATGTTTTCACTACTCACGATAACAATGCTCGCGTCTACGATCATCTCGCCAAGCGACTGGTTCGAAGAGTGATGGAAGGTTACCATGGCACGGTGTTTGCTTATGGCCAGACTGGTACTGGCAAAACATTTTCAATGCAAGGAACAGCATCATCGCCCGGTGTTATCCCACTGGCGATTACGGATATCTTTTCTTACATTCGCGAAACGCCCTCTCGCGAGTTTTTATTGAGAGTGAGCTATCTTGAGATTTATAACGAAAAAATTCAGGACTTGTTGAGCATGGCTTCATCCAATGGCGCTGCTCCACAAGAGGAGATTAAGTTGCGAGAAGACAGCAAACGGGGCGTGTACGCTACTCCTTTAAAGGAGGAGATTGTTCAGAGCCCGACGCAGCTACTTCGAGTCATTGCTCGAGGTGATCAGGCCCGTCGAACGGCCAGCACACAGTTCAACGCCCGAAGTTCTCGAAGTCACGCCGTGGTCCAGATCATCGTCGAAAGCCGAGAGCGCATGCCCAGCGGCGGAAATGATGGCGATACTAAGCGATCAGGTGTCTTGCCTGGAGGTGTTCGAGTCTCTACTCTGAGTTTGATCGATCTTGCCGGTTCGGAAAAGGCTGCAGAGTCAAAGGAGCGAAGGCAAGAGGGTGCGCACATCAACAAGAGTTTGCTCACTCTCGGAACAGTCATTGCAAAGCTTAGCGAGTGGAAGGATAAGGGCGGTGACAAGGAAGGAAAACATCTGCCTTACCGAGACAGCAAGCTGACGCGTCTGCTCCAAGGAGCCCTCTCTGGTAATTCTCTGGTCAGTATCCTTTGTACGGCTGCGCTTGGCGCTACCGGAAGCGCGGCAACGACGGCAAACCATACCATCGAAACCCTGAATACTCTCAAATTCGCGTCGCGAGCAAAGAACAGCATTGTCAGCCATGCCAAGAAGGCTGAAGAAGCGCTTGGGCAGGGTGGTGATGGTGGCGCCCGGGTGCTCTTGGAGCGATACCGGATGGAGATCCAGGAGCTGAAACAGCAATTGGAGTCTCAGGCTACCCAGAAGAATGACGAGGAGATCAAGGAGCTGGTTGAGAAGGACCGCGTTCAGGAGCAAGAGATGGCCGAGCGACATGAAGAGCAAATGTTGGAAATGCAGCTTGCTAGGACAGCATTGAAGGAGCGAATCGAGCACCTGAACCGTCTGATTCTTAGCTCCAAGTCGGCAGGCGTCAACTCGAATGGCACCATGAGCGCCCTAGCTCGGTATTCGCAAATCTCCCTGGCGCCGGTATCTGCTCGATCCTCAGTAGCAATCTCCATCAGATCACCTTTGGAGCGGACAGCATCTGTTGCGTCTACCTCTACCATCGGACGACGGTCAAGCTATGGCACAAAGCGAATATCGGGAGACGCCGATATGATTGACACAGAGGAAGACAGCGTCGGTGAGAACGGCGACGGAATGGCTTCTCTGACAGCACAGAATCGAGCATTACAGGCCGATCTAGCAGACAAGAACCGATATATTTCGACGCTTGAGAAGCGACTACTCCAAGCCCGCCGGGCAAGTTCCTCTCGAACATCATCCGGTTTCTCAGTACCCACCAAAGGCATCATGGTGGGCGAAGACCACAGCGTGGCTGCCTTGCTGAAAGACAAAGACACGGAAATTGCCGATTTGCGGGCCAGACTGGATGACAAGGATCGCATGCTGGCCGCTTTGAGAAGCGCAGCTCGCTCACGAGACAATGCTGATTCGATAACGGAACCACGATCCCCTCAATCACAAGACGGCATGCGAACTGGTCTTCCATGGAGTCCTGCAATATCCATAAAAGAAACAAGGAGAAGGACGAAGAGCATTGATGAGATGAACAATATGCTTGAGGAGATGATTCAAGACCGAGTCGAAACTGGCCACATCATTAGAGGTACTCGCGGGAGTGTTCGACTAGCACCTAGCCACCGGCTGGAATCACTAGGTGAGCCACCAAGCGTGCTACCACCACTGCGACGCGTACCGACGCCTATTGGAGAGCACAGCGAGGGTATCGAAGCAGCATCATGATGACTCGTAAGCGAGGGGGGGAGATGATGCTAGGGGGACATGGCCGAGGGTCAAGGGACCGGTTTCTATCAAAGCAGTGTGATGTGATGAGAATCTTTTTATTACAAATTTTTGTGGGACAAGGAGTTGAGGCACAGGAGCATATCTTTGCTGCTTGTTTATTTTATTTTATGTTATACCCGAACTTTTTGAGATTGTTTCTTGTTTGCGGCGCTACAAGAAGGGAGGCAACACGAGTGGAGGGGTTTCTTGTTTGATTCATATGCAGGATTCCGAGTCGCTTAGAGGTTTCTTTTTGTGGATTGGACTAGAGGTTCATTGCTGATGGCAGAGTACAAATACCCCTTCTTTTTACACGCAATTTGCGTCTCGACGATGTTTTGTAGCGGCAGGAGAGGCCGCGGAGTGCAAATACTGGATCTGAGATTCAGTTTGATTGCTCTGCTCGAGAAGACTGTATTCTTTCTCTTCTTGTTTTTTTCTTTTTGCATTTGGGCTAGTATATGACTTCAAAATGGGTAAAAGGGAAAACCTAGGGTGTGGGCTAGCATTGCACTTTTCTTCTTCATACTTTCTTCTTCTTCTCTGTTTATGTTTTATCTCTTCTCTGTCACTCTCTGTCACTCTCTGTCTATTTATTGTTTTTGCTTGCCTGCTTTAGCGGAGATAGTAATTATATGCCAAGCGCAAGCTATGATTTAAAAGAAGGACTTTTATGATATGATGCTTCTAACTTGAGTCAATGTATTCATCTAAGTGGGAGAGTGTAGTACTATAGTTGATCCTATTGGATAGCATATGAAAGGAATGAGGTCAGATTACTCCGCAGAAAGAAGTGGATTACAATCACTAGTGATGTCTAGACGCAGATTACAAAAAGGGGACCTGCCAATTGCAGTTTCGTGTTGGCAATCTCTGAGCCCATATCATGGAGATTAGATGGGCCGATGGCGGGCTTCAGATATATTAACTAAAAGTATATAGTAGAACCCTTCTTTTCTGGAACTTTTCTGTGTAGCTTGTGGTGGAGTGAAAGGGACGAGCCGAGGCTGGGCTGCTTAATTTGATCAAGGTTGATGGGTGGGTAAAGAGAAGGAATGGCTGTGGCTGAGGGTTAGAGGTTATAGTGGTTAATATCGAAAAAGCGGAAATGGAGAGGTGATGTACTGAGATTTCTTCTTCTTCTTTTTTGCTGGTCTATGATGTTGGTAAGGATAGTGATACGCTATTGCCAAAGTTGTAGTGTTGGGAGAGAAAGAGAAGCTTGAAGGGGATATCAACCTAGGTATGCAGTTCATCTACAATTAGCTTGAGCGGGAATGTGAATGGCCAAGATTCATTTTCCTTGTCTTGTGTAAGCAACAAACAATAGATGGTCACATGTCGCTCCTCTTCTTTCTCAGATCAGCCGAGAGATATTTTTCTTCTTCTTCTTCTCCTCCTCTCTCATCTTTTCTCTTTCCCTGACAGGGACAGGACAGAAACAACCTTTCCGAACTAGGGTGGATCGGGCAAGGATTCCGAAAATGGGCGCGATCCAATTGACGCCGGCGGAGGGTTTGACGGGGCTAGGAATCTGAAACGCGCTAGGGGCAGGCGGTTTTTTGATACTGGGGCGAATAAGGATGGAGGTGGACGAAGATTGATTTTGCCATGAGCCAACGAGCGGATTGTAGAAAAGGTACATGCGGAATGTGGTCTGGCGCGTATGTACTTGTACGGGTAAGAAGAAAAGTGTGTGAGAGTTTAGTTGGAATTTTGTATGATTGTTTGTTTCCTGCGTCGGGTGATTGAATTTGCTTGTTCATCTCATCAGCTCATCTGTTTCAAGCCCGTCTTCTTACAGCGTGTGGTACAAGTACGTTATGACGCCGGTTCGCAGACCCTGGCCACTTGCAGCGTCCATCACCATTTCGTTTCTTTGCCATCGTGCATCCTGCCAAGCCTGGCCTTGTTATAAGCGCTTGCTGTCAGAATTTCAAAAGCGGAGGCCGCTTTATGGACAATGCTGCTACAAGTAGGAACTTTTGGAGTGTACCTTGATCTTTTCCCACACTCTGAGCCATGTGTCTGTGTGACGTACCTGTATCCATTTCGATGGCCCGTGAATCGGGAATTTGGAACACCGGTTGGAGTTGAGGGCTTATTGTCTGGGCATTGTGATACAGCGGGTGCAGCTCTCAATAGTGTGGATAGGCATTCATGCATCACGTCCCCTCACCTTGTCTATGAATGCTTCTTCTATCTGACACGCATGTATTTCCCTACTGCGCCGTCCCGTCAGCCTGTTTCATTCCACCACGCCGGTCGGACGACTCTTGTTTGAGAAACGGCCTGGTGGCTTGCTGTGCTCGCATTCTGCTGCCTGCCGCGTTGGGAAGCTCTCTCTCTATGCAATACTCCCTTTTGCTCTCTATTTCATCCCTTCTGCTGCTCTCATTGGCCAGGGATCATCAGAGACAATGACATCAAGTCCCCGCCGGCTAGACGCAAAGGCATCCAGGGACCCTGTCAATCAGCCACTCAGAGAGACCGGACGTCCGAAGAGGCAGAAACGACAAGCCCAGCTGCAGAGTATCGGCCCTGTGTGTGTTTGACCAGCCGCCTGCAAGGACAGAGGCTTTTTTAGTCTATTTTTTTCTTTGTGGTCTTTCAATATTCAATGGACAAGAGAACAATCCCGATGCTGGTCTGCATGTACATGTACTTTATCAGCTGCCCCCTACGTGCCGCCGTCCCGCTGACAGCCACTCACTAAATGTCAAGCACCTGCTTAGACAAGAACTCTCTTGCGGCGCTGGCATCTTCTCCCCTTCCATCTCCCTCATAGACGTCGCTTTTCTTTCTCTTCATTGGCGTTGACGCCAATCATTTCCGCATCCTTTCCTCCCTTCCGTCACATTCTGAGCCCTTGTGTTTCTGCCTTCTCGCTTCTCATTCCGCTTCGGGTGGCACTGGGCGGGATCGTCGTGGCCCTGGAGAAGCCGTGATAGGGAGCATCGAGAACAAAAAGAAAAAAAAAGTCACACACCCAACCTCGAAACTTTGTCCTTTGCCTTTTCTTCTTTACTCTTTAACCCCCATGATGATCGGCGGTGTTTGCTAGGGGGGAGCTGGCTCATCCTTTTTCATCTTCTACTTCTTCTTCTTCCCTCGTGCTTTAATGCCCGCGTGTGGGGTGTAAAGCTTATTACAAAAAGACCAAGAGATCGCCGGCTTGTGATTATAGTAGGAAAAGGATCAGCAGCTGGGGGAATTGTTTTTAGCCGTTGCCTCGTTCTTTGCATATAACATTCAGCTACTTCGCGTCTGCTTCTTATCCCCCTTTGTTCTTTTTGGCCTTCTTCTTATGCCAGGCATCTTGAACCGTCGTGGATGCTGGATACATTCCTTTGCTGGGTGAAAACATCGATCACTACTACTTTCATCATCTCTCCCCTCTTTCGCTCCCTCTGTTGGCTACTTGCATCATCTCTTTTTACCCTTTCTATTCATTCATTTCATCTTGATGAATCCGCCGCTCTCCTTTTTTTATATGGGATATTTCGCTGAACCGTCACCATGGTTCCTCCGCTGGATCTCTCATCGACCCAGCCCAAGGTCATGATTGCGCCTCCAAGGCTCAACCTGCGACGCAATGCTTCGTATAACAATTCTGACAAGGCACCTCTTTCCTCGACATCGGCTCGATTCAACTTCAATCACCTTCTTTTCTCTCCTCCTCCTTCGCCCAGTCTGCCTGTGTTAGTGCCACGGCCAAGGAAGAATTCGCACGCAAAGGCCCTGATCGCTCGACCAAGCCGAATCTTGCGGTATATGCTTTATTTTGCTACTCTCTCGACGACGTTTTTCCTTGCTCGTCTTGCTTTCCGAAACAAAGAGTCCATCATAGCGAAATGGCCCCATTTTACAACCGACGACTTCGAAATGATTAGCCAGGATGCCATACCTGATTTCCCAACTCCCGTCGTTGTCAGCCACAGCCACTCTCAGTCCAAATGGACCGTTTCTATTCCGCACCATCATGACTTCCCTCTAAGCATTGAGGAATATGCCGGAATGGGAAGCAAATGCCGAGAGGTCTCGGCCCACACAAGAGAGCTCCGAGGCAAAGCTCCCCTGTCTGACGAAGACAAGCTGAATTATGACGCTGTGGATGAGTACTTTGTTGACGTGTATGAGGCGGAGCTGAATGGGCTTCTCCCCCCAGTTGCCCACGGGAACAAGGCCCAAAAGACTGGCAACTTTGTGGGCGTGGACTGGGAATCCATGGCTGGCCTGCCTGTTTGCCAGTCCTCAGTCACCTATGTGCTGGAAAGCTCGGATGCTGGGCTGGGTACTGCAGTCATGGGCATGTGGATGCTTTACGGCCTGGCCAAGCAAGACGGCCGGGCCTTTTTCGTCGATGACTCTCGTTGGGCCTATGGCAAATACACCGACATCTTCCAAGCACCGCCAGTGCCTGATTGTCGGCCACCTCCCCGACACCGGATGCTCCCTTGTCCGGCACAAGCGAGACATCTTGTTGTCACTGGCACAACGCTCAACGACGTTTTCCCGGCTCTGATGGCTAAATACCATCGAGCAGCCGGGACTGATAATAATCTGCGAGATCTCATGGGGCTTGCAAGAACCGGCTACCAGGCACTCTTCAGGCTCAACAGCGACGATCAGGAGTACGCTCGCAGTCGCATAGAGGACCTGAGGAAACAGGCCATGGCAAAGGATATGGCCACTCCACACATGCCCATCGTTGGGTTACACGTTCGACGTGGCGATTCGCACCCTATCGAATATCAATATCACAATACCTATGTTCCGTCTGAAGTTTTCCTCGGCAAGGCTCAGGAGCTGGTAGACGCGTACTACAGCTCTGCCAAGGGCTGGCCAACGTCCACGAATCAATCCATCACCCTTATTGCCTCTGACGACCCTGATGTCTATAAGCAGCCCGAATACGCTGACGCTTTATATGCTCAGGCGCGCATCCGCTTGTCGTCCAAGGAGGCCACCAAGCGAGAAGATGTTAACCCACACGTACTTCACCGTTTCAAGGATGAAACCTTGGGATGGGAAGGCGGGTTTTTTGCCCCCATGTTTTGGAATCTCGGCCTTGACCGGAAGCATAACGGCTATGCCAACGGAGCGTCCATGGGGCGGATAGAACCGCCTTCTGAACAGACGATTCAACTGCGCAGCTACATGGGCAGAGCGTATATGCTGGACCTGGCAGTTTTGGCGGGGGCAAGTGATAGGATAGTATGCACCGTCAGCTCGATGGGCTGCAAGATGCTGGGCGTGATGATGGGATGGGAGCATGGCATTGAGGCTGGCGGTTGGACCAATGTCGATGGCAGTTATCCATGGGCTTGGATGAATTGAACTGGCCATCTCGTTTCTGCACAAGAAAAAGAAAATAAAACGAACCAAAGATAAAAACTAAAAGGTGACGCTGATGTGTTTGCCTTGGGACTTGGATAGGGGCGGTTGGGCATTATATGGCGTTTGACGGTTACGATTTGATGAAGCGGACATTAGCTACTCTCTTTCATATTATACCATTCAATTGATGCTCTGCGGAGTATACTTTCATTGTAACAATACAAATGGCATTGGCTGTACAAGTAATACACCGTGTGTATCTTTTTCGATGTGAATTGAATCTCATGCTTGACTGTTTCCCTCATGTTAGTTGATCTGAAACTGAGTACTTGTATCATCACTTTACATGATGACAGAGATGTATGAGCCATCAATCAGGTCTTGAATATAAAATAATTAGCAAGTTGAGATTTATCCTATTTTATTTCATCTTATTTCTTCATGAACATGAGCTTATTACGTCAAAACGTCTTCTATAGTGCAAGTTGCCGCTATTGAATAGCGCGTTGAATGCCCCACATTTCTCTGCGAGGCTACTGCCTGTGCGCGGCTGCTTCCGCGATGGTTTGGCAATTGAACCTTTTAGTTTTAACTCTCTTCTCATTTTGTCATCGAACCCAGCGCCCTCGATTCTTCTTTTCGCCTACACTTTGCCACCATCATCGCCATAGCATAGCAGACACCGATACCGACATCCATCTATTTTCTTATCGAAAGCGATACATTTCAGTCCACAATCATGTCGGCGCCTAGCCCCGGGCGCGATGGCTTCTCCACGCCTGCACCGCCTCCAAAGCCGCGGCTCAAGCTCAACGTGAGCCGTTCTTCCTCCTTCATCAACGAGGTCGGAGTGGCAAATGGAGCAACGCCCACATCTGCAAACGCGCCGCTGGTCACTCCTGGCGAAGGCCCGCGCAAGCTGAAGCTCAAAATCAGCTCCTCACAGCCGCCGACACCAGCCGGGGGACCAGCCGGACCAGCAATCAAGGACGGAATACTAAAGGGCGCGACCAAGGAAAAGGAAGCCAAGAAGGACAAGGAAAAGGATAGTGGATTGCCGCCCGTGATAACGACAAAAGCGGGCCGACAGGCGAAACCGAGTCAGAAGCTCATCGAAAGCAAGAAGCGCTCGCTTAGCGACGACGAAGACGAGGCGCCGCTGCGTGGATCGACGACTGGGACGGGTCATGGTCCGCCCGCTGCAACAAAGATCAAGATCAGGCCCATCGTCAAGGTCGGGGCTGGTGGAGGTGGCGCAACAAAGGTCAGGGCGGGATCCAAGGCTGGGCTTACTCAATTGGTGCTCAAGCCTCGTGGCCGTCCGCCTGTACACCCTCCTGGAGATGGCTATGATTCCGAAGCCAGCGACAACGAGGTGGATCCGGCCATTGAAGAGCAGTTTGTCCTGCGCATGATGCCCGGGGAGCATGCCGATTATGTTCGCTGGTGCTTGGAAAACGGCAAGATTGGGCTGCCCAAGTCGGCGGGAGGGGCCGATATTCACATCAAATTCTTTGAAGAAGACACTCGACGTGGCTTCATCGTGGTCAAAGGCCAATGCTATGCGACTGTCTTGGTTGACCTGCCTACCATTACCGAATCAATGAAGACGTGGGATCGCAAGTCATTGATGAAGTCGGCGGACATCTGCCAGATGCTGCTAGTCTACCAAGCCGTTAAGAACGAGGAGGAAGCAAGACATGCGCCTCTGCCAAGTGTCATCGACTCAAGCTTTAAATGGCCGCACGGCCTGACGCCGCCAATGCACGACTGCGTGAATCGACGATTTGCCAAGACCATTAGCCGGAAAGAGATTGAAGACAAGGAAGCAGAAGTCGAACGGCTACTTGCTGAGGATGCCAAATGTGCCTCGACGAAATGGGAGTGGGTCGATGAGCGGGACGGCGCCGAGGAAGACGGAGAGGAAGATGCTGAAGGCGAGATGGACGACACCTTGGGCTACTTTGACCAGTCACACCTGTCAATGGGTGTTGAAGAGGACAACGACTTTGATCTTGAAGCCGACCTGGAGGCAGCGTTTGCTGATGAACTCTTTGCTGAGACTCCTGCCACTGCCATGGATACTCAAACACCTGCTGCGCTGGTTGGTACTCCTGCCACGACGGCAGCCCTCCAGCAGAGCATCGAGGCAAGCGAATCTGACGAGGACGACGATGATGACGATGACGATGATGACGACGATGACGATCTTGATGAAGATGCTCGCGCCCAACGTGACGAAGAACAAGGCGTCAAAGACATCATCAACGATCTTAAGAAGCAGCTCGCTGCTCGTGTGGCCGACTTTGAAAGAACGCAGAACAAGATTCTCAGAACCCGTCTGGAGAACCAGATCAAGCAGCTCAAGTCTGAAATTGAGCTTAAACAGTCTTCTATTGGCATTGAGGCGGATGATTAAGGAGAATAAATACGTTATTCTTTATTGCTATACGCAATTTGACATCCAGCTCAGACCGATGGACGATTCATCGTCTTTCGCATTTCTTTTCACATCGCAAGAGAACGAAAAGGAAAGTTTCTTGATATTTATTATTTTTCATTACCTCTTTGATTCTTGGCTTTTTTTCCTTTTGCCATACCCCTGGCATGGAGTTTTTTTGGGGGACTTGCAGGAAAAGGGATGGCAGCAATCTATGGTGGGCGAACGGCGGACGGCGTTGGTGTGTCATTCTTTTTCATTGCCTAATGACTTCTTTTTCTCTTGGCGCGAGATACTATGAACACAAAGAAAGGGGGGGAATTATGATTTTCTGTAGCTTCTATCTAGAATGTGCGGTTTTTTAGGAGGCTTGGGTGCCCATCAGCGATTTTTAATAAACAAACCAAAGCGAATATTCCTATGGATCTAGAACAGGGCAATAAGTTCTCGTGCTGTATACAATGGAAGTGGAAAGAGTAAAATGTGAAGACGACGAGCCCGCTATATTGCGTTATGCAAACAACAACCAGCATGATAATCTATTTCTCCAGACAAACAATGTATGAGCATTACTGTACTTTTCTAAGGGAATCGTTGGAGTTGAGCCATGAAGACCATAACAGTCAATTGTTGAACTGTTTTGTTCTGCTTTGGACTAATGAGAGATTTCTTATTATTCGCCTCCCTCTAGATGAGTCTAAGTACTACTCTAATACTTGATCGTTCAAAATAATAAACGCCTCTCCATATAACATCATCATGAACAAACCTCACTGCGCAATATATCCTCTTCCCTCCAAGATCTATACCATCTCGTAGGCTTTGAACCCGTGGTCACACACATATTTCATCAAGTTATCAACAACAGCCTTTTAGCCTTCACTTACCAAGAGCCTTGGCAGTCTGAACTCTATTATCAACCAAAACATCTTTTACCGTATCAAGAACGTCCTCCCACACCAATGTCTGGCAAAACTGCTCAAGATTCCTCGGCCGGGTCTTGGATCTGGGCCGGCCGCTATGATAGACGTGCCGCTGGATGGCCTTTTGGATATACACTGCCATCTGGGGATCGCGTTTCGACTGTTGCTTGAGATAGTTGGCAATGAAGGCGGCGTCTATGAGCTTTGTGCTCTTGTGATCGCGGTTCCAACGGCGGGTTGAGCTGATGGCGTCTTCGATACGTTGCTTGATGGTTTTTGCTGCTTTTGTAACACATCTGTAAGCTTCCTCTGGTGCGGCGGTGCAGTATAAATGAAAAAAAAAAAAAAAAAAAAAATGAGAAAGCTTACTTGGCACTGAGCGTGATTTCTCGGCATCTGGTTTTGCTTGCATCTTGCGCTTCAATGCAGAGCGTGTCACCCGAGTGTGACTTATCAAGGCCTCTGCTTCTGCCACTGTGGGAAGCTTGCCCAGCGTACTAGAGATATTGCCAACGCGGCCCTTCAAATCACTCATTTCCTCTTTCATTTCCTTCTTCAGCTCCCCGATGATTTCATGCATATCCTTTTTACACTGCTCTAGGTCATTGTTGCTTTTGCTGTTCCATTCCGGCCCCTGAATTTCCTCCATGCGCTGCTTCACCGCCTGAATCTCCTGCACCAAGCTCTGCACCCTCGCATCATGAGTATTCCGAAACTCCTTGTCCTCCTTTGTGCGCAGCATGAGGACGCTCAGATTCTTTTCCAGCCGCGCTGTCTGGGTGGCCATGGCACGGACGTTGAGCTCAATTGTCATCCGCGCCAGAGCATCTGCGTTGCGGAGGAGTTTGGAATTGGGTCTTGCGGTGATGATGGAGCCGTTTGAAGGTATGGGCGAGATGGATGGGGATGGGATGATGGCTGCGGTGATGGATTTGCTATTGTCGTAGCCATTATCGGATCTGGGGGGCGATTCTTTTGGAGATGCTCTTGCTGGGACGGATCGACCTCTGGCCATGTCGAATACTGTTGGAGAGTATCTTCTTCTCTTTTTTTTAAGAAGAATTAAGGTTGCCTGCAAGAAATGAGCGTGATGGATTGAAAAGAGAGGAACCAGAGAGAATACGCAACTGTAGAGGGCCTCAGGCGACGATATCGATACAGGCTCCTTCCTGTGCTTGAAGCGTAAGTTGGGAAGGCACTGGTAAGCTTCCTTCCTCCTGCGATGCCACCAAGGACCCATGCTGTTAGTCATGAAATCGTTTCATTAGAGTGCATTTAAACAACAGAAATAATATGTTATTATGTAGTGTATATCAAAATACGGTGTTCGTAATAAGTACATGGTCAACTCTGCATCTGCATAAATGCCACAACTGCCACTACATCATCCCGTCTCATAAAACATCAACACCAACCCAATATACTTACTCATCCTCATGTTCAAACACCAACAAATCCATCACTTGGCCTCTCGCTCGCCCGCAATCCACTCCAGAAACATGTCCACGTCCTTTGCAATCTGCCCCGGCACCGCCATCTTCTGGATCCACGCCGGCAGCACGCCCCGCGCATCAGACACCGTCCCCATGACCCATTCCACGTTGCCCTGGCCGTCAATCTCCCTGAAGCGCTCAATGGCCGTGTACGTGCCTCTCAGGGCGCCGTCCGGCCTGGCCTCCTCCGCGCCGGCAGTTTCCGGCACCGCTGCGATCTGCACCACGACAAACTCTCGCCGCCCTCGCACGGCCGCCGTGACCTGCAGCACGGGGAACACGCGGTTGTTGAGCGGCGCAGGCATCTTGTGCACCGACTCCTCCAGCTTCAGCGTCAGGTCTTCGTACGTGTCGCCTCCCACCGTGACCTCGACGCCGGCGCAGTCCCACTGCCGCTTCAGCGTGTGGCTCATGACCGTCGGCGTAAACTTCATCTCGGCGTCCGCGTGGCCCGCCTTGAAGCACCGCACCCATTCCTCCCAGTCTGCGGTGCCGGCCTTTTTCGCCTCCTCGTGAACGCTGCGCCTGAGACTCCATGTTTCCGGCTTGATCTTTGAGCCGCCACCGCTTGCCTGGGGCAGGTTCTGGTTCTGGTCCTTGGCTATCGTCCTTAGTTCTTCGGCTGAGACGACACGCTCAAACATGTGTACCGGCGCTGCTGAGTGGTGAAACGCCCTGCATCCCTTTGCCTTCCAGGACCCATTGGTGCTATTCCCATTGTTGGGGCTGGATCTCTCTGATGATGATAATGACGATGACTCGGATGAGTGCGGCGGCACTGAGCTGACAAACGAAAGTGCCTCTGTCAATATTGATTGGAGCAACGGTGTGAGATCTTGAGCTGAGGCGGTCTCTGAGGGAAGCTGTGACGGCCGGATGCCCCAGAGCCGAACATAGGGGCCGTGCTGATCAGCCATTTTGCCAGCAGGTATCGCGAACAAGGCAACAGCTCAAAGAAGCAAACCGGGCTCGGCGTTTTCGATGAATAACAGAAGAGAAGAACGACACGACACGGTACACCAAAAGAAGTAAGTAGATGAATGAAAAGAAAAGAAAACAAGAGGCTGAGGCTGATGGGCGCAAAGGAGCGCTGTACGTGATAGGAAGGCCGGCTTAAAAGATGACACTGAGGCGTCCCAGCAAGCTAAAAGCTGCCACCAGGGGCTCACGGTTGTATTTTGAGTGTGGCTGTACCTGTTCCTCTGCTACTACTCCATAATGACAGATGATAATCAGTAGTAATGGCGTGAGAGGAGAGAACTTAGAAAAAAAAAAAAAAAAAAAAAAGAGAAGAAGAAAAAAAGCATGTGAGTGAACCGTCCCCCCCAAATTACCCATGCCACTTATAAGCGAAAGTGGCCTATTTTGGCTTGCCATAAGGTGCATACGCATTTGATACGCCAGTACCGAGATCTGGGATGTGGTCTAGACCGGATAGGACGGCTTTACCCCCCGTTGCGGGTTAAACGTCTCACGTTTTGGGTCTCGCAAGCGGGTTATTGGGGAATTTTTTCTTTCTTTCTTTTCTTCTTTGGACATCGGAGGCGCTTTGAAAGAATCTTACCGATCCGGGCCAACTGTTGGATTAAAAGGAATGATTTGATGTGGGCGTTTATTTACGCGTGTTAGTGGTGTGTTTGGAACTTGAGAGTTGACGTGTATGATGTCACAAAAGTAATCAACGTTTGTAGCAAAGCTTGTTTATAGATGCATTTTTAAATCAATTGTAATCTTCTTTCTTCTGGTTTTGTTCCTTCTAGCTCTATTCAAAAGCTCTATTGGCGTAATTAGGTAGATAATAGTGTATTACAGTCATGATGTAGCCATTACCATCATGTGTCGTATTGTTTTCCTCCCATTCCATTCCAAATAATAATAGTAATAATAACAACGATAATAGAAAAAACTCCGACGTGTGGTTTTCATGTACAGTAAAGTGTATTTCCCTTTCAAATCAGGCTCTGATCAGGGGTATCATTTCCCTCGCTTTTCCCTTGAAAGCATGTCCACTTTTTCCTCATCAAAATGATATTTTGAACATCTTAGTCTCTTCGCTCCCACTGGATCTCGGCAGGTTCCAGCGGTCGAGAGAACAGAGAGGCGTAGTCAGTGCCGACAATCTTGTCGCTGCCGTCCACGTTGCTCAGCTTGAACATGCGGACAGTCTCGACAATGATGGTCTGCAGCTGCAGGTTGGCAAACTGCTCACCAATGCATCGGTGACGACCGGCACCAAAGGGAAGATAAGGTGAAGCGGCACCCTTGCTGACAATACCGTAGCCGTAGTCGATCTTCTCCTCTTCCTCTTCGTTTCGGGCAGCAATGAGGGGAGCATTGGCAGAACCAGGCAGCCAGCGGTAGGGATCCCACTCAAAGGGGTTGGGGAAATAGCTGGGGTCGGAGCCACTGACACCGGGAGCCGCGAGAAGAGTGTGCGAAGTGGGGATAACGTATTTGGTACCGGGAACGGGCATGGGCTGCTTGACGGCACGCATGATGGAGTGGATGGGGGCATGGAGACGCAGAGTTTCCTTGACAATGGCCTGGTTCAGAGGGAGCTTGGCCAGATCGTCGTACTGCAGGGGAGGCAAGTCGGCACCCAAGACGTTGATTTGTTCCTGGTACAGATCCTCGACGACCTTGGGGTTCTGGGCAAGACGGAGCATGATCCAAGAGCTGGTGGATGACGACGAGTGCTGGCCAGCCATGAGCAGAGCAATCATCATGTGGGCAATCTCGTGGTCGGGGACGGCGGTACCGTTCTTGTACACAGACGTCATGAGATGCTTCATAATGTCGAGTTCAGTGTCCTCATCGCCGAGGGCCTTTCGCTCCTTGATGGTATCCATGTAGATCTTGGCAATGGTGCGCTGAGCGTGGTCACGCTTGCGGTTCCAGGGAAGAGGGGCCCAGTGCAGCACAAAGTTGATGGAGGTGAAGCCCATGTCGAGGTCGTGGTACAGGTCGGCCAGAGACTCGTCGAACTTGTTGCGGATGAGTCTGCCCTGAAGAGCGTGGGAAGCAGTGAAGATTGTAATCTCAGCCATCTTCTTGGGAATGTCGACGGTTCCAGACTTGCCCTTGAAGGCAGCGGTTCGCTTGAAGTAGGAGGTAACCTCGTGAGAGATGATGGGAACGTAGGATCGGAACGCTTCGGTGGTAAGGGCAATTTTCATAAACTAAGATGCTTGTTAGTGATCGATTCGCCGAATAGACCATACAGACAGCGTTGGGGGATCGCATAATCTCACCTTCTTCTGCTCCATCAGCTTGGCGTTGGGGCAGTCGTAGACGACATCGCGTCCGAAGACGGGGGTGGTCAGGACGGTGTAGATGTCCTCAGCGTTGACATCCTTGAGCTTTCCGTTGAGGATAAAGTCGTTTCCAGTAGGGCCAACAGCCACGGTGGTCTTCTTGCCGAGGAGAACAAAGGTGAACACATCGCCATACTGCCAATCAAAAATGTTAGCCACCGCTCTATAAACACAGCATGGCAGATGCCGGATCGGATATCAGATTTTTGCCCACCTTTTCGCGATTGTCGCGGAAGAACTTGGGAGGGTCCATGCCGTAGATGACGGTGCTGCCAATGAAGGGCAACCAGTGGAAGACAAGAGGCGGATCGGTGGGATTCCTAAAGAGGAGCTGCTGCATGACGTTGACGAAGACGGAGAGCGCGACAACGCCCGCGACGCCAATGGCGATCTGGGCGCCAATGCTTTGCTGAAAGTACAGCTGGGCCAAGGGATGGCCAGCGGCATCTTGGATGATGCCCATCGTTGCGAATTGGTGGCCCTCTCGCCCGCAATAGGTTGGTTAGGAGTTAAAAAGTCGAGAGGGGAGCCCAGAGGCAGTAAAGACGGGCTTAGAGGGGGGGTTGAAGGAGAGAAAATGGCTGGCTGGTCCCCGCGTCCTTTTTATCGACAGGATGCAACGCAACAGAAGAGAAAGAAGGGAAAGGAGGAAGAGACAACAACGGCGCCACCAGTGGTTCGATAAGTCAGCCCAAGATGAGCTCTAATCAGTGCCTTTTGGCTCCAATCGCGGCGGGCTAATTTGACAATTGCAGCCAGACTCGCATTATTTTTTACTTTTTTTTCCCTAGCTCTTGTTTCTTTGACTGCTGCCCAGATCAGGGGCATGCAGATCCACCCGTGGCTCCACGGCAGAAGTTGTGGCGGACGAGCCAATGGCCGCGCAGGTTATGGCAGCCAGACCGCCCTGTGGAGGAGCCGCGTATTCGGATCTGGGAAAGACTAGCTGCGTTTGTGGCCACAAAGGGCTACTGCCAGCGCCTCCAGCTCTTGTGCTGCAATCTGTAATCTAGCGGGGGCGAATGCGAATACGTCTCTCAAAGTTGACAAGACTGCCTCTGTAATACTACCGTGTTGATGGTAGCTTTGATATGCTTTGAAATACGTGCATGAGATGTCTCCGATTGGATCGCTGTCACTTTTACGGATACTATACTTGAAGAGTAGGTACCCATGAGAGAGAGAGAAGAGGAATGATGGAGACGACGTGGTCTGATGCCACCTCAGAAACCTCCACTGCATCGAACAATACGCGACTCTATCAATTGGCCAGCATCACAGACCCAGTTGCGAGATGCATTAGCACATACCCTACGCTGCATGTGTCGATTGTCAAGGCAGGTCATTGGAGATAGCAAAGTAAGAATCCTGAGATTGATAATATTGAATGGAGCATCGTCCAGGTTAAGAAGAAAAGCGACTATCTGCCAAGGCCCGAATTCATCGCAATCAGTAGCGAGCGCCAAAGTATAGACCCAGCTCCAGCTAAATCTAAGTCATCACCTGCTACATAGAGGTAGATCCAGATAGATACACTGACTACCTAGATGCATATCTGCGCACATGACAACGAGTAACGAAAATGAAGATGGAAAAATGAGAAAATGAAAGGGGAGAAGACAGCTGACAAGGAAAAAGGAAATCCATCAAACCAAAACATGGCAAACCAAACGCTCCCAGCCTATAGCATTCCGTCCGCAATCTGTGAAACTAAGAACTCAAACTCATGCCCAGGCCCCCTTTGTCAAACGCCCGTACCCTATCTGCCGTCCTGTGTGTGAAAAGCCAACTGCTGAACAATAAACTATCGTGTATGTGGTATCTGTATGCTTGACTGACATGGTGGTCCCAAATGTCCGAGGTATCTTTGCATCTCTCGGGGTCGTTATCAAAATAGCAAAAAAAAAAAAAGAAAAAACAAATACGAAGAGTAGCCGGTCTCGATCGTCACCATTAATTTACGCTTGGGCGACAATGCTTCTTCCGACATCGCCCCATCTGAATCGTCTTAAACCACCCCCCGATGAGCGAAGGACATCGCGGCCAGAGGATGCAGTCTCGTTGACGCTGTGGACACTTGCAGCCAGGCCTTCCTGGCGCCCTACCTCGCGCCCAATAACGTACCCGGCTCCAAAGCCAACTACGGATACGAGCACGACGACACCAGCACTGACGACCCAAGTGAGGAGGGTTGGGGAAATAAACGTCTCCTCGGTAACGGCGGTAACAGCTGCCGTCCTCTTCTTCTTAGTCGCCCGAGGGTTTCGGCCAGTTGATACACCCCGTTTGGCCTTTTCGGAAGACGAACGAGTCTGCGAGCTTGACCTAGCAGGAGAGGACTGTCCAAGCTTGTTGACTGGGGTCGCCGCCGCTGCCCGGGGCTTCTCAGACTCCTCCTCCAGCTCCTTTTCTGGAACGAACCGGAGCTCCATAGGCTGACTGCTGGGCCCAACTCCGGTTTGTGCAGCCATCTGCGCCTCCGTTTCCTCCTTGCTTTTGGGCAAACCTCTAGCCGCCGCAGCGCACGACAGGAGAGTGGTCAAAGACGCACGGAGAGCTGCGTCGTTGTCTTCCCGGACCGATGGCGACATGAAGCTGGGGCCACGCTGCACTCTTGTATTCGAGCGCTGAGAAAAGGACGGACGGGTAAACTCCCTATGAGGATGCGGAGACATGGTCGCATTGGACGAATAGCTTCGCTGGTGTGACGGAGGATGCGAAAAGGCATTTGGCTGTGGCCGGAAGATGGGTTGGTGTGCTTGTCCCAACGCCGTGTCTGCGTCTCCGTCAGACTCGCCGTCAGAGTCCTCCATGTCCTCCTCCGGCGACGGCTGCATATTCTCTGTCGAGCTGGAGAGGACGTGATCTTCCTCGCTGTCGCTCTCGTCGTATTCATCCTGGCTGCCTGTCCCCGTAACGGGGATCGTTGTCTGCACACGCGGCACCGATCTCGCGGGTGCCGGCGCTCGTCGGCGACGGTTATCACGGCTGTCAGAGCCCCTGACGCGCAGCCCCGTTGTCACGATCTCATCGCCGATGCTGGAGAGCGACGACGACGACGGCTGAGACGCGACCTCGACCCAGGACTCGGTGTTTTCTACTGCGATTAGCGGAGGGCGACGGCGGTCGAAGCATGTCACTGGCGAAGACGAACCGTTGTAGCGGCGCTGGTGAGCATTCGAGGTCGCGAGCACGTTTGGCATGCTGACGGATCGCTGCGAGCCGGGGCCCGCCTGCTCATCAGCGCGAAGCTGCTGGGCCATGGTTTTGTTTATATAATTTTTTTTTTATGTTGGTTTGTAAGTTAAGCACGGAGTTACGAGCCGCAAGTCCCCCAGAACGCTGGCGACGATTGGCGATAGATGCTATTCCCTGTAAGTCCGCAACTCCCTATCGGTGACCGTGACGGCAACGCCCCACCCGATCGCAAATCGGTCTCCCAAGCAGGTCGCGCGCTCAAGCTCTCTCGATCGCGACGCCGCAGCAGAATATATCGGTAAGACGGAAATCGGGTAGATGCGAGATGAGAGATGAGGCAAGTCCTCGTCAGGATGGACAACTGAAAAGAAGAAGAAAGGAGAGAAAGCGAGGCAGAGAGTCGGAGATGGAGCACAGCAGCCGTTCTGTTGAGAGACGCTAGAGTCAGGACCAGGCCAGCCTGCTGCATGACGATAAAACGGGCATGGAAAGGGCAAAGTCAGCAGCGCCGTTCAGTCAGTTGCTTGTTGCTCGCTTTGGGCTTGTACCGGTACCAGGCCGGCAGGGACAGTGCGTGGCCCCCGTCACGCGCGCTGGGCCAATTGCGTCAACTGCCGCAGAATCTGGGGAACGAGACGTGCTGGGAGCGGCGACATGCACGGTATGGAGTCATTCGCAAGGGCAGCCAAAGCCGGGTGAGACAGCGCTGGCAGATGCAGGCGGGCAGTGCAGTAGCTGTACAGTTTGAACGCTTGCTTTCTTTCTCTGATGCTTATTTTTTTCTTCCTTTTGTTCAACAGCGGAATTGCCTCTTTGTATGTATCGCAGCATGGGAGGCGCCACAGGGTCCAAGTTGCACGACCAGGGGCCTTGAACAGGCAAATCCCACGAGGTGATGGACAAGCGATGAAGCGGAATTACCCAACATAGTCTCTCTGCTTGGGTGACTATCGAAGGGGCAAAACATCAGAGTAGCTACATACATTTTATGTAAGTCGGCCCAATCATCAAAGGCAAACAACAGCGCAACAATCCCTTGCAGCGAGCATCCGCCCATGAGGCCACAAACATTCGATGATCAATGACTCGGCAAATCCCCAACGCTTTGAAACTACATGCTGCGTGTGATGCTTACTCGTCGCAGCAGAATACTCTCCAGCAGAGACATTTCAGCACAGTGCATCAACCTTTTCTCACCATCAAACGAGCATCATTCGGCGAGCGGTGTGCATCATCTTCCCCCCAAAAAGTACAAGTACATCGTCCCAGCCTGGAGACACGAACACACACTACAAACCTCATAATCTGATTCAGTAAAAAAAACTTACAGGGCAGAAATGGCAAGCCACGGGTAAGCCTGCTTTGGTGGTCATGAGCACAAAGGCGGGGCTTTGCCTAAAGCAGCCCTTCTCGCCAGCCCAGGCCGCATGAGCAGCCGGGAAGACGTAATGGATGCATCTTTTCCCTTGCATTAATCAAAGCGCTGTGATTTGCTCTTTTCTTGCCATGGCTTGGCTCTTTGGAGCTGGCATTTTCCAGTTTGCTGCGTATCTTACCCTTTGCCGGTTTGTCAAGTGGCTTTTTTTTTTTTTTTTTTTTTATATATATCTCCGCGACCTAGTCGTATCGCTGAGGGATGACGGATGCGGCCTCTGCCTACAGAATAGCGCAACTTGGCTTAGAAAAACATACTTACCTGTAGCCTAACAGATTTCGTACCAGTAGACGCTCGGATTGCTGTAGTAAGTCAATATGTTTAACAGTAATATTCAGGCCCTCCTTGCATCCTATCCAGTACAGTCAGACTGCAGAACAGGACAGAACAGCAGAGGTGCCAAGGTCCATCCCGTCTGCAAACAACCCGCCATCCAGCAGTAGCCCGTATGCGCAAAAAGAATCTGCCCAATCACGCCAAAGAACACAGCAGATAGCAAACGGCAGCAGCACACGTGTGTCCAAGTGTGGCAATGCTAATCGAAGCAAGGGATGTAAATGGCGTATTGCCAGTCACACGCTTGGACGGCGCGCCACCGGGTTTAGCTCAGCCTTGTCGCATCGACGCGATAGGTCATCTGAGAGCTCCAGAGGCACCAATCGTTGCCTGAGCAGAGACTGGATCATCCGTTTAACAGTTCTGTCACTTTGCCTCCTGTCGGCTAATCAAGAGAAACGACATTTCAAAAGTGAGAGCGCTAGATTCCAGTCAGATAGACAAATGTATTATTTTTACTCGCATTCTATGGAGTTGGAAGACAGAATCATGTCTGGCAAACATATGTAAGAACAAAAAAAAAAGGACAACTTTTCCCTAGCAACGCCTGTTTTTACAATCCTATGCAAAGGTCATGGGCGGAGACTTACCAAGTCTCTTGAGGCAAGATTTACGATCGGTTGTACGTCCGGGAGGTTACTTTCGAAATGAGATAAGCAAAAGGTACAAAGCCCTCGAGTGTAGCCCACGTATCAAGTATTTGCATTTGGTATGCAAGCCCAAGCCCCCAGGTCCCTCAGAAGTAATTCGCAGCCATCAAAGTTGGTCTTCGCTCTTGTTAAGCAAAATGAACCGAGATCAGCCCTCAAACCCCTCAGAAGCCCACTGGTGTGTACAAGGCGCTGACAATAAGAATCGCCAACGCCGCCGACGCCGACAAAAAAGCCATCTTTACCACGCCTCTATAAGAAGCAAGGCAACGAGCCCTCAGATTACAAAGTAGAGAAAACCCCCAGCATTGATCTGCGCTCTTTGTTTTCAAAGAGCTTTCCCAAAGCCCACTAGATCCCAAAAAGAAAAGCCAAACGTAAATTGCATCATATCCCGAAAATGCCCATAGCCCACAATTATATGTAGATGGTAGATATTAGATCAAACCATCTTAGTCAAAGGAGATCTTGGTGCCAGAGTAGCCAGGCTTGGTGCGGTTGACAGCGCTGAAGTTGCCGCCACGGCCACCGCCGCGACCACCACCTCGGCCGCCAAAGCCACCGCGACCGCCTCCACGGCCACCACCACGGCCACCACCTCCACGGCCGCCGAAGCCACCACCAGCACCACCCTGGGGACGGGGCTGGGAGTAGTCAAGTCGCAGAGTGCGAGCGAATCTACCGTTGCCGATGGAAGAGCCAGTCTTGGCGTTGTAGGCCTCTCTAGCGTCATCAATGGAGCCAAAGGTGACATAACCGAAGCCCTTGAGGTTACCGCTCTCACTGAAAGGAATGTTAGTACATTGCAAAGCGACGAGTTCAAGCAAATGTAAGATAACTTACGGGTCGGTAGGCAATCGAACGCTAACAACGGGGCGAACCTCGTTGAAGAACTCAGTGACAGTGTCCTGGTCAACATCGAAAGGCAGGTTGCCGACGAAGAGAGTGTCGCTCTCAGGGCTGACGGTATCGCCGTGCTTCTTGGCGCGGTCGGCAGCACGGGCCTGAGGAGTGGCATCATCGGAGCGGGCGTTGGCATAGTCAAGGTTGATGGCACGGCCACCAACATCCTGACCCTGCATGGCCTCGTAAGCCTTGGAAGCGGACTCGCCATCCTTGAAGTCGACATAGCCGAAACCACGGCTGCGGCCAGTAGCCTTCTCAGTAACGACACGAGCACTAACAAGGCCGTCGAAAGACTCGAAAGCCTGGTACAGGGCATCGTCATCAATGCTCCAGGCCAAGCTGCCAGCGAAGAGAGTGGAAGCAACGTTGCTGTCGACCTTGGTCTTCTTGGCAGAGGTATCAATCTCGTCGTCAGCCTTGCGCTTCTTGGAAGCGGAGGCATCCTTCTCCTCATCGGAAGAAGAGTCATCGCTGTCCTCCTCAGAGTCGCTAGAGTCAGACTTGGACTCCTAAAGAAAGCAGGTGTTAGTTGAAATTTTTTTTCCAAACATGAAAAATCTTGTGGCGGACTAACCTTGGCAGCAGGCTTCTCCTCATCAGAGTCGGACTCGGACTCAGAGTCGGAAGACTCAGCAGCCTTGGCCTTGCCGTTCACAGCAGGCTTCTCCTCCTCCTCATCGGACTCAGAGTCAGACTCAGACTCGGACTCAGAAGACTCCTCCTTGGCGGCGGCCTTCTTGGCATCCTTCTTGGGGGTCTTCTTGGGGGCCTCCTCTTCAGACTCAGACTCGCTCTCGCTGGCGGAAGAATCAGATTCCTCCTCGGACTCAGACACCTCCTCAGAAGAGGACTCAGGCTCAGCCTTCTTCTTGCTCTTCTTGGAGGGCTCCTCCTTGAGGGCCTTCTTGGGAGCGGCGACCTTGGCGGCAACAGGCTCAGCGGCCACAGCCTTCTTGGTGACCTTGGTGGACTTGCCCATTGTGAAGAATTGGGTGAATAGGGATGAAAAAGAAGGTAAAGGTAAGAGATGAAGGTCCAAAGACGGAAATGTTTTTCGTCTTTAGGTGTAGATGTAGAGAAAAAAAGAAGACGCAGGAATTGGCAGCCTCGCAAGTTTTTAAAGCCTGGGTGGTTGGGGACTGTCCGCCTACTGCACAACTTTTTCTGATTTTTTTTTCTTCTGTCCGGCAGAATAGTGGACTAGTGGGGTGGTCCAAGGCGGTGGGAGAGTTTGGTGTAGCTCGCCATCACTTCTCCACATACCGTATGCAGGCTGTGTGGCTCGAATCTTGCTGCCTGAGGCTGCAGCTGCGAAAGACTGGAAAGGCAGGCTAGTCGACCATCCATAGTGGACTGCCCTGGCAGGCCGGCATTCGAAGGCGCTCAAAAGCATCAGGAGATATTCGAGCTTCCGCCGCCGCATCCCTCGACCATTTGGCCTTAGCAGACCCCCTACCTTTTTAGCCGTCGAACATCAGCCAGCTCACCATCATGCCGACGCCCGAGTCCGAGCTCTTCAAGAGCCAGAAGCCCACGGTTCCCCCCACATTCAACGGCGTGGACTTTGACGACACCAAGGCGTTCAAGGCGGCCGAGGATGCCATTATTCGGGAACAATGGGTTGGCGCCATGATGACCCGTCTCGTCCAAGAGGAATTGGGCAAGTGCTACGTCCGCGAGGGCGTCAACCACCTGGAGAAGTGCGGCCACTTGAGAGGTAAGCCGAGGAAGCTCCCATCTGCATTGCACTGAAGGGTATTTTGGGAGGGAGGGCCACAGACTCATTGAATTGTTGATTAGAAAAATATCTGCAACTGCTCTCCACGAACAAGGTCAAGGGCACCAAGTTTATTCAGCAAAACTATCTGGAGAAGAAGGACCAGGAGTTTGATTTGGAGCGCAAGGTGCACACGAGCGACAAGATTGCCAAGCTGAACCAGGGACGATTCTCATGAGTTTAAACGAAGCTATATCTCTTAAAAAAAACATATGTCATATTTACACAATTTTTTGTTTGAGCTGTCAGATGGCCGAATTGACCGGCTGAGGCCTTGTCTGGGATGGAGCAGAGAGTATGGATGGTTTAGAGGACTAGAGCCATGCATGGTATTGAGCGCAACGGGTGGAATGCTCTGCCAGTGTACATATCGGGAAGCAACGGAATCACGTTAAAATGTAAAAGAAATCAAGAAAAAAACTCCCAGTAGCTGGTATACACATGTGAATGTACTGTTCAGGTGCAGTTAGAACTATGACGAGGCTGAGAGCAAGCAGAACTCTCTAATTGATCCCCCATTGGTCACCCCACTACCAGGCCGAACGGCCATAACCCAAAAATTCTCCAACCACCAATAGCAGAGCCTCGCCATCTCACTCAGAGCGAACAACCCTTCACCAACCTCTCACACACATATAAAACCCGCCATGTTCTGCACCCGGTGCCTGCGCGCAACGGTCGCGCGCCGCCAATTCTCCTTTTCACGGCAATTCTCATCCTCCCTGCGCTTCTACTCGGCCGAACCTCAGCTCTCAACCCCCACCACCGACGCCGGCGAGGCTGCAAAGCCAGCTGCTGCTGCTGGCACGGCGCGATCCAGCTGTCCGGAGGGAACCGTGCTCAATGGCTTAAACTACATCAAGGGCGGGCAGGACCCGGTCGCCAAGAAGGATGAAGACTACCCGGAGTGGCTGTGGTCTTGCCTGGATGTTATGAAAAAGGCCGATGCGGCTGATGACAATCTGGGTGACGAATTCTGTACGTTTCTCTTTACTCTTTTATTCTTTCAATGAGAAATCCCCCAAGCAAGAGAGAGAGAAAAAAAAGGCTGACTGGTTTCTTCCTATAGCAAAATCCAAGAAGCAACGAAAACTCGCAGCCAAGCGCCAAAAGGCCCTCGAGGCCAAGCTCCTCGCCGAAGGCAACCTCGAGGCCCTGGCGCCAAAGGTCCCGCTGCAGCAGCAGTCCGTCAACCTGCCCGGCGAGCAAAACGGCTCCGTGCTGGACAATCTCGCCGCGCTGGAGAAGCGAGAGGAGCTGAGGAAGGCGATGCGCAAGGAGAGAAGGGCCAAGATCAAGGAGTCCAACTACCTGAAGTCAATGTAAAAAATATTATCAAGTTTGGGGGATTGAAAGAGTGGGAAAAGCGAGTGTTGGGAATAGACAACATATCTGTACAATATATAACAAAGTATTTTCAAGACAAAAAGGATCCCACGCCCATAATGTGATGTATATTATTTTCCATGGGAAAATAGCAGATTCATGTCTGGGTTTTGCATTACAAGTACAACATTCGCTACTTCATATCTGTATACTCAAGTATCGCCGTGGCAAAATGGAGAGAGTGTAAAGGTAGAGACTCTCTTTTCCTTCCAATATTAGTCACATATCATACGTCGTCAATGTTTCTTCTTTAATCACAGGGTATACCGCCCCCCCGGGGAAATGAATTCAAAAAAAGATATCATCTATTGGCCCTAATTCAACACGCTCAAATCAAGCGGAACACTGCTCCCTCTACCTGCTCTATATCTCCTTACGCCCCCAACAAAGTCCCTAGGCTTTGGCAATACGCTCTCGTCCTTGAAGTGCCACCTCTTATCGTCAATATAGATTCGCCCACCGCCCTGACTCATCGTTCGTGAGTGGTTAGTGGTTTTGGGTGAAAGGGCTGGCGAGCTGCCTCCATTCGCGGTTAGGGTAAAGGAGCTCGGGTCGAGCATCGTATGGCGGAGGGAAGACCCTCTAGGTCGTGTTGCGGGAGGAGGAGGCCCATTGGAAGCCGGGGGAGCTGAAATCGGCGGTGCCGGCGGCGCTGGGGGGAGAGAAGGTGCTGCTCCGGGAGGGGCTGGGGGCGGCGGCGGCGGTTGAGCCCGTGGAGCTGACGATGGCGAGGGTAACGGAGGCGCTACTGAAGGCGGAGGAGGTGGTGGTGCTCCGGGCAGTACCGGAGCGGATGTTGCTGGAGGCGGCGGCGGCGGAGGAGGTGCCGCAAAGGGAGCCGGTGCTGAGAACGCTGGTGGTGGCGGAGGAGCTGAAGGAGCTGAAGGAACTGGGGCAGCCGAAGCTGGAGCTGGCGGAGGAGGAACTGGCGACGGCGTGGCTCGGGAGGGCTTTCGAGAAGTCGGTAGCGGCGGCGGTTTTTTGCCAATTGGAGGCGGCGGTCCCTTTGGCTTCTTCAGGCCCGCTGCTGCGCCTGGGGGAGGAATAGGAGGTCCTCGCCCTGGAAGAATGGGAATAGCTGGTGCAGATGGTGCAGCATCAGCTGGCGGCCTCGGCGCGGCAAAGGTCGGCACATGGGGGGCAGAATGAGACGGCGCTTTCTCAGAGTCCGAGGAGTAGGAGGGCGCTGAGCCGGCTCCCGTATCGATGTTTCCTCCTCGCTTCTTTAGCTTCGGCATGCCGCCGACGAACAGGCCTCCCAGCTGCGGTGCTGAGTCGACTGGGCGTACATCTTGGTGTGCCGCGGTGTGATCACTGTTGCTTCGGGCTCGGTTTGCTGAAGGAACAGGCGGCGCGAGCGCAAGGGCGGGAACCGGAGGAGCGCCGCCTATGGCAGGGCCTCCTGATGACCCTGATGCCTTGCCAACAACTGGAGCAGAACGATCGTTGGTGACGGCCTTTTTAAGGGCTCTCCCCTTGTTGATATCGGCAAGGAGAGCATTCTAAGAGCAGGGTCAGCGGGATAGATCCATCCAAAGGTCTCGGTTGGCGAGAGCACGCACCCGACCTCCTGAACTTGGCGGTGGACGGCCGGGCAAACCACCGGGAGCTCCTCCTGGAGGCGGAGGGGGGGGAGGAGGAGGACCTCCAGCACCGGGCAATGGAGGCGGCGGCGGCGGCGGAGGAGGCGGCATGGCAGGATATGGAGAGTCGCGCGAGGTGGTTGAAGTCTCGGCGTCTTCGCAGCGCTGAGCTGAGGCGTGGGTGGAGGTGCAGATGGAGCGGTTGTTCTAGTGGGAGATGGCAGGCTGCGCGGGCTGTCGACGGTGCTGCAGCGGCGTCTGCGTCCCTAAACACGGGCGTTGGAGGAGCGTCGCGAGCGAATTGCAGCGTCTGGGCGATGGTGAGGATGTCGACGCGGGCATGGCAGAGGCAAAAGCTCGTCGCTGGCGTTTCGTCATCAAGGCTTACGAGCCCGGCGCAGTCGAGGAGAGGGCCAGCCAAAGGGCCCACTCTTTTGACAAGGCCCTCAAAGCTGGAGCCTGTTCTATGTATAGAACGTGTAATAGAAGTGAAAAAGAGAGAGATTTGTTTCGTGAAAGATGGGGTGTTGTAGCGAAGAATCAAATGTCCTTTGTTTGTTTTGACATTTGCTTGAACACATGAGTACAGTCGCACAAGGCGCTGTTGGGTACATGTACCACTGCGATCAGCACTTTGGCACTGGCTCGCATGTACCAGAATATGTCACTTTTCCAAGGTGGAGCCAATCACAGCCTTGCGGCAATCATTTTATGCCAAACTCCAAGCTCGCAACTTTTCCGCCTCGCTGCTTTGACCTCGCTTTTCCGCGCAGCGTCCTGGGCCTAGTCAAGTTGCGACGCTGGATTTGCAGCACGGCGATTCAATAAAGAACTCTGCGCTGTTTTGCAATCGCCACTGGCTACGCTTCAGCCCAGCTCCGTCCCATCTCGCATCCCGTTTCTCGCCATGCGACGAGCGAATCCCCGGCAGGTTGGCTTTATATGCCAATCCTGTGCTTCATTACCAGCACGAGTATCAAGGCAGCCTTTCTCTGGCCGAATTCTATCCGCGGTCCCCCGCCAGGTTGTTCAAAGCTCGGTATGGAGATCAACGCCTGCGAGATGGACCGCATCAGTGTCCGCCTCCAAGGCAGCTTCAGACGCCGGATCAGACGCAGACGGGAATGCGGTGCCAGTGACACAGCGGCCGGTGACAGACGCCTCGCAATTGGCGAATATGGCCGAGGACAGCGTCAACAAGTTCCTCTCCGTCGACGGCATCCCGGCCAAGCAGCTGACCACTGCTGCCCTGCAGTCGTGTCTGCGAGCAGCCGCCGCGCTTCATCCCCAATTGAAGCGAGCAGAGGCGCAATACAGGGCCTCGGCCTCAAAATTGGTTTCCTTGGGAGCCGAACGGACGGGCGCCAGGATACCCGTTGACGCCAAGCTGACGGAGGCGACTCTTCGAATCTCCCACGCGGCATACGCCATTGTTGCGAACCCGAATGTCGAGATGACGCCCGAGTTCCTGGAGCTCTACGTCGCCATCCAAGCGCAGCTTGGCCAGCCAGAGTCACTGCCCGCTGTCTTTGAGATGTTTGCAAACAAGCCAAAGCCCGTCGTCAAGGATGGCCAGATTGCGTACGTGAAGCAGAATCCCAATGCGGCTGCTCGAGCCATTGAGCCCGCCATCGCAGACATGGCTCTGCAGACGGCGATTGACGCCAAGAGCCTGGACTCGGCTCTTGGAATCATCGAGTCTTCGTACTCCCTCCCTGCGTTTAAGCGCCAGAAGCTGATCAAGCACGGCACGGCGCCCGCTCTTGGCCTTGCCACCCTGCCGTTTGGCATCTTTGGTCTCTCGACGGGCTATGCCGCCTACTGGCAAAACACCATGGACATGAGCACTGCTACGGGAATTGCCGTTGCCGGCATCTCGGGCTACTTCCTTGTGGTTGGCTCTCTCGGTATGATTGCCAAGCTGAGCAACAAAGACCAGATGAAGCGAGTGACCTGGACGCCGGGAACGCCACTGCGATATCGATGGCTGAGAGAGGAGGAGAGAGCCGCTCTGGACAAGGTGGCATGTGCATGGGGTTTCAAGGAGCCTTGGAGACACGGTGAGGAGATGGGCCCGGAGTGGGAGGGCCTCAAGGAGTACATGGGATACAGACAGATGCTGCTTGACAGAGTTGAGTTTATGGAGGGCATGAGCTGATGGCTTTATGAGACGCCGTGTATATGAATGTGTAAAATAAATCTACTTGAGAATACAAAGAATACAAATGATTAACGTATTAGCTCCAGCATCTTGTGTGACTTTGGCTTTCGAAAGAATACCTTGCACAATAACCGCCAACACACTCATGATGATTTGCTTTCTCAGCAGGTGATGGAGCTTTATTCATCAAATTCATTGAGTTTCATACTTTTATTATATGCACCAATTTCAAACCCCAGATCTGAAAATCTCACACTTAACCTGCTGCGTATAAAAAAAAAGTCCACACTGTCAGCAGAACGAGGCCTTGGCCAAACCTGTCAATACTAGTGCATGAATCATGCCCCGTGTTGTTTACATGACGGCAGTCCCCTTGTTTTACTCAAGGTTGCCCTAATAATGATGACCACGGCAATTCTACCGGCTCATCCCAACAAGTCTTGCGCCCTAGGCATTTCAAAGGTAGCAGTACAAACGGTACAAAGCATACTAGTAAACGCCCACGAAAGAAAAAGCAAAGACGAAAAAGCGTCGCATGACAAACACCGGCCGTTTTGCTCCGACCTTCTCTTCTCTTTTTGTAGCATCTAAAATCGCTCGCCTCGTACATTTACATCAGCCCATACACTTGGAGCTGCTCCGGCTTACGGATCCTCGGCAAGCTAAATCTGATAGAACCTATGGGTGCGTGCATGGCTAATTTATGATCCCGGGAGCATCAAGGGGATCTGATTCCTGAGCCAGTGTGAAGATGGCTTTGGATAGCGCGTAACAAGATGCTGTGAAGCAAAACTCCACTCCGACATCATAATTTTTGGTTCACTATGTCAAGGCCTTGGGAGAGTTAAAAATGCCGTGAAGAAACATTGGCTACAATTTCACCTACTTGGGACCGATGCTTGCATGAGATGCACAGATTTGGGGGCCGTTTTCGTAGTAACGGGCACTAGAGACTGCTTATTCTGGGCGCAACCCAAGATCCGGCATCTTGGTTGCAAATACGGGGTGATTGGGGTCAATGCTACGCTGGATCGACTTGTTGGTTGAGGGTGCTTGCACCAGGAATCACGGGGCATAAGCACAGCTTTGTCTGCTTATTTCTCATCTTGTGTCTTCTTCCTTTTTCCCTTTAGCCGGTAGCCTTTACTCTCTCCTGTTATGACCCCATCCTTCTCTTCTCTTTTTGCATGTCCGAAGGGATGCAGGGCTTAACCTCTAGTCTTACTTACCTAACCTGGACATGTGCACATTCAACCAGCAAACTTGATACAGGCACCTAGGTGTTTATTTGTAACTCTTCGCAGCAGTATCTCTATTGTAGTTATAGCAGTGCGTTGTACAGAATCCATCAGCAGTCATCTAGGTAGTCATCACAATCAAATTCATTCAAGCAAACGGCACCTTTTTCGCTCAATACTTTGTAAGCGACGCCTTCTCAACTCCCCGCCGAAGAACCCTTACCTGGCCGTAACCCCCCAAAAAAAGGGGTGCAACAAAAACGGCCTTTCCCGATCCTCTTCTGCACACCATTCCATCGTTCTACTTTAGTCAAACTCGTCCTTGACGGGGCCAATTACACCGAAGAGAGAGAGAAAAAAAAAAAAAAAGAACAACCCCTGGCCAAACTCGTGGGAAACACACAAAAGAAAAATATTACAGGTAATAAAAAGGGGGGTGGAGGGGAACCACGAGACGAGCATGGGTCGGCCCATGCCGGATCAGCAATTTTTTTTTTGTTCGTCTCCTCTCTTTTTCTCGTTTCTTTTTGTTTCCCCTTGATATCGTTTTCTGCGCCAGAGTGGAGAGGGAGAGAGAGAGGATATGCGGCGAAGCGAGAGGGCGGGACTTTGTGGTGCCATTTGGTAGTTGTCGCGGATACAGTTCCGTGTGGATTATGCCTGTCAGTTTCTGTGTGAGCCATCATTAGACGGTTTACCGGAGACAGACTAAAAAGTAGAAATGTCGTGGCGAAGAAGAAAAAGGAAACATCAATACTAGCAGGATGCGCTTGCTGAATGGCCAAGTTCAACAACGTATTATCCATGGCGTTTTCTTTCTTTTTTCTTCATCTTTTATCCTCTTCTACAAGGATCCGTAAATACCGAGTGCACAGAGTCCGCATGGGCCGAGAACAACGAACCCCTGGCATCAAGGGCGCAATGTCTGCATAACGCTAGATCTGGGCATGAAGAATGGGAATGTTCTGGACTGCCAGGGATTAGTGATGTAGTTGTACTGTGTAAAAAGCAAATACACTGATATATGATAGAAAGGGTTGAATCATGTCTTGATTGGTATCTCTAATTAGACAAAGGAAAAAGAACAGGTGTATGTACAGTAAGGGCCTTGTCCCCCATGTCGTCATAAACGGTCTCCAAAACTCCAAAACGGAAGAATTGATACCGATGCAATATATACAAAAGAAAACAGAAATTGGAAAGTGGATGGAAAGAAGAAAAGAAAAGCCTTAGAGAGCCGGTCCCTACATAATGATCATGAGAAACAGTCCCCTAAAATAGCCAAAGATAACATGAGAAAACCGGCGTCTTTTTCCTCCGCTTTTTGTCAAATACTCCATCATCGCAAAAAAACAAAAAAAAAAAAAAAAAAAACATCATAACAGCCTTTTAATTTTTGTATGGCCCCGTTTCATACGACACTTCGTACTTTGTAGTCTTGCGAATCGCTCCATCCTGGTCGTCTGACGAGCCGTGCCTCTGCACTGACGTGAGAATAAACTCCTCACTCGTATCGTCGCTCTGGTGGGCGGCCACACTGCGGGTGATGTTATCTCCGCCTGGTCCAGTGTAGGGTTTCCAGCTTTGGCGGCGTGAGGGCGAAGTGGAGCGTTCATATCCGTATTTGTTGCGGCTCTCCGATCCCAGAGCGCCAGATGCTCCCGTAGAGCCCTTGGAAGGAATATTGGTGCCGAAAGTCTGGGGGAAGAGGAAGGCCAGGACGATACGGCACATGGGCAGGCAGGCACAGATAATGGCCACATTTTCTTCGATAATGGTCCACAGAGTCGAGGCAATGTCAACTGAAAAGCCCGTTAGAAAATATGAATTCTCAAGAAAAGGGGGGGGGGGGGGGGAAGCATCTCACAAGTCGTATCAGGGCTAGTGGTCGAGAAGTTGAGAGTAGTGGCACGCATGATGGATGTCACAGTCACACTACAGTTGGTTAGTTACATATATCCTGGAAGCAAATCAAGTCATTTCTCTCAGCAAAGGCAAAAAACTCACAAACTACCAAGAGCAAAGACAAACATCAAGGCCCTCTTCTGGCTAAGGGGCAGTTTGCTTGCCCAAATGGGCTGCATCGGCAGCAGCAAGATCAAAACGTCGGTGGCGATGGAGTAGCCGGCATTGGCGTACCAGTTTTGCGTCAGACTGACACATGTAGGATTGGACGACTTGTCCCAGGCTCCAGTGATCGGGCTGCATTGGAAGATGGACACGAGCGTGCTGGCAATGGCGTATGCCGTAACGATGCCCAGCAGGACGTAGCAGCAGATGCGGAACCACCTCTGGACAAAGATTCGCAGATACAAGAGGACAATGGACATTTTGGTCAGGCCGATGGTGAGCTTGTAGAAGATTTGCGCAACGTAGAACCACTGTTCAACAAAAGGTTATGTGAGTTGTTTTCCACTGAAATGAAGGCGAGAAATCAACTCAGAGTCATACCTTGAGAGCAGCCAGCTTGTCTGGGACCGATAAGGTCTTGATATGTTTGCCAAACCCATAGTTACATGAAATCATCATGAATATTTGCACCAGCAGCGTACAAAACTAGTAGTTTCTAGATGTTAGTACCCCAACCCAATCACAAATATCCTTCCAAGGGACAGAGGAATGACGGGAGATGCCATACAAATGACACTAAAACTGTGTAATCGTCCCATCCCAGCCCTGTTCTCCTGTAGATACGATTCCAGAATCTGATGGCGACAAAGATGGGTGTCACGGCGAAGAAGACGATGCTCGGGATTCGAACGAGGTCGGCATGGCTGGCAGCCGCTTCATCTGGAGACAAAAGACCAGGCATTTCTCGGGTCTGTTGGTCGTGTACGATCAAAGTGTCCCCCGGCAGTTGGCAGAGCAAGAACGGCGCAAAAGCCGGAAGGATGAAAGGAAATACCAGATTATCGGAGGGGACGGTGTGAACATGGGGGACAGCCTTCCCTATATCTTCTTCTTCCCCGGGTGGCTGAGTGGGCTCACGATTTACTAAATAGGCAGAGACGGGAAGCAAAGGATGGAGAAGAAGTGGGAGGAACAGAAACGTAGCACGATTCTGTGCATATGCTTCATCGAGAAAAAAGCCAGCTAACGGAAACGACCGAGGGCATTACGGTACGGGCCAGGACACACAAGTTTTTAGCCTCGCAAAGAAACTACGGCTAACAGAGTTTGGCTCTCGCGTCTAACAGAAGCTGCATGGCCGAAATGAAGTGCAGCTTGGGATGGCAAAGCCAGTTAGGCGGTTTCATCAGCAGCGCCGAGGAAAAGAGTGGGCTTGGATGACACCAAACAAGGACCTTGTCAAAGGGCCGCGATAATGGCCCTGCCACTCCTCTCTGGTGCATGGTTCAGGTAAAGAGAGCGAGGAGAGGAGAGCTGAGTTGAGTGTTTGTTTTCCACGGGCTGCAAGGGCAATGCGTGAGTGGACATGGGTCTTGACGTTGGTCTGGACGAAAGTGGAATGAGAACGAGGACCCCAAGCAGGAGGAGAATATTGGCAACATACAGCACTGTACTTGCATGTACTGGACTAGCAATCGTCTCCGCATAGACATGCCATTCACAAGTTGCACGGCTTGTCTCGTGCTTGGCGCTGATTCCACCCTGGCCGTGGACTTTAGCCTGTTGCCAGCTTCTTTTCTATATCGGCTGCCGGGCCTTTGCGAGAGGCGGTACATGGCAAGTTAGTTGTGCTTCATATCGATTCCAGTCAAGGAAGCAAATCCTTCAAAACAAAAAGAAAAGCAACGCCAAAACACCAAAAATACGAGAGGCCTTTTCCGCAGTTCAGACCAGGACCCAGCACGGAAAGCCAGCGCTTCTCCCCGGCGGCATCGTTGTTTGTCTTGCAGCTAAGAAGATTTAGCTGCCAAAAGCCAATGTCCGTTTGGTGGAGACGATACAGGATGCGCCACCACCCGAGAGGGCCGAAAAAGGGCATGGCCAGGGCTAAGCCTAGAATGGATTAGCCCAGAGCTGCCGACGGGACGGGATGGAGAGAATCAGGAAAGCGCTTCCAGTGTTTGGTGGGGACCTGCCGTGAAAAAGAAGGGAAAAAAAGGTACCTTGTCGTTCTGCTTCATTCAGCGCGGACTTGAGACGGGCTAGCACAGCACTTGTTCTTTTTTTCGTTTCTTTTTACAGCCTGCGTTACATGACATGACGCTACGGAAAGTCTCTTTAGATTGTTTGTAGAAAAGTGGATAGGAAGGATTCAGAGAGGTTTTCAGCTGAGGACGCTATTTCACTTTTTTTTTTTTTTTTTTTTTGTTCCCGAGAGCCGGTCTATCTTTGTTCACATAGGTACAGGAAGATGGAGTTGTGAAATTACTGGTATTGTTTCCGTTTGTGTCTACAAAAAAGTCACGGTATTACATGCGCAATCAAATATTAATCGTAAACAGCCGAACCCCGGAGCGGAATATTAAATACGAAGCAGACTATAAGTAGACACATGGCATGGCATGGGGGAGGCTGTGCATGCTGATTATCCTGCAGAAAAGACGGGAAACCAACATCTGCGATCGCCATGAGTTGGATGCTTACCTACTGCAATGCTACTCTAATTTGAACAATGGTACCTATCCAGGTTCTTTGAGATGTAAGTAGAAGCGTGAATCGTCGGGTTGAACCCTCCTTGCTCTTGGGATATATTCACATGCATCTTTGCTCGTTTCAGCCCTCTCCATCTACGATATATCAAAGGGTCGCAGTGGATACTTGTAGCCTATCTCGTTGGCTCACAATGTCAAAAGGCAATGAGGCATCCGTCTTTTTCATTTCCCGCATTGTAAATATTTGTGTTGCGCCTGTCAAATCTGTGTCCATACAATCGGTCCCTGACATGCGCCGATCTATCGTCGGAAACGGGCAAGATCTGCGCGATAGGCACGCTGAGCATCCACCATTTATCCAAAGGACCGAAAAAGAAGAGAAGAATGAATGAGAATCAAACAGAAATAGCTGTAGCACAAATTGTCAGACTTGAGCAAGCTGAGGCTACTCTTGAACAATTTTTGTCGCTTTTCGAATTATCGATTCTCACTGTTTTTGGCTCCAGGCTAACGGCCTCTTGGTCCACAACGGCGGCTTCAGTTCAAAAGCTGGCTGGGCGGGAGAGCCGTCAGCGATCTCCCGTGGATCACCCAGATCTCTCTTGAGTCAGTTTAAACTTTTGTGACGACGCTTGGGAAGACAAAACAAATCGAGTTGCGGCAGCAGAGCACGAGTTGTCGCAGCTTTCCGGCTCGTTTATTACCGACAAAGTGGAAGATATACCTATGTATATGCATTCCATACAAGATTTTCTCCCACCGAGTACAGAGCAGCACGCGGAAATACGTGTACTCCGAGTCGTAAGCACAGGCGAACCGCGGTACCTCAAGGTACTTTGGTCGCACACTGGGCCTCAGTGCCTCTCCACTACACGAAGTTCCCAAGCCGTACTAGCACGTTGCTAAGATAAAAGTCCAGGGCCTGCTCTTGACGCTAAAGAGGGCCGACGACATGTCGCCAATCTTAAACCCTGCTCCAACGTCGTCTCTTGCTCGCAGGACGAGGACTCCGGTCACTGGATTGGGTCAGGCCCGTCAGCACCAGAACCAAGCGCATGTCGCTGGTCCCGATTTCGGTGCTTCTGAGAGCGAGAGCGAGCGGAAGGGCGCCGAGAGAGAGAGAGAGAAGAGAAAAGTTGCTCTTCTCAAAGGCGATGGACGATACGACCTGTTCGTGCGGATGCGTGTCATGCATGGATCCAGCGCTGATCCTTCTGGGGAAGCGGGCGCAAGCAACCGATCGGACTCGATTCACGAGCAATGGAAGAAGATATAAGCTTGGTGTTTGACCACCTTTTCTCTCACCCCTTATCTGCTGCTATAGCTGCTGCAGCCCACGACAGTCGCCGTGCTCCATCAAGAGTTGCAGCCACTTTTCCACCAGCTCGGCGGGGAGCTTCCCCTTTCTTAGAGCCGGTATCCCTATCAACTCTGTCACTCTTCCGACTACTCAAAGCTCATTATTGAGAGAAGAGAAAAAATGTGAAGCATAGCCAGTAGAGATCAAAGTGGTTTACCAAAACATCAAGTTGATTGAAAGTGGCCCGTGGCGCCATGTCTGCGGTGTGCCGTGAATGCCGCTTCGTGCCAAAACCCCTAGCCGCGACGAGTTTGCCGGCCCTGCCGCGCGGAATGGCTGTGGACACTACTCCAACTCCGAGCCCGTCAAGTCCACTTCCGTCGCATATTCGGGTCTTCTGCAAAAAGCCTCAACTGGGCAAGCGCGGCAGTCAAGCTAACTCGCATAAACGGGCAAAACATGCGCCTTTGCAGCAAGACAAGTATGGAACAAGACCCCCAAACAGCAGCGTGCTTGGAGAGCAGAACTGGCTGGTCCATTATGTTGTCATCGAAAAGAACAGATTTTTGAGCGACTGTGACATGAGAGCATCAAAATTGTCTTATTGTTGGCCATTGAAAAAACAAGCATAGGACAGTGTCTCTTCACCGAAACTATGGCCCTGTACTAGACGATTGCTGGCGAGGAGTGCTGATCAGAGACTAGAAGCAATAGTTTGCTTCCATTGTCTGATTATCTAAAATATCACATTTCAGTAGCATGGTTTTCCTTCCCATGGCCGCAAATTGAAGCCTTTAAGAAGATACGATGGACCCGGCGAGCTGGGAGCGTGCAAGGGAGGCCCAGAAAATATGCAGGAGTCACCTTTTCGCTCTCCATCGATTCGGTGGCATGACCTACCGGAAGACGGGAGAAGGTCACTCAACTGAAGCCAAGACGCTAGAAGACGCAAAATGCCAGTTCTTTGGATGGGACACGAGGTGCTAGTCCCTTCAGCTCGTGCGGTGAAGACGGCAAACTCGGCCGGGAAACGGAGCAAGGTAGGGAGTAATACTGGGACGAGGCCTGCATGATGTCTGAAAGGAGACGATGCTATCCCTAGTAGAGGTAGACGTAGGAGCAGCAATCCAGCAGACAATATTTGGACGTCATACGGAGAATAATGAGATGAATGAACCGGGGTGAGGATTCGAGTCTATGCCCATTGGCGATGGCCTTGAGTAAGTTGATTGGGCTCAATGGGGGTCTATTTAAATAGCCCCCTCGCTGAGCGAACCGCAAAGGGAAAAGTTGTAGCAGAAGTATGACGGAGAGGCTGAAGATGGAAAACGTGGTTGTGGTAATATCGTCTCCATGGCTTGATATTCCCGGGTGGATAGCACCATGCTGGACGTTTAGCGGATTGCTGCTACGCCCATGTCATGGTATTGCTGGCCATGCTCCGCGTAAAGCATTGGCGTTGTATTGCATTGTGTCTCTCTAGGCACAGACTTTGCATTGATGTGGCATAGATTCTCTCTTGATAATCTCTTGCTCGCTCTCTCCACTGAAGCGAATGCCGTTGGCTATAACACGCTGCGGCACCGCCTCGTGCCGGACCCGGTGCCGAACGGGAGACACAGCGCAAATAGGAAAATTAACCGGCCGTCCAGAAAGCCAGTGCGGCCAACTGCAGGTACCGTCACTGGTACCCCGGCGGTACCTTGCGCTAAACAAAAGAGAGAAAAGAACCTGTATTGGCTGCAGAGCTCGGCTGGGGCTGCCGCGGAGGAGCTGCAATCAAATGCAGACAAGAGTGCAGTGGCTGGAGTGCGCTAAAACGGGGGGAAGAAGCATTGGATCCTTACCGGGCTTGACTTTCAGCTGTTGGCCCTAGGATTAACTGGAGATTATGGGTGCAGTCCACCATGGCTGGATTTGATGAGCGCCCGCTGAGTTGAATAGATTGAGTAATAAGACACTGGCAGAAATACTGACTCTTCTTAGTAATGATCCTTGGAATTGGGGATTTTGGTCGTTGTGCGCTGGTACCTCGTGGCAACCTGCAGAGTACCTCCTCGGTGGACATGATGCCGACCCTGCACTTGCATGGGGACCGAAGCCTCATCGTCTACGAGCCCTTGTCCCGATGGCAACGAACCGAAGCCTTCTCCGCTCGCCATGCGCAGTCCATCGCCAATTCTTGTGCCTCCCCTGGCCTAGAGCTGGTGTAGTAGCAGTGGTAGTAGCAGAAACGGACTAACATGGCGACGTTTTCGTTTCATTTCTGGCTCTTCTTAAATGCGTCTCTCCCACCCTCCTTCACTGCGTGTCCTCCTCCCTCTGCTTGAGCTCACCTCCCTCCTCTCCCTCCTCTACGTCTTATACCCTCGCAGCCACAGCATCATGAAGTTCTCGACGCTCGCCTCGGGCCTCGTCTCGGCCGCCAGCCTCGCCGCCGCGCAGCTGCAGCTCGCCGCCAACGGCACAATCTCCAAGGGGCCCTTCCCGGCGGACCTCAACGGCTCCAACTTCACGTACCCGTGGCCCGTCAACGTCTTTTCCTTCCAGAGCCAGCAGCAGCAGCTGCAGATGGCCTTTATGGACGTCAAGCCCACCTGCGCGCCCAACGGCCAGACCGCCGTCGTGCTGCACGGCAAGAACTTCTGCGGCCCGACGTGGAACGACACCATCGTGGCCCTCGCCGGCGCGGGATACCGCGTCATTGCGCCCGACCAGGTGGGCTGGTGCAAGAGCTCCAAGCCGGACAACTACCAGTTCAGCCTCAACCAGCTGGCCTTCAACACGCGCGGCCTGCTCAACACGCTGGGCATCGGCAACATCACGCTCATCGGCCACTCGGTCGGCGGCATGCTCAGCACGCGCTTTGCGCTGCAGTACCCGCAGACGATTGACCGCCTGGTGCTGGTCGACCCCGTCGGCCTGGAGGACTATGTGGAAAAGGGCGTGCCGTACGTGTCCATCGACTACGACATCGCCGCCGAGGCCGCGCAGACGTTCGACGCCATCAAGGCCTACGAGCAGGCCATCTACTACGTCGGCCAGTGGCAGGACTCGTACACGGTCTGGGTCACGATGCTGACCAACATCTACTACGGCTCGCGGCGCGCGCAGTTCATCAAGAACCAGGGCCAGATCGTCGACATGGTGCTCACCTCGCCCGTGGCCCACTACTTTGGCGACATTGTGTCCAAGACGCTGCTCATCGTCGGCGACGAGGACCACGTCGCCATTGGCTCCAACTGGGCCTCGCCCGAGGTCGCCGCCACGCTGGGCCACTTCAACGTGCTGGGCCCGCAGGTCTGCGGCGAGATCCCCGACTGCACGCTGTACCAGTTCCCGACGCTGGGCCATGCGCCGCAGATTTCGGCCCCGTCCAACTTTACAAAGGTTGTGCTTGACTGGCTGAAGGAGTGAAGAGGAGGTGTTGAATGAGTGAGGATTTGGTAGAAATGGAGGCGTTGATGCCTTTTTTTAATGCACATGTATATATGGTATATATATCAATGAGCCTAATGACGATTTGTAGACTTGATTTATTGCTCTTGATATAATTGGTTATGAGAAAAGAAGCTCCATCTTCTTTCAATAAGCTATTTACTTCTCGTTTCAGTGTATTTGTATATATGAGCGTGTATGCGCATATCAAGGTGTATATGCTAAATTCAGTAGCAAACACTTGTACAAGATCAATCATCTCTTCTTTATATACTATAATCAGTCTGATTGGCTCTCTTGATAGATAAAAGTAGACGCATTGTTTTACAGCACCAATTGAAGCCTTCACTTCATCCCAACCTCTCTTTGTGACCTCATCTGAACATGTCCCTTTCAAGTCAACACCACCCATACTTCAACTCCCGTTCACTTTCACCACCTCACCACTCCCATTCAAAAACCCCCATCTTCATCCTCCTCATTTTTCTTTGTCTTCCCCCCCTTTCCATCTCTTTCATCTCCCCTTCATACAATCAGCTTCAACCAATATATACAAAAAAAAAACATCTCAACAACACCATCTTTCCTCAAACTCGCACCAAAATCCATCATGACTTCTCTCTTCCAACTCTCCCCCTTCCTGCTCCTCATCCTCCTCTACGGCCTCTGCCCGCAACACTTCCCCCCCTCGGCAGCAACAACCAGCTTCTTCATCCTCTACGCCATCGCCGCCCAGCTCATCATCCACCGCGCATCGACAATCTCCGTCCTGCACAGCCTCAGCATCATCCTCCTCAGCGCGGCGCACTTGGCCGTGGCGGCAATCTACACGCTCTATTATACAGTCCAGGCAGTCATGCGCGCGAGAAGCGCCCTCTTTGCGTATTTCGAGAGAGTGCACCGGCAGATTCACCAGTTGGCGAATTTAACAGGCATGAGACTCAATCGTGTGCCGGCGCCGACTTGCTTGACTCTTGGGCTGGATATCCTCCGCGACGATCAAAGTACCTTTTCGGAGACAACTTCGGCCTATTCTTCAAAAAACAATACAGTCCACGCCTCTCAATGGCGCTATAGAGAACTGTCGAGCAGCAGCTTCGTCCCTCCATCGTTCGAAACGCGCGGCTATCTGCCCTATCAGCCATATCCAATCGTCTGGTTCTTCCGCCACTTGTTTTACTTCACACGAGCCATTGTGCTATGCATTTATTCCACGCTTCTGTCGATATTCTTCACTGTAAAGTTCTTCCATAATACGACCATTGCGTCTGTTCGCTTCACAGGAGCCTGCTTCAAGTTTATGAAAAAGTACTTGCCCACATCATGGTATCTCGCAAAACTCAGCATTCGACAGTTTCCAACTTTTACCCTCTTCGCCATGCATCTTACTGTCACGATAATTGTACTGTCCTTGGGAGAGACGAACGCTCTGGGGCTGTGTATACTGATGGAACTATGGCTACTGTCACGGCTGGAGCGGTTATGATTTAACAACAAGCAATTCAAAGGGAAGGAGAGAAGAGAAAAATAAGGTTAGGAAAGTAAATCGAATTTGTTTTCATAAAGATATAAGCAATCTCATAAATTGACCACCTCCAAGTTGCGCTAGATGCTGTCCCTTTTACCATTTATACCTACTCATACATGATTTGATATCTTTGACCAGAAAGAAAAAAAAAGAATAGAAAGAATAGAAAAGAACAAAAAGGGAAAATGTTCATCGCCAGACCAGCCAGTACATAACAACGACACCGTTTAATTGGTAGTAATTCTGCGAACCCACAACGTGGTTGGTTCGTATTCTGCATCCTTTTCTTGGCGCTTGTACGCTCTGTGTAACTTCAAGCCCAAGTCGTACTCTTCATGCTGGATCTCAGCCAGCTCTTGCTTCAGCCCTTGTATCTTCTGTTTCTCAACCTCCCTCTTTCGAAGCACCTCCTCGCTGGCCATCAGGTTATCTCGAGGCATCAGCTCCGTCATCTGCTGGATGCTCTTGCTAATGTTGATCTTGCGGCGAGCCAATCCCGACAGAACAGCACTTAGTTGCGCGATTCTATCATTAGGCGAGGATGCTAGTTCTGGCGGCGCCGGAGGGAGTGGCTTGGACATTGACATTATGGAACTGCGACGCGATGATTCCATGTTGCTGACGGTCCGGCCGTGAGGGGCAGGCCCGCTGAGAGATGTCTCGCTCGAGACCGCAATTTGGTTGCCAGCGCCGTATGGGCTGGACATTTGCGCCCTTTGCTTAGGCATCGTTATTGTGTGGCTGGCAGAAGGAACATTATGAATTTCCCGCTTCGAAAACGGGCCTGGACGGGTCACGACAGGGACGGTAGAGTTTGTCATTGTAGGCATTTGTCCTTCAGAAGGCTGCTGGGGAGTGCCTGCATTTGAAGTAGCATAGGTCGTGACACTGAAACGCGAAGGGGGTTGCGTCCACGTTTCGCCGACATTGGTGCGCTGAGGCGCTGTTTCATAAGGTCCAGTACTGGTAGTAGTAGTAGTAGCGGCAGCAGCCGAGGCTCTCCGGGGAGGAGGATTTATGTAAGCCGGACTTGAATCTGATGGGTTAGCGGGTGGTGCTGGCTCGGCGTGATGGTTTTGCGCTGGTTTCCTCTTAATGATTCTCAGCGCTGTGGGAGTCAGTTCCGCAATTGAAGGCGACTGCGCACGAGCTGATTCCATAGATTGCGGCGTCGGGTACCTCTGGTTGGGAGGCGGCGTTGGAAGAGCATTGATGTTGTTGACATTCTGCGGCGTGAAACTAGACGGGTTCATACTTGTGTTCTCTGGCCTTTGCGCCCGCGCCGAGGGGAGAAGGTCGCGGTCTGCTATTGCCTGCTCACGCGGAGGCGTTTCTAGCTCAGAGGACGACTGAATAGACGGCAGCGGAGCTGATATGTTTCGAGGCCCATTGTAAGTGCGGCTGATGCGCTTGCTGCTTCTTCGTGGAATATGAACCGGCGCTTCACCTGGACCGCCCCGCGTTGGCCGGTCAGACAGATTCTCTGTCGGCGCTGAAGCTCCCTTTGTGAGAAATTTAAATCGTTGCGCAACTGAACTCTCGTTGACGGTAGGTAAGCGCATCTTGTTGCTCCGTGGCAAAGCGGCATGTGGCGCCGGCACGTCTGCCAGACCTCTTGGATTTTCAAAAGTCAAAGGCATGGGCTCCACAGGTGGTTGATAGGCTCTGTATTGATGCGTTTGAACGGGTCTATCAGTCATTTGCCGTGGCGTCGTGAAAGGCTGTTGTCTTTGATTTCCTTGAAAAGGATTTTCTCGAAAATCGGTGTCCTCGTCGTCAATGGGGGACACGGGCGCACTATGTGAGCAATGCTTTATTAGTATGTACGCCTATTGAGATGGCCAAGGCTGCTTGGAAATCACCAACCCCTCTGTGATCGAGCAAGGTAGCAAGAGGGACATGATTGAATACAGGTACGCATCACTTACTCGTACTTGAAGGCGCCGATTTCTGGTGAGCTCGGAGGTGAGATTTGGTCAAGCGCCGGGGGGCGCCGCCTCGAATACATGGCAGCCAGCTGGAAGTTGGGGGCCGGGGACGAAGAGTATCCGTCGCCGTCACTGGTATAGTTGGATTCTGAATCGGTGACGATCTGAGGCTCTGGATTCGCCGATGCAGCGAGGGACCAGGTCGAATCCTTGGAGTATTGTTGCAAAAGCCGTCTGGGGTTCCGCGGCGGCGGCTCAAAGCCAGGGTGCGATAATGACGCTGCGCGGTCAGCGAGATCGTCTGTTGAGATTCTAAGATTGGAGAAGAACGACGTCAGCCCGGGTTCGCTCGAGGGCTATTTCAAGCAAACGGCTAATACCAGCACTACTGATATCATAGCGCAACGAACAATGGCGGCAGGCAGTGCAGATAGCGCGGGAATAGCATCATGCGACCAAGACGGATTCTTTCGAGGGAAAACAAAAAGCCCGATGCAGAAGGGCACGGCGCCTTGTTTTTCCTCTGTCGTTCCTTGTTTGACGCGCATCTGCTGGAGGCTGTGCCCTCAACAAGCGACCGGTATGTGCCTCTGGGAGGGAGGGCAGATAAATAGACGCTGGCGAATGAGGCGGCGACGTGAACTGGAGGTATGGTTCCAGCGCAGGATGCCTTACAGCGTGCAAGTACAAGTACCGTGCATGACGCAGCCATCGCCACCAATTGTGTGTACAGCCAAGTACAAGTAGACGAGAAAACAGGAAGAACATCAGCCAAATCGCAATGTACGTACATTCCAGTGTGGAGAGCCGATGTGACGCTGGCGCTCGGAGCATCAGCCTGTGGGCGCTGCGGTCTTTGCGGCGCTGCAGCGGTGTTTGCGACGTCGATGCCCAGCGCATTCGCAGGCCCGTCGGCGTTGATTTGGTAAAAGGTCGAGGATGAAGTCGTCGTCGAAATCGTGGTCCACGACATGGGCGTAGCAGCGACGCTCGCGTGCTTGTCAGCGCCGGGGCGGTTGTTGCAGCTCGCTGTGCTCGTGCTGCTAAGGCCTGCAGTGCCTGTAAGATGACGGCGATGCATCCTGTCCAGACCCGCCGTGGCAGAGGCTCGGGCGCGGTCCCACATGGCTCGGTAGGCTGCTCTAGGGGGATATTTTTGGCAGCTGTAGGGGTTGCGCCCCAGCAAACTTTAGCGGGACGGCCGTGCTTTATGTTCAACCAGTATCAGTGCGGGTGGTGCTGCAAGGTTGGCTGCTACTGCTGCTACTGCTGCTGCTGCTTTGCGGTGTTGCTCTGCTTCTGCGGGAGTAGCTGGTCGTTCACGGGCGCTGCGTCAAACAGGTCTCAGCGTGTCGAAGCCGTTTCCAGAGCGAGAGGAAAGCGAGGAATGTGTAGGACTGCGTGTTTTGGTCGGTAGGTCCAAGGATCGGCAGCCGGAAAAGAAACCAAAAGAAGAAGAAAAACAAGAAAAGAAAAGGTCGAAAGCAATTGGGCGAGGAGAGCGAGTCATCAAGATGGAACAAAAAAGGAAATTAAGGAAATTGAGTTTGCAGGTAGGTTGGCAGGTAAGAGGTGGGTGGTGGTGAATATGCGCAGCAGGTCAAACGAAGCTGCTCAACTCTTTTGTACTTGATGCAGCCCTCTCGCAAACACTTCCTGTTCTCTCCACGGCACCGAGATCTTCGCAATGCCAAAAAGTGCGCGCGCAAACAAAAATAAACAGCTCTGCTTCTTCCTTTCTTAGCAACGAGCGAAGAATAAGAAGAAATCAGCAAGAGCGATCTTCATCTGCTGCTCATTCCTAGTGCTGAGATTCCTCGACCCGGAATAAGCCCCACGCCTTTTTTCTATTTTTCTTTTTTGGCGCAGGAGGCTTCTTCTGTTTCCTAGTGACATTAGCGGGCGGTCCTCGTCCACCAACCAATTGGCGCTCTCCAGCTGCAGCCAGGCACCGTTACAGACACGTTTCGGCGCCAATTGAGTGGCTGTTGGACATTTCAATGCCGTGCAAGTTGCTGCTGTGGCGCGGCCATTTCACCAGATTCAACATTAATCCGCGTTGCATGCACTCTGCCGTGATTGCGGGATGCGCCACCTGTTTGGGTCCGCGGCTGTTACTACTAGTAGTATTCTGAATGAGATTGAACCGCCGAGAAGCTCCACGGCGGGATTTTCTCTTCTTCTTCTTTTGAACCCCTGCATATTGCAGATGCTTTTGCAGTCTCCGGACGGCTATCGCAGGCGGACTGGCTGGTCGAGAGACTCGAATGTCTGTCACGCGATTTCGAGCCGCCGGCCATGGACAAGGGACTGGACAAACAGGCCACGCCCGCTCCAGCCTCATGATTCTAGATTCTACTGCGCTTAATTTTGCTCAGGATTGATTCATCCATTCGTTTCTAGCATCAAGTATCGATGACATGTGTGTTGATCACTGAGTGGACTCGCCGAGTGGTTCCTATCCGCTGTGACGCATTGTGATGCGATCGACTATGCCAGCAACAATATTCTCTCGAGCCGCTCCACCATCTAATCGAAACACCGATTCGGAGCAAGCCCGGGGCACAGATCGGTGGCTCCCCGTCAATCTTATTCACAGAGCCGGTCTCCGTCTATTCTTGGCGCCATTCCCAATCATTTCCCACAAAGTGACGGCGCCTGTTTCATGTCCTAGTGCCTTACCTCAGATTGCCAGGGTCTGCCAACTCGGCTTCGATTTTCGTAGATTTGGCCACGCCTTCCAGAAGGGGGCAACAGAGCGCATTCAGTTAGTAAGTGTTCCCACTTATCTTAACCAACCAGTCCATGTCTTGTGGAAAGTATCATAAAGGATTGTGTTGCTGTGAAGAGGCCTACACCAAGGAGAGGCTGTGTTTATATGACCTGAGGGGAGATTAAAAATGCTGTGAAGACGGTGATACTCAATTGAGCGTAGGGGTCTATCTAATAAGGGCCAGAAGGGGACAACAGAGTGCATTCGTTCAGTAAATGTTCCCACTTATCTTAACGAACCGGTACTTGCCTTGTGGAAAGTATCGTAAAGGGCTGAGATGTTGTGAAGATGCCGACACCAAGGAGAGGCTGTGTTTATATGACCTGAGGAGAGATTAAAAATGCTGTGAAGCGACTCACAGAAAAAGGAAAGAGGCTCAAGAAAGAATCAGCTGAAAAATCGCCTTGCCTTATATGACGTGCCACTTATGAGGGCCTTGGGGAGGATTAAAAATGCTGTGAAAGTTGAATAATAAGGCACCCAATAGGAATCTTTCAATCAGCTTCCTGCGTTTTCCGATATAAAGATGCATTGGCCTGATGGAGGTTCCCAACTGATAATACTTGGCCCCTCTCAGTAGAACCGCACACAACAACGACATTTCACTGAACAGGCCGTTTTGTTTTATGCGTTGACTAGCTAACCCACCAAGTGCCTTGCATGAAAGACGGGGTTTGCATTTTCTAGTGAGTAAAACTTTTGAAAGGATAAAACGTGGTCAGCATTTGAATCGCATAGACAATACCAAGTAAAAATTATAAACTCAAGGCACCATTGAAAGGAGTCGGGTACTTGGATATTGGGTACATGAGGTCCAATCTTTTCCATCCGTTTTTACCTACTAATATCTAATTCCGAAGAAGAAGAAAACGCATGCATCAGTTCAGTACACGGTTTCCGGATAAGGAGTCAGTATTGTCCAAACTCGCAGGTGAGTTGGCTGTTTACTGCTCAGTTACTATGTCCACTCCACCAACGCTGTATCTCCCTCATCCATCTTGGCTGCTCCAAGTCCATATTCCCACAGCTCTTTTCTCTTGGCCTCATCTTTCGCGTCTTTGGCAATCTGAAGGCTGGCCGTGCCATCCAAATGCAACGCCTCCCCTTTATATGCTTCAATGTCAAAGCAAGCCCTGATGACGTCCGCGGCGCTCTTCCACGAAGGTCGGAGCATGCCGTTGGGACTGAACCGCACGCTCATTTCAGACAGCACTGGCATTATAACCCTCGTGGCAACAACACCAATCAGGAAACCTGCTCTACGGCCGAAGCTGGTGGGCATGGTGCCCGGACTCAAGCTCACGACGGAGATATTGTTCAGTTTCGGGTCTTTGGCTATGCGATCTGCCAATTCTTCGCTGTAAGAGATTGTTCAGTGCTGACTTTTACGAGAAGGCTCAAGGATAAGGATGGGTGGGAAAAGCAGAGGCAATCATCATACCACAGCATCATAGCACACAGCTTGCTGGCCCCGTATCGACGGAATCCCGAGTTGATGCCGGGATCGTCTTCAGGACGACTCCATTGACCTTTGGCGAGAACTTCCGCGCCAGGAAACAATGTTGGGTATCCAGTATCTTTATACGCGCCCATCATCACATCATTGCGGGGATCATCGATACTTTAGGCGAAGGAACTTCCATGTCAGATTTCATTGCGCCGTTCGGCTCTTGTCTTTTGTCGACTTACTCGTGGGACCAGCTACTGACAAAGAGGACGCGCCCGTCCTGCGCATCCATGCTTTGCAAGAGAAGCAGCGACAGGAGCATGTTGGACAGAAAGTTGATGTGTCAGGTCATTTCGAGGCCATCTTCACTCATAACCTGGCTCGTACACTCCGTTGTCAATGACCGTACCAAAAAGTTGATTACCGACGTGTTTTCGTCAGCACCACTTACAAGATTGGCATAATCCGAATATCCAGCATTCAAGATGAGGGCGCGGATCTTGGGCAAGTCGCCTTTCGCAACTCTTGCATTGATATCTGCAGCCGTCTTCCTAACACTGGCCAGTGAGCCGAGGTCAATTTCTACCGTCTCGTGTCTATGATCCAACGGGGCGCGACGAAGGACCCCTTGGAGCGTCATCGCAGTGGCTGCTTTTCGCACCGCGTAGATGCCAGCATAGTTTGAGGCTAGATCGGGCGTGCTGATGATGTTTTGCACAATGGCAGACCCAAGTCCGCCGTTGGCTCCCGTGACCAAAATGGTTCCTTTTGACATGTTGATTCTTTCCTTTCTTCTATATTTCCGTTTCGTCTAATTAAGAGAAACCATCAAGCCTCATCCAAATGATTCTCCCGTTCTCATGTATAAACTGGAAAATCAAGGAGCTCACAAAGCGCAGTGAAACACAGTTAACAATTCTGTTGAAAGAGCCACAGCCAGAGATGGATCAATCTTATATGCAAGTCCTTGCCCGAACAGAACAAAATCCGCCCGGCTAATATCGGATAATTTCATATTCTCTATCTATCCCCAAATGAGAAGCTGGATGGCCAGAGTATATAGTCTTGTGGCTGGAAAAATGGAAATTCAGTACACGGTGATACAGAGTTAGCGTGAAATGAACAATTAATACGCAAGGTATAGTGCAATCTGTAACTTGTCAACTTGTTGATCTCAAACTTATTTCGAGATGCCCTACTATTGTACAGATCATCTTAAAAAATCTGTTTCACGCCTTCTAAAGCTCATTCTTAGACAATTCCAATCCGCTTGTCTGCTGGCAGTACATGTAGTAGCATAGCACATCCTAGATAGCCCCATTATAGGAGATTGAACATGTGTACTTCGATATTGCCAAATAATATCCCTTTTTCCCAGAAAAATCGTGAAAATAAATTAAGAAAAAAATCTTCTTTCGACTTTCATTTCATATCGCCATATCCCCACGTATTCACCCAAGGATACCCCAAAAAACTCCCGCTACCAACGCCGTAAACAACAAGACCAGATTAGGCGTATTTCGAAGCCCAAAACTCCTTCTCCCACCCCTATCGTGGTCACACCCAGTCCTCCCATCATCCGCTTGGCCGTTATTCGCAGTCGGCTCATACTCGATTGTGATGTAGTCCGTCAAGCCAAAAGGTTGGCAAATTGTCCCCGCCGCACACGGAAAAGCAATACTCCAACTACCGCTGGCGCACCGTTGGAATGAAGTTGTCATGCAGTTCCACTGGCCCTCTGGAGAGCACATCTGGCCAATAGGCTGTGCCATTGCTGGAGAAGGGTATGTGTCGTTTTGAGGTTCGTTGGCGGACGCGAGAGATATTCTCTCTAGAGTGGGCTCATCAAAAGTCAAGATTGGAGGAGCAGCTGCGGGAGATAAAAGTTCCCAGGGAGGCATCGCATATCCGTTGTCCTTCATCGTGGGAAAACTGTCGATGTTGTTTGATGAGCAACCAGAGCCGTGGTTTGATATCTTGCAAAAGGGTTCCCAACAACTGTAAATAGCGTCTCTGACCAAGTTCTTCTCCTAGTAGAATATTATGCCAAAAAGCTAAAGTAAACTTTCCAATACTTCTCAGATATTCTTAGAGAGTGGTAGTTTGATGAAACTCTTTTGCGCCGAAAAGTCAAAGATGGAAGACGTCAAGCGAATCGGTGCTAGGCGGGGTCCACTCAGACGTGGATGTGTGCTATTGGATCGTAAAGGTGAGAGTGAGAGAGATATTCTCCAATGCGCATCGTGTACCATGATTCATAGCTTGGTGATGTACATACACTGAATACTGAATGATGAATCACTGTATTCACAAAGCAACATGAGCCACCACGATCAAACGCGGACGTGTTGCTGTCATTTAGTAGCATTTGCTCGCTACCCTATTCACATGTCATCATCACAGACACGTATATGCAACCGAAAGATACATGACAAGTAACAAACAGAGTCAACGTTCTTACTTAATGAGTGCCCTGCATTTTGTTCCATCTACGTAGATGGCTCGTTGACTTCAGCCTCGTAAACCTTAGTTCCTTGCCTTCAAGCTTATTCCAAGCCCTTCCTATTAATATCCACCGCAGCCAAACTTGAAATGCAAATCTCCTCCTTGGACCTCTTCTCACCCTAAGAGAAAATCTAATTCTCAAAGAAGACCCAAAACCCTCACGCTTCTCTCCCCCAAGCCCCTGTAGCCGCGTCCCTCTCGTTGATGTTCCTCCACCGCGCCCTCCTCCTCACAAGCAGTATCCCAGCGGCGACCGCAATCATTATAAGCATGCCTCCGCCGATACAGGCTGCCACCCAGATGGTCTCTTTGTGCGCATCGCTGGTAGAAGGATGGAGGTAAGCTGCGTTCGTTTGAAGGGAAGACTCGAGATTTTGGGTGATTGGAGGATCCATTGTGTGGATGGCTGCTGCGGCCTTTTGAGCTTTGTCTGACGCGTAATGTCGCTGAGTATAAAAAGAATATTCTATAGGAATTCGGTTAGATACAGGGCCCGAGATGGATCATTCACTGGTCGCATATACTTATTCGCGTATGTTGTTCAATCCTGAGAGAGGAATCCTGCGGTACTATTCCCAAAATCACAGAAGTACAGAAATAATCTGCCCAATCTTTGAAAGAAAGGAAGAGCGGGAATGGCAGAGAAAATATTGCATTATTTAAGTCATTCTGAGGAATCCCCCAAAACCATCAAGCTAAATAGCAGAGGGTAAAGCTATTGTTACCTCACGGCTGCGGATTGTTGCATCGGATCCTTAATATTGTCCCCGGCGGGTGCTTGCATGCAGCTACTAGATACCCACGATGTGAGATCTTTGTTCCACCTGAACAAACACTCGTTAGAATTACAAGTACGAATGATTAGCGAGGTGCGGATTCATGGATATTTGTATCCGTGGCCACATGTACTGTGTAAAGCTTCATCAATTAGAGGAACTGCGACATCGCTACGGTATCATGCACTTGCCCGTTGCGCACGGCCAGATTCATCTCATCTCATATGCATTCTGTATTCATCTAATATCTCATGCGCTACATATAAAGCCGCAACGTATCCCAGCCCTTGGTTTGCGTTGCAGCCAGCCGGGAAAGGACCCCTGTCCTATTCACAGAAGAAAGTTTGCGCGCTGGCGGCAGCAGAAGCTCTCCCAGCAAACACTCAGATTCGGATTCCTCTTGGCAGCATTATCATTATCCAACCAAACAGATCAGGAAAAAGCAAATAAACAGTAAAAGAAAAAGGGGGAAAAAAAAGACAAAAATATCCAAAGACTTGAATGCGATGCACTTTTCCGCTTTGGATATTCTTGCTGTAACTTCTTGTGCCTCTGCATTGGAGGCGTGGTGTATGTCCCTTGAAGTTTAAATATGTACGATTGAAAGAGACGGGTGTCATCTTGCCGTTTGGTCGTGACTGAGAGCTTTCATCTCAAGAAGGCGGGTGATAGCGATGTATCACAGTCCCGTTCCAGGCAGGGTATGTAGTGTGCCATTGGCCATTGTCATGGGTGCTTGTGGAAGACGAGTAGATGGATGACCAGGTAGAAGCAGTGGTCGGCAGAGACGTTGTGGCTGCCCAAGACGAAGACACCACCGTAGAGCTAGACTGCCAAGCAATGCTTGTGGTCGTGTAGGATGTGGAGGCGCCTGTGGAGGCGACTAGTGTACTAGATGTGCCCGTTGTTTGAGGCGTCGATGAAGTGGTTTGTTGAGAGCTGCTCAGCGTAGTCGAAGTTGATGCCGTCGTATTTGAGCTGCTGTGTACTGATGAAGTGGTTGAGGCTGCCGTCGTCACAGCACTAGCCAGACTTGTGGTAGTTGTTGGCTTCGAGGTAGTTGTCACCTTTGAAGTGGTGGTGAGTTTCGAAGTTGTGTTGGCCTTTGAGGTTGTAGCAGCAGATGTCGAGGATGTCGAGGATTTCGAGGCAGTGGATTTAGACGTGGTGGGTTTCTTCGATTCTGTAGAAACCTTTGAAGTTGTAGCCGACTTTGAGACCTCGCTGACGACTGGCGGCAGAGGTGGTGGTGATGTCGTCGTCGTCGTCGACAGAGTAGTGGTGCTGCTGTGCTTGGTAGGAGTGACAAGAACCGTCTTGGTCACGTCTGCCGTGATATCGATAATCTCCACTGTCGTCGGAATCGTACGAGTAACAGTCGAAGCTTTAGCGGTCTCGGTAACCGTCTCGATCACCGTCACAGTTTCATCTCCGCTTCCACCACCGCCGCCGCCGCCGCCTCCTCCTCCTCCATTTCCACCGCCTGGCTGTCCTTCACCAGGTTCCAGAGGCACGACGGAATATTTAGGCTTCGCACGAGCGTCTACAGCTGCTGGGACGCGGACGACCAGAGCTGGTGGAGGCAGCGCAGCTACAAAAGATAGGCATGTAGAGAGAGCAAGGATCAACGAGACGCCGCCAAGCATCTTGACGAAAAGCCTCTTCTCTTCTCAGGTCTCTAGATGGTTATAACGCAGGCATGCAGGGAAGCCAGAAGTGGTTAAGATGAGGAAGAGTGCAGAGCAGGATGATGCGCTTGATCGCTTAGCAGTTTGGCTTGACCCGAAGGAATTTGATAGGAGGAGAAGGGAAAAAGAGTGACATTTTGCCGGGTTTCTTTCGAATGGCTGGTGGCTGGTAAATCCGGAGGTTGGCGACTCGGGATCGGGCCGCCAAATCGACAGCGCCAGGGGGTGGGAAAGTAAGCCGGCGGGGCATGGAGCGCTGGCCCGTTGATGTTTTGGGGAGCTCAGAGCACTAAGATGCCCGGGTCTAGCTGTTGGCGGCAGCTGCAAGGGCGTTGAGGCTGAGCCGCCACCAGCCACCAACCGTCCCTCTGCATCTTTACTTTACGCGTTCTTTGTTTCTTCTTGTGCTGTTCTTTGTTCTTTGGTCCCTGTGGAGTGAACCTTGTTTTTTCACGGCAGTATAAACCATCCGATGCAACCCTGCATGCAAAAGAAATAAGAAACGCTCCGTAGTCGGCGTATCAGGCAGATCCCCACAGCCAGGGTCCTGCGCATGTTTAGTGCCGTGTAGGTACGATTTGAACTACAGCGCGTCTTGTCTGTGATATTCTTCCTTGATGATAGTTGCGATAAAAAGCTTCCTTGATTTGGAGGAACAATAACAGGTCCCGGCTGTGGCGTAAGCTGCCACCACGTTGCGCAATACTTGTGGCGCTGTGCCGCCACAGCGCCTCGCGGGTACATGTTCCAAAGCTGGTATCATTGAGCACTTGCGCACAGCTATGCTGGGAGACGCTGGTGGCCAAGAATGCCCCTACGTCAATATGACAAGGCAAAATCAGTCAAAGGCCGAGTACGTAGGTAGTAAGCTGATGTGATTGACAGCGGCAGCGCTGGTGATGGATTAATGTGCAGAGAGTTTGAGCTATTGTTTGATGTCACCATAGTCGCCCGTGTAGATGCATCAGTATCAATCCCAATCACATGGATTCTTGGCAACGCCTAGATATCGGTAACATGGGGAAACTTGACTTGTTTTTAAAGTTTGGAATACTGTGGTTAATCCTACAGCTTACTATTCATGAAATAACACCATCGATTGCCATGAACTGACTTGATTTGGCATCGGCGTCGCTGCGCCATTCGCCCTGTGGCGCCAGCAACATGGCTCATTAAAGCCATGACGTCCCACGGACTCGGCACAGCCACTCCAGCCCGCCAATCAGCGCCTCTGCCTCTCCAGGGGCGCTACGTTATGCTCACGCAAGGCAGATCTTGCGAACAAGCTCGTGGATCCAGGTCTCGGCTAGTTCAGCGTCAAATGCTACGACAAGTCTTTGTACAGCCTACTTGTTAGTGGCATGGAATACTGCCATCTCTGCTAGCTGAGACCAGTACAAGTACGCCGTCTTAGTTAGTGGAGGGAAGGCAGCTACATAACAAGCCTTTCACCCCATCCGCTTCTTCTTGCTTTTCGCTTCTGCATAGCACGACGTCACCCTGCAAATTCACTCTTGCGCATCCTTCACAGAGCCCGCCGCGCAGAACCAGTCGCTATATTATGTCTTACCAAGGATATGGCCAGCAGCCATACGGCCGTAAGTTGACCCTCTCGTGAGATTTTTCAGCCAAATGAGCAAGCGCTTGTTGTTGGCTTGCACTGCTGCAGCCTTGCTGCCCCCGCGCCACCTCGGTCGATAATCTGACGCATCGCAGAGCCGCCTCAAGGCTACGGCCAATACCCCCCTCCTCAGCAGGGCCAATATCCTCCTCAGCAAGGCCACTACCCGCCTCCTCAGGGCCAGTATCCTCCGCAACAGGGCCAGTATCCTCCCCCTCAGCAGGGAGGCTATTATCAGCAGCCTCCGCCAGGCCAATATCCCCCGCAACAAGCGCCATACGGACAGCCGCCGCCTCAGCAGTACGGAGCGCCTCCTCCACATTCACCACAGCCCTACGGAGCTCCCCCCGGCCAGTACGGCGCTCCTCCTCCCCAGCAAGGGGGATATTATGGTGCTCCCCCTCCCGCGCCGTATGGAGCGCCTCCAGCGCAGGCCGCGCCGCCTACGCCGCCTTCATTGGGCTACGGCGCACCGCAAATCATCCAGTGGGATGGCACCCAAGATGCCCAGGCTTTGCGCGGTGCCATGAAGGGCTTCGGAACAGACGAAAAGGTGCTGATTAACATCCTGTCAAGAAAAGACCCGCTCCAGATTGAGGTGCTGCGGACAGCTTTTGAGCGCCAATTCAAGCGCAGCCTAGTAGAAGACATCAAAAAGGAGACGAGAAGCTGGTTCGAATATGGCCTCGTTCAACTTGCGCGCGGTCCGTTGATGGCTGATGTCCACAACCTGTACGATGCCATGTCGGGCCCAGGGACCAAGGAGATCGTCTTGAACGATATCCTCCTCTCGAGGTCCAACGCCGATCTGCATGCCATTAAAAGCGCTTACCAGCGAACTTTCCGACGGAGCTTGGAGTCCGATGTCAAGGGTGAACTGAGCTTCAAAACGGAAAGGATGTTCTTGATAGTTTTGGCAGCCAACAGGGCCGAAGACTCAGCCCCAGTCATTCCACAGCAGGTCGAGCAAGATGTCATGAGTATCTACAAGGCGACCGAAGGCAAAGTTGGAACAGATGAGATTCTTGTTTGCAGTATTTTCGCAAACAGAAATGACAACCAGATCCGAGCCATCGCCCATACTTATAAGCAAAAGTTCAACCGCAGCTTGGAATCTGTCATCGACGGTGTAAGTTCTATCGTTCCGCAACATCACTGTAAGCATGGACTAATATTATCAAGCAGGAGTTCTCTGGTCATATGAAAGAAGCTCTGTTGTTCCAGCTGCTCCATGCTGTTGACAAGTATATGCACGCCGCGATGCTCCTGGAGGATTCCATGGCAGGGCTGGGCACCAAGGACCATCTCCTCATTTCTCGGGTTGTCCGCTTCCACTGGGACAGACAGGAGCTTGCAAACGTCAAGGGAGCCTATCAGCAGCGATATAAGAAGAGCTTGACCAGCCGCATCAGAGGAGAAACGTCTGGCGATTATAGAACACTGATGGTCGCTTGCGTCGGAGAGTAAACGAAAATGAGCCTCACAGGCGTACTGATGGAATGATGACACCCTAATGAAGTTCCACCTAGATTCCTAATAACGGGCAGCCGGAGGGCACGGGTGGCGTTTGGATATTTGGTTTTTGGATTGTAGCAGCAAAAGCATGACCACCTACATGTACTAGATAGTGAGAGGTGGCCAAGCAGTGTATGACTAGTATTGCGAGAAGGAGAAGAATCTGATACCTCAATTTTACCTCTTTCAACTGCACGTTTGTTGTGCTTTTGTTGAGCATCAGCGATGGCTCAGACGTGCCCTCTGTGAAACAATTGAGCAATTTAAAGTCATTTGTTTTACAGATGCAGTGAATGAAGCTGCCAAACATGCACTGCCCGGCCAGGCCCTTGGCAGTGAATCAGAGCTGATGCTGAGGAGGGCTGATCTCGCAGCTGCCCCTTCCTTATTATCGCCATCTCAATAGTAGCGATCGAATCTGTTATTCTCGCAGTCAATAGTCCAACAGATGTTCTTTCCATTCTCATTTTGTCTCTGATCCATCAGAAAGTTTATATCCATCCATTTCCATCTGCTTTTGTTGCTCCTCACACAACACCACTATTATTTCACGGCGGCATGTGTTGGTAAATTTATTTCATCTTCCAACATCCTTCTCTCCCCAGGATCCTTACAGCGTTATATTTCTCACATCTACTTTACCCTACTTTCGTCGCACTCCATCACGATGAAAGTAGAAGAGACTAAAGACACCGCGATGCCTCTGGAGGCCATCCCCCACGCCGATGGCAACACGACACCAACTTCCTCTCCCATCAACCCCAAATGGAGCCCGAAGGATGACATCTGCGCCAAGTTGTTTGGCCCATGGGATAATCTACCTTGCTACGATCATATCAACGAGGTGCGGCTCCTGCGAGACCTCGATAACGCCATCGTCCTCTTCGAGCAGCAGATCAACCACAGTGATGTCGGCTTCCGTGCTTGGCAGACTCGACACATTCAGGCTATGGAAGCTGGCTTGGTTCCAGTTCCAGGATTTCCATGTCTTCAAACCGTTCGTAAGGGAAAGCGGATCTGGCACGACGATGCATGGGAGCAGCGATATTTCTATCTTGTTTATCAGCGACGCGAGATCATCATGGGACGCTTATCCAGACTCCTGGCACTGCCTCGATACGCGCAAGAAGACTTTTTTGGACAGCGACCAGCGTTTCCTCGAATGGTGCTGCAAGGCGGTAAGGGCCGTTACACTCGACATCTTTTGTTGCGATGCGACTGGTGGCAGTCTGTGGATGATCTCTTGAAAGCAGCGGCCGAGAGGTGGAAAATGGACGAAGCAGAGTTGAAGACTCGGTTCTGGGCAGACGACGATGCATCCAGCGTCGAGACACAAGCGAAAGAATGGGACGGTGTGATCAAAGAAGAGGACAGCGCTGATTTATGCGCTGGGGAAGACGTATTCAACCCGCTCGACTTTGCGGCAAACTGGGCTTCGGAGGCATGGTGGTATCTCCATGGTCGACGAACAACACTATGAAGATGGATTATGGTAGATGCCAAATATTTTTTTTGGCTATGCAAGGGGCGAGCAGTGAGAGATCATACGCACGAATATCGATATTCAACTCAATACCTATGCAATATAATGGTTCTCTACAAGTAATGTGCAACCAGTGACGAGTATCAAAGATTACATGGAATGTGCCAACTTGGATGAAATAGAAGCACAAGTGCTCCAAGTAGTAGGTTGAGGTAATGGATCATTTTCCAGAAATGTTTGAATTATTGCAATGTTGCCTACTTTAGGTGTCGGAGACTCTTTTAACACTGTAATGGAAGGTGTCATGAGGTCCGATGATAGATCAGATCCGAGATCCTTGTACAATTCTTGGGCGTCTGCCGAGATGTCCGCCGAGCGTATCTGCCAGCGTATCTGCTTGGTACCTGCATGGCCGAAATATACACATGAATTTGAGATATGAACAGCTGGACAGGAAGCGCGCTTTCGCTCTTCTGTCCCATAATTCACTCTTGAGTGCCAGTCTGTTCCGAAGTTGCCGGTGTAATAGATGTAGCCTGGCGCCACATGTAGTGTAACCCGCTTGTCTGAGTCCTTTTGCAGCGTAGTTTTGTAGATTGATTCATCTCACTGACACGAAGGCCCGTTTATAATAATTCGTCTCCAAGGTATATTGTAGTTGCTTCTTGTTTGCTTAATGCAAGCAACAAGAGTCACATGCCTTGTTACTGCATAGGTAAAGAGTCTTCTCTTGCTGATCCCACCCGTTACATTGCTTTTGTAATATAATCTATAAATACAATACAAAGTATCTACCCCTAGATACGGGGCTATCGGTGTACTTGTGGGATATGTACAACCTGTTGCTACAAGTATGCCACGGATATTAGGCAGGGGCATAACGGCCGCCCCCTGTAAGCTTAGACGGTCTTCGGACCTTGTTAGATAGCGCGCGCGAGGCGAAGAACGAGTGTTGATGTAGGGGAATTGGGCGACGACTCCATTTGGATAGTGTCCCCGTCCTATCTTGACTAAAGATCAAGTTGAAGTTTTGCATTTATTTGTAAACAAATTAGGCAGCAAGCCCATTTAGCAATATATCCGGATACGCCCTATATTTCCAGCTGACCAGTATTTTCTAAAAAGCTAGTATTCGGGGAAGCGAAGGATTCTGACTGCAGTGCTATTCATGGAGCTCTTCCTTTTTTTTCTTAGCTCCTTCTATATTCCTCTTTTCCCCCTTCAAGCTTGGGGGCAGGCTAGACGTTCACAAATATACTCGTGCCTCATGCTTACTTATACCTAGATTAGCGTAGGATTAGCACTTTTGAGTTTATCAGTACCAGTGTTGCCAAGAGTTGCACACGTGCGAATTAGAAGGATTCAGTTGTGTACTGGAGATTAAGCCCTTGGCAGAAGGAGTTGGCTAGTATCTACTGTAGATACGTAAGTATGAGTTGTTTCTTGGCTAGTGAAATCAGCGAGAGTTGTGCAGGATGATGCCGTCTCGATTGTGACAACCTAGTCTACTTGACAAGGCCCTTGGTTCTGTTAGCTCGCTTATATAGGTACAGCCATGATCAACCTCGCTAAGTTGTATAGTATTAGTTGTAATACAAGGCATGTCTGTATGAACGCTATATAGAGTTGGAGCACGAGACTTCAAGTACTATAAGTCGAATGTAGTATTCGTAAATAGTTCCCCGATAACTACACTAGTGGTATTTTAGATGGATCATAAACGTTGAAGAAACAAACGCTAGTGGCAGTAAAAACGCCAACTAGTCCTGCTAGCTGGGGAGCATGAAATAGGATCGTACGAGTATACGCAAACTAACAGTCTGCGGTTAGGTCTGATATCAGCTTTACAGTCAGTCGGTGAGCTTCCTAGTCGAGTAGGGTGCAAAATCTTTCTGCAAAGATACACTGCGCTAATCAGTAGTGGCTGTTATTAGAGGACAGGCTACTTTATTCCTCTACTGCTACCTAGAGTCAGGGGCTCGACTTCTTGCTTTGGCCTAAACATTAGACTGTATATAATAATTACAGCTACGGTTGCGCAACAAAGCTGCTAGGGCGCCAAAGGTTGCTATTAATAAACTGTTTGAAAGAAGGCTTTTGCGGTCAATGTCTGAATATAGTAATTTTCACAATATTTAGGTCTGCAGTATGTGCTACTAGCGCCCGATTGGGGATATCATCCTTAACAACACATACACACTATAGTGAATACGCAAGCAGTGTCTAGATTGAGTAATTTTTTCGGCAGTCATGTATAGTAAACTACTAGTAGTTACTACGTAGTTGTATCCACTAAGTACTAATAGCTATTTGTGTGTGTGCTTTATATTGGTCATCGGATACTTAGAGTACGCTGGTTCGGAGAGTTGTCAGTTGCTTTGTTTTGTAATCATATACTTTGGTCGATACCAGGATGTGTTGATGTGTCTGGGTCGTTGCGGGGCCGAGTGTCACTAAATTCCCGAGCCTTGCTGTGCTGCGTCTTTGTGAAGACAGGAACTAAAGAAACGCTGAGAAGAGAGTGGAAAAGACAAGAGGCCTGCAATATGCGATTATGGACAAAGCACCCCGCGATAGCCGTCTATCCGCATGGTACACGGACACTGAATTTATTACTAGAAAGAGTAACTGCGCACATCACTTGCAACAACAGTAACAACAGCAGTAATAGTAGTAGTAACAGACATGTTCTCCTACTTGTCAGCATGCCTCTAATTATTGCACATAACATGAAAATTATCATAACGCTTCAGGTATTGCGGCGTTTTGACCATACGATGGGCAAGATGGTCAGTTTGCTTTCGATGGGCTTCCTAGGCGGACTTCAACCGACTGCCTTGTAATACATGGCTTAGCAAAGGGAAAAACAAGCAAGGCCATTCATGCACTATGCTAATGTGCCAAGCGGATTGGGCGTCTCTGTTTGAGCAAAGTGTCTATTAGCACAGGACGGTGTACAGTTATTGTCATATATATCCTGTTTATAGTTAAGCAAGTCAATAAAGCAGACAGGGGATCTCATAAACAATCAGGATATGAATGCCTGCTATGTACACAAGGTAGGGCGCTGCCTACCAAGTGCTTGATATAGTAAATCACTAAAAAGTCAATTAAACCGGGATTTACTATACATAGCTATTGTGATTATATATATTATAGACTCGATTTATAATGCTAATCTATTATTAGTACAAATTTAAATTAAACCAAATTAAAACAGTGTATTATTATAAAATATTAAGTCAAGAATATAATATAACTGTTTATAAACTAGTAATATAAACCCTTACTTATGTAAAAGGCAAGTAATTTTAATTTGTTAAGACTTATATACTATAGGCTACAGAGTTTATGTTATCCTATTAGGTAATATACCTTAATACTATACACAAATACTTAATAATCAATAATACAACTAAATAAACCTTACTGCTTAAGGAACATTTAATTAAATTAGGCTGTTTTAAAGGGCGCTTTAAGTGGAACCGCTTTATTAGGTACCTAATCTACATGGGTAACTCATAATGATTGTCAATTCATTGCATGGCCTAGTAAATTAGACCCTAGCAGTATAAGATCCACACGGCTATGCCTATTACAGGTTTCATAAAGTCAAGGGAGATTATGCGCGAATCGCCAATGGTTACTGCTTCTCGGCGGAGCCAATTGCAGCCATCCCTGCTACTGGCGGCAAGTACTGCTCAAGTCTCTTAATTATAGGTAGCCTTGGCTCGCAGTGTCGAGCCACAACGGGCAAGCTAGCCGTTGGTTTGGGTTGCTACGCCGTGAACAACGAGGAAATTTTAGGTCGGGGCAACTTAGCTAAAGTTTTTGCGCGGCGGTGACTTTGGCAGCTGTCAAGCTAACTCTTCTCTCCTCTCTCTCCTCTCTCTCTCTCTTCCCCCATTCACTTTCCTTCCACCCGCTTCTTCCCTTTCCTTGTTTCACCTCACATCATACTCGATGATTGTGCAACATGGCAGCGAGTCCTCTTCTCATTACTTCTGACTTGCCGCAGAGCACGTCTCAAAGCCCGGTTGCGCCTCAAATAACCAAGGCGCGTGGGGACATCGCGTCGGCAACTTCGACCACCGCGGCTATGATAGCGAGCCTTTCACCTCCGGCTACGAGCCCTGCGAGCCGGCAGCTATCGATGGCTGGATCAAATACAATAGGCAGCTCCCTACCAGCCACTACGCCGGGGGCTTCTTCGATTGGAGCTGCCGCCAAAGTATCAGCGGAAGATAGTTCGGCACAGCGCCTCGTGCGCAGCGTGAGCGCTTCTACCAATGCTAGCAACGGAGTGGTGGATCACACGATGGAGCGAAGCGGTTCACATTACAGCCAGCCGCAGTATGGCGTGTCACCAAAGCCCTCGACGGTCCCGATGGCCGGCCACAATCACGGCGTTGCGATGCCCTACCAGCGAGGGCAGGAGCATCAGATTGGGCCCCATGGATCCTCTGCTCCGCCAAAAGCGATCCAAGATCAGGGAAAATCCAGCTCGTATACGGCGCTTTGGGAGCTGGTGCGGAAGACGGATCCGTCTGTGGTTCGACAAGTTGTCCGGGAGAACTGGCAAAAATGTTTGACCGGATCAGATTACCACTCTACCTTTGTTGTAAGTTATCTCGCGGGCACTGTCCTTTGGCCATTGAGACAAAAGCAGTTTGTGGTTATAGAATCTTTGGCTAGGCCTTTCTATTTTAAAATCTCTGGTGAGCCGTGTCCTAATAGATGGTATTAGTTAAACGCTACCATCACCTGCTCCCCCCCTGCGGTCCTGAGCCGCACTCTCTTTGACACCGGCAACAAAATCGTCAAAACATCAGGCCGTGAGATCGCCAAGCATTTTGGCACTGAGGATCTTGATCAGGTGTCAGACCTCTTTGGGCCTAAGCTTAGCGTACACTTTCAAGATCGGGTTATGGCTGCTCGTTTGGAGACCATCGGAGCGCAAGACCTCATCAACGCTCTGTCCAGAGCTGAGCGTCTTGGCTATCATATCAACGACATAGTCCAGAAGCAGCCTGGTCCAGGGGGCGAGACCGTTATTCCATCCATGTCGGCAGTCCCTCCGGTGCCACCACACAACAGCCGTGGCGGCGCACCCCCACCTGCAATGGCACCCTACCAAGTCCAAGGACCCCCGCAGCAGCCTCAGCCATATGGAAGCCAGATGAACAGCATGAGTCATCCAGCAGCCCAGCATTCTTCTCAGACGCCAAAACGGTCTGCTCCAGCCTTGCCGACATGGGCAAAACAATGCCGGATGTGCAAGCGCCCCTGTAGCAGCGAGGAGGCTCTCAGTTATGTAAGTGTCCTGCTCCTTGCAATAGCATTGGGAAACCCAATATTTGCTCACTATGAAATTAGCATTTGAAAAAGGCCAAGTGCCAAACTTCAAACCCTCACCCAATTCCGGTGGATGGGGATACATGCGTTCATTGCGGCTGCCATTTTGAAAGCCCTGGAGGTCTCTCCTATCACTCTAAGAGCGATGTCTGCGGAAAGCACAGCGAGGAAAAGAAAGCGCAAATAACTGCAATACTGCAATATACTGCCTGGGGCCAGCCAGCTAGTTCACACGGAGCCACGCCTCCGGCCATGATACCCAGTCACGTAGCTAATACGGTATACACTCCCGTCTGGAAGCAAAGGGCGGCTGGGCCCTCATCGACCCCAAGTCCTTCCGGGAACGACCCGTACGCAAAGCTTTCGGCGGCGGATCGAGTCAAGTTTGACGCGGAAATGAGAGGGGTCGATGAATACTATGGTAATCTGATGAGGGAAGCTTCTGCGAAGTTGCCAGCTGGACAGCGTGAAGAGGAACTCGCTAAGCTGAAAAACCGGTACAATACCAAGCAGAGTAACACTCGAAAGAAATACGGAATCCGGCTTCGCGAGAGGCGTGCCAATACCGATGTCGATCGCTCCTGGAACACCAGCGCCGCAAAGAGGGCCCGCGTTGATGATGGACCGGTAGGCCCTCCTCAGCCTATCCATAACGAACAGGCAGCAAATAATCAATCACATTTCCCCAGCGTCAAGGAATCTCCACGGATGAGAGTTCCCCTGTCTACGATGGGAGGGCTGTCGGCTTCCTCGGCTACTGCAGAACTCGTTGATCCCACATCATCTTCCACTCCAGTTAACGGCCAGTCTTCAGCACCAGCTACAGCTTCACTCGGAATCAACAAAGCTCCGCACGACAAACTACGAGGAACATCTGGCGACCCTATGCAAATCGATAGCAACGACTCTAGCAATAGTACGGACTCAGAAGACGTGGATATTCCGGCTAGAATTTAACAAAGGGCGTCCAATGAGCAGCCCCAAGTTGAGCGAAGAATCGTCAAGCTCAGTCATCAGACGATTTTGTGTATCCTCAAAAAACTGCGGGTCACTGTTGCGGCCGCGAATACGCATTATACACCGTTGCCCCAAGGCAATTTTTCAAGGGAGGGAGGAAACCAAACCGAAACAGCGACGTTGGTATACTGATCTGTCTCTGGAACCATTATCGATGCATTTTTACCAATCCTTTCAGTCTCTTATTTCTTCTTATTATTTCTTCTCATTTTTCCTTTTCTCCTTCTCATTCCGATTTGACATGAAATCTGGATTCTATAAGGCATATACAATGGCGCATGGGTGGCTACATTTTTTTTTTCTATTTTAACTTGTCTTTGCTTTTTCGTTCTGTCACTCTGCTGAAGCGCATGGCTTTGGGAAAGCCGTTACAATAGCCACAACAGCGGTTTGGAATTTATGACAGTAGAATATTCATTAGGGATACCCGGCTGGGGACAGGATTCATCTACTTGAAGCAGAACAATCTTGGGTGATGTCCCCTGGATTGGAACATTCTTGCGGTTTTAGCTGATATGCTTATATACAAATGATACCCGTGCATCGGATTACAATCCACCAAGTGGAATAAAAGTTGCGTCGCGAAATGCAGATATATCAGGCCATCCGACAATAGTACGCGTGGCACGTGCAAGATTGGTAGGTGTAATAAGCATACTAGTACTACTACTACTACTATTACGGTCTGTAGTGGTAAATGAAACGAGGCTTGCTTCCCACTACATGTGCCTGCTTGTACCGACTAATGCTACACCGTATTAACAACTTGGTGCGATGATGCGATTCCATGTGTCCTTTTGCGAATGCTGTTTCCATAACAGGAAGCGGCCCTAATGTAGTCAGTAGTGCTAGTGCAAGATGGCGGGACGCCGGGAGCAATACGACGCTAGCGAAGCAGATACGCGCAGCCGTTATGCAGAGACTATGGCGTCAAGGCAACTCGGCTTTCGACAACACTGAACAGTGTTTTATTTTCTAATCCGATATAGTGATATTGGGAAATGCTACGATGCAATCCTGCGTTACGGCGGTGAAGAGAGAGAATGCGGCCGACCCCAGGTACCTACTATGTATGCAAGTGTCTTTGACAATATCTCCCAAGCTCTGTGAAGCAGGTTATAAAAGCACAAGTTGTGCCAATAGTGTGCTTATGATGAATGATGACAGAGCTTGTTTTTCTCTCTTTTGTCTCTCTCCCTTTGTTCTCTAACCCCCACCCCCTTGTCTTTCGTGTAAACCCTCAGAGGAAAGTAGTAGTAGATAGTAAACTCGCGATCAATATTAGTACCTAGTAGTATAAAAACCTCAGATACTTATGGCGTGACCTTGAACTTTTTCTTCCAGCCACCATGTCACAGCGTTGATAAGGTCGCAGTGCCGGTGGAGCTACATGTACGTAAATGTAGGTACATGCCTTCGTAGGGGGCTTCAGCTGAAGGGAGGAATCCTGTCAGCTTAAATATCCGCATACCTAGTATAGTAGCATGTCTTCTCGAAAGAGTAGGCGAGCGCCGAAAAGAAGCTCCAGTTCGACATGCAAGGTACCAGGCTTGTGATTCTTTTGCACGTCGGCGCATTATTAGTGATACCTCCGGTGGGTACGTGTGTTTTCGCAAAGCAACGAATGCCGCTTTCAGGCCTTAGAGCACCTGGCGCACTGCCAAATGTGGCTTGCGGGAGCTGTCTTTAGTTGAAGGTACCTACGAGCTACTTTGAGCTGCACAGGGAAGTGCTAGAATCGTGCCTTCCTTAAAAGGAATTGCCTGCATCGACAACTAGATAATCCCGTGATCACCTGCTCTGCAGCGGCGAGGCTCTCCTTCCTCCCTCACTTGCTCTCTTCCTCACTTGCTCTTTTACTTTACGATTTATTTCATTTTCATTCTTCTCTCCCTTCTCCCCATTATTTTTGGCATTTTCTTCATTCATCGTCCTTCATTTGCGTTCGCTTTTATTACACCATCTTCTTTTTCTTGTGTGAGACTTTGTGACTTTATGGTGTACCACTCTTCATTTCAAATCATGCTGTACCACTTCAAACAAAATTACTAGAGCACAAAGGAATCTCCAAGAAGGAAGAGAGACAGAGAAACGGTCGGCCGCTTTCGACTAGCCGACCTCGTGATATCTCCGATCGCAAGCGAAAATGAAATGAGATGGTGGCGGCAGAAGAAGATAATTCGAGGGGAGGGATGGAGCTACGGTAAGGCTGGCCCGGGTCCCATCAAAAGGGCATCCCGACGATGCTAAGCCAATTGATGCGCACGGTAAGATTACGATGTTGCACACGCCGCGATGGTACCTCGAAAAAGTCTATTATATTAATAGCGAACCTTCAGATGGCACCCGAAACGCGCGCTGCCCAGGCGCAACAGAGCATCAGGGGCAATGCGGCTGACGGGGAACGGCTGAATAAACAGATTTGCCGCGAGGCTTCTAGAAAAGATGCGCCTCAAGGTTGTCGCGTCCAGCCTGCCAGGCGAGCTGCGGCGCTGGCGAAGCTGTTCAAACACAGAGTAGCAGGGGTGATGGATGCGATTGCGCACATGCCAACAGCTGCCTCTGGCTTTTCTTTAGCGGCAACGGGCCTTCGCGTTTGAGGTTGGTGGTCGCCCTGTGAAACGCGTCGGGGTGTGTGCGCTTCTCGTACGTTGCTCTCTGTCCTGCGCCCGCCACCTATTTTTACACCTGGAACAAGCGGGTGATCACGCGCTCCTCATCATGCTCGCCTTTGTCTTGTCAAGAGCATGGGTTGCCACGCCCAGCCCGAACCGGCTTCAAGCTCGGTCTGTGTGACCAATATTGCGAGGACGGTGACCAAGTGGTAATTTCATCGGTGTGGGAGGACGCTGCCAACAAACAGTTGCGACGGAGCGGCCAGCCTGATGCCACCCCAGATGGAGATTCCCCGAATGGGACAAGGCCAGGCTGCGTCGACTCACACACAGACAAGTACTTGTACACTCGCACTCCGCTACAAGTACCACCCCTGGAGGAAGGGGCCATCCTCTTCTCAGCATTGTTGTCGTTACACGATGGCCCTGCTGTTTGGAATAGTCGAGAGCAGCGCAGAGCATTGACGGCCATCGCCGAATGTATGGTGTTCTTTTTTCGGATCTGGGCATATATAGTGTTTCATACAGCCTTCCCGTCATCTGTTTGAAGGTTTCATGAGAAATGTTTCGTCATTCATTTTGGTGATTTTGCCCACACTTTGTAATTCCTGATCGCACATACATTAGATCGCTATATTCTCTCATTCATTCTCGTTACAACTCACAAGCTTTACCCAACAGGTTGCCACCCACACAGTGAGCAACCCGGAACAGGCTTACTGTTGCTTATTGATACCCCTTCCAGTTGACTTTGATCCTTCACCTCTTCCTTTTTGTTTTCTTTATTCTTTCTTCCCCGCCTTCTACATCCACCTACGATTGATTTGTTTTCCCTACTTTCTAATAACGCCTCTTCACAACTGCCATATCGAGATACAGCGGCGATCCGACAAAATATATCATGAGCGGCTCTTCTTTGAGGCCGAGTATGCCCAGTCGGCCAGTCTCAAATATAAGCCAAATATCTCTGAACAAAGCACTACCGCCAACGCCTGGGCCAGATGCTTCCGACCTAACCACTTTACTTATTGGCCCTAAAAAGCGCCGGTTCAAAGTCAACCACACGCTACTTTGCGAAGTCTCTCCATTTTTCCAGGAACGCCTTGAAGACCCTTTCCATTCAAAAACAGTCTCATTATGGCTTCCCAGTGAGTCGCCTGCCATGTTTGGCCTATTCGTTGAGTGGGTACACTCTCCAGAAACATTCAGCGACTATCTCGACAACGCAATCAGCTCGGCCTTCAAAAACAGAGAACAGGCGTCACTCGATATTCACTGGGCAATCATTCATCTCCATCTCTTTGCCTCGCAACTCGCTCTAAGCTATCTGCAAGATGCTTCTATGGATGCCATCCAGGATCTGTACCTCAAGTACGACTGGGATGTACCGCCGAAACTCATCATTTACCTTTACACCGAATGCGAGGCAGAGCCTTCGATCCGTCTTCGCCGCTGGGCAGTCGCCATGGTGGCATTTCGCCTGGCTGTTGGTAGCCAGCTCAAGTTTCCAGAACAAGACTCAACAAATCTGGACCCGACTCAGTTTTACGCACTTTTCCAATCACTTTCCGAGTTTTCGGCTGATTACGCCCAACATATCAAATACATGAAGGAATCTGGCCATGATGTTCAACTCAAGAACCCACAACTCCGTATGCCGGAAAATGAAGAGAGCAGCGATAGTTTTGGATTTCGACAATGTTCGTTTCATTCACATAGCTCCGAGGTTGGTGAGGGTCCATGCCCTCTCGCGGTTGTAAGGGCACCCAGCAGAGCTATGAGTGCTCCAGATCTACCAAGGCCGAGATGGGGAAAGCACAAACGTCAAGAGAGCAACAATCCGCCAAGATCTCTATTCTCAAGGAACAGCAACAGGGAAGACGAAGAAAGAACGGGTGGAGGCTTCTCACAATCGCTTAGCTCGATCGCGTCTAAGTTTTCATGATATGACCAAATGAGCGCTCTCTCTCTCTCTCTCTCGATGCGGCACAATAGTGTGTACACTGGCTTCTACATGATTCGCCCTTTTCCCCTTCTCCGCTTACGCAACGATGTGTAACGTATCATTTTATCACTCATGGGCGTCATAGGCGTCATCTTGCGCCTTGTTGCCCACTGGCCCTCTTTGGTCACAAGTTTTGGCCTGAGCGGGGAGTTTGGATCTGAAACAGTTCGGCACATCACGTTTCAGATGATTGGGTCATATGGCAGTTCGTGGTGCCATTCAACAGGCCATATCGGGTCAAGGGCTCAGCTAAAGGATTTTAATTTGTTTCATGCGCCTTAGCAGATCGAGAAGTTTAAAAAAGATGCTGGTGAGGATCTGAGGCGGCGGAGGGAAGGGAGGATAAAAGGATATCCGGAGCATTAGCTACGATCCTGCAAAATACGAATACCCCTGGCAGCGTCCTTGTGGAGGAATACTAATAATAGTAAATGAAGGCCCACAAAAGTGACGAATTTTTTTTTTTTTTTTGGAATTATGTCTTTTTTCATGTTGAATAATATCCCCATAGACCGTGTTTTTTTCTAGATTAGTCTAATGACCAAGTAAAAGTGTGTTGTACACTCGCTTAATTTCGTCTTTCCCGTCTCATTACTTGTACTAGAGGTGTGAGGTGTTATAATGAGTGTTCACTGTCTTACTGACGAAACTGTTGAATCAAAATGTTTTCTTCTTTTTTTTTTTAAAGAGCATACTGCTAGTGTCAAATATCGTAAAAAGCTGATAAGCTGAAACAGAAAACAAGACTATGCCCAAGACTGTAGTTAAAAGGTATTGCTCCTTGCAGGGAAAAAAAAAAGTAAGGAAAGAAACATGTAAGAAAAGAGACTAAAACACCAGCTAGCGCTCCCGTTACGAGGAGATTGAAAAATGAGAAAGCTGCCATGTACATCATATATCCTCATCAAACCATGTTCCGTATGTTTTTGTTGCGGTCCATAAAAAAAATCAAGTAAATGAGCAAAATTTTGACATTTCAACACCAAGGGGATGAGTTTGTAAAATGAAATAAAAAAAGTAAGAGGGTGTTAAGAGTAAAAAAGAAGAAAAGACAGGTATGGGTTTGTGTGTAAAGACACGCGCGCGCTCCTATAATCGCTTTTTGAAAGAGAAAAAAAAAAAAGAAACGGCTAAACAAGTCTGGTAGATGACATGAAAATCCAACGCTTTTTGTTGATGGAAGAATGAATGAAGGTGGTTTTTTTTTGGTCTTTTTTCCTTTTTCGTTGAGGGACAGAGTATGAATTACCCTCTCGTACTGTTTCAATATCGGGGTTCAGTATCCCATCATGTCGGTCGGACATAACGTCATTCATGATCGTGTAGAGAGAGAAGAAAAAAAAAAAAGCCAAGATAATTTTTTTTCAAGTGCTTCTCGTTTTTCTTCTTCTTCCATCGATATACGTGAACAGAAAATAAAAAAAATCTTTTTCGTCAAAGAGTGAGAGTTCGTCAAACTAAAGCGAGTGGATAAAATTTCCGTTTCGAGCAGATGGAATAATAACAAATCGGGTACTCTGATATATGGCGTTGGATATATCGGGTATCTAAAGGAAAAAGCAGGAAAAAGAACAAAGCTGAAACTAAAGTATTCCAAGAGAAAGACAGATGTTCATGATCGTAGACAGAAATCAAGAAAAGCAAGTCCGTTGCTGTCGTCTAAAAGAGGCATGCTGTGCAGAGTTGTAGCTATAAGCAGAATGCAAAAAGTCGTATGCAGGGTGCGTGTGTGTGAGATAGACCGTTGAGAGTAAATGTCGATATGGGAAGAAAAAGGCATTGTAAAAAAGCAAAAAAGGGATATCCTTTGTTCGATAAAATTGATAACGATGTGGAGAGTTCAAAACCATGCGCGCCAGGAGTGGAATAACAATTAGGCCGAGATTGCAGAAAAAGCAGGTGCAAGAGATTTAAAAAGGTGGTGACTGAGATCGCCGACGAGTCTGGTCGCGGCGGCGAAAGTCTTTGATCCGCTCGTCGATATAAGCAAGACGACTCCGCAGAGACGACCTGGTTGGTGTCGTCTCGGATTCTGCGGGCTGGGGCTGTTGCTGCTGCTGCTGTTGTTGGACAGGCTGGACAGTGGCAAACGGCCTACGGATGATGCTAAAGTCGATGGCGGAAATACTGTTGGACCGCCGGCCCGGGAAGGAGAAGCTCGTCTTCGCGGCGGAGAAAGGAGAGCCAAGTCTGGCGGGCTGGTCAGCGAGAGGCGGAGGGGCTAGCAGAGAGGATGAGGCGGCGATGATGCGTTTGTCGGTGCCGGGGCCGAGAGTGGGAGGAGACGAAGAGGAAGGTGGAGACGAGGCCGAGGCCGCGGGATGAGAAGCCTCAAAGAGCTCCTGTAGATTGGCCCGGGGGATGAAGAGGGCATCTCGCTGGGTCGCCGTGGTGGAGCTGAACTCGGCGGATGGCGTGGCTTGCGTTGAGACAGCCCCGTTGTTGGATGGATCAACCCAAAAGTCGGAGCCCAGACTGGGACGCTTCCTCCTGGGCTCGATGGCGGCGGAGAGCTGCTTGGACCTGCGCTTTTGGTTGTTGCCGCTACCGCGGCTGTTGCTGCTGTATTCGCTGCTGCTACTGTTGTTGTTGTTGTTGTTGTTGTTGTTGTTGTTGTTGTTGTTGTTGTTGTTGAAGCTGGTGTTGAAGCTGGCGTTATAGTTGTTGCTGCCATTGCTGCCGCCGCTGCTGCTGCTGCTGCTGATAATGGCCGGCGATCCCAAGCTACGCCGGCGAGTCCCCACAGAATTGCTAAGCCGCTGTGGCTCCAGGTTCATGCCGAAGCTGTCTGCAAGCGAGCTGGAAGAGCTGGGACCGTAGCTCCGAGCCACGAAGGGCGAGCCCAGCCGGGTAATGTCCGCACCGGCAGCTCCCGAGGCCAACGCAGGGACGGCCGCCGCCTCGATCAAGGCCGGCGGCGCGCAGAAGCCGAGAGGCGGCGGCTGCTGATCTCGCGATGCCGTCAGCTGCGCCAGCGGCCCCTGAGGCTGCATCGATTCACACGTGCTGACTGCCAGGGACAGGGCCATGTCGTTGCCAGAGAAGGCCGACTGCGAGCGGGACGGCGGCGCCAGGCGGCGGCTCCAGGCGCGATTGGCGGTCCTGCCAAACGGCGTCGGGTTACGGGCCCCCATGTAATGATGATTGCGTGCAGCGCTGGTCGCACTAGCTTTGCAGAGCTCTCGCAGATGGGCGCGAGTAGCCGCGCAGCTGTGTGGCCACTGCAGGTAAGACGTTGCCGGCGCCGTGGCCTTGGTGGGTGTCGCGCTTCCGCTGTGCTCGGCGGCGGCCTTCTTCATCTGCTGCGACTTGGGGCCTTTCCAGCTGCGCTTGGCTTCTCGGGCGACGCGCATACACACGCCATCAGGAGGAATCCCGCTCTTGCTGATGTGAAACGGGGTGACGTGGGGATCTTGCAAGTAGGTCATGTATACGGACCACAGATGCTGGGTCATTGATCTGGTCCAGGGTGCCTTGCGCGAGCGCCGCTTTGGGGCTGCTGCGGGAGCGGCGCGGATGGGCTTGATGGTCTTGTTCGCGTCTTCAATTGACACGTCGCCATCGAATTGGTCAATGTCGTCGGGATCAATGCTATACTGGCTGAAGCTGTCCGAATTGAGCGAGTACCGGCTGAAGAGCGAGCTGCTCGTCTGCGTCGACTGCGCCGTCGACGGCCGGCTGTCGCATTCCGGGCTCGACTCAAGGCTGCTGTAGGCCTGGTCGAGAGACCAGTCAGGGAATCGCTTTGGTGACAGCGACGGAACCGCGTGAGGCGCGGGAGTCTTGGGAAGCGAAGAGGGCCTTCCGCGAGGCAGGTCGCCTTCGTCGGAAAATTCAAAGTGGTGAGGGCTGTATCGAGGGAAATTGGTGCTGAGCGTATCCACCATGTCTTCGTCGACCAAACGAGGCTCTTCAATGCTTGGAATGGGGACGTCTGCTGTCGCGACGGACGCGAGGAATTGCTGAGTGGGAGCCTTGAGATTGGACGAGGGAGCCCGCCGTCTAAGTCGAAATCGCGGTCGCGGAGGAGAAGGGGGCCGAATGTCGGTGGTTGCAAAGGGCTCTGGGGTTTTGGGTCCGCGAGCAGCTTTGCGAGACCCCCGTGCCCGAGGCGCCATGAGCGATTGCAAGGGAGGCATCGTGGGAGCCGGCCAGGAGGTATGCGAACGAGTGGTGGTGATTTCTTTGCCAATCGCGCAAGTACAAGAACAACAGGAGGTCGCTTGAAAAAGGGAGGCGGGTCCAGCGCTAAATGTACGATGTCGCGCGCCCTCCAGTTGAGTCAAAAGCGCTGGAGCGTGATTGTGATGTCTTGGAAAGGTGGAATGGCGCCGTTCCAAGTTTCTCTTTTACTTTGTTTTGGTAGTTTTATATTGTGTTTTTTTCCCTTTTCCTTCTTCTCCTTCTTTGTCCAATTCTCCAGCGCAAATGATGTAGTCGAGAAGCGCGATCAGGTAGGGTCGGGGCCGGTTGGGCGAAAACAGAGAAGCCAATGGTCAGTCTGTCTGCGGCATGCGACTTGGTTTGCGAAATGCGCCCGAGCGAGGCGGCGCGGGATCCAGCGAGAGGTGAAGCTCGTCGTCCAGCAAGTATATCGTAGTCGTGCCGGTCTTGAGTATAAGACACTCAGCAGAAAGGGCGTGCCGTCGCGACTCAGCTGCTGCGCGCGATAGTGGGCGTCGGGTTCCTTTTCAGTGCCGTTGGGTTGTGCGGTGAAGCGAAAGCAAGGGGGGCGTCTACGAGACGAAGCGAAGCGAAGCGCCGTGGAAGCTTGCGCGCGATGCTAGGGCGGCAGTGACTCGACGATTCGATACATATGATCGCAATTCACGGCGACAGAGACTCGGCCTCTCCCCACGGGCGGGATCGCTCGCACAGAACGGCGCAAAGCAGAGCGACTTGGCTGGGATGGAGAAGAATGGGGGAGAGAAGCGGGCGGCAGGGTGGTGCTGGGTTTGTATGGCTTGTATGGGCGGCAGTGGGCTGCAGAGCGCCGTGCAGCGCATCGGCCAGCGCAGGGCCAGCGCAAAAGCCTCCCAGAGCCACTGCCAGAGCCAAAAACAGCCACTGCGAGCGCTCCGTCCAGCGGAGGCGGGCCCTTGGCTGGAGCCAGAGCGGCGGGTGGCGCGGACCCTCTCTTTCGGCGGACGTCTGCGGCAGAGGTACTGCTACCTGCGCGGGCTGCTGCGAGCAGGTACCTGCGTGGGTGCGGCGCCGGTCATGCTCGCTGGAACTGCTGCAGCTAATCAGCTAATCGGCGCTGAGTGACGCCGCCGCAGTAGCGCTGCATGTACCGGGTACCGTCGCTACCTGGATCTCCCAACTGAGCTAACAAGGACTCCATCCCAGGGATTCCAGTAAAAAATCGACTTGAGACGGGACGCACGCCCCCCCCGAGGACGTTGCCGGCGATTTTTGGGTCCAGCGGGAGCGATGCCACCGTCTCTAGATGCCTGTACAGTGCAATACCTACTTGTAGGACTTTGCAGATTGCAAGTCTTCAGGAGCTGGCAGGGTCTTTGCAGGATCAGGAGCAAGAGGGGAGAAGAGAGAAGAGAGAAGAGAGCGGAAAAGAGCCAGCCATCCCGATAACGCTGGATAAGGTGCTGGAGCTGCTGCTAGAATGGAGCAGCTGATCAGGACCCTGAGATGGGTTGATGGCTCCGGTGCGCTAGATGCTGCTCTAGAAGTGACGATGCTCGACTAGTATTAGTATCAGTACAACTACCTCCCTCCTACAGACAAGCATTCACCTGCAAATGCATTGGGCTGCTACCTCTATAGAACTTGATGTCTTCTTCCAAGTCAATTGCCGGAGGAGCACCGCCTACTTGCTTGTTCCAGTCCCAAGCGGAGAATGAGGTGCATGCCTGCACTTGCACGCGAAAGAATAGGAGACAATGAGAGTCCAGATCTACAAGGGCATGGCAAGCTGGCTGACCAGACCAGAGAACATCGGCCTCCAAGAGCGCACCCTTGCCCTTTGAAGACAGCACGATGGCCTGTCTTGTCACAAAGGACGCAGCTGATGGTATGAGACGAGGTGGTGGTAGGTGGTACTGCTACTTTCTTCATGTAGGCACTCAAAGGACTGCCGCTACGCGGAGCTATCCTCTCTAATACGCGCACTACTCCTGACGAAACGACTTGCCAATGCATCGTCAATCACACTTGAGCACGCTCTTCAACCGTGCCAGCGTACCGCATGCCCATGTGGCCGCTTCTCTGTGGCGTGAGCGGCGCCAGGAAGAGGCCTAGCGCAGGAAAAGGAGAGCAGCAATGGTGCGTGATGTGTTTTCTGCCAGGGGTCGACAGTGACGGCTTCTTTGCTCGTTGCTCCCAAGGCCTCGCAGTCCGCTGTCAACACTGTCACCGCACACACGCCCGCATGGAGCTGATCTTGGTTGGTCACCCATCCAGACAGTGCGGCGAGGGCGGTGGAGCTTGACTGAACAGCTCAATGGAGCACCAGAAGGGAAAAAAGCGTATGGAAAAGCGCGGCTGGCTCCTATTAGCTCCCACCGATGCAAAGCCTCTTTCGTCGTTTTGCTGCAGCCCCTCCCTCTGCTTTTGCCTCGTTGGGAGCTGTTCTAGCACAGACGGGAACAATCTAATGCCGCAAAAGTCTAGCAATGGCACGGCTCGGAAGGCCGTTCCCGGCAAAGAGGAGATGATGCGCAAAGGGAGCACGGAAGACTCCGGACGGGGGCTAGAATCCGTCGTGCTGCCGCGATGCTGGATGAACTGTGGATAAAGGCGAGGCAGGGCCGTCTACACAGCGAGCGAACACACTGTGAACTCTATATCTGGCTTACTGGCGACCCCATCCAGGCGCTGCAAAGCACATCGTCAAGGTGCTAATGCCACACGTGCCCCTCTTGCAGAAGCTCGTTGTGTCTCGTCGCCCAGCAGAAGTTTCATTCAACAAGCTTCCACGCTACGCGGCTGCTGAGACAAGAGCGTCTGTGAGACCAAACACAGCAGTCCAAGTCTTTATACTGTCCGTACAGCGAGAGACACACAGAGAGAGAGAGAAAGAGGCAGCAGACCATGAAAGGGGCTGGGAAAAGCGAAAAACAAAAAGTGACGAATACTTGACATTCGCCTCGACGGTTTTGCGATTGATCACTTCTCTCCCAGAACTTCTCACGGGGCTGTGCTCTCGTAAAGAGTACAGAGCACGAGCGTAAGAGCTGGGAAGAGGTAGGAAAAAGCTGAGCTCAGCGCGCTAAAATGGAAATTTCGCGAAAGAGACGCGTCTTAACGCGTTTGAGGGGAAACGGTGCGCATCATAAAAGCGGGGTAGCTCTCTTTAAGCGAGCAAGCTTCGAGCGATAGCCATTAAGAAACAAGCAGGTCACTAGCAAGCCTGATTGGATGGTTCCCATGCGGCAATTGGAGTCAATTGATGTAATGATTGCTTTGATTATCAATTTGAAATGATGATTTTCCAACCCAAAGTCGTCACATTAGAGTCACATCTGCTATGCAAGAGCTTTCGGTCAATATGTACGATACAGATACGATGGGTCGAGCGTGTATATAAGAGACTGATGAGAGCGAGAGAAAAGAGGAGGCGGTAGCATGTACAAGTATGGCTGGCGGATATGAAGAACATGATTGGAGCATTATTGCTGCCAGTAGCAATCACGCACGTTGGACCCCTCCGAGTCACCAATGAGGCCGTGCCAGACATGTGGCGAGCTATTGGGCAGACAGTCCCTGATACGTCGTAAAGCGAAGAGACCCTGGCAGCAGCTTCGGATAGGCCAGCACGACTGTAAGAACAATGCCAGCAAAGGCATGGGATCGAGACTTGGGGGCTTGGCAGCAACAGCACAGAGTACAGAGTACATGTACGAAGCGCAGAGTGCTCATCAAGAGACGGGCCAGTCTCATTGGCTCAGCTGCAGCGGTGGCATATTGCACGTTATCACTGATACGAGTATGGCCAGGGAGTTGGATGCACAATAATATTCCCCTAGTAGTATGTAAATACTCATACAGAATAGCAGCCAATGCTCCCGAGTATGTACAGACTCAAGTTCTCATCTATGAAGGTCTTGGGCATCAATCCACGACTTCTGGCTGGGTACCAACATACCTAATACCGTTGGGCTAAAAAGATATCACCGGCACACTGCATATGGATAGTGATGTGCTCCATCCTTCTCAAAAGGGAAAGTGAACAACCATCAACTGGGCTCTCTTATATTGCATACCACCGGTTGCTTCTTTTATCCCTCTTCCTCCTCGTCAATTATAGGCAGTCTTTACTCGTTCAATCCCACCACCTTGACCTACCCTACGCTGTTCGACTCAACTCTGCTCGTTTGCCGCATCTCTCGCTTCTCCTCACCGGCTTGGTTGCAGCGTGCTGTTGCTGCCGCTGAGGGGCATCAGCACGCATATGTAGGCGAGAACAGCTCACATGCACTCTCCCCAAGGGACACCACCTTTGAGCGACGGCTTTTGCGTCCCGGCAGTGTGGGGGGGGGGGAAACATGAGCCCGGGATAATTGGTAGGCTCTGGGGGGAGGAGAGGAGAATAACACAACTTGTGCGCCATCCGCATTCTGCGCCTGTGGCTGGAGACGCGGTTGAATTGCACAAGAGTTTATAACTGGAGATGCATCTCAAGGCGAGTTCAGAGCATGCATTTGTCTCATGTAACCTCAGTGCAGGCGGCATCTAGGGACCGTGAAGCCGAACGAATGACGGCCGCGAGATGCTGCTCGACGACTTCCCCTTATGAAGGGCCATGCATGGCAGACATGTGTGAGATTGCATGGTACGTGGCGCGCAAGTGTCTCAGCCTTCTGATTCCCTGATTCCATCCAGTCCATTGTCCTCGCAGTAGTATTGCAGCCAGCTGCTGACACCTCTCTATACTCTATATATAGCTTGCCGCCAAAGTCGAACGAGAATCATGACGCTCCCGGACACGATGCAGTGCAGTTATGCAACTTTGCTTGAGAGACCGAGGCACACTAACCCCCGATGAGGCCATCGACCGAGAGGTGCAGCCAACTCGCACTTGGCGCGCTGCCCTTTGCTCGTCTGCCAAACACCAGCATGGCTGCTTGCTCTCCTCTCTCCTCTCTCATGCTCGTCCTGCGGCCTCCTCCCGGTGGTGGCCGCCGCCCAATCACTCTCGTCGGATCCAGGTCAGCCGCGTCCGCCTGGTGACAACCTCGCAGACGCCCGATCCACTCTGCTCCGTCATGATGCGGCAGACAGACGACATCGCAGGCATAAAAGGGTGGAGGGCGGCGTACGAGGTTATGTAGGGCGACGGCATGGACAGGACGACGCTGTTCCACGTATGCCTCTCTGTACAAGGACGGTGGCGGCGGCCATTGGCTGAGGCCGCAAGGGCTGTGGGTTATTCGACAGATGTCAGATCAAGTGCATGAGCTTTGCCTGTGAATACATATACGGTGGGGGGGCCTCGTTGGGCATTCATGCCTCTCCCCCGATTTTTGAACAAGAGAACCTTCTGCCAGACCAATTTCCCTCCGTCCCTCCCTCGCCACAGAAATCGTAATCCCCAAAGACTTCCAGCCGTCGAGTTAGCGGTTCTTCGAGGTCCGAGATCTGCCATCTCCCTGTTGCTAGCCGCCAAGGTACCCGGAGCCAGGCGCCTTGTTTTTTTCGGAGATTCGGATCCGTCCGCTAATCCACCGCCGAGATGGAGACCCCACGCGCCCAGCATGGATCAATTTGGATTTTTTGCCAACCAACTTCCTCCCAGCCCCAAGCTCCCGTCGCATTCGGCCTCAGACGACCGATCGACCCAGATCGTGCATTGAAAACACTTTTGTATTGTTTTTGTGACAGGTATTTTCGAAGCTAGTGGCTGTTGATTTTTTTTTTTTAATACCTTGGGTTGAGTAGCTGACTGGCCAGCAAGGCACCCAAAGCTTGGAGCAACGACTGCAGAGAGAGAGAAAAAAAAAAGTATCGAGTACAGTAAAGTGAGGCGGACGCCAATTACATCATGCCGGCCGCCAACACGGTGACGCTGGAGAATCTGGCCCAGAAGCTTCCCCAATGGCGTCCCGACGACCAGAGCCACTTGTACGCCGTCGTCGATATGGGCAGGTTGGTCAAACTCACATCCTACTCGCCATTCGCAGCGATGCTGACTATGGAGTTCTGAGCTGTCAGCAACGGCATTCGCTTTAGCATCACCTCCCTGGCACCACCCCGGGCACGTCTTCTGACCCCCCTGTACTCCGCCAGAGAAGCCATCTCGCTGTTTGATGCTCTGACCCCGTCGGATTCTGGTCCTGTGTTCCCTTCTACAGTCGTCGAGTCGGTGTCGTCTGCCATCTCACGCTTTCACCACCTTGCCGTCTCTCATGACGTTCCTCCCCAGCACATCATGGTGCTTGCCACCGAGGCCATGCGCCGGGCCGTCAACGCCGCTGAGATGCTGGAGGCCATTGCAAAGGCCACTGGCGGGCTGACGGTTTCCATCCTCGACCCTCCTGTTGAGACGCTCCTCGGTGCCGTCATGGGCTCAAGGAGCGGTCTCGGAGGCGTTCCTGGTGGCGCCCTGTTCCTTGACCTTGGCGGTGGGAGCGTACAGATGACTTGGGTGGACACAAGCACAGAAAACTACGAAGTTGAGGCAGCACTCGCTGGCGGGAGCTTACCTTACGGTGCCGCAAAGCTAATGCGTGTGCTACAAGAACACCCCGAGGACGTACAAGCCATGGAGACGGGAAAGCTCAAGGACTGCTTGAGCCAGCTGTACGCCGATTTATGCTCCAGGTTCCCTGCTCTCCAAGCCATCAGGGCTGCCAACGAGAGGGGAGATGAAGCTCACGTCGACGTGTACATGTGTGGCGGCGGATTCCGCGGCTACGGCAGCATGTTGATGCACGACGACCCCATCAGTCCCTATCCCATCTCGTCGTCCAACACCTATTCAGTCCGCGGTTCACGCTTCAAAGATACGACCCGAATGCTCACGATGAACCAAACCTACGAGGGCAAAATCTTTGGCTTGTCCAAGCGACGTCGCCAGCAGTTCCCTGCCATTATCAAGGTCGTCGATGCATTCATCAAAGCCGTCCCATATATCGGCCGGGTCACATTCTGTGGAGGCTCCAACAGACAAGGAGCTCTGATGATGAAGCTGCCTCGAGACATCCGCGAGAGCAATCCCCTCGACGTCCTAGCCAACGTCCAAGATGGCGAAAAGGCAATTTTTGGTGCCATCTTGGACAAGCTATCGGAATCTCTTCCGGCAAATCTCACTCACACCCACTTCCCGACCATCTTCAGCACTGGTCTGGGTCTACTCTTTGTGAGAGAAATCTGGAGCCGCCACGGCCACGACGCAGACTCAAACACTGCCTTTGCCATCCACGATGCCATCTCTCGCGACACCGACTGTCCCGGGTTGACTCACCTTGCGCGCGCACTTCTTGGCCTTGGCGTCGCCGCCAGATGGGGGGGCAACCTTGGGCCACTCGATACTCAGCTTCGCAGAGGATTGCAGGGTATCCTGGAGGACAGGGGCGCTGATACGTCTTTCTGGGCACAATACCTCGGCGCCGTCGCAGGCGTCCTGGCCACCATCTTCCCCGTCATGCCCAAGCAAGCAGACCAACTAGTCAGCACTATCAGGTAGAGTTTCAACCCCAACCCAAACGTTACATTGACTTTTTTTCTTTTTTCTTTACAGGATAACAGAGTTCTAACTATTCCACGTAGCTTCGAATCGCGCGTTGAGAAGAGAGAGGGAAAGAAGGACAAAGTTGTGTTGAAAATCATCTTGTCTGGCGAATATTCCAAGCGCATCAACGAGAAAGATCTCATCGACCTCGTCAACTCCGCCGCAAAAAGTGATGCAAAGGCCACCAAGAAGATTTCGACGCACATAGTCATTCAGCGATGATTCATTCATACTATCTAAAAATTTTCAAAATAATTTTCTTTCCAGGTGAGCGAGCACACAAAAGAGAAAAACATGACAACGTAAACCAATGTGAAAGAAAAAATACAAAAAAAAAAAGACGAGAAAAAAAAATCTTTCAAAAGAGTGAGCACCGCTTTTTCCTTTTCGCTTCATTTCCCATTCATACGTTCCATCATTTGCATTCTGATTTTTTTTTCATCATTAAGTCGTAACTCATAAAAGGCATGCCTCTAGCAATGGAAGCAAGCTAATTATCATCTTCACAATCATCATCTGCGTGTTTTGATGATTTGGCCTTTGGCGCACGCTTTCTAGCGTTCATCTTCTTCAGCTCGTGGTTCACCACCAAGACGCATAGAAGCTGATCAATCTCGCTCTTGGAAGACTGCAGTTTCTGATCTGTGACAGAGTATTAGCGCTACGAACGAACAAGAAAGCGGTTTCAGTTGCTTGATGACAACTTACAGTGCTCTTTGCGAGAGTCGAGAAGGTACTGAGCAGCCTCGTGGATTGCTCTGCTGTGGCATGCTGCTGCGGGGTATTTGGGAGTCTTGAGCCAGTCCAGCGACAGCTCCAGGCTCTTCTTTGTGCGGAATTGGTAGTGGTAATACACCACCAAGAGCGGGTAAAAGCTTTCCGCGAGGCGCTTATAGACTTGTCCATGCATGGCAACTTTCAATCTTGTCAGTACTCATGTCTCGCCTCTTTTCCTTCCATCTCCATATAAAGGGAACTCACTACTCTGAGGCGACTCGCTCTTGCTAGTCGCAAGGCGGCCGATATGGGCCTTGAAGCCCTGCAAAAGATCTCGGTACATGAGAATGAGCTGCCACATGCTTGCCCAGATGGCAATCCTCTCCTGGGGCTGTGGGACGCCTTGCTGCGCGATGGTCTCGTCCATCTCTTTGAGAATGTCATGCTCAAGTGAGTATATGGCCCGTCGGGCAATGTTTCTCAGCTGAGCCTGGACAGACAAGGGTAGCGTGGTGAGCTTGTTGGTTGGGTCCAGGCACCAGAATGATCTAGCTTTCAAAATGCGGAAGAAGCAGTTCATTCTGTGGACTTTTCTGACAAGATCATGCTGCAGACTTCTGGTTAGCTCAAAAAGAGAGAGAGAGAGACAGAAAGAGTTCACTCTGGTCGTACCTTGGGAAGTCCCCAACCTTGTTCCGAGTATGCAAGCACGAAGCTCTGGGCTGCATATTGGAAGTCTGACCTCTGCTCCGTTTGGATCTGGTCTTCGACCCATCTTTGCAGCAGCTCGTGGCTTGGGACACAGTCTCGAGGGAAGTCAGCCTTTGACAGGCTGCCATTCTCCTCAGAGCCCCCCTGCGACCGGTAAGCCTGAACCGTGGCGCGCAGGGCTGGGAAGCTGGGGTCTGGGGTGAAAAAGACTGAGATCTCTCTGGGCTTTCCGGTGTAAAACCGTGGGCCGGAGCAAAGTTGCTCCTCTTCTTCGGGATTGGTGGACCAAACATCTGGTGGGAAAAAAAAAATACATTGTCAATATATGTATACGTTTTGGATTATACCAGGGGGGGGATTTGTTCAGCTGTGCACAAATCTGAGTTGTGCCGTGCGCCACATACCGGGGATCTTGCCCATTACGGGCCAAAACGTGGATGGTGTGGCGCGCGTGCAGGCCATGTGAGAATGGTCTGGGAACGCTTTCCTGCACATTGGGCAGACTCCACTATCGTGGCACTGGAAAAGGAAAAAGGGAATTCTCAGCATTGCTATTCCAATTGGTCTGGGGAGGAGGTACAGTGACTTCTTACTCGGGTCTTAGACATGCGGCATGGGAGGCAGGCTCCACTCTTGCGGACGTCTGCCGTCTGGCCGGGGTCTGCCAGCTGCCGTTGCCTCTTGTCTAGATCGTTGCCGGATCGTCGCCGCTTCAGCTTTGCGGACGGGTCGACTGGCCTTCTATGCCTATCGTCTAGGACTTGGATGTGATGGGGGTAACCCTGGACCATGCCCTTGGAAGGGTCGGTCTGCGGGTAGGTCCACTCATCGTCTTGGGCCTGGATCTCTCTAAGGGAAGCCTCTTGGTGGTAGTGGCCATCGTCTAGTGGCTCCAGGAAGGGTGGCGATCCCGAGTGGTCTGAAGGCGACGAGCTTCCACCCTGGACCAGCTCCGGGGGAGTCTGGCCGGGGGAGTACTCGGACGTGAGGCCATCATCCGAAGAGTACGAAGGCGGCATGTCGAAGTAGGGCCTGTTGGGATCAAGAGGGAAGTTTTCTATAAAGGAAGGGATATCGGTGATGATCCTGCTAAGGGATTGCTTGCGGTGATGGTGATGGTGATGGGGATGGGGGGACGAGGGATTAGCGTCCCCGGAATAGGCTTGCCAGTCGAAGAACTGGTTGAAGAGATCCTCTAGCTCCGGGGAAGGGGAGAGACGGGAGTTTTCAAGTTCCATCCGGTCCATGTCCCGAGGGAAAGTCATGTTGATATCCGTGTAAGTCACGGGATGCAGTGGGACCTTGGCTAGCTACCAGGACGAATTGAAGCAGCAGGTGGCTTCCTGTCAGATGGACGATAAGGTGAAGATGCCCAATGTCCCAGGTCTTTTTGTGTAAGATTTGTCTGCTTCAGGGAACTCTGCCTGACACAAAGAGAATTATAGATTTGGCATCCAAAGGGGGGACTCTGGGTTCGTCTGCGTCTGTCTTCACTTACACCATCATCGGATGTGCATTCTCGGTAAGAGCTGGGGGCCTGATTGGTCAATCCCGCCTGTGGATCCTGCTCTTCTGGCCAATAGAAGCCCTGACTTTCACCGATTTTGACCACCGACCAGGTTTTGCACCATTAGCGCGATAGTCAGGTGACTCCCCGCGAGACTCTCCAGACGTCTCCGATGGTATGAGTGTGCGAATCCATTGAGAAGGCGATGCCGGACAGCTTCATTTTTGGGCTGGATGGGGTCCTTTTTGTGCGGATGTTCACTTGGAAATCTGGTGGGAGCGCAGGAGATTTGGGGAATGGGCGGATTGGCGTGGCGAAAGCCGGTTCTCCTCGTCGAGCTTGAATCGGGGGGGCGGATGGCTTGAACACGAGTTTGGTGATGTTCCGAAATCAGTTGAGATGCGTTTTCCCGGAATTTTCTCTCGGCCTTTCTCGAAACTGTGACTTTCCACCTGCGGGAGCCAATTGGCGGGTTTCCAAGAGCCTTTTGTTGTTTGGGAGACCCTTGTGAACTCTCTTGCTCGCTCAACGGTGAGAGTTGAGTCTAGAGAGGTTGTTTCAGGTCAAAAGAGGAACAAGGGCCAAGGTTAATCGATGCCTACGCTGAATAGAGTGGACGTGAACCGATTCCGTGCGGTGATGTGTGACATGTCCAGCACGTCGAGAAGCAATGGACCGAAGAAGCCAACAAACAACAACAAGAAAACAAAAAAAAAAAAAGACAAAAGAAGAGCAGCAGAATGAGGAAATACGACTATGAGAAAACATGAAACTTGGGGGCGACGATCTACTTTAAAGGGAGGGTGTTGGGCAGACAGGCCAGAGAGGCCTCTAAACTAAAACTCAAACTAGAGGAAAAATTAAATTTGGCCAATTGTCAATACGGACTACTAGGTTATAATAGAGAGAAGGCAGATTACTACTCTACTTTATCTAAACTACAAACTACTGAACTACCTAACTTCCTTACCAGTGCCGCTGCGAAAAAAAAAAAGAGACTAGAGGTAATCAATCATCATTGGGGGAATAAGAAAAAAAAAACAGCGAATTACGACAAAGGTGGTGCTACTTTTCCTCTAGCTTGGCGCCGCTAATACTTGTTTTGGAAACGGTGTTCGGAGCTAGAAAGGAGACTTTTTTTTTTACTCGAATTTCATTTGTTGTTATTTTTTTTATTTGTTTGGTTTTAATCTAAATCCGGATATCTCTATTCGTGGGCAGGGTTTTGTCGATCTACGATTTTCCCGGCGGAGGGGGAGGGGAGGGGGGGCGTGATGGGATGGGATGGGGATGGAGAGATGCAACAGTAGCCTTTGTGTGGAGGAGGGGGGGAGGCGCTTCTTTTGATGTATCGTTGTTTTTTTGCGAAGATGGCGGTTTGCGGGGCACCCGCTTGTTTTCTTTTTCTAAATCTGCATCTGATAATATTTTGCTACGATGGTACGGCTGGTACAGTGGGAGAAAGCTGAATCTACTTTAGGGATTTCAGGGAGATTGGGGGAGGAAGAGAACTTGCTTTAGCCGAACTCTGTTTTTTTTTTTCCTACCCAGTGGTTTGAACGATTTTCTCCACTAAAGGCATGGGCGGCGACGGCATTGCCGGCATAATAACGGAGAGAAAAAAAGAGAGTGAGCTAGTAGAGCGAAACAAGAGGGACACAGAGAGCTGGAATTAAAGCCGATGCACAGAAGAGGGAACAAGGCTCAAAAGAGGGAGTTGCCTTTTGCGATAATGGGGTTGTACAAGTAAAGTACTGCCGCTGGATTTGAAGAGCCCTCTTCTTCTATTTTTTTTTTGTTGTTTCAACAAGGTACGGATTTTTGTATCCTTCATTTGTTTAGCAGCAATCATGGAGATTTTTATTTCCGTCCCCCTCTCGCCTATGCACTGCGCTGCGAGCTGCAGAGCTGCAAGATAATAGATAAGATCCATTGGATGGTGCAAGGCGGTTCCACCGAATTAGGCAATTTTCGAGATGTGGGGCGGGCTTGTGATTCCCAGTTTCCTGGGCCCTTCCCAAAGCAGCGGGGAAAAAAAAAAAGTGATGTTGCTTAACCGTGCTGTTGGAGCAGAAGATGGCTCTTCTGTGATACATGGATCAACAGCTTGAGAGATTCTTACAGGAGGAAAAAGGAGTCAAGACAAATAATGCCTAGGAAACAGAAGATCTAAACAAACAAATCAATCTTGCGGGGGGGCTGTGGAGTGGAGAACAGAGCTTTACGATTTCCTTGATTCTGCTCCTTGAGCTCTTCAGTGTAGCTTATTTGGTGGATAAGCAGGTACAGTATAATCCAGATGGCAAAACCTGTGTATGTACCTACACGCTTCGCACATATAGATTTGGATTGCGTCTTTGCTGATGTGAGCCTAGTAGGATTAGTAGCATAGCGACGAGTCTGAGCAAAATCGGCTACTGCTAGTCCATAGTCCCATAGCAACTAAAATGCTAGATCGCGCGGATGCCTTGGCTATGGCTCAGCAATGATGAAACAGAGAATGGGCTGAGTTTGAGGCAATTGTTGCTCGACCCAACAAATCGGATTACATGGAGCGCGCGCGCACGGGAATGGCTCCGTTATTGTTTCTTGTTTCTTTTCCTTCTCTTCCCTCTCTTATTTTTGTATCTACTGTTTTAATACTCGTAGGCATCGTTGTTTTTGTCCGCGGACAGCAGAGTCTCGACATGCGCTAGGCAGTTGTTTTGTTCCCACATGGCGAGCGCGCGAGAGGCACGAGGAAAAGGTAAAACACTGGTTCCCTGGGCGCGACTCAGAGCTGCGGCTCAGAGCGAATATACTAGACGAGTATTTTTGGTGGCTCTTGGGCGAATTTGGTCTTGTTGCTTTGATCGTCTCTCCCCATCGTGGCTATCCCTCCCCATCTCCAGTTTCATCTCCATCTCACATCATCTGGCATTGTTGAAGAATGGAAACAGTATATGCTGTAAATAGCATCACAGCGCTAGCAGGACGGGGCTAACTTGGAATAAGGATGACGCCTGGCTGTCAGCAAATGCAGCTTCAGCAAAGCACGCAGCTCCACCAATCGGAACCGTCAGTGCCCTTAGTAATCAGGGCAAGGTTTGCATGGCTCAGACGCGGTACCCCATGGCTTTTTCGTAGCGTCTGTGTGGCGCAGACCTTTGACGTTGCCCAAGAGCTAGTCATTGCAAAATGTAAGAGGAACAAGAGACACACGCCCCCTTTTATCAAAATGAAGAATGAGCATGAATAAAAAAAAAATCTCACCTTGTTGAAAACATCTCACAGCTGCGCCCCGGCAGGACCTTTTATTTCATTTTCGTCAGCGGGAGATGAATTGCGCAGGCGGAGATTGTAATGTGTCCTTGCCCGGTGATTGCACCGTCCCGCATATGATGAGCAGCCCGCACCGTCTTAGCACACTGATGCGTTGAGACGGTGCCAAATGCGTAACTGGATGCACATCGCAGTGGCGAGAAGTGAAGACCTCCTGTACGCAAATCAAGTGACTGAGCCACGCGACGACGTCAAAGGGCATCGTAATACGAATGTGATCGTCACAATATATACGAGTACGATGGCGGTTGTTCCGTCTTGTCAACTATCGCCAAGAGGCAAAGCAGACGCGGACAGCAGACAGCAGCATACATATACGAGCAGGGCCGCATAGTCGGCTGGTGATGCGGCGCCGTGATCCGATCTGCCGTGCCAAGCTGGCGCTGTGCTGTGCTGTGCCGTGCCGTGCCGTGCTGTGCTGTGTTTTCATACCTGCCCTCTAAAAGCCAACACGAAGCCTGCCACGTGCGGCGCGGAGATGGGACGATGATATACGAAGCATTGCATTGCTTGTTGCATCTCCAAGCGAGACAAGAGTCCAGGTTGCAATTCGCAGCAATTCCCGGCGTGTCTCGTTCTCGAAGCCCAGCTGCGAATCGTATTAGTCTAGTGCTAGGCAGTTCGCAGTACGGCCCATCTACCCATGGACCATGGACCTGCCGTCTTCGGCTATTCGGGCAAGGGTACGCTTGGATCTCAACTTAATCAGAAGAGAAGCAGAGGAATAGTAGATGGAAGCAGAAGAAGGCAGCGAGTAGGATAATCAGCCCAGCAATCGACGGCCAGATTGGCGCGGGCCGTGGGTATTAATCTCCCTTTGCTGCTCCCGTAATTACAGCATCTCAGCCCCCTTTGATCGGGCCTGGGCCGTGCAGCTGCATGTGAAGAGGGCTTATTGGGACCTCGTATGTTCAAGATGCAAATCTGCGCACCATGTACGTACATGTTGCAGCGCGCCGGGGGCTGACTGCAGCGGCGGAGACGGGGAGATCCTGATTTTAAAAGCCCTACATGCACCTACATGCCAGGAGGCAGCTCGAGAAGGGATTCGGGAGCCTCCTGACCGGGTGGCAGGTGTATTTGCCCTCGTACTCGTTACCTGCTTGGTAATGAAATCACGACTTTTCTGCTCTGCCCTCGCCCGCCGCGGTGGGTACCGGTACCTTCAGCTGCCCCGTCGCGGTACCTCGATGAATCGCAAATAGGCGTGGTCCTGCGCTTTGTCGGAAGGAACGTGGCACGGTTCTGGAAGCAGGCACTGGCTGGAACGAGCCCTGCACGGGGTCCTGAGGTTACATGCTGAGGTAGCAGCAGCGCACGGCATTGGTACCAGTACATGAGGGACCCCTTGCAGTAGCATTGAGACCCTTGGGAGGATGGCCTGGAAACAGCACCAACAATGCAAGATTTACGTGTCGACAGCTGCTAGTCAAGCAGGTGGTAATTAGCCTCGTCCTGCGCCTGGCAGAGACAAAAGATGAGACCGGAACCCTACCTAGCCTTGCCTGCATTTTCGTTGTGCACCGCCGGGCCATTAGTCGCAGGTACCTCCATTCTCGCAGACGTTGTGAACCGGTGCACTTTGCCTTGGCGCTCGAAGGAAGCGCACGCACCGCACAGTACAGGTATAAGCCACCCAGAGAGGGGGAGCTGAGCTGCTTAGCCCTTCCGCCTAGTGCACGGTTTTTTTTTCTCTCCGAATCGTCACCTCGCACAAAACCACAGAGCCGGCGGTCCCAAGCAGCTCTGCACGACGTCTGGCCCATTAACACCCCCCTGGGCCAGGACCGTGTGGTCCACCGAAGCGGAGCTTTTTGACATCAAAAATAGCGACCGGCTGGCGCTAGCTGTGGACCGCCGCCGAGATGTGCGTGCCGGGGTTCCTGACAATGGCTGCGTCTGTCTGCAGTTTGGGCATCAGCCGCATGTCCGATGACTGACTGGTCTGGGTCAGCGTGCGGATTCTTCTATTTTTCTGACATTGCCGCTATAAGACATATTTCGCAGCAAAGGCGTTGCAGCACGCAGAAATAAATACCGGCAGAGGGTCCTCGCCGCATCTCTGGCTCTGTCGTCCTGCCGATACGAAGACCAGGGGACCAACAAACGATGAGACGCGATTCCAGACAGCCGCCAAGACTCCCTGGCCCTGCTTGAGGCAACCCCAAAAAAAAAAGGATTCCCCTTTGCCGAGAGAAAAAAAAAACGTCATCGAGTCCCCACCGAGCAGCCTCAAGACCCGTCGCTCACCTCGATCCAGCGACCACAAGGAGTTTTTTGTCCTAGTAACCCTCGACGACTGATTCTTGTTCGCACGCCTCTCCGGGCTCTGCTCTCCTCTGCGCCCCCGGTTGCCCTCAGCCATTCCGCCGTCCGTACCGAAAAGCTTGCGCCAGCGACGTCTCCCCATTAGCCTCGCCTCAGCTCTGTCGTGCCGGTCTATCCTCACAGGGGGCGTGGGCGCTGCGAAAATCCTGCCCTTTCGTTTTCGAATGCCACTGTGCTGTACGCTGTACTGTACGGAGGCGTAGGTACCACCGCAGCTCATCAGTCTGACACAGCTTTGCCCGCTCGACTGCCACTGTCCGAGCACGTCGACTCGCTGCTCCACCCGACCTCTGATCACTCCATATATACAAGAACCCGCCGGTTCCCGCCTGCTGTGCGCTCGTAGCAACTGCTTGCTGCGGACGGACAGGTCATATCAGCCCAATATGACTTCGAGTAAGTCCTTTCGAGCCACCCTTCTGCCTTCTTCTTTTTCTCGTTCCTCGATCCGATCCCATTCGCACAATGGCTCCTCCGATTCGAAAGCGACGTCCGACTCCGACAGCTCTCGCCGCAAGACGCCACCCGAGCCTCTAGCTCCAGCTGTGAAGCCCGCTGACGGGCCACACAAGAGCTTGGAGCCCGTGGTCGAGAGGAGAGACGACGCCGAACGACCTCCATCTAGACGGAACCAGAAATCGAAGCCATGGAGCACTCGGATCTCATCCTTGATCCCGTCGCTTACACTGCAGACAGACCACCGTCCGATGTCTATCCAGCGGAAGCCTGTTGGTGCCTTCCTGCCTCCAAATGAGCCACCTCCACCTCCGCCGCCGCCGCCGCCTTCTACCTCTTTCGATGCTCCTCTTTTCGAAGATCCTCGTCTTCCCGAACCTCTCAAATCTCCGTATATGGCTGCTCCCATCGGTGCTCCTCCCCCTCCACCATCCGGGCCACCACCTGGGCCACCACCGCCTCCTCCTCAGCAACCATTATACTCGGTAGCAGAATCAACAAGCCCCTCCAGCGCGGCCGGCGATAGTTCGACTGTTTTTGAATCGGCACAATCCGATACATCATCCTTGCCATACCCGCAACACAGCCCTCCGCAACCTCCACAGTCAAAAGTGTATCCCGCTCCGGATCCAGAGACACCGGCAATGTCATCCCAGATATCGCTGCTGGTTATGCAACAGTCCGATATCATCAGCCCTGTAGACTACAGGATCCCGCCTCCGCATATTAATGATCCGATCCCGCCTTCTCCTTCTGTGTATTCTGCACCAGACACCCCACAAGTCGACAATGATGTGCCAGTACCATTACTCCCTGCGCTGGGCGGTTTCGACTTTGAGACTCAGCTTCAAGCTAACCCAGTGATTATGGATCCTATCCCACCCTCACCCGAGCCGGCGAGGACAACCTTTACCATTGCAGAAGCACTGGAGGAAAACGTTGCTGCCAACCCTGGCCTAGTCGATGACAGCCAGGCCTCTGTTGGACTCGGCGTTACATCAGGTGAAAGCGCCGAGAGCAGTATAGCTAGGCAGCGAAGCATGTCTTATTCAGAGCGAAAGGACTCTCTTCCACCTTTGCAGGTGCTGAAAACTCGATCAACGGCTCCTTTGCCGGAGCCTAGGGGACGAAGTGTCTCTGCACGTGTCAACTCGACGGTTATGGAGGGCTCAAGGATGTCCATGTCCATGTCGACCACCAATCTACGACCTATTTCCACCATTAATCAGAGTCCAACCAGGCGAAAGTTGCGCCGAAGTTGGATGCCAGGTCGATCTCGCTCCAGCTCGATGGATGCTAACCATGCCAACAAAATGGCTGCTTGGGTCATGTCGGATGGTAACAAAGCGGAATACAACACGGCTTTCCTCACAAATGGAGAAAAGGTAAGTTGCTTGTCAACATCCGATTTAAACACTGTTGAAAATAGCTGACAAATGAATATCCAAAAGGTCCCTGAACTTTGGAATGAGAATGGCGCAGTACTTGTCTACTTGTACCCCAAGTCTAGTGGACGCGGGCCGTCCTTCAAAGTACCGGAGTTTTGCGTCAGCTCCTCCTTCATCTTCAACGAACTCATCCGATCAGACCTGGAGTCCTCGGGCACAAGAACCAGGGCCAGTAGCTTTACAGGCAGAAACAGCCTCAGTAACGATGACGCTTCACGGGTATCATCTCCGACATCGTTCCCAGTCGACCCATCTGGGGACTTCCTTCACCTATACCTTCCTCCTGCACCATCAAATGCTTCATCGAGCCAGCTCGCGGTGCCTGCCACCGACAATTCAGGATCGGAGCTGGATCGTCTGATTGCGATTCGGAATGTGTTTGCTTTCCTTACAGGCCAGCCTCTTGTGGGAACTCCGAGACGACCTACAAACTTCCACGCCTTCCTCCAAATCTCAGATCTCCTGCAAGAATTTTGTTTCTCAAGCCCTGATGGATATACCTTTGGAAGCGCGGTTGATTTGAGCTTCGGCTTTTACTCAGAGTCTCTTGGCTTTGGAGATTGCCGCGCGAGCCGCGAACAAACACTGGAAGCTCTGATTCTGGGCGAGCGCATGCGGTGCCTGGAGCTCTACAACGAGGCTTTTGTACATGCTGCAGGGAAATACTCTTCCATTATGGATCTGCGCCTACCCTTGTTTCAAGAAATCTCACCTACCACACGGCAGCGATTGGAAAAGGCTCATTTCGACCTTGAAAATCGCTATCAGAACGTGAAAGAACAGCTTGAGCAGTTCGAATTCCCCTCACTGTTTGCCGGTCTCGCAAATTCGTCTTCTATCCCTGAGCTGAGGCAAGTTCGATTCAAGATTTGGCGAAACTCATTCAACAAGATGAGGCATTTTGTCTTGAGCTACTACAAATCTGCATTTGGTAGCTGGCCCCCCAAAGCTAGCAGCAAGAAGAATCCTTTCGTGGAGAGCGGCTTGAATCGCATTGTGCTGAAGACGTTGTACTCAGACCACTGTGCCCTCTACGACTTGCTCGTAGATCGAAACAGCCTTACCACAAGAGTTATCGATGAGGTGCCCACAGTTTCCAAAGAGGCTGATGAGATGATTACATCGGCCATCCGTGTTCTCGAGTCTGAGTTTGATCGTTCCAGACCTCCCGTTCTGCCCCCTGTTCCCTTTGATCTCCCTCTGATTCCGTCAATGACGGCCATTCTTGAGACATACAACAATCTTTCTCCTAGAGAACAGGCTAGGTTTGACAAGAAAGTCAAGGAGCCCGAAATGTTGCTAGTGTTGAATGGCGCTTACAACTATGACACTGCTGGCATTCAACTTCCGTTCTTGGACTACTTCAAAGAGTTTGAGGCTCGAGAAGCCAAGGGAAAGACGGCTCAAGATCTCATTGATCAAAGAATTGGTTATTTCCTCTTCCTATACGTCATTCTTCAGTCACTGCCCATGTTGGTTGTGGATGCTCCCGACCTCAAATATGCTGAAGGCGTTGAGTATTTCTTGTGCCAGCCTCCTATGGGTAACCCGCCGTGGGTTGATGACAAGGGAGTCCGAAGAATGTGGTACGAAGTTGCGGGCGGTGGCTATGTCGAGCTTTCCGCAGATGCCGTCATGTTCAGCGTGGAGGCCATTTACCATCGAAGCCACTGTTGGCTGGCCGCCAAGATTTGGGAGGAAATGGGTAATTCGGCAACTCCGCCTCTTGAAGATACAGCTTTGGCACCTCTTGAGCCTCCTCGGCCCATGTTCCAGGATGCTGACCCCGGCTTCAACAACGGCTCAAGTGGTCTCTCCGGCCAAAGCACCCCAACGTCAATCCCAGGATCACCCCAGCTCCGGCCTCGACCGCGTAACCAGTCCCCGGCTAGCCGTCGTATCAGCACTGCTGGGAACCGCTCGAGTATTATGATGGGCTTGGAGCCTGTTCCCCTCGAGCCGCCGCCAAATCTTTTTGGCGTCCACCAGCGAAGCAGCTCGCTAGGCCCACGACCGCCCAGCAGCCATATCTCCAACCGGTCTTCCTCTGTCGGCAATCTCGTCGGTATGAATTCACGGATGTCAAGACCGAGCTCTCCGGCCAGACCCGCTGCAGCGACGTCCGGAACCACTTTTGATGATATTTTGGGAGAAGCAAATAAGAAAAAGGCTCCCAAAAAGAAGGGTAGATTCTTCTAATCTCCAACACTTTTGATGATTTTTTCCTTCTTCTTCTTTCCTCTGTTCCTGTCTTTCTTCTACTTTCTTCCTTTTACCTTTTTTTTTTCTACCTCTCCTTAATGACTGAGGCCTCTCGGTGGTAATCTCGTCCATTTTTTATTTCTTTATTTCTTCATCACACACATCGCATATGAAAAAAACCTGTTCATTTGTTGGAGGCTGGGAATCTTTTGGTGCACTGGAATCGTTTCTTTCTTTGTTTTATTGAAAGAGCCTATTCTTTTTTTTCGCATTTCACACGTTAGAGTCGGATTTCTATTAATAGGGTGTATAAAACAACCTGTTGGGCATGGGGCCATGAAGATACAAAAAAACTTTCAGGGCACTAGATGATGGGTTAGAAAGGGGGGAGGAAACAAAATGAGCGAGCAAGCGGGCGAGCAATGCAGAGCAGAGTAGAGCAGAGACAGAGCAAAGCAGAGCGTAGCGAGCGCCATGCAAAACAAGCGACACAAAGCAAACTATGAGTAATGACAATAATTCTAGATATAATTGCATATTGGTTTAGTATTTACTGCTTAATACATATTGAATCACATTTTTTTGTTGTCTGTACTTTTGGTGCCTCTTCTCTTGAACCATAGGACCGGCTGGGCAGGAATCAAAAATGATTTTAGACAGAAATACTCAACTTAGGAGTGTATTTAATACTACTGCTATGTTGTCATGATATCGTTGACTGAAAATTTCCTATTCCCTTTCCGTTACCTGTCCTCTCGTGGAGGAGCTTTGTTTCCCACTGCCATTATTCCAATGAAAAGATAAAAAAAAAAAAAAAAAAAAACTAATCCATATACAAATGAAATGCAAAACGGCTTGATGTTACCTCCTAGATATAATAAGATACGATAGGGGAAAAAAACGTAAGGAGAAAAAAAGAAAAAAAAAGGGAGAGAGAAAGATGGAGGGGAAAAAACATAAATGCTAAATTGCTTCAATTCTCTGCCATCTTCCCCTCTCAGTATGCCACCACTTCTCCTTCTCCTTCTTATCAGCCACCTCGCCCTCCTTCTGGTTCCATCGCCCTGTACAGCCTTCTCTACTGCCGCTGAGTGCCTCCCCGCCATCGCCCACCATGTCAGCCACGTCCACGAGCCCGCCCTGCTCGTCTGTTGCCCCGTCATCCGGCAAGAGGTGGTACGAAATCTTGCTGCCCAGCGTGCCGATGAAGCCGACGGTGCCAAGCGTCTGGGCCAGGCCGTCGTCGGCGGCAATGGTGAATCGGAAGCGAGGGGCGTTGTGGGCGGCTTCGAGGCGTGATTGGGCGGCGAGACGGGCTGTTTGGAGGTCTGTCCCTGGAAGAGGCGTGGCGTAGATGGTTAATGGGAGGGACATTGTCGTGGCGGATTTGTGGAGGGGCGAGATTGGCGATGAGGGCGCGCTGAAGGATCCGGAGGCGGGGATGCCGCCCATGGCGTTGAGGCGCTGGAAGCGGTCGTTGGGGAGGATGATGTGGTCCACGGGGCGGCAGAGGGCTTGGAAGCGGCCCTCGGGGTCGTTGGGCGTTCGGAGGGTGGTGAGGGCTGGGAAGCCGCCGGCGTCGATGCTTCGAGCGAGGATATCGTCTGCTTCGTTGGTGGTGTTGGGGTGGCTGGTGATGTCCCAGTGAAGCTTCACGATGGTGGATGAGGCGAGGTAGGGCATCATCCAGAGCGCAAAGGAGTCGGTTTCCGGCATCACGGGAGGGAAGGATTGCGCGAGGTAGAAATACTTTAGGGCGGGGAGATGGGAGAAGATGCGGGCGAGAGCCGGAAGAGATGTCAAGGGCGTGTTGCGGAGCTCGAGGCGCTGGAGATGTGAGGTGTTGCTGCGAGTGGCAAAGGATGTAAGGCCGTTGGAGGTGATGCCCACGATGCGGGAGAGGATCAGGGACTTGAGCGGAGGTAAAGATAAAAGGTTGTTGTCGTTGAAGGCGTTTGGTGGGAGGTTGCAGAGATGGAGATGTTGAAGCGAAGGGAGATGTGTTAGTGTTTTTGATAGGAGTCTATGGGGAGCTAATGTGGCACCGGGCTGACAGAGTATCGACAGATTAGTTAGAGAGGACCAGTTACGATGGCTATCGAGAAAGGCGTCTCTTTGGGATGGCTCCAGCATAGATGGGCCGCTTTGTCCACGTTGTTTGGACGGTGAGTCGGTCCGCTGCCCTCCTTGCTGTTGCGCCGGTGTGGATGCAGGATCGATAATCCAAGTCATGTCCTTTAAGCACCTCCTCGTCGACAACGCGTGGAACATTTTTCTGAACGAGTGGTCGTAGTTTGGTGTTGGGCCCGAAAGTCTCTCCAGCTTGGGACAAGCCATAATCAGCGTGGCTACCTGATCTTCATACTGCTCCAGCCATAGCATGCCCTTTGAGACGGACCAGTTCAACGGCGGCTCTGGGTGAGGCACCTTTAACGAGCGTACCAAGGAGGCGATGTTCGGGTTGGTGCGCAAAGTGCGTCGCAGCATGGTCATACGATTGCCTTGATTTTGCTTAAACTTCTTTTTGTGCGTGGCTGAATCTGAGCCAACGAGCTGGATATCTTCATATCTGCATGATTCATTGATTAGACATTGGGATATTTCCCTTATACAAGTAGAAAATGGACAGAGAGAAAGAGAGAAGAAAAGAAGAAAACTTACAAAGCTACGCGGGCGTGTTTGTACAATCTACGGCTGCAGAGGGCGGCGCTGCAGAGATCGCGCATCATACACGTCGCACAGCTCTCACTGTTTTTATCCAGGTGTGATCCTTTCAGAGACTGCAGGACCAGATCGAGCACTTCGCCAGGCAGAAGATTGAAGAGCTCATTGGGGCCTCTGTCGGGTCTGTCGGGTCTAAACGCCGCCCGGATCGGTGACGACTGATAGACGCTTTCGCGCACCCAGCTGCTGGTCTCGAGGGTATTCAAGTTCATCCTGTTTCCTGTGGAAGCCGCCCTCCTCCTCGGGCCATCAATGCCTTCGTGGGCAAAACTAGTGGGAGATGTAGGAGAAGTAGGAGACGTGGGCGATCTAGGAGTGGTAGGCGACCTGGGAGATGTGGGAGATGCTGGAGGGGTATAGTTGCTGCCGTTTTTGCTCATGGACGTGCCCGTCAACTTCGGGGGCCGCTTCAATGCCGTGTGGAATGATTCCTGAGATCTTGATGCGTTCTGCATGCCTTGATATACTGGATGCGCTCCTGATTGACTCGCTGCCCTTGTCGTTCGATTCATGCGTGATGCGCGCTCAGCATTGACTGCAGCCGCGTTGCCATCTTCATCGATGGAGTACAAATCCGCCGCGGTAAAGGCTGGCGGTAGAGGGAAAGACTTAATGGTGGCCGTCGAAGCCATGATGCCGGATTCTTGCTGTAGTTTAGCACACGCAAAGATCTGGCACAATTTGCATCCTGTAGAAGAATTGCGTGCGGGAAACTGGTGGTGGACAGAAGGCAGCAAAGCAATAGTGACAAACGGCAAATCGGCGTGGAGTAAGGTAGCAATGAAAGAACCCCGTGATATTCAGCCTGAATGCTGGTTTCCTGGGGTCCCTCTGCCTCTCTCTATCTCTTTCACGTCTGCTCGCTTGTCGAACTCCAGAGGCTGTTGACGATCAGTTGGAACGATCCGCGTGTACCCTTCAAGGGTTTTGGAGGAGCAAGCAGGCTAGTGGTAGCGAAGCCTGGGGCAAAAGGGGCGGAGAAACGCATCTTTTTGATTGATTCCTCCCGGGGTGGTGGCCCGCATGACGGATGCCCAGCCCAAGCCCAGGCTGCTCGCCGTGCCATTTTCTTGGGCTACTTTCTGTTTTGTCTTTTTTTTTTCTCGTCTTCCCTTTGGACTACCATACCATACCACGAACAGGCAAGGCTCCTTTTTTCGCATTTGACTACCCTGACGGCCGGGAAAGCCAACAAGTTCAAGCCCCACGAATCAATGCCCTCGAGTGCCCATGGCTTTTCCCTAGTCCAGAGACTCTGACGCAGGTACAGAGTGCTAGTGCTAGTAATGCAGACCAAGCGTCGACTGCCGGTCAGGTACAAGCGCAGCGATCCAGGGGTAAAAATTGTGGGAATTAATCAAATAAGAAAAAGCGCCCACCCCATCGAAATGCGCCGTGGAACCGAGAGCTGCCTCTCGATGTACTTTATCCCGCTAATTCGTATTTATAATTTGCCCTTCTCACGCGAGACATGGGGTGGGGAGACCGATAATTCGTGTTTGCCTGGATCGGGAAATGTCCAATCTATGCTGGCCCTAGTGGGCAAATCCTTGACTGCCAGGGGGGGCGGCTTTTGGATGATTCGACCGGCCCTCACTTCCAAGACAAGAAGAAAGCGGATTCACTTGATGCCAATTCCAGCAGTCAATAAATTGCATGAACCACATGCGTGTATGAGCAGATCATTGTGGTTCGAATTCCTAGCAAAGAGCGGCGGCTGTCCATTGTCTTCATTTTGCCAGGGCAGTGGAGCCCGGCGGCACGAAAAGCTTCCAACCTTCTCGGCGCGTTTGTTGCTAGGCTCGGAGCTGAAAGGGCCTAGAACTCGCGATCTCAGCCTCCACCGTCTTTGGGCTTTTGGACGTGCTTGTCATCCAAGGCCCGTGCTCTGGAGCAGTTCCGCGAGCACACTCCTTCGATGTACTGTAGATTCAGCCGCAGGGGCGCTTCCGTGCGGCTGTCGCGCAGAGAGGCGTTATCCAGGCTGGCACGGCGCTTTCTGCAAGCCTCTTGGTCGGCGCAAGGCACTATTTGGTGCGCCGTTCCTTTCGCGTGGCTGTCTTGGCTGTGAGAGGGGCTGCATGGTTGATGTGACCAACAAAGCGTGAAGATAGTTCAGCTGGGTGGCGGAGTGGCTTTCAGCTTTCCCAAGGGCGTCTATGCTACTGGTAATGTCTCAGTTGTTTTCTGCCCTTGCTGGCCAATAAAATGATCGATTGCCCGGCTTACTGGGTTTCACTCATCCCATTGCACGGTGGTGTCGGAATGTGATGCTAATTTTGGATGAACGTGATAATATGAGATATTCTCAACACTTCTCTTAACATCTGTCTCCCAAAGAAGACGGAGAAGCTGAAAATTCCAATCTCAGCCAGCTGTATACCAAGCTGCGCGAGGTCGGGCGACAGACAAATAATGCACCACAGCGAATGCGAGTTCAGCCAATGACTGAATAACATCAATGTCATTATAAGTTTGGCCCTTTAACACAAAGCTGCGCTGTCCTTATTCACACGATCCTAAATCTAGCGCATGCTGGCTTACAATAATCGCCAGTTAGCAGCATTGCAATCGTAACATGGAACCGATCCGAGTTTATCGTTGCGTTGCTCGATTTCTATTTCAAGCAAAGCGAATCCGCCGAATTGGCTTAGATGTCGGCTCTTCCTGGGATGCTGCATGATTTTCGTCATCCCTTGTCAATCCTCCACTTCCTGGTCCGTTGTCATACGATCTCTTCAACACACTCGATACTATGAGAGGCCTTTGATGCGCTGATGGTTTATTGTTCGGCGCTTGTTTCTCATCCAGGATAATGCCGTCGTCGGGATGTGCCACAACTCCAAACCCTTTGCCAAATACAGCTTGTGTGGTTTGAAGCGCGGCCATCTGCAAAGTATAATCGTCTTCGCTTGGCTTCATTGGAGTAACTTTGGTATTTTTGATCCAGTTATATATTGGTCGGACATCCAGAATGGACTTGGCTTGGCGATGCTCTTCTTGAGACATATGTTTCTTGCGCTCGAGAATGACTTCGTCCAGACTGTTCTTCAGCACAAGCGTTTCGACAGAGACTGGCTTCTTTTGGCTAATTCGCCGCGCACGACCTATGGCCTGCGCCTCTACCTGCGGATTGAGGACTGGGTTGATAAAGTATATTCGAGATGCCTCTTGCATATCTAGACCAAACGCTGCCTGAGATAAATCCATGAGGAGTACTCTACATCTGATGGTTAGAATGCTTTGCCTCATATTCCTTTGATGCCAGGATCAACCCACCTGAATTTCTCATTATGGTTGAACGTATCGACATAATGCGCTCTCCTCTCTGTGCTCAAAGTTTTGGCATAAATCAAATGTTGGATTTGAAGCTGATATTCTGTCAGTATAGCCACGGAATCTTTTTCTTTTCTTTCGGAGAAACACGAACCACGTCAAGCATGCTAGCCAAGTACCATGCTACGTTTTCATTCTCGTAGAAAACAATTATCTTCTCTTCTTCTTGGTATTTCCCCAGGCAGTCGACCAAGTAAGAGAGTTTTGCGGATACAGTCGCGGTGATCTTTGTCTGTTCGAGGTGGCCGGCAGATGGTTCGACAGCGAGAGTCTTCGGCTCAGTTCCATTTATGCCATGCGAGCGTACCTTCTTCGGGCTATCATCGCCTAATTTTGTATTACCAGCAAGTGTACTAGATGACTTTTCCTTTGATTTGGAACTCTTTTCAGGAGCTGCCGCATCTAGGAGTTTCGAGCGTTCCAGTGCGCCTTCTGAGATCAGTTCGCCGTTTAAAAGAGAGTTGAATTTTTCTTCACTCCTTGCCGCCTTATATACTAGACTCTGAAGTGATAGGATCATGCTGGTAGATGTACAGATGCTGCCGTCTGTGGCAGCACCATCAAGAGACCAGGATGCGCCAGCGTTGCCGGGGAAGCCTGTGATTGACACTGCCGTTTCGTGAAATTGGTTGGTAAGATTTCTAAGTCTATTGTGCATGGCTAGATGGCCAAATTGAATAGCTTGTTGAAGTAGTGACTCATCTTCAGGACTGATGGGTATTTTCCGCTCTGCCAAAAACTTTTCTGCGGTTTCTACTGATTTAGCAATTTCGTCAGCAGTAAAGAAAGACCCTCCAAAAAAGCTTGCCTGCTTTAGATTGTGTACGATCTGTAGCAGGGATTTTTTTTGCCTCTGATGAAAGAAATAATCCATGTCCGTTCGCTGCGATTGGACCGAGTTGAACACTATCATCATAGAGAACAAATTTAATGACAGTTGATCCTGATATGAACCTTCGAGAACAACGACCTTCTCATTTACAGATGGTAAAAGAGTCTTAATTTCCGATGTACGATGGCGAATAATAAGAGAATTGAGCGTAGATTCCAGACTCTCGAATCGGCCTTGACTCTTGGGGTGATGCTTAGGGAGCATTAAGTATTTCGTCCAATCAGCCACTGTATCGCCATTCTCAATATCAATGTTCGCCCAAGGACGGGCTTTTAAATATAGGGCAGTAATGGCCCCGATTCGATCAAGATCTTTTCTTTCCATTTCCGTTGAAGAGTTGCTTTGGTCGGTATGAGAAATCGCCGTAGAAGTATGAGGTGATTCAACTCCGTATAAACCATGCGAAGGGGTTCCCGTAACGACCCAACGAGAGGAGAAATGCATCGAGTCTAGGCCAATTAAGAGATTGCTTTTCTTGTTAATTCTTGAGTTACCAAGTTTATGCCCCTCATCCACGATACATCGCTTGAAATGGATGGATGACAAGATAGAACCGCTGACACCGCCATATTGTTTCACAACAATCTCAAACCTTGACTGGGAAAACAAGATGATGTCGTATGTCAATAATTCATCGTGCGACGACGGAAGCCTGTCGCTTTTCCCAAGAACTAGTACATTTAGGCCCTCAGTATGCTTTCGTATCTCCTTTTTCCATTGCGCAAGAAGGTTATTGGGAACAATCACAATTGAGGCCGAACTCAAGTAGACTTTTTGGGGCGGCGGCGTTGTGCCGGTTGCATTCCGTCGTCTAGAACGAGGGGGCTTCGGTGCGGGGAGAAAATAATGCCCGGGGTTTCTCGAAAGAACGTCGTTACAATGGGTAAACTCATAACCATGCTGCGCCTTCCACGCTTCGAAATAGGATCTCCAGGGAACGGCATGACGTGTGGCGCATGAGGCTGCCATATCGGCAAGAGATGCAATTCTCTGTCTGACTGGTGGTTGACCTTGTTTATAAAAATCAGGCGGATTTGTTGGCAAATGCATCGTCGCAAGTATCAACGCAAGACAGATTATTGTCTTGCCCGAGCCCATTTCCTCTGCCAGTATCCCTCCCGAAACCGCATCGTAATATCGCGGCCCCAATAAAACCTCGCCAGTAACATGGTCCATATACCAAGATGAGCCGCGTGTGTCTTTCAGATGCAATAACCTCGGGTCGAGAGTCTGGCCGGGCTGCACTTCCTTTTGCAGCATCAAAGCTGCAGATCGTCTTTGGTAGGGATGTAGCTCTGTTTTGAGTCCTGGTACTTTGCTCTCCATGAGATTATACATGGCATCCTGTGTATATGGCTCTTTGACCAAATCCAAGTCTGGGCATGGTGAAGGAATGGCGTTGAAGAGCTCCAGCAGAGATATGTCCTTATCATTTTCATCGGTATTGGGATTGTCAAGAATAGGGCTGCCAGTCTCTTCTGGTATTTTAACGGCTTTCCAAGCACACGGTGAATAATCAAGGTAGCGAAGTATCTTGGATCTCTCCCTTTGTAATGCCGAACTGGTACGGTCTATGGAGCCTCGTTGAACGTCGTCTGGTAGCAGATGTACTCTAATAATTCCTAGTTCTTCATCCAAGGCACTGACGCAGAATTCAAGTTGACACCATTGAGCGTGAAACAGCTGAGCGAGCGAAAGAAGCTTTGGAGCTGCAAGGAGGGACGCCTGTATTCGGGGATCGAGGCATAGCTCGCCGGGCCTAGCCTCGGAGTGGCTGCGGTCGAGTCTTTGCCATCCCCGATGATCCAATGTTGACCAGTCGTGTCTACTGATTTGGCTTTCTTCTTGTGAGATTCCAATGCATCCGGCGGGAATATATGGCACTTCAGAATGCATGACGTGAGGTAGCGTCGGCTGTTCTATCGGGTCTCACTATTGCGTAATGGGACAGGGCAGCAGAAGCTATAGTTTTCCTATCATTTTAAGGTGTATGTGCGGCGAGAAAATTTGAGGGGCGTGGAGAGAATGGAAGGATGAAGACGAATGCAGGTGAGTGCTGGGGTGAGGATGCTAGAAGTGCTGCCTGTGTACAGTGCCATATATGGCGCTTACCGTATGTGTGGCGCTGTGATTGGGTTAGTAACACAGTGCGCGATATCATTGCTATCAGTCCCCATTCTGGCTCTGGTATATTAATGCTAATCCATATGTCAAGTTAATCAAAATGCTTGATATAAGCTCCGTCCCTTGCCAGTGTGAACAGTTCGCCTACTCCCAGCGCTCTAGTAGGCCAACGTGCCATTGTTGAAATAGCCGCTCTGAGGCGGGCATTAAATCGTTGCTTTCCTCGAGAACCTGGCGAGCCGCCTTTATAGCGGTTGCTGGAAAGCTGATTTCCTGAACGCCCGAGGTCATGGAATCAACTAGCTTGTTTCCTTCCTCCGCATCAATATCTTGATACAACACTTTAATCGCCACCCGCCTTCCTTTGCGCATGGTTGACGAATATACCACATTCGCGTTGAGCACCCAGAGATGTAGAGATTGGGATGTCTCTGATTGGGGTGTTTCTGGATCAACACTAAGTGTATGCGATGCCACCACGGATTTAGACGAGCCCGACCGAGATATAGTCGCTATTAGAGTGGCTGCCAGGCACTCTGAGCTGCTTGGAGCCTGGCTGGGATGAATCGTTTCACACGTAACCTGCCACTTGAACAGGGTTATGGATGATGCCAGCGCATTAAACATCCCGATCTCTGCTTTGCAAGCTTTACAGGATACACGTAGAGGCTTCACTGGATCGGCTTCGTCTATGGCTTCTTTGACGGAATCGAAAGAGGCATCGGAAGCTGGGTGGGAAAACTGCTACTGGTAAGCTAAAATATCCTACGCACCCAGAGATCAAAGCGGCACAATCACGTCTACGTAGACTATATATATCTCCTTGAATCTCCCGAATCCCACATCTCTGGAAACTGGATGAAAAGCAAGAGACTGCTTTTATCAGCACCAACGCCTAACCCGTTCTCGGAAAGAAGGGTATGGGCATTAGAGCTGCCCACAGTCAAGTAGGAAGAAGCACTGCATCCTTTTTGGGGAATTGTATCGGTGACCGGGCCACTGAGAGGTATATATACGCTCGGCTAGGCCACCTTCTATTTCCCCGTCGGCTCTAACTAATACTGCGTATAAATATGGGGGGACTGAAGTCAAGACTTACTAATAGGCCATCACAATCCGATTCGGAGAACATGAAGGAAGTGAGGTCCACAAACCCGCTTTCTGGCTGGGCGGTGATCGAGCTATCAGCTCCGTAGCCACGCTTAGACAAGGCTTCGCCATCGTGATGCTCATGTTCATGAGGCTTGTGACAATGCCAGAACTCCATCATCTCCGCCCAGTTCTCGCTGGGCAGGTCTTTCCATGACTTTATGCGCTCTGGCTGTACAATTACATGATCGCAGTGCCGACAGCAGACGCGGGATCCAGCCTTGATATCTGTTGAACTCCAAGGTACTGACTGGTTCTCGGCAGAGAATCGCGGCAGTCCTGTTTCAGTGGCGGGCACGGGCAACCTCCATGCCAAGTCTAGTGAAGAATTTTCTGGAATCGGTATCGCAGAGCGCACTGAGACTCGGGCCGGAAGATCAAGCGCTCTTACCTCGCCGCGGTGATGGACTTGGATGCGACGGCCATCGTCAAGGATCTCAGCTTTGGTCGTCAAGTCTGACGACGAGGAGAGCGTGGCTCTGACAGACACTTGTCGGATGTTTGAGAGCAGCTCGGCATAGATGGAGAGGACCGCGGTATAAGATTGCGCCATGACTCTCCTCTCCTGGCATGCTCTTACAATCTCGACGTTGGCTTTTGGATCGTGGGCGCCGAGGCTGAGGCCGGCGAGGCTCGAGATACGGTACTGGGCTGTGGCTGGAAAACGCGTGACTTGGAGCGTCATAGAACGGGCGGCGCGGGAGTGCAGAAGTTCTCCCCCACTATAATCCTCCATCTCCACATAACTCGGGCCATTGCACCAAAGTACTTTGTCGCCCCAACAATTGGTACTTTGATGAGGTTGACATTTTTATGGTAAATCAAAGCCAATTGCCGTCTTCTTCGCATAAACGCACCAAAGATGTCGGGACTGCTTTCATATATCCCGGGCGCCAGCTTGGTCATGGGCAGTAGGTCGAAGACGGGAGCCATTGATGTGCCGCCGGTTGAAGTCCATCATATTGAGACAGACGCTGATAAGCGGGCTCGATGCCTCAAGCACCTATTGAAGGCAAACCACGTAAACTACGCCATACTGTGGAACAATCTCCAATTCGATAACCACAACCCCCATTTACTCAGCTCGACGTATCTACTTGGCGGGAATGAAAACCATCTCAATGAGGCCTACAATAACGAGATTAAAGACCTGGTTCCGTGGGAGCCGTCGCCTTCCGAAGTGATTGACGAGGATTGGAGGGACTTTCTCGGAGACAAGCGCTACCAAAGGGCCTTTGTTGATTACTTCGAGGATAAACTCGTCATGGAATATGCGTATGATTGGAAGACGGAAGTGCAGCATTTCCTGTTCAGTGGCAAAAAGCCGCTGTTTCATGCTTTGCTAGACGGGCGTATGAAACCTCCCCCATAACAATTTTCTTCCAAGCCACATATACTGATTAATGCTAGTTGGCCACCCAATTATCCATCTTGGTTATGCATATGAGATGGATAGCAAAGAAATTGCGATGGAGGCGCTTGCAATGGCCGCCGTCAAGTATGATTTTCTTCACGATTATCTTGATGACAGTTCCTATACCAGGCCGTCTCCGCTGAAATCAAGAGCGCCCTTGGACCTGTTAATCCAGCTCTCCAAGGACGATAGATTCAGCAAGAAGGAAGTTCAAGTCGGTGATATGCAAAAGTACTTGAAAGATCATGAGTCGGCTTTCCTGGAATATTGGAATGGATGGGATATTGATGATGATCCGAAGAAACAATTTGAGCTGTCACAAGAAGCAGCTGTCGCATTGCTTGTGGCCACCGTTCAGCCAGGAACCCACGCCTACAACTTCTTCATCGTCCATCTCCTAACTACCAGCCATGCCGTCCGGGTTCTTCTTACTTTTATCCCACCCCAGCATCATGTTACTCTAGTTAGGGCATGGTGGCTGTTTGTCTTGGCTGTATTCAGTATCAAGGGCCGACCGTTACCCGATTACGACAATATTGAGACCGACTTGAAAGGAAAGAATTGGAAATATGTGGAAGATAAAGGGCTGAACTCACCGTGGTCCAAAGACGCCCACTACGTTAAAGGTACAGTTCTATTTCGCGATGCGAGAGAGGTGAATAACTAGACGCTAACATTGGTGCGTACAGCGGTACGAGCGATAAGAGACGCTGCTCGAACATGGGGCGATGTTCACGACCGCTATCTTCAAGCCGCAGTAACTTTTGTCGACAACTTTCATGGATGGGTTTTTTAGTTGTTGAAGAGGGTATTGACTGGCAACTTGGCTGGATAAGAAGTGGAATCGGAAATGAAAGCTTGGTAATAAGGCATAGCATGGAAACATGAGTTGATCTAAATTTTAGGTATTATTTGGATTTGGATTTCGTATTTTCTTTAACTGCATCTAGTCCAGATATCTGGACATGCATGAATATCTACTGGTATTTTTTCACATATTTTATTTATATTTATATTTTTATTTTTGGATATAGACAGTACTTATTACGACCAAATGTTTTCCTAAAGTTTAATAGCACAAGCCTATCAAAAGGCATCTCCTGCCTAACGACGGCTGCCTTGGCAGCTGAACATACAGTGCTGGTTAAAAGCATATACACTGTACACAGACTACCTACTCGCTAGCTAGACGTCCCAAGATTCCCATCATCTCTTCATATCACTCCATACTCTTTTCCCTCGATACCGTATCAGCCCTTCTATCGACGCTGCCGAGCGAGCCCCCGGCTGGCTTTGCATCGTATGCGCTAGAATTGCATGGGATTCTCACAGCACAGATGCTTCAGTCGCGTTAATGGCACCGCCCGCGAAGCGTCGCCGGCGGAATACCGTTGAGGCGTCCGACGATGAAGACGAGCAGCCCAAGGCCAACACCTTGTCCAATTTCCTTCTCTCTTCGCCAAGCACTCCGTCAAAGGCACGAGCGCCGACCGCATCGCCGAGCCCCGTGAAGAGACGGACCGCGAATGGCCAGTCCAGCAATGGCAGCCCTCTTCGTCCATCGCGATCACAAAAAAATGGCACCAACTTGAGCCCTAAGAAAACCCGAGATGCGGGCAAAGTTGACGACAAAGGGAAGACTGCCGATTTGAAAACCCTCTTCTCCAAGCAGGCGCAAAAGGTGACAAGGCCAGGGGTGGGAACCGACAGAAAGACGGAGCCGATTGACGATCTGATCCACGATCCTATATCCGACGACGACGATATATCAGAGTTCAAAGCTAGCTCTTCCAGTTTGGTTGGGCAGCATGTGAGGAAACGGCTAAAAGGTTCAAGTGCCGGCACTCAATCTACTCCCGTTGGCTCGTTAACTATGAGCCAACGGTTCCTCAAGCCAAGTCGACCAACGACCATTGACACATTAAACGATGACTTACGCCCGTGGTCGGAACGATTTGGCCCGCGAAACTTGGACGAGCTAGCAGTACACAAGAAAAAGGTTGCAGACGTTAGGAGATGGCTTGAAGATGTTATGGGAGCTCGGATGCGGCAGCGGGTGCTGATATTGAAAGGCGCCGCTGGCACTGGGAAGACCACAACGGTCCGTCTCTTGGCAGGCGACATGGGATCTGAGATTCTAGAGTGGAAGAACCCTGGTGGAAATGCAGTGACTGGTTACGTCTCGTCATCGGCGCAGTTTGAGGATTTCCTTGGGCGAGGAGGCAAGTTTGGCGCTCTGGAGTTGGAAGAACCGGAGCCGTCATCCACGCCGGTGAGCTCAAACGGCGCCGCGCAAAACAGCGGCGGTAGCAAAAAGATTATTCTCATCGAGGAATTTCCAAACACTTTTTCTCGAAACTCTACTGCGCTGTCTTCTTTTCGGCGCACCATCCTTCAGTATCTGGCGTCGCAAACGCCGTCTCTACATGCTTTTGGACAGCAGAAGCGAGCGGAACCCATCACACCCGTTGTCATTGTCATATCAGAGACATTGTTGACTACGACGTCGGCTTCAGCAGATAGCTTGACTGCTCATCGACTGCTTGGACCAGATATCCTCCGACATCCAGGAGTCGGCTTGATCGAATTTAACGCGATAGCCCCTTCGCTACTGTCCAAAGCTCTGGAGGTGGTTGTACAAAAAGAATCGCGAAAGTCAGGGCGGAGACGAACACCAGGGCCACTGGTACTAAAACGACTCGGCGAGATTGGTGACATTCGCAGTGCCATATCATCGCTCGAGTTTCTATGCTTAAAGGGAGACCAAGATGCCGACTGGGGATCCAAGGTTACGTTTACAAAGCAAAAGAAGGGAGCAAAAGACGGCATCGCCCTCACACGCGGCGAAGAGGAGAGCCTCGAACAAATATCTCAGCGCGAAGCCAGCCTGGGAATTTTCCACGCGGTCGGCAAAGTGGTCTATAACAAGCGAGACGATATGCCATCAAATGATCCGGCAGAAAAGCTACCGAGTTATCTATCGCAGTATTCGCGCCCAAAGGCATCACTAGTATCTGTTGATTCACTGATCGACGAGACCGGCACCGATACGCATACGTTCATTTCGGCCCTGCACGAGAACTATGTGCTATCTTGTGAAGGCACGGATCCAATGGATCTCTCGACCCCAATAGACTACGTCAACGAGTGTATTGAGTACCTTTCTCTGGGTGACTTGCTCAGCCCTTCTGGGGACGTCTTCTTTGGCGGACGAGGCGGGTTTGGCGGAAACTTTGGGGATTCTGCGAGCCATGTTCTTCGCCAAGATGAGATAACATTTCAAGTCGCGGTGCGTGGCATGCTCTTCTCCCTACCTAATCCTGTGAAGAGAAAGACATGGACCATGCAAAAGGGCAGCGACGCATTCAAAATGTTCTACCCAACAAGTCTTAAGCTTTGGCGAACAAAGGAAGAGATTGGTGGGCTCATTGATGTTTGGTCTGGGAAAATCCTTCGAAGCGAAATTGAGCTACCAACCAGGAACATCGTGGACGGTGCTAGCATCTTTCGACGGAATCAGCTATCTGCCAACTCTAACCAGGAGCAGAAGCAAGCAAACAAAGCCCCTGCATCCAAGGATAGGACACAAAGAGAAGACGAAGAAGAAGAAGCAAGCGATACTCTCCCGATCATGACCCTCGGCAGCACATCTCGCCGCGAACTACTCCTCGAACGGCTCCCCTACATGGCACACATTGCTCGCTGCCGCAAGACTGGCATTCGGCAGCGAGACCTCGAAAAGATTGTTTCCTTTTCCGGCGTGAGCGTCTCGCCAGACGACGAGTCGGACGCGGATGAAGAAGGAGTCGCAACAGGAGAGATGTGGGCAACTGACAAGCCATCTGAGGACGGCACCCCGAGGAAGAAGAGGATGGGCATCAAGGCCGGAACAGGCGTTGCGGGAATGCTGAAGCAGAAGCTGGTTCTAAGCGATGACGATATTGAAGACTGAATGAAGAGACTGGGAAGTGGAAAAAAGAAGTTATAAGAGGGGCGTTTGACTGGGATTCGAATGTATTATGGGATGAACGTGGAACGGATTTTGAGACTTTTGATCTCCTCTTTTTTCTTTTTTTTCTTATCTTTGACAGCCCGGAGTTACTATGTGTACTTATACTATAAAGCGATGAGCATCTAGAAAGATGTGGGATTTGATGCCTGTTTTTTCGAGTAGAATGGGGGGTCGCGCATCATCAGGGCAACTTGGTGTCTTGCGCCTCCTTTTTGATAAACAGCATCTCCAAACAAGAAAATTCTCAAAAGAATATATATAACAAGACGGGGCGGCACATGTTTTTAGAAACGGTTCGTGTCTTTTTGTTTGACCCAGTAGAATAGTCTAAACGCCTGCCTGCGAGAAACCGGAGAAGGGTTTTTTGAAAAGAAGAAGAAAAAAAAAGAACAAGAACGAAAGAACGAATGAAAGAAATGAAAACATAAAACTAGTAAAAAAGTGTTTGAAATCTCGCAGCCTATTCTAGCCACGCAACACGTGCAAGGCGCGCAATGAATATACGCAAAGGCATCTTCTGTCTCATCGCAGCCGTGGCCGCAGCCGTGGCCGCAGCCACAAAATCCTCATCCGGGTCTATGATTGTGTTTCGCGCAAGACGCGCAATGAATACACGCAAAGGCATTCTTTGTCTAATCGCAGCCCTTGCCGCAGCCGTAGCCGCAGCCGCAAAATCATCCTCCGACTCTCTGACGTTATCTCCCCCTGTCTCTAGACTATCATCTTGGCCTACCTATGCGGCAAGATTTTCAGCAACAAAGGACTAGAAAAAAGAAGAGACGTTAGCTACTGGTTTCGTGAACGGATTCAGAAAAGGAGTTGTATGAGATTGTAGACAGATTAAGGGGATGCTTTCTTACAGGGAATTCCTTCTGTAATGAATTAATGACGTTTTCAACCTCCTCGGCCAGACTCTCCACGTTGGCATCCCATCTGCGCATCTCTTTGCCTGCTAGAGCCTCAGCACGGCCGCTGCCTTTCTGACCTGATGCTTCTCCGCCTTCAAACCAGACGATTCCGTCCAGCTGATCCATTCGTCCCACAAGTCGTCCCTGTTCGATCATCCGTGCGGTTGTCTCTTCTGCCTTGTCGGCATCCAGACCCAGCAGCGAGCCCAGGGCTTCGAATTGGATGTTGTTGTACAGTCTTGACACGCCAAGCAAGTTGTGCTCCATGACCGCCTTGGCGAGGACGGTCGATCCGTCAGCTGTGGTGGCCAGCTGATGTGGCTGTAGTCCCTCGGCGAATTTATCCACTTCGGCCGGCGAGAGCAGCCGGTCCAGGAATATCTTTTCCAGGATGCCAAACTCGTCCAACTGCGCTGATCTCTCGTCTTTGTATAACCTTCCCAGGATCCGGCTTCTCATAGGACCGGCAGGCGCCAGGATGGCACACTTGACAGCCATGCTCAGCGTGTGAAGACGCTCCTCTTCGGCCACGGCGGGGAAGAAGCTGATTTCGTGATATCGCTGGGCAGCAAACAAAAAGTCTCGCTTCGCATCCTGGATACGCGCCTGTGAGAGGCGAAAGTGGAGGTTGAGGTCCGGGTCTGAGACAGTGTGCATGATGTTCTTGAGCTTGTTGATGTACGTCTCGGCGGCGGTGTCATCGCCGACTTCTAGGTAGTTGCGCACGATGCGAACCCACACGCGGGCCTTGTCGGCATCCGACACTTTGCGTTGCGAACTATCGAGGGGGATCTCGGCCAGGGCCTTTGCGGCATCGAGGAAGTCTTCATTGTTCTCGTGGGCCGTGGCCACGAGCTCGTATATTGTCGCAGCGGCGTCGAAGAAGGACGACGGCTGGGCTGCCAGGATGCCCAGCGTTCGGTTTCCGACCTCGATCCAGAGGCTCTCTTTATTAATCGTCTTGAGTGTTGTGATGAAGGCGTTTAGAAAGGACCGCGTGGCTACCAGGCCGAGGCTCTGGTTGAAGAAGGAATCGAAGACGGCGTTGAGATCGGCTGCGGTGGGAGTGGGTGAGGAATAGGTCGGGATATCGTTGAGGAGAGCTTCGTAGAGGGGGCCCTTGTCGCCGGGAGCTGATTCTGCGGCGGCGAGAGCCGCAGTTACTTTTGGATTGGGATCCATTGTGGAGAGAGTAACTAGATGTGAATAAGGCGAGCTGTTTGTTGGAAGAAAGGGAGTCGAGAGAGTGAGAATGTGATGAGATGGTTTGATGTTGATAGCGGAATTGAAAGTTACTTTGGCGGGGCAGCGCCAAGCTACAGCGGGGCAGCTCCCGGAAGACTGCTAAAATTAGGCTGCTGGGGTACATGGAGTCAGCACCTGGCTGTCGTTCTTTGACCATTTCAATGCCCGACGTCAGATACATGAAAATACTAATGGATATTCAATATACATGTACTCTTTCATATGCAGCCTTAGCAATACCAGGGCAAAGCTTGCTATTTTTCTTCTTCACTTTCGTGCAGTACACTTGTTCACCGCTATACATCTTCCAGTAAAAGCCCATGCAGCCAAAAAACACCCTCCAGTAAACTACACCTGTAACCAATAATGTGGCCAAAGTCAAATGCAGCCACGCATAACGCCGACTATGTGCACATATCCATCCAAAAAAGCACAATCTAAAAAAAAAAAGAAAGAAGAAAAAAAGCGTCCATCTATTGGACACCTTAGATCGTACCGGCCAAGATCTTTCCAGACCAAAGCATGTATGTCGCAAGGCCTTTTGCTTCCTCCCGTGGCTTCTATTTGTTATGCCAGAGTAAAGTCCTCAGCGAGTCCCACTCGTCGCAGTCCTTGTAAATGTACGTCATGCTACTCCTCAGGCTCGACTGCAGATCCTCGGGATGGTGCTTGAACAGCAGCATCACCAGACCCCACGACACCGAGGCGAACACGGGCCATGCGTAGTGGCTGATTTGCGAGTGCAGCGGCTCGGACGAGATAATGGGCAGGCCGTGGCCCGGCTTGACGGCGAGGCGCGCCAGGCCGAGGGCAACGCGCGCAAAGATGTAGATGACGATCTGCTGGCTGACGGAGGAGATTTTGCCGTAGCGCTTGGAGCGCTGGCCGAAGACGAAGTAGCCGCCGAGAAGGCCGGCGAAGAAGGAGTCGAGGGGGCCTGTGGGAGACGAAGTGAGCATTGCGTATCATACCGATGAAACCACCCGAATAACAGACGGAGAGACACATACCCTCCTTGCCCGGCGTAGATCCGTATCGCTTCAGCGCCAGCATTGCAATCTTGTATATGGACGCAAACTTGGCCAAGTTCGTGGCATGCTTCTTCGTCGCTCTAAACACCAATGAAGCCTTTTCTTTGAACCTACCGCCCAAAGATCCATGTTAGCACGAGCCTCTTCCTCAATATGCGCATACGTGTGTACAGATGGCTATCGATCGATGTCGTCGGCGGCAAAGGGGAAAGATACGTACGTTCCGGATCGGAAGAGAAAGATCATCCTATCGCGCACACGTCAGCACAGCACCAAAAAACAAGGACCTCGTCCGGCCCAATTATCCAACCTCGTTCTCGAGACTCACACCAGCGCGTGCGGAAACCGCACTTTGGATCCGTATACTGCGCCATTGCGCGCCGTCTTGAGCAGCGATAGGACGTCATGATATGTCGGGTCGAGCGCGATGCTCTCTGCAAAGGCCTGTCGCGGGATGGACGAGTAAGAATTTGGCTGTTCGTCTTGGAGGCTGTTCCCGATCTATTTCGCTTCCATCTCTGCGACAGAATGGGGAGAAGCCTCATCGCCAAAGGGTTTCGCATACCTTCAACTCCTCCAAGAACACCGAGGCCGCCATGGTGCCTCGGCTATTGACGCTTTTATCGCGGTAGCGTGTCTTGCGCAGGTACTGTTTCCGGACAGGCGAGGGTCTTTGCGACTTGCGCAGGAGAGAAAGACGAAGAGAATATCGACTAGAATATTGGTTTGAAGGAGAGTCAAATGGAGCAAAGAAAAAAGAAGAGAAGAGAAAGGGTGCCTTACAAAGTTGCGGTTAGCTGGAGACCCAAGCTCCGGCTGCTGAATGACTTTGAGCCTCGGCCGGCTGTTGCGCGCTGGGATGGGGGAAAATATGGGGACCTGGTTTTTACCCTATGAAGAATTGAGGGCCGGAGAGTAGATTCAATGGATACGTCACTCCCTCTTCGTTAGCAGTCCCCGCTGCCGCAGTGGAGCTGAGAGACCCCTAGAGTCGACTGCGTGTAACCTGGAAAGCAGCGCAATCCCGCCTGTGGTTTATTGGCACAGCGCTTTAGACTCTGTAGATCTGGTGGGAGATCTGGCACATGTGCGGAGAAGATGGGAAGCTGACGGTCACCATCTCGACGTTGGTGCTTGTCTTTTGGCATGTGATTGTGATGCTGCATGTAAATGTCCCTGCCACGTGCTGGAAATCTGTCTACGCATTTGCTCTAACGAAATGTCAGCTTAACCACCTGTATGCCCTCAGACAGTAAATCAGAATACAAAATCTATTATCCAATTGCTTACCCCCCTCTTCTAATACCTGTAGCCAACGCCATACCAAATCTACCCAATATCAATGCGTCCAATATCCAACCTTCAGCACCACCTCTCCCACGGCTCCCGCCACGTAACCCCCAAAATCTCAAATATCCTCCTCTCATCCCTCCGCTCCACCAGCTCCCCTTCCGTAACTTTGACTCTATCCGGCCCCCTCAGCACATCGCGATACAGCCCGTGCTGGTTCAGCCTCATGCCCTTCTTGGACGCCAGCAGCCGCATGCTGCGATTGAAGATGTCGTTGCCGGTGAAGTAGATGAGCGCAGCGCCCAGTTCCACCTCTGGCACCAGTAAAAAGTCGATTCTTCTCCATATCGGGCGGTACTCTTCGTCGTCGTCGTTGAGGCCCTTGATCTTGGGCAGCACGCAGCATCCGTGCCATTTGCTGCCATCGCTTCCGGCTCGGGATGATGCCAGTCGTGCCACGAGAAACTCGTCTCTCTCCAACTGAGCCACCAAGGTATTCAAAAAGGACTTGAGATGTGCCACAGATTCCGTGCCGGGCTTCGTCACGATGAAATCAATGTCGTGAGAACTCTCAGCACCCCTTCGGTAACTGCCCCCGATAATGAGCTGCACCATCGGATCCATCTTCGCCGCAGCCCTCTTCACAACCTCTCCAAGGGCAGTGACTTCCTTTCGGGGTATCCTCGTGTTTAGGTCATCGTAGTGCTCGACGCCAACCATCTGGCTGGGCGTCAGCTTGACATGCTGCTTTATGTCGTCGAGCGTCCGCCAGCCTTGCGCAATCCATTGCTGTGCTACCTTGTTCCCCACGCCGTAAATCTTGAGGAATGTTTGCAGCGCAGAGTTTGTCGGTTCTTCCTCTGCGTATTCGAGCCTCTTCAGCTTATCCGTCGTCACAATTTCTTCAATCTTTTGCGCTAGCCGACGGCCGATACTGGGTAGTCGGTATGCCTCTTCTTCAGTGGTGATCTTGACGGTCTGCTGCTTCAGGGTGCCAATGGCCTTCCGATAAGCCAGTGTTCGCCAGTGATCGTTGACTCTCTCGTAGTAGCTGTTCATCTTTTGCAGCATCTCAATGGTGCGTGCATTTGGGTTGTCTTGTCCAGCATCCTTTCTCCCGGCTCTGTTGCAAGCAAAGCGATCTTTAAAAGTAATTGCCTTGTTGGTTGGCCGTACCCTCCTAGATGATCTTCTCTTTGAAGGCCGCTCATTCTCTGAGCCAGACCCTTGGTCGAGATCCACCTGGTGTTGCGATCCAACGCTCGTGGACTGAGCATCATCGTCTTCGTCAACATCCAGGGGCAAGTCTTTAAACTCTTGCATCATTGAGATGAATTCCGATAACTCGTCATCCTTCTTCGGTGGCGTTTTGGATCTAGCATTGGCTTTTGGCAAACTCTTCATGAGCTCGTCTGCATTATCCAAGTCCAGTACAAGAGGCTGAGAGTTCGTCGTCGCCGCCGCTGATCTAGTCGCACGCCTCGTCAAAGTACTACCCACTGAAGATTCCTCTCCTTGAGAAGGCGTCCCCCTGGGTGGCACATAATCCCACTTCCTCTTGTTATGATGCTGCGGCTTCAATGGCAATGAACTCGCCTTTGACTTTGTCCCAGGGCCGGAATCTACAACACCAGAAGTAGGAAGAAGAACCTCTTTGTCTTTTGTTTCCGTCGTAACCTGACCGTCTAGAAGATACTTCTTTTGACCCGGATCCACAATAGCACGGAACTGAATGCAATCAAGGGGGTAATCCTCGTTGACAACCTTTGGCGGCGCTCGATCCCCAAATCCGTCCTTCGGCCACAGCTTTTCAACATCCTTATACACGAGCTTCTTCTCCACAATGACATGCGTGGCCGTCATCATGTCTCTCGTCCACTCTGCTCCAAATTCCTTGGCCCTATTGATCCGCAGCCGCCTGACAGGTGCAATGTCATTGTCCGGAATGTAAAAGAAAGACAACCCCTCGAATATCTGCTCAACCTCAGGCCGCGTCTTTAACGTTGCAACACGCCCTCTCTTTTTATTGCCGCTGGATGTCTTTGTCTTTTGCGTCCGTGTCGTCGCCCCGGCTCTGACATTAACAGACGGCGATGATGACGCCTCTTCAGAGCAAGTTTCCAGCGACCTTGATAACGACACCGGTGGTGGCATAGGAGCATCGTCAGTAGCAACAACGATTGAGTCCCTGTCCTTGTGCCCGCGCAACTTATCTGCGCCCAGTGATGGCGTTTCTCGTACCACGTCCTCCTCCCTGCTGCGCAACAGCGCATCAAGCCGCCCCTTTGGCCTCGGCTTCCCCGGTCCAGTCCCCATAATGACCGTTCCAGACGGAGGCAGAGGCGCCGCAATGAGTCTCCGGGGAGTGAGATTTTGCAGCTTGTTCAGCCGCTTCGCAGGCAAAAGCTGTTGTCCTGCATGTTCTTGTTGTTTCCGTGGCCCTTTTTGGCCGTGTACGTCCAAATTCTTCGTAGGCCGAAAGAAGTTCCTGTGAAGCGCCCTCTGCTTTTCTTCGCGCGCATCGAAAGCGTCGTCGTCTGGTTTCCCGGATATATGCCCACCGCTGGTGGAATGAGAAAATCTTTTTAGCTGGTCAAAGTACGCGGCCTTGGATTCCGCCGAGGTTGGTGCGTTCTCATCCATTTTGGTGAGAGTCAACTTATGAAGCGTGAGTATCAAGATGGGCGTGTTCTGTGAGCATCAAGTTTTATACCACAAGATGGTGAAAGGACGAGAAATGAACGTCTCCGTTCTTTACGCGCTGTTAATGTTATTATACAATGCGGCAAGGGCATTTGGTGTTGTGAATAGAGAAGCATTAGCCGATTTCAATGTTTTAAGCCATCTTCATGAGCTGCGAATGAATGGATGGGTGAATAAGTGGTTGTTTATCGCATCCATTGTCAGCTCAGGTTCTCGAGTGTGTTTCAGCGAGATGTTTAGTGCGTATAAAAGTGAGATTCGTGAACGAGAGCAGTATTAGTGAGACGTCCCAGGCAACAACGCGCTAAAGACAGCCACTAACAATACCTAAGTACCTACCGAATACGGATACCAACTCTCGCTCACTCGCATACGTACCTATACGGAACATCTTCATCTCATGAACAAAACAACTGCGAATAGTCCTAAGCATGCTGTCAAATAAACTCTCCAGCCCTCTCTCTCACCCATCCAACGCGCATGACTCCAAAATACATCGCCGCCCACCACCACACCGAAACTGCCGCTGTTCACCTCATCCCTTTTTATCAGCATGCGTACAAACCTACATGAGATATAATACTTCCATCTTCTTTCTCCTTTCTCCTTTTCTCTCGCCATGTTCTCTAAACATCAGTCTTTCACGGGGACTCAACTACACAAACCAAATTCTTAAACTAATAGCACTGCCAATGGCTATTATGTATTGCAAGGCTACCTAGGTATGCACCAAAAAGATCCGCTCCCAAGCAGTAGAATAGACATTAAGAAGAAATCTAGATACTATGCCAGAAATACAACTCTCCCAAGAAGCTCCTCCCGAGAGCAGAATATTGTAATGCAAAAAAATGTTCAAACGTCCAAGCTATAGTGCCCGAAAATCCAAGGCGGTGGTTTGTTGTTGTATATATATATATAACATGTACAAACGTTGTTGTTTTTGGTTGTCCTGGGCTGCCCGCCGGAAAAAAAAAAGGTAAACAAAATCAAATAGTAGACAGCTCCAAACTCCTATACTGCCCCTCAAAACGCCAGCTGTTTGTCTAATTATTTTCTTCTTCTCAGATCAAAAGAGTCTCCCGGCCAGCTCTATTGGGCGTCAGCATAATATGTTATATCATCATATAGATGCAAAGCGATTTCCCCTCCGAAAATGAGAAGCAAACTCCATCGCTGAATGCTGAATGACGCATTTCCCATATATTCCATCTCTTTTATTACAATCATGGTGCAAGCCGACCAAGTCGCAAGTCATCTGCTAGATTTGCGACGCTTCTAGCTTCGGGAGGAAAAGAATCCACCAAAACCTGCCTTGGCCTGGCCCTTTTTCAAGAGTTCCTCGAGTCGCCTAGTCTCTCGGACTGCAGCCTCGCGGTCCTCTTGGAGGTTGAGGACCTCTACTTGAGCCATGTTCATCCTAGACACGACTTCTTGCATTTCATCCTCTGCATCTACAAGTGCCTTTTCCAGCTCCAAGACTCGTACTCGGAGAGTCTTCATATCGGCCTCTTCTTCAAGACTCTTGGCGGGGGGGCGGGTGCTTAGCAGTGGCTTGGGGCCAGATCTGTTGGAGGAGCCATCGACGGGATCAGTCTGAAGGCGACGCAGCTGCTCGTTATGCGCCTCACGTAGCGTGGTAATCTCCTCCTCGTGGCGCACGATGCGGTCCTCTGAAGCGGACTGGGCGGCAACGACCTGATCCTCCATGACTCGAAGGCGCTCTTGGAGCTCCGAGATACGCTGCGAGTTGGTCTTACGGTCCGACTCCCCTCTTGCAACGGCAGCTTCGAGACGCTCTCGGAGTTCAGCGTTAGTGTCCAGCTGCTGGCGAACTTGGGCTGTGAGCTGCTCAATGAGATCCGCAGACTCTTTGAGCTGTTGCGCCAAGGTGGCGTCGGCCGCCATCGACTGAGACTCGCTGGCGGCGAGCAGGTCGATCTGGGCCTTTTGCTGGCCAATTTCCCTTCTGGCGGCATCGCGCTCCAGAACTGCCGCAGACAGGGATCGTTCCAGGCGCTGCATAGCCTCTTGGGTCTCCTCATCCGCAGTGTCGGCTTCCAGCTGACGGATACGCTCCAGGGATTCGGCGTACGCAGCTTGTAGCTCTTCGTAGGCAGTTCGAAGAGACTCGGACGTGACCGGCTCTCGCAGGGTATCGCTTGAGCCGCTCAGGCGGGCGGGAGCAGGTGGGATCAGAATGTCATTTGCCTCCAGCACGCTGCGCAGGGACGCAATCTCCTCAACGGCCCGATCAAGATCGATTTTGAGACCACCAAGGCCCTTTTCAACCTGCCACTTCTGCTCGAGGGCGTCTTCGGCGCGTCGTCGTAGGAGATTGATCTCCGTCCGCAGCTTTCCCATGTCCTTCTCAAACCCGGCCTTTCTTGGCGAGACGGTGGTGAGCCGCTGGCGTTCGGTCTCGAGAGCGCGAATCTTCTTCTGGTATTCTCGGTTCTGGAACTCTTGGCGCTCCAAGAGGCTCTTGAGGGCGCTATGAAGAGCGTCGCGTTGAGCTTCCACATCTTTCAGTCGCTCAATCAGAACCTCTCGAGGCTCTGTCGTGGCTGTGTTCTTGACGCTATCAGACCTTTTCAGACCACCACCAAGACCGGAAGGCCCACGGCGCATAGAACCGGTAGCTACTGAGTTGGACCGTGAGAGACCCATTGAATTCGACCTGGACAAGCTGGACAAGCCAGACAAGCCTACAACCGACATTCGCTTGGTGGGCAGATCTTCAATGCCACTGGCCATGGAATTGCGAAGTGAGCTGTTTTCACGCTTCAAGGTGGAGAGCTCCTGCTGCATCCTGGAAGACTCATAAGTCAGGTTGGCATACTCGGCAGCCTCCGACTCGAGACCTTCCACTCGCGCCTTGAGCTCCGGGATGACCTCGTCACGAAGGTTATCTCGCTCGTCGCAGGCGTCTCGAAGTTGCCCCTTGAGAGCAGATAGCAGGTCCTCAAAGTTAGTCTTGGACTGGCGCTCCTCTGATAGCTTTCGCCTTAGATCTTCACAAGTGTTTTCTAGTTCCTGGATCCGCTCACTGGCGTCAATATTATTGATCTCAACAACGTCCACTTCAGAAGCCCTCTCTTGCAACTGCCTAATCTTCTGGTCAAGCTCTTTTCGCCTCTCTCTTTCATCTTGTAATTTGGCCGTCAACTCCAGGCGAAGAGACGCCTTTTCCTGCTCTGCCTTCCTCTGCACCTTTTCGATTTCATCTCTGCCCTGGTCAGCAGACTCGTTGAGTTTTACTGTGCTTTGACCAGAGTCGGAAAAGTAATCGCTTGTCCTTTTACTACCAGCTGCCTGGGGGTTGTTTGCAATTTGCTCTTGGAGCCTGTCGGCCAGATCTTCCAGGTCAATCTCGCGGCGGATAGATGCGGCCAGCTCTGAGCTGATGGCTTTCAACTCCTCCTCCATCTCGTCAATCAGCGTTGTATTTTGGGAGAGATGTGGTGAGTGCGTCGAAAAAAATGATTCGCGTTGTTGGGCGAGAGTTGATGCCGCATTGGTTTTGTTGTAATTGGACGCTAAGCTGTTTGTCGATCGTCTATTCTGGGGATTTGGTGAGAATGGAGACGGTGAGGGGAGGGACGTCAGATCTGTGGCTGAGGGCGAGGGATTGCCCCAGCCAAAAATAGAAGCCAGTGGAGAGGTTGCGCCCGGTGACCTTGGCAAAGGTTTGTTCCTGTTTGGCGATCCGTCTATTGTTGCCGACTGCGGCGAGTCGTCTATGTATGAATCTAGGCCTTCCTCTATTATTGAGGGATCGACTCTCTCTAGCCGTAGATGTGGAGGAGTGTGCTTTGTTGGAGCCAACATGGGCGATGAGGGGGGAGGAGTAGAGTTATTATTGTCGTCGTCGTAGATGGACTCGGCGTCAGACGCGCTGTCAATGACTTGGCTGTCAGTGACTGGCTCGTGAGCTTTGACGGACACGTTGTCGGGAGTGGCGCCGGGTGCTAGATCTGAGAGCAAATCGTCGTATTCTGACAGGGCATCAGAGAACTCGGTGTCAGCTGTTTCAGCGGGAGAAGGCCCACCACCGTGCGTGGAATTGTTTCCCGAGGCAGTCGGTGTTTCGTCGTCGGTTGGCGCTGGCGCTGTTCTGGATTCGGACAGGCTGGAAGGGTTCCGAGTTAGTTTTCTTTGTTCTCCTGTCTTTTGGCCGCTTTTACGCCTTGTCGTGAACAGTTGCCTTTGTAGCAAAGAACAAGAAACCGAACAAAGGGAATGTCACTCACTGTGATGCTCGCACCGAAGACTTGGCAGAAGGAAGGTACGGGTAGAAGGTGGGACTGTCGACAGAGGGCGACCGTGCGAATCTGTGATCCGGTTTGGGTAGGTCGATGGTGGTTTGGACGGGAGGGCCGTGGGCGAGATACTGCGTGACCAGAGAGGACGGTGCGGCGCTGGACACGGGCTTCCGCTTGATGGGACCGGAGAAGCGAAAGGGGAGAGACGAGACGGCCACGGGAGAGATGAGGGTGGGAGCAGAAGAGTCGACGTAGTCGAGCGTCTGGGACCGGCTGTGGCTGGCAGCGATGCTAGTGCGTATGGGATTGGGAGCAGGAGCGGCAATGGTTGCTGACCCCGGATGGTGTTGGTGCTGGAGCTGGAGCTGGACGTCGTCTGGGGAATGCTCTTGGTGTTCTTGGTACTGCTCTTGTTGGTGCTCCTGTTGGTAGTCTTGGTACTCTTGGTAGTGGTCCCGGTAGTGGTCCTGGTCGTCTTCTTGTTCCTGGCCGTAGTACTGCTGGTACTGCCGGTAGCCGTCTTCGTCTGATGCTGGCTCTTGTTCCTCGTGGTGGGTGGTGCTATGCCTCAACGGCGATGCAGGTGGAGAGACTTCAGATGAAGCAGACGGCGTATCAGAGTCTGGCAGGATCGACGCCATGGCATGGGGCCCGCTGGGAGGTTGCGATGCGACGTCCATGATATTGAGCGTCGTGGGGGTACGAGGCTGTTTGCAGCAGCAGCACTACTAGCCGAAGACGAAGATACGAAGACAGAGGAATGCGCCGCAAGCGAGGCACTGTAGCTAAGAGGTACTACAGCTGGTACCGCAGTCGGCACGGCAGCAGCAGTACTTGGATCCAGAGGTAGGTATTACTGTACAGGTACGGTGGTCGAAGCAATGCTCGAGAGAGGTGCTTAACGCCGGTGGCAGGTTTAAAATTGCCCATGAATCGGACGGTCGAAAAGGGACATTTGGCGAGCGAGCCGGAAGGAGGCAGACGGAGGGCTAACTCGAGTCGTGGTAGGGCCCCCGGAGCAGAAGGGGACTTTTGGTCTTAGGCCGGTCTTGGAGTCTGGGAAGAGAGAAGCGTCGAGGGGAGAAAAAGGGAGAAGCAAGGCCTGCGCAGCGACGAGGCTGTGGGGCAGCAAGCAGGCGAGGCCGGGGGTCGAGTGTGGAGGCTGCAGTCTTTAGCCAAGATGAAGAGGTAGCGTATGATGACGCCGGGAACCGTTTTGATCCGATTATCTGCAATATAACTTGGCTCTGATCGTTAAATGATGGCGCCAACTATGGGGGGGCAGCTAGCTCTGGCGGTAGCGCGGGCAACGGCGGTGATGGCAGCAGCCGGAGAAGTGATTGGCCGGCGGTTTCTACAGCCATAATCAGGGTCGCCAGCTGACCGAGGTCTGCATGCAGGTATGCGCCCTGATGCTACTGCTACTGCTACTGCTACTATTTTACTACTACCAGAGACGCACGTCATTTCGGCTAAACAGAGATGAAGAAAGAAGGCAAGATTCAGAGCCAAAAATAAACTCCAATTGGCCGAGCGTCTAGCAGCGTGAGCAAATAAAGGAGGTCGAATTGGCAGCAAGAAACAAGACAATACGCCACCGGCGGCTGCGAGTGGCGCACAATTCAATGGCAAGCGCCTCCTAGTCAGGGGTTTTGGGTTGGCCAGAAAATTGATTGGACTGATTTGATCAGGCAATGTCTTTTATTGCCCTGGTACCTGCGCTAGCGCCCTCCAGCCAAAGGAGAAAAAAAGGACGGCCGCTAGTTGGGCCTCTGGAGCCCGTGACGCGAAACATGCAGTTTGGGCTTGAAGCCTCACAGCCACTTGCAGGAGAGGCGGCTCGACTTCAGCTGCCCCTTATGCCTATGTACACTTTATTGCTATTGCGCATAATAAGGAGCGGCATTTGGCTTGTTTGAATGCCACCGACTAGAGGTAGTAGTACTGCATTGGAGAGGACTTGCTTGTACAAGCAGAGTTGCTTCGCGCAAGCTGCCCCTGTTTTAGCGCCAGGCTCGGCATAAGCCACTAGGACAGCAACAATGCGCATGCAGGCAGTTTAGCATCAATCGCGATGCTGGGATGGCGCTGATCTGGGCAAACTCCAGACTAGACAGAACTAGCACGAACGCATTGATGATATCCATCCTTCTCAGGTAGGTAGGTACTATAAGCATGGAGGTAATATCACGCCTAGTGCAAACGTTAGCAGCGCGACATGTCAACTCTCGCAGACGGCAGCAATTAGACAAGCCTGAGGATGGTGTCAAGTATAGAGAGGCCTTATCTCGCCTGTAAGTGCCCCCTGCGACCAACTCTGCCTATCCGTACCAGGCATCATCAGAGAGAAAACATCTGATCGATAGCGCCTCTGTAAGACGCATCTATCGACTACCGTCAGCCTTCACTTGGCGCGCGCAAAGAGGTCCGGCCTCTCCAATTGGCCCAGGAATGCACAATCGCACCTCGTGCCTCACCTCGGTGGCGGGCCGCAAACAATCGACTGGCTGCGACATGTCCGCCGCCGGCTTTGTTCTCTGCCAGTCTCCACTGAAATGCCTCCCCATGCTCTGCCTGCAGCCTGCATGAGACCTGCTGCAGGCAATCACACTCAGGGCATCATCCAGGCCTCACAGCGCACTTGGTGGCCTCAGCGCGATCTCTCCGGCTGGATGCAGCCAAGCGTTGCATCGAGCTCATTACATGCACCCGCGTCTGGTCAAGTATTCATAAGTTCTGCTGTCTCTCATCTGCATGCAATCCGTTCTTCCTAGGCAAAGCAAAGTATGCACGCAGCCTGAGTGAGGGCAGTTCTCCAAGCCCATTGGGTCCTGCAGAAAAAGGACCGGTTCGCGCTCTTCTTCAGCTCTGCTCTCTGCGTGCCTGGGCGCCTATCATTGCCTCAACGGGATTTCACCGATCCGTCCATCCAAATTAGCACACTTGCAGCAGCGTGAAGCAACCTCCCAACTTGTGTGAGCTATTGCCAAGGTTGGTTGCCATATGCAGTTGGCACATGTAGGTATGTGGTTGTTGCGGTCAGAGGCAAGCCAGTAGCTCAATGTCCCTCAATAGAGCAAACAAGATTGCATCCAGAAGGCCAAACAGCGAATCGCATGTATATCTTAGCATCTTCTCCATAGTAACCACTGTATAGCGACCAAATCGAGTCAGTGAAAAGGTCCATTGAGATTAATAAGAGCTCAAATCCCCAGATTCTAGCCCCCAGGCACGAGATATTAATCTCATCCGGGCCAAAAGGGGCATTCCATTCGTCACATCACCAGCTCGAATAGGCAACAGGCGGCGTGGAGCATCTGCTGCTCCCTTCCTCTTTCAGCGCCGCCTGGAGATCATGACTAGCTCACTTCTTTTTATCTTTTTTACTATAGAAATGAAGATGAAGGAATATCAACCCACGTGGGCCATATATGTGCCTTATCGCACTATTTTGTGTATACCGCGGAATGCGCAACTCTTATAAATCGTTGAGCGCTATATGCTCCGAACATGAAGTTTTAGATTACATGTGCAAATGGCTTGTTAGGTGAGACAGCCCTACAGAGCATAAAAACAACGTGAGAACCAGATGGAGTGACTCTTAATATTGAATCAGCTTATATACCTACACATGTAAATACTAGCATAATCAAACTCTCTAAGCCTCAATAACCTCACTCCTTTCAAACAATGCTCCATGCATTAGCCGTGGACATACTTTAGCCTTTATAGAACACCAGTGCTGTCTGGGTGGGATCGTCTGATGAGAAACGGCAATGAACTGGTGCTTCAAAGTGTCAAACGACATGGGCTGACACAACCTGAAGCAAAGACTAGTCGTTGACTAACGAGTTCCATCAACTTGCAAGAGCCAAATCTCCTTCCTTCTTTGCCTGGTCCAAATATTTGTTAATGGTTTCCATTCTGGAAGGCTGCCTGAATATAGATATGAAAAGCCTCATTCCTCTCAAGAGCCGGCGTTGTTTCGTAAACACTGCTGACAAGGAAACAAGCTCACACGTCGACAAAGTACTAGCAAGAAAAAACCTCATTACCCCATTGATATTCTTCTAAATCTAACCATAGTAGTGCGCATAGTCCTCCCATCTCAATGCCTCTCCCATATCAGTTATAAAAACCCCAGCTTCGATCTGAAGTAATAGGTATCGAAACAAACTCCCAAATTTTCCCATCAGTAAAAAAAAAAGGTTTGCTGATTCAACAAGTGCAAGCAAAGCTCCCATCAAAAAGACTGCGCCGAATATCCTTCATCTGGTTCCAAAATGTCTTATAGAAATAGCTTCCCCTTGGGTAACAGTGCCCAGATGCCGCCACAAGCGCATCTACGCTGCTGTCCCAGAACAAAAGTATACCCAGGGCGTGATACAAACACGTCTTCCATCACGGAGGCGCACCGAGTACACCTCCTCCACTGCTGAGCGCCAAGCTTAATCTCCGCCTTTCTGAACAAATCGACGTAAACGTCTTTCGGCAGCTGGGATTTGTCGTCCTGCACACCGAGAAGGTCATAGTTTGCAAAGAAGAGCTTCGCGGGGTCGGTGAGGGCTTTAAAGGCCGGCAAATCCTTTGTAAAGAGCTTCTTGATGACTGGTATAAAGGGCGCCGCCGGTGGTGATACCGCCAAGAGCATACCCAGCTCGAGCTGAATTTGTGCAGCCTTTACAGCCATGTCAATCTGTTTCCCCTGACCCATTCCCGCTTGGTTCTTCACCAGAGTCGGAAGAAACGTCTGGTACGCTTGGCGAATGTCTGCGCCGAGTATATTGAGCAGCTTTTCAAACTCGCTGGCTTTGATAAGACAAGTCGATGTAATCTGCTGCATTCTCTGGTACGCTTGCTGAAGCTGGGGGTTTAACGGCTTGGGGGCACCTGTTTGGTCCACACCCATCTGTGGCTGTCTGCGGTAGAATTCGTTGGCTTTTGTACTCAGCGTTTCCAGATGAGCAATTCTGCGGCATATTGCCAAGAGAAAGCTTCTGCTAGATGACGAGAGTAAGAGATGCAATGATATGTCGTTTCGTTTGTAGAGATATGGCGTCAGCTCTGCTATCCGCTTAGGCTCCAACCTCGCCATGAACTCGCTGTCATTCATCAACGCGAATAAGCAGTCAACTAGCCACGAGAGTAAATCCAAAGACCACTTGGCGCAACCAGCTAATGCCTCCACAACCTCTATTATATTTCGTCAGCAGGACTAATTTTTACGTCATTCCACGCAGAATACTTTGAAAAAGCCGACTTACCGGGTTCATCGAGAGGACTTATCCTCTCTCGCGCCGTCGCTGGCGTGTTGCTTGCGAGAGTGATGAGGACAACCACATTACGTGCATTGAGATAAACCATGGCAAACTTGCCCTGGAACGACCTGGCATGCATTTCCCCCTTGAAGCCCAAGCTATTCATAATACTCAAGACGCCTTGAAGCGGAAGATTCCTCATAAGCGAGTCATGGTGCATCTCCTCGGAGTAGTCGACTTGAATCTTCAAGACTTTAATCATCTCGTTGATCCAGTCTTGAATAAATCGCCTCTTCGACGTATAGGGTGCGACAATGGCAAGCATATCATCGTAATTGGCCTGATACCATATGGCAGATGAGGTTGCCACCGCCAGACCCGCTACTGAAGACGCATAATGGGCATCTTGATGAGAGTTGCCAATATCTCCGAGAGGGTATTGTAGCTTGCACCACTTGATCTTTCCATCTTCTGACATCTGGATCATGGAACACTGGGTTGGAGAAAACGCGACCTGTTGGCATGGGCCCTCTCCACTAAACGCCCAGCCAACTTGGCGCAGATTCATCACTTTATCAGAATCCTCGGTCGTATATATTTCTTCAAAAGTGTATCGATCTCGGTATTCGACGGTGCCGTCGGTCATGGTTAGTATCAGGACTTTTCCGAACTGGGTCGACTGGAAACTAATGACCATCTTGTTGAGAATAATCGGCTCTAGCTTTCGCAGCCTAGTGGGAGCCGTCTGTTCTGTCGCGTCACTATTTCTTCGACTTCCCAGCTGCTCAAAAGCCTGGTGAAGGTTCTGCTGCGGCGAAGAGACTGCCTCCCAGCGGTCAATGACTGTCTGGGCTACCTGGTAAGATCCAGGTGTAGGTGAACGCGTCCTAATGGCTACAATCGTCGGAGGGACTATGCTCTTGCCTGTGTTGTCCATGATGGAAGGGAGAACGTGCAAGTGGGATAGCTCGGCCATGGAGATGTCATTGTTGGCATCTCTAGAGCCCGTCTGCAGCCACGTTGTAGCAGCGAGATGCTTTTCGACTAAAGAAGGGCTCAATCGAGCATTCTGTGGCAGAGGATTCTTATCCGGCTGCGATCCAGGGCCGCCCCATTGGATTTCAATCTTGAGCAATCTCAGCTGCTTTGATGAAGTGGCAACGGCGACAAGCAGATGTCCTATCTGGTCAGCAACGACGAGCTATCAGTTTAACGAATTTGAAGACTTACTCCTGTCGGAAGCAAGGGCCGCATGCGTAACCAACTCATCCAACGAATTCACGCTCTCAAGCTCCATCGTGGTCTCTTCCATTCGATTGTTATTCTGAGACCAGAACATTTTCAACATGCCGCTTACTGTGACACAGAACAAAGCGCTCTTTGATGAATGCGGGTGGCTTGGTCCGCTAGCATGGACAAAGGAACTCTCATACTGATACGCATGCCCCTTTTTGACTGCAGGCCCGTACATGATATTGTATGGTTTCTTCTCGAGAAATCAGTGCTTACTCGCTGGGTTTCAATATCCGATGTACTCACCTGCTGGTTTGATGGGGCGACAGCAAGCCAGTGCGCTCCCACCACGGCGTTGGCATCGTCGATGGGATCAGTGTCGTATTTCCGCGTGACAAACGGGTGGTTGAGTGATATGGAAAAGCTAACAATAATCACCCTCCCTACCGCGTCAATGACTGCAAGCTCCGGGACAGTGGCCGACCCCCACTCCAGGTGAACCAGAGGGATGCCTGGAGTCCCTCTGAGAAGCTCGCATGTCGTCGGCTGGCTGAGATCCCAGGTCCCGTCGAGCGGGTTACATCGCAGGAAACGGTGCTGCAGGTACTGGCCGTCCGCTGAAATCGTTGCAATTGTCCCAGACTTTGACCACGCCAGCGTCCTAAAGCTCTCGTCAGCCATAGACACAATCATCGGGGAAGGGATGCTCGGGTACGCACTGGCAGCAGCCACGGCTCCTCAGGTCATCAACCTTGAGTGAGAGCGGCTTATTATGAGACCTGTCGGGGAGTGACAGCCCGACGCCGACGCCATCTCCAAACAAGTCATCCACGTCATTTAGATCGACGGGCACGGTATTATCCAACATGAGGGGCATTTTTTCCGCAGTCATTGGTGCAGTATCTGCAGGCGCAAAATGAACGCCAGACGCCCAATACAATCCAGCTCGCGGCGGTCAAAAGCATATAAAATCTTGCAGGATCGCGTCAAAAAGGCCCAAGCAGTGAATCACGGACGCGGGGGAAGTATATTTAATGAGTATGGCATAGACAATGCTTTAGCAGACAAACACAATAAACAATTGATGAGCGTGCTCTGAAGCATGACGCTCATATGAAGGGTTTAAGTTCAACGACGCTTGAGAGGCGTAGTGGACTGCTTACTGTAACCAGCCGCTGGGTCCCTAACAAATTCTCGTGGGCGCCGGATGAATATCGGTACACTTGTATCTACCTGGTATTTCCACCTACCCTGGAATTATACCCCTTGAGCAAAAATTGGAAAATATACAATAGAAAGAAATAAAAATCATTTCCTACATGTGCTTCAGCTTATTGATCAAGTGCCTTGAAACTTTGAAACCCAGATCAAGCATACAAAAGCCTATTACCGGGTTATGTACTACCACTAGTAAGATTTGAAGCTGACTGTGCTGATATACTTCTGTTTCGAGTAATGCAATTGACGTAATATCTATGAGCACGGTTAAACAATTCAGAAGCCGAAAGAGGCTTGTGCCCGCATAATATAACACTCTATCCAGTCTTATAGCTTATAGTTTCCCTTATCAACAGCAGTGTAGATATATTCTTCATACATACATCTTCTAGCTCTCACCTTTCATATCTCGTACAACCAGACTTACAGACACCAACGCAGCCATGAAGTCTCTATTCAGCAATGCAAGGTTTCTGAGGCGACTGCAGAATAAGATTCCAGGCATTCGGGCGACATCATCCTTTTCGCAATTCCAAAGACAGCGCAAAGGGTCTGCAGTTTTTCTGTTAACTGGCTTGTTCCTTGGGGTTGCTGCAACAACGTCAACACCAGTGCTCACACTGACATCAAACACAACTATCGATACACCACCGCGATGGAGTGGAATTGCTCGAGAGCCCTTGCTGCACTCCAAGTATGCTGATAAAAATACAATGTTAAACGTAAGTCCTATGTAGTCCAGTACATGTATCAATAGAAGCAATTTATCGCTGATGCCGGCAGGCTGTTGGTGAGATCCGACGTGCGCTGGGAACAGAAGCCGTGAGCACCGATACAGATGACATAACAGCCCATAGCTATTCCGAATGGTCATCGACCAACATAGAGACAAAGCCAGTTGCCATTGTGCGACCCAAGACCACAGAGCAAGTATCAGCAATTGCAAAGATATGCACCAAATACAAAGTGCCAATGACGCCATACGGAGCCGGATCCAGCCTCGAAGGAAACTTTAGCTCTCCCTTTTCAGGTGTATGCATCGACCTATCCGGAATGAACAAGGTTGTTGACTTTCACCCCGATGATATGGACGTTGTAGTACAAGCTGGAGTCAACTGGATGAAGCTCAACGCAGAAATAAAAGACAGCGGCCTCTTCTTGCCTCCTGATCCGGACCCAATGGCTAACATCGGCGGCATGATTGCCACCAACTGCAGTGGAACCAATGCCATGAGATACGGCGCAATGAAAGACTACATTGTCAATCTGACTGTTGTTCTGGCGGATGGCACAGTCATCAAAACGCGGCAAAGGCCGAGAAAGACATCGGCTGGATACAACCTTAACTCTTTGTTCACCGGATCAGAAGGCACTCTCGGTATTATCACAGAGGCCACGCTCAAGTTGGCGATACTGCCGACGAACTTTAGCGTAGCAGCAGTGGCCTTCAAATCAATCCATGCCGCAGCAGCCGCAGCATCTTCATTGGTTCGTGCAGGACTCCCTATGGCCGCCTTGGAATTGATGGATGAAGTGCAAATGGAGACAATAAATAGGGGTGGAGGAACCGAGGGCAGGATGTGGGAGGAAAATCCAACACTATTCATAAAGTATGTTTAAAGTTCTCCCGTTGACGGTGACTCAAAGAGTATAGAGAAGATGGAGCGAACATGTGTGTGTGTATGTTTCGCTAACATGAAATGCTAGGTTCTCAGGTACTCAGAATGCAGTCGAAGAGAGCATTCAAGAGGCCCGAGCCATATGTCGCCGTCATAACGCCAGCACATTCGAAGGCGTAACTACCAAAAAAGAGATGAATTCTTTATGGTTGGCTAGAAAAGAAGCCATGTTGAAAGCAATCGCATCGAAGCCAGAAGGCGCTGCCTTGTGGGCCACAGACGTTGCTGTGCCCCTATCACGCATGGCTGATCTCATCGGTGAGCTTTAGCAATAGCTAGCCATGAGCCATCACTAATTATTATCAACAGAGGAGTCCAAAGCAAGAGCAACTAGCCATGGTCTCACGAATTCTACCATCGGACATGTGGGAGACGGCAACTTTCATCAAGGAATGTTCTATCGTCCCGACTTGGCTAGCGATAGGGAGAAAGTGTTGGACTGCGTGTATACAATGGTAGATAGGGCAGTTGAGATGGAGGGAACTGTGACAGTGAGTTCACCTCGCCATCCTATTCACTTAGGGATGATATTGTTGACAGGGCACCACAGGGCGAGCACGGGATTGGCATTGGGAAGAAGGTAACGCAATGGCTTCATCGGTTTTGTTTCAGTGACAAGCTGACATGTGGCTAGCATGGTCTTATCAAAGAGGTGGGCTTGCCGACGATTGGCGTTATGAAGGCCTTGAAGGATGCACTTGATCCGCAGTGAGTCAAAGTACATACACCTAATTTCGGCTCTATGTGACTGACGACTATCAATTAGTTGGCTACTGAATCCGGGAAAAGTGTTTGATGAATGATAGAAGCTTGGAAGTAAATATGTAACGTCTACTCGAATTTGTGGCTACGTATAATAGAATGGGAAACCATGACTCGAGGTGATACAGAATCTTCTTTGAAAAGGTTGGTTCCTTTACCATACAAGCATCACTTCATCTATATCTAACTCAAGTCCTCTTTACTATTTGCGCTAGTAGCAACGTTATCGCCATGATCTAATACATATGTTCTTTATCAGTCTTCTCCTTCGTCCTAATACATGGCTTCCTACATGATGCCCCGAACCAAGACATATAATTACATGTACTATCTAGATTTGTCTCCAACCTCATCAAGCGCGAAACTCGCCGCGTGGTAGACTAAAGCTAGCTCCAGCTTGGACTCAAAGCGTCCCAAGTATGTTTCGACTATGAAGAAATATATTTAAGGGGTCCTCGTGGAGAATGATATGGAGAGCATTCACAACGCACGTGTTCATGAATAAAGAGCACGTGTAAAGACGCTACCAACAGAGCAAATGAGGTTTACATTTGATACTGTTAGTGAAAGGCGAGCTAAGTTGCAGTGCCTCAAATTAGTCTTCCTCGGCGACGTCTCCATAGACTTGCCGAGACGCCGTTGTAGGCGGGTGATTTTCGCCTTAGCGCATGAGAGCGATTAAGCGTCAAGAGTTCAGTCCCGTACCATGTACTTGAACACGGCAGAGGATGAGCATTGCCGACGATCAGCGGCACTACTGATTTTGACAGCTTGGTAAAGGACCAAACAACCATGGACTTGCAGGCTTCTGGAAGGCCAGAAACTGCCATCCGGCAGAGTTCCATAGGGTCTTTACCCACTGTCAGACCGACGTTGCTGACTTGAAGCGTTGTTGACGTGCTCCGCACTCCGTAATTGCGATCGCCTCTCGTACACGCGAGCCGAGAACAGGGAGCCAATGCGCCTATTTCGTCATAGCACGATTTGGGCAATCAAACAGTCGATTGAAACCAAGAAGAGCAAATGAGAAGCTCCCCAGTATTTGGACCCACTGCTTCTCTGACTTAGCCCTTTGGCATTGCTATCCTATCTCGTTACCGTTCTTGTTATAGGTACTGCAAAAACTGAAACGCGAATCAGTTGTGCGATGCCATGAAAGTCGGCAACAGTAGACACATTTTCTGTGTCTGTAACCAATCAAGTGAATTTTCGAGTTGTAAGAGATGATTCTTTTCTAGAATTCAACAACTAGTCGTGCTCGCGTGTCATTCATAGCGTCAAGCGAAAACGTCACTGTCAACGAGCGGCATGCACGCTCTTTACTGGATATTACCTCATCCCCCGCAATAATACGGAGCATGAAGCCAGAGATTGACGGATCTAGCATCCCTATCGACAGGGGCTCTCCTGATGGACTGAGCTTTCAGGTCAGGGAAAGGGGCCGGATTTCGCAGTGCACGGTGCATGCTGATAAGAGGCATGGATCAGCGGGATCTGAACTCGTATGTGGAAAGGCAGTCGAAGAAAGTGCGGGATACAGACGCGACTGTAGACGACCCTGTAGACGACCCTGTCTGGAGCAGTTGCTGCGAGGCATACGGGCGGCCGCCTGCATTTGGACTCGTAGAGAAAATAGCAGCAATATGCGATCCATGAGGCGAGATTATTGAATACCCGCAATCTATAAAAAAGTCAATGAACCCCAAAACCATGATATTGCAATCCCGCAGCGAATAAGAGAGTTGCCACTGTAAAAACACCATCATCATGCAAAGGGGGTCAGTCCCTAGCATTCTCTGCAGATGAATTACCGTACGAGTATGATCACGTCGCACAGCATACCCTCTTCTAGAGTAGCACTTGATTTTGGTCATGCCAAGGGGTCAAGGGCCCATTTAGCCAGTATTCAGACTTGCCATCAACTTTCGTATTGATACGGCTAGTCGTCGCTTGCGCGCTCGCTCGCTCGCTCGGCCGCTGCTTGTTTAGCGGCGGTTATAGCCTCTTCTACAGCCGTCTAACTTTTTTTTCTCCTGTCGAATGCGAGTAAGCATCTACAGTAGGTAGGTTAGCTCAAGCAGAATAAAGTAGTGCAAGGATTGGCGACGAAAAGACGAAGGAGGCAGACGCAGACCAGGGACTGACGACGGCCTGTGCCTTCGCTTGCTCGCCAATTTCCATGCCACCCCCGCCGCGTCCCTGAATTCCCAGAACTCCCAGAATAAGCACGCTTCGTCCACCGGTAGCCTGCATTAGCCTCGAGAGATGGATGGCGCGGAGAACTAGGTCTGAAGCGGCAACGGTGCCGCCTCGAGAAGAGCTGCATGCGCCATGGCGCTTACAAGCATCCTGATGATTGCCCGTTTCGTGACCTTGTGCTACTGCCACTGCCAGGAAGAGACAGCGACCCTATACGGCATGGCATGGCTGGTGCTGTGCAAGTGTGGCCGCGATGGCGACGCTGGTGGTGGCCGCGGTGGTTGATATGTGACTGGCAATGCTGCTCCTGGCTCCTATGGCGGGTTTCACGCGCATTCGCAGCCCGCATTGAAACCTAATGTCCCCCCCCCAGGACCGAATGTGACAGGTGATTTGCTGCATTATTCGTGCTGCCACCGGCGTGATCATGGTGCTATCACATATGGCTGCGGCGCTGTGAGTGGCAGTGGGAAGTGGAAATCCTTGGTGCGTGACACCGCGGCCACCCGACATAGGCGGCTGCTAGCACTGGCCCCGACTCAGCGCCCCCGCCGTCTGCCGCCCACTCAGCTCGCACCTCGCCCGTCGTGCGCACACAATCACGACAATATTGCAGCCTCTCCACCGCACATCAACCCGCCCCTGTCGTCCCGCCGTCGCGAGGTGCTGCTTCAGGATGGCCAGGCTACGCATTAGGCCTATCAGGCCCTCGTGCCAGGCTCCCCAGATGCGTGCTAAGCTCCAGAGGTGCTCAAGCGCCGCGAGCAGAATGACCAGGGCCACGGGGCTTTGCAACGAGGTGCCTGGGCGCGGATCGCAGATTGGCCAGTGCTCCTCGACCTGGCGGACAGGGGATCGCCAGGAACACAACGTGGACGGGTCGGCCATGGATTATGGCTGCATGGAGGAGCGAGTTGGCGAGGTTGAGGGCGCCTCGACTGGATGGGCTGCGGTGATGCCATGGTAATAGGTCTGCGATGCCACTCCAACCAGGGAACAGAATCGCCGTCTTTCTTCTCTTCTTCCTTCTCACAGGACACGGCATCCGATATTACTGCATACTGCATTTCAGCTTGTCAGCCGTCGAGTCTGCAGCATATTGTTGGACCTCTGCCCTCGCCGTTTTGTGCAAAAGGACTCTACATCTTCATCACTGCCTCTCGCTCTTCGTCTCTTGTTTGTCGAACAAGACATCCGCTTGAACAAGACTCACAGCCATGGCTCCCATAGCGGTAAAAGCGCCCACCGGCGTCAAACCTACTGCGACTCCGTACGGTGACAAGTCTATGAAGCGTGGCAGGAGTATAAAGAGAAGCTCCACGCAACGCCGACCACAGCAGCTTTCACCTCATTTCGCACAGGCGATGCAAAGGCAGCAGAGCGAAGATGAGGATGAAGACGAAGACGAAGACGAAGCTGCCACCATCTCGGATCGTCCCAGTTTGCAGCCATACCGACGTCGAGAACGCCAAAGCTATATCAACCCGCGACAGCATATGCTGCATCTGCCCGACTCGGCGCGACCTGCAACCTCCCGGAGCTATAAGCGAGACTGGAATGACCACAGAGACCAGAGCCCAAGTCCTTCATTCTCCAAGAAGCTGCCGCCATCCGACAGCTTGTCGCAGCAGCCGCATATTGAAAGCCACTTCAGCATAGGCACTGCCTCTATGGGCATGACGAGCGAGGAATTCGAAGCGTTGCCGCCTACCATTCAAAGAAAAGTAAGTCGCCTTCCCCGTCGTCCACATTCATGCCGTATCTTCTTCTCCTGTTATCTTTGCCTCACCTGCCCCCAATTGTTCAAGTTTCTGTTTTTTCCCACTACTGCTTTCATTTGGCCCGCTATTGGTTTCGCCCTGCATTCAGCAATGGGATGTGTTTGCACATCTGGTTTCGAGAGGCACTCGTGATATCAGCAAGGGATAAGGCTCGCCAGTTCGCGTTGCAAGCAGGAGCACAAGGACTCAAGGGAACATATAATTGTCGGGATAGAGGAAGTATCAACAGCACAACGTGCTCTTTCTCAAAGCAGACTAGCTCTATGCTCTGTCTGACCCGTACGACGGGACCGGGCTTTGCGATGCTATGTAGCTGGCGAGCTACGATATCTAGACGCTTTTCCTTGATGACGAGAAGCGAGACAAGTGTCAAGGGTTGCTACGCTTAGCCGGAGCCGTCGAAATGGAGTCTGGGGTCGCGGAGATGAGCTCTTCGAGCCGGCAGCCTTCATCACTCTTCTCGCCTCTTGTCCGATGCCTTGCTTGCCGCCACTTGCTTGTCCGTCCCTCGCTGCTGTGCCAGGCAATACAATGCGATGCGACGCAATGCAGTGCAATGCAGCTTCACCAGTTCCAATGACAAGCCAGTGGCGCCGCAGCGGCTGAATCCGTCCCTGGCTGAATCCGCCCCTGGCAGCCAACTGACACTAGTCTCGTGTCGCCTGTGACCGGCTCCATGGCGCTTGGATGCCGTCTCCAGGCTACGGCCGAGAATGGAGATTGCATGCAGGGCCAGCTCGAGCGAGCTCCTTGTTAGTGCTGGCCGTGGGAACTGAGATCCATGGATCCTTCTGCCAACGCCTTCCGGCCAACACCATTCCACAGCACGTATGGCCCGGAAGAGGCAGGCTTGCCATGGCAAAAGGACGGATGCCGCAGAATGTTTTGAACAAACATTGTGTGTAGCCCCTCCGTACCTGGCGTAGCGTACGCTGAAATCAAATGAAACTCTCCCTGCAGAGCGAACGCATCTGTGCAAATTTGCGCATACCCTACCCCTTTTTTCTCTCGTGGCCGATCGATGTGCGAGTGCACCTGAGCCAACTAGCAATAGCATTGCTTCTGAACGCTTCCCCACCCGTACGCCACGCCATGGTCTTTCGTTCCTAAGTTTAAGACATGCCATCCTCGTTCGAGCTAGAATAGTCATTTCACCCGACTACGATACGCCTTTTAGGTAGTTCACCTCGCTAGCTTGCCAATAACACTCATAGCCTTCCTTTATATGCGGCTACTATATACTTGCCAGGATATCCCCCTTCTTATTGTCGACTTTGGGAGTCCTTTTTCTTTTCCGGAGAAGTTGCTTTTTTTCGAAGCTTCTTGACTGACATCTCTCGTTCCCGTCATAGTATTTCTCGACTTTGGAAAGGCTGCGCTTTGCCCATACCACTTGCTGTGCTGGACACTCAGATCACTCTCTGGGAGATTACCATTCTGCATCATCTTTGGCAAGCGAAGAGGATATCACACTTGCCTCCGATCACCATCATCGCCTTCGACCAAACTCTGCCCGCCTATACCCGAACCAAGCCGATCACATATACGGACGGCAAGTCGACAGCGGAGACAGACAATCGCGCACGTCTCATTCAAACCACAAGAGCATTATACTGGATGCTACCGACGAGGCCTTTGTCAAGAAACGCCAATCGCAGTTTCCCAGGTCAAGCAACTATCTGGACGAGATTTATCCTCCAGCACCCTATTCTACAATGAGCGGCTCTCTTGGTGATGGATTCACAAAATCTTCTGCAGTGGAGTCAGGGGCAGACTCAATCACAGAAAGCTTCCGATGGCTTGAAGAGAGCGAGGATTTGGATCTTCGTCTTTGTCTAGATGACGAGGACCAGCCGATCCCAAAGCAAGGGAAGAAGAAGCGAGTTCCATTTCCTCGCCACCTATCGATTTCAAAACTTTCTTTTGGACGGCCTTCAGTTCAGTTGAGCCGCCCGGGAACCAGAGGAGGAGCTATGGCTTCTCCGGCATTGAGCGAGCAATTCGTACTATCCTCCATGCCAAGCCCTACTGGCCATTTCCGCAGGCGATCTCGGGCCATGTCTCTAATCTCGCCAAACAAGGGTCAGATATCTGACGACTCTACTCTTGTTGACCAAGCTCCATCCCACTACCAAGATCCTGAGGCTCGCATGAAGCTCCGCGTATACCTCGCTTCCCCGCATAAGTTTGATGAAGCTGTTGAGTTTGGATTCCCTTCCTATGACATGCAAGGAGGAGAGACCTCTCACATTCGGTCATTCTCACGCCAAGGCTCATCGGACAGAATGCACAATTTGAACAGCGACGATGTTGAGTCACTAATCAGCGACCCTGCGTCCCCTACCGATATGGCCTCACCGAGGACGCCGATGAGCATGGATCACCCATCTGTTGAGCATTCACCACATATACCACATGAGGGAACCTGGCCTGCCAACTACGCCCAGGCTCCAGCGTCGTCTCGTGAAATGACACTGCGGATGACACTTACACGACCCGATCTTCGAGCTGATGAAGAGCAAATGTATGGCTGGCAAAAGCCCTCATCAGCCAAGACACAAGCTCATGATGGATCCGCTCAGCCAAGATCATATGTCCGAGCCAGCACTACCAAAGACAACATCGAGAGGCAATTCGCTGCCTTTGACCAAGACAATGCCAGCGCCGATAACAGCATGGTCAAACGCTTCTGGAACCGAGTCCGCCGATCATAATACTAGCACGAACCACACTCTCCAGCAGCTTTTATTTGCTACAACATACAAAAACAAAACAAAAACAAAAACATACTTCACTCGGGAGTTATAAAGGCATTCGACAACGAGTGCCACTCACACTCATTAATTGCTGCAAGATTATTTCTGCGCTCATACCTCTCATTACAGCATATAGCATGCATAACTATACCCCAACTGGTCCTTTTGTCTCTCATTTAGCATTTTATTTTCATTTCTGTCATTGTTCAGTCTCAACATTTCCCTGTTTCTCTACGGGGAAATCACGACCACGCTCATTTGTTTATCTATCTGGCATAAAAAGAAGCGCATTGTTTTTTCTAACTGGAGTTTTTGGAGGCTTCTTCATATTGTTTATTGTTTTGTTATGAGTGATGGGATTGATTGGTTAAAAGCTGCAAATGGCCCTTTAAGAAGGAGCTGGTATAATATATTGTTATCTGATATGCCGCGTTGGCGATCTACCCAATTCTTTATTGATTCTCCTTGATTTCGCGCTGTGACTGCTTTCTTCTTCCTCTTTTCTTCTTACTCCGAATTACTAACTCCCTTACCAAACCATTCTACTAATCACCCATACCGTCTTTTTGCCTCTCTAGACCCAACTTTGTTTTTACTAGTTGCATAGGTGGGATATACATCATCTATATGCAAGGAACAAGGATCGGCACGAGCAACACACGCGAACTCATGCACGAAATAGCACATGTGCATACTTGTACACACGGCTCAGTAGCTATGTACGAAGCGGTGTGGCTCACCCGAGACATGGACGCACACGTTGCGAGCTAATGCCCATGTTGTTATTTTGCTTTTTTTTTTTTTTTTTTTTGGTTGATCCATCTTCCGGGAGCGGGAGGTTATTGGTGTCCAATGAAGTAGGAGCATGTGTGTGGATTTTTCAAGCAGGGAGAGAAAGGACGGGAAAGCAAGGGGGGGTGTGCGTTTTGAAGGGATGATTGAGATACGATTGGAGTGCGACCGCTTTTTTTTTTTTTTTTCCTATTTTCTACTTTTGTTTTAGTGGTCAAGTGACAAAGTAGGTGAGATGAAATGTGCGTGTCTTAGTTGCGTGGGTGGTTTTTTACCCTTGACTCTGATGGTTTTGGTATTGGGGGACGTGTGTTTTCGTTTCATAATCGTGAATGGGGGGTCAGTTAATATGCCCGCCCAGGTATCAATGCGAGAGTCTCTATCTCATAGACGTTCTCTCATCTTATGGCAAGTGTGTAGTCAAGCACTGGTGCCAAACTGCTCTCACATCTAGCATGTACAATATCCTAAAATTGGCAATGAACCTTCGCTAAAAAATAATAGGACAAACACATTCACGGCAGCTTTGATGCCGCTGAATAACCTAACAAATACTCCTCCTGTAGATAATTTTTGATACATGCAACTCGGATAGCCACCCATTCATGTACACCCACATACATCTGTAAAAACCCCCCTCTCCAGCCCACCCACACTGCTTCTGCCTGTCTAATTTTTTTTCCCCTCTTTTACTTATTCAATTTCTTTCCCTTTATACCTCCTCATCGCTCTCCTCACCCAGCAGCTCACCCTCATCATCCAAAGCCGAGTAGTCGCCTCGTCCACGAGCAAAACTATCCCGGGTGGTGAACCTCCGAGTTCCTCTTGAGAACCAGCTGCGGTCACTTGACTGGCTATATCGCCCAAAGGAGCTGGTTGCCAAGCGGCCTAAGCTGGACAGCATCACCGGCAAGGAGACGACTACCGCTGCGACAGCTGACACGGCAATGATGGGATACTTGACCCAAGGTTGATCGCTATCAAAAGTCGACGAGTTTTCTCCGAGACGGATCTGGCCAAACTTGCCGTTCCAGTTGCGGTATACGTACCAGCCCATTATGCCGGCGAGAGCAAAAGGAATGATGACGGCGAAGAAGATTACGACACCAGATGTGCGATGCTTCTTCTTGAATTCGTCCTCATGGCCCTTGCATGGATGCTCTGTTGACGTCTTATCCAGCTCATTGCCACCACTGCAGGTCGACAGAGGAACTCTACGGTAGCCCGTCGGTTCATAGTACGACGTCTCGTTTGGGTACTTGTCGCACCATTCAGTTCCGGTAATGGGCGTGAAGCCATTGACAAGCTGGCACTGTCCGTGGTTATCCAATTCGAAATTGAAATCACTAACAAGTATGGTGTCAGTTCCAAATCGCCACCTACACATGGATTCAAGAATTTTCTTTTATTTGCTTACCATTCATAATCTCGTCGGCTACAAGCACAGTCTTCGTGCTCGTAAAGACGCTGAAGACTCTGCTTATTGTAGCACTCGCGGTCCGTCTTTTTGCGCAGATACTTGGCAACGTGTCCAAATAAACAATCGTCATCTTGCAGGGGATGCTTGGGAGACCACAGATAGTAATCCGAGTCGCTGTTCTTGGTGAATTCGCAAGCCTTGTCGGCTAAGCCGGAGAAATCAAGGTTCACAGAAAAAAGCCTGTTTCGACCGGACTTGCACCAAAGCAAAAAGTTGCGGGAAGTGCCAGATCTCAGGGTGGTAATGTCTAGGACCGATACGTCCGAATCGGCAAACTCCAAGTCCTTCCATGTATTGCCCTCATCTGTCGAATAAGAGACAAAGCGGGTCTTGACCGGGTTATTGCTTGTATACCTTTGGACGAGAACAATAATTGAACCCTGGTCTCCGTACTGCCATGACCAGCTACCCTTCTTGACGTTCTTCCAAGAGATGCCGCCGTCCGTTGACATGAACGTATCGGAGTCTTTGATATTGCCAAGCTTAGGCCCAACGTTGCCAACACCAAAGATGAGACCCACAGCCGTAGCTGCTGCAAACGTCTTTCTCTTGTCATCTCGCTCGGTGTAGTGGTGCATGTGCAGGGCACACGACTCGTCTCCCTTGGAGCTGCTGCACTGATAGGACTTTCCATCCACATCCTTGGCAGGGGGTGCAAGGTAGCTCCATTCGGAGCCATCATTGTGGGAAATCTTGGTCTGAAGATCTTTCGTCTTCTCATCCTTGCCGGCGTTGGCAACAATGTTGATCAAGGTGACGCCCTCGAGGCCCGTAACCTTTTCAAAGTCGACATACGACTCCTCGTTGCAGTTGACATTGGCTGCGCTGAGGACATACGAGGTGCCGTTGGAATTGCTCTTAATGACTGAGCCATACTCTCTGTCGGCGCCGCCCTCGGTACGGACGAACAGGTTGATAGCATGAGTAGAGCTGTCAAGTACCGTGTACTCATTTTCATGGCCTTCGTGGAAGTTGTACGGAAAGTGCGCCTTTTCAAAGTGCTTTCCGTCAAGACTAGCAAGAGCGTGCATATCTTCAGTCTCTGGATCCCTGCCAGCCACGACGATAAATTCGTTCATGGTTGCAAAGTTGGTAACTGGGCCATCGTAGACGGACTTGTCCTCTTGAAAGAAGTCGTCGCTGGTTACGATGGTCAGCTTCGCATCATTGTTCTCCTCTGCTCTAGCAAGGCACATGACCTGTTTTGAGGACCGGAAGTTGTATGCCGAGTGGCCGGTGAACTCGCATTTCTCTGCAAAGCGAAGCATCGTCTTCCAATTGTCACCGCGATCAATCGAGATTGACGCTTCTTTGAAACAGGTTTTCTCTCCTCCAACTTTGTCGCAAGTCTCACCAACCCAGATGAGCCAGTCTTTCTTGTCAGGGTGGAAAGCCAAAGGAAGCCCCTTTCCAAGTTCCGTTGGTGCTTTGAAGCTGTGGAAGCTCTGGCCACGATCGATAGAATAAATCACCTTGTCGCTGTCCTTGGTAGTGAAGTAAACCACATCTTTGAGATAGGCATGAGGGTAAATTCCCTGAATTTTCTCGCCTTCCAAGATGCGTTTGAAAGTCTTGCCGTGGTCTCTAGTTATCCAGAGCTTATGCTCAATCCTTATACTACCATTGCCTTCATCTTCAGCAGGTCTAACAATGATAGTCTCATCATTGGAGGCACTGGCATCGCTCCTGTCAAGATAGATTTTCTGAAAATCTTGGAGATTGGTCTCGTCAAAAATGAATTGCTTGTGCGAAACCTTTCCGTTTGCCGGAGAAGTGGGTGAGCCCGGTGTGCCTGGTACGGTAATATCGTCACACTTGCGTTCGACCGGATCATCTTTCTGATCACCCTTGGTTCGCTTGCAAGTGTTGCCGGGGATGAGCCTCCAGCCGGAAGAGCCCTTGAATGTATCGGATTTGTCTTTGCAGGTACCTTCGGGGGCAGGAATGGGGCCAACTTTGTTGCAAACTTTGTTGTCATCTGGATCTCTTCTGAAGTTGTAGTCACACTCAAAGTCTGCATCAGTACACTCGCAATCTTCGGTGCTGGCAACTGGATCTTTGAAATCACTCTTGATGAAGCAGTCCGCTGACTTCTTCCGGCGACGGTAGGTTTGCTTGTGACCCATGATGCAGGTTGGCTTTCCATCGTCATCCACGCGGGCAAACCAATCTTCCAAGTCTTTATCCTCGCAAGTCCGCTTGTCCAGCGCTCCAAAGTCAATAGCAATCATGTGAAAGGCCTTTTCCTTTTCACCGATGAGGAGAAACTTCAAGCTGGTTGAGTCCTGCGTTGTCGTAAGGAGGTCAGGTTTGATAGTGAGCTTGTCGGGCAATGAGACTGATTCCCAGTGCTCTCCGTGGTCTAAAGAGTAGGAGAATTCAGAAACATCGTCCTTCTTGGAATCTTTGACGGCAACAAGAATCGATCCCTGATCACCGAATTCGTACTTGTGAGGCCCTTTCAAAGCCTCCTTCCAGGTCATACCGGCATTATCCGAGACATAGAGGTTGGCGTCTGCAAATTTGCCAAGAGACTTGCCCGTATTTCCATTACCCATAACAAGACCCGGCGCAGGGCTAGTGAATACTCTCCCCATGTTATCGAGTTCAGTGACTGAGTGGAGATGGATTTTGTCATCGCCGGCCTTGATCGACTCAAAAGTTCTACCGTCGTCAAAGGTGATTTGGGTAACGACCTTTTTCTCGGCGCCTTTCTTGTCTACGTCGGCGCCGTTGTCTACCACGTTGACGATGAATATTCCCTGAATTCCTTGGACTTTCTCAAAGTCGACATGGCCCTTGTTGTTGCGGTTGGTGTAAGGAACGTTTTCGGTGAAGTAGGTGCCGTTAGAATTACTTGTAAACAAAACGCCCATGGGATTTGACGGTGAAGAAGTCATGACGTCAATCTGAATGCTGTAGTTGGTACTTTCCAGAACAGTGTATGCCTCTTGGTTGATCTGGTGAGAGTGGTCATGGTTGTCGCTGCTCGGAAACATGGCGCGGTGCCACTTGAGAGTGTCGTCAGTAACGTACAAAGCCATCTCGTCACTCTGGAACGACGAGGTGGCAACCAGAATGTAGCTCTTGACGGCGGCAATATTAGCCACTCCGCCCACACCCTTGCTCATGTCGATGTTGGGCTCGAATTCCTGCACCTCTTTGTCGACCACAGCGAAGAAATCGTCAGAGATGACCAGTCGCTGGTCCTCCACAAAGAGGGAGAAGGGATCTTTGATGATGCAGAGCACTCGCTTCTTGTCCAGATCCGCATCGCCAGTCGTAAACTCTGGCGCCTGCTTGGCCCACCAACAGCCGGCCGTGAAGGCGCGGAGCAGCTCGACTGATTTGAAGCCATCTGTAGTATAAATCGCTTGCTCGTCGCAAAAGATGCCGTCGCACTCCATGCCATTGAAAATGACTCGCTTCGGGTCGTCTGCATGGAACACCAAGATCTCGTGCTGAAATCGGCTGGGAACGACCGGGGTCTCGAACTTGGACCAGGTCTCGCCTTGGTCATCAGTCTTATAGTGGTGCTTGCCCATGGTCAGGACGAATGCCGATTTCGATTCGAAAGGATGCGTGGTGAGTAAAAGAGCTTCGCCTTCGGGGATTGCTCCGATCTTGGCCCAATTGGCCCCGGCATCGTTGGACCGGTATATAATGCCCGCATCTACATCGTGGAAAACAACAATGTCGCTGTCTTCAAAGTAGCTAAGGCCCAGTGGCGGGTGCTCGAATTTGGTGACGGAGAGCTTGGGGGCGTCCTTTGCGAGCGCCAGCACCCACAGCAGTGATAGCAGCAGGAAGTGCCATGACGGCGCCGCGGCCCTGGCTGTGAGCCTCATCATATTTCGGGTGCGTCGCTCGGAGCTGTCATGAAGAATCGGATGTATCGAGAGATTTCGGCGTGTGATGTAAAGGCCAGCTGTGACGCTTTTGAAGCCTGGAATGGAGAGTTGTAGATGGGAGAAAAGCAGGCGGAAGAAGAGGAAATAGCTATACAACGAACTCGCCCACTCTCTAAGGCCCTGGTATGATCGAGATGTGTTGCAGAAGGTGTTTCGGGCTGCTTGCGAGTCCTTGTTTGGGCCATTCGTCAGCTTTGTGGATGAACGCACGGCGGGCTCATAGGCTCCAGCTGTGGCGCAGGCGCATGTTTAGCTGGGGCCAAGTCGCCACATCTTTGTCTCTGCGGTGCCGTATCCGGCGGCCACGTCAATCAATCCAAGCTCGAGCTGTGGCTTTGCTCTTTTCACAAGCTTCAGCCACACGAGTCTTTGTAGAGATGGGAGTGCTCATAGCTCCAGTCTGATGTGATGTGATGGAGCTTGTTTCTGTTTAGTAGCACGCGCATCAGATTATAGCCCTGGCATAAGATTTTGCGCCACCAACAAGCAACAACAGCAGCCATACCAATATCAAAGTACCAAAATATGTCCCCAGAGAGCTATAGCCTTACTTGGTACCTATCCATGGCGATTGAGCCTACTGGCGCTAGTCCAGGTAAATAGAAGGATAGATCTGGAAACGCTGCATTGCGACCTGTCGATTGAGCATGGAGCTTTAGCATACTGTGCCGCGACTAGCAGCAGCATCAGCAGCAAAAGCTTCAAGTGCCAAGTGCCAAGTCACACATGGTCCATCTTGCAGGTATGATGTAACACGCATCAGTCTTCATGGCGCATGAAGCACTGCACATGCTCCAAACACTCTGCGGCCCACTTGGAGCAATTTCGTGTTTTGATGGCTGTTTGCAGCACGGAGCAGTATTAGAGAGATGACTTGTAGGTACGAAGCACACTTGGAGTAGGTGCCAAAGCCTCCGGCACTCAAATGTAGCAGCCGCTTTAGGCACCTTGGAAATCCGGGCATGGCCGTCAAGTCTGATAAGAGGACGCTGGCTGTATAGAGGTTGATGCAGCCGAAACTGCTTTCCAGATCGGTTCATACCACTGCGTGACATACTTGACGGGACGGGTACTTGAGCCATGGCTAGCAGGATGCGCTCGGACCTGATGAAACACGGGTGGAGCGAAGATCCATCTCCATGGATCCGCATGTTATTCTGTATTATTGCTCACTACTCAGGTATCGTGAACTTGAGATTCGACCTTTGGTCACTGCGGTCTCGCTTTTACTCTCCAAAGTGAATACGATAAGGATACATGAGGGGGAGCATGTATAGCGGGCGAATTCTTCACTTTTTTTTTTTTTTTTTTTAATTCCTGCTGCTCTTGGCCGGCAAAATCCTAGCAATGTAGTAAATAGCTGAGATATAGCCACGCAGGTGAGCCACCGAGTCTTTCAGCTTGTAACAACGTGGCTCTGCACATGGCAAAGCGAAAAGCCCAAGGCGGCCGCACGAGAGCAAGACTGTGCTCCGTTATGGATTCCAGGTCATTGCTCATGGATCAGTGTCAATCTCATCTAGTATTACAACAGGTACCATTCCCCCAGTTCAATGATGGGGCCCAGATCTTAGCCATGGGTGGACGGCTAGAACCGTGGCAATCCTCTGCGTAATACGAATACTTGCAGGAGTAGATGCTGGGGGCTACGAGATGGCAGAAACACGACTAGCCAGCCCTGTGATATCGCCTGGGAGCACTTTCATTTGGTCGCGTTGCTTGGATCAAGCGGTGGTACAACTGGTCGCAGTACCAGACGGAGAGCAACAGTCTCGCGACACGTGCCTCTTGTAGAGCGCAAGTATCGCGAGGTACCTGCATAGTCGAGCCCCTCCATTTCTGGCCCTCCGCTCTGCTGCGCGTCAGTCGCGCCACGACAACGGTTCGCGAGCGCATTCACCAATGAGGGGGCGCCGGACCGGGAGCCTGTCAGACGTGCGTACCAGTACCTGCGTGAGGCTGTTTTTTATATGCGCGGGAGAGCGTCTGTGTATGCACATGTACGAGTACGGGGTAAAAACTGCAAAAAGTCGGTATAAGTCAGTGGCCATATACGAAGCGCAGAGAGGACACCGCTGTTACAACTGAAGTACATGGGTAGAGATGGAAGAACCTAGACTCATATCATGGCAACTTGCTCGGCAGTATCGTAAACAATAGACAAGAACCTTGAGCATCTGGGGCCCAGGCAGCTACGAGATTAAGATACACTATCTAGATGTATACAGACAACACTGGAGGCAAACATGCTCCGCCAGTTCCGCCAATCAACCCACCAACCACGCTGGCTCCAGTTCTGCCAACTGCCCGCCACGACTGCAGTAACAGCAGCAGCCTAAGCCGGTCCTGGGGAATCCTCCTCGAGGCCCCTTGCTGCCGCAAGCTCGCGGTGTGGCCAGCCGTCCTTTCATTTCATTTACTTGCTGCAGCCGTTTCTACAGGGGCCGCTGTCGGGTCTCAAGCTCACCCTAGAAGCAGCAGCACAGGCCACACTGGGGCGCGCTTCACTGGATTGAATCTCAAACCGCATTGTGCCCTCCAATTAAGGCAGGCTGTTCGGACTAGGACGACTAGAGCTCTACCTGCGCCGTGGACTGCGAGTACCGGCAACGCCTGCGTGCGGCGCCTGCAGCTGCTTGTACCTGGCAGGGGAGTCTGGGGTACCTGGTCAGAAACCTGCCAGGCACTGGTGAGAAAAACCCCCGCCACGACAACCACCAGTAGCTTGTTTTGATCTGCCTCCATCTTTTCTCGTTGCCCTCCCTCTGGACATATTAACTTGTCCTCTTCCCTACCTGTCGTGTTTGCATCGACAGCTGGAGCTTCGTTTCTTTCCTTGACGGCTCATACCCATCGCTCCACTCGTTATCCTTTCCTTTCTGCGCGCTCCCAGCGTCATCGTCACTTTGGCGTCACAAGCGATCTGAACATCATCTCAAGCCACAGCCGCTCAATCGCAATCTGTAGACGCTTCCAGCGCATCCATCCTTAGTCGGCAGCGTCCAGCGTCTAGCGACTCTATCGCGAACATCTCAACGTTTCCCGCCGCATCAACCTCCCTCACGCCATGGCTGCCACTTACAAGCAGTTTCTGGCCTCGCCCAGCTCGGCGCTGTTGGCTGACAATGCTTCGCTGCACTACGTGACCACGCTCACGTCTATTGTCGGCGCCGACCAGATCATCAAGCATCTCAGCAACCTGCAAAGGCAGGTCAAGAAGAAGAAGGAAGACGTGCTCAACGTAATTGACGGCCAGAGCATCATCGCCGTCGAGGCCGACACACACATCGAGTTCATCACCAGCGGCGGGGTTTATCTGCCTGGTCTCGACGACAACTTCCTCTCTGATCGAGAAGCTTTCCTGCCTATTGTGAGTTGCCAATCCAAACCCCAATTGTCGCGTTTTGCCGGGTCGTTATCCTTGACGGCAGTATCAAAGTCTCTGAGACGCGGCTAACTTGATCCTTGCTTGCGTAACCGACAGATGCATATCGTGACTTTCGATGACGAGGGCAAGATTGTGCAAATCCGCCAGCAATGGGACCAGGCCTCGCTCCTAAAGCAGCTCGAGATCATCGGGAAAAGCGGTCGCAACTGGCCCATCAAGGATGGCAAAGAACAGCTCAACCTCATTCAGTCTTGCATCAAGTCCACCTTTACCCCTGCGCAAGCTCAGAATGGCAACAGCACTCCAAAGGCACGGGGCAACGCTTCGACCAATGCCATGCGAGATCCTCATGCTTCTCTGCATCTTTTTGGCTCCAGGGAAGAGGTTGAAAATGCCGAATCCGCCAACGTTGTCTCTCCCTATTCCGGCCAGAGGCCCAAGCAGCGCGCCTTCACCGACATTCTGAACGACGAACCCCAGCACTGGGATGATGACGCGAAACGTCGCTCGCTACCACCCGCCAAGATTGGCGCGGGAAGGGCTCAGCCTATTCGCATTTTTGACGGACAGCAGCACAATTCTGACGACGATGACGACGAGCAAAAGGGCCCCAGGTATATCCGCGCTCACCCTGCTAAATACCAACACTTTGCCATGAATGATGGTTCTGCGGAAGAGAGTGAAGGCTCCAATGCAGCAAGCTCCGCCCGCCCAGTGGCTCCAAAGGCCAAATCTAAGCACGGCAGCACGTGGTCTTTCGATGACTTCACCACCCCTGTCAAAGCAAAGCCCGGTCGAGCGCAAGGAAGCAACCCTGATGCGCGCCGCTTTGATACAGGGGAGGAACGCGCCGCGGAGCCCGTCAAGCCAATGGTTGGCAAAGCTCGACGCGATGCAGAGGCCCATTTCGAGATGCAAGATGATGGCGAACTCCCTCCCGAAGAGCGACGCATCGCCACCAAATCTCGGGGCGCTATTCGTAATGATGGTCTGTACAACAACAACCTCTTTGACCGCGAGGCAGAGGAAGCCCCTGCCGGCCGTGCTCTAGGCAACATCACCAACGTCAAAGATCGCGGCAAGCACTTTGATCCTCACTTTGCCATGTCGGATGAATCTCCCGTGCCCGCCGCCCCGCGCCAGCCCGTCACCGAGAGTCTCCAAAAGGTTATCAAGACGATGAACACGAGCTGGAGTCTTGCCGACGAATCGCCAGCCCCACAGAAGGAAAACAGAGCCCAGCCTGGCCAGGCGCCGCCACCAGATACCAAGATTCACATTGCTGGCGATGGTATGGGCGGCAAGAAGGGTGCTCAGCGAGACTTTATCTTTGGCGGTGACTCCGCAGCCGAGGCACCCAAGCAGATGATCGGTCGAAGAGGAAATAACGGCACGCAAAAGAGCGCCCATTGGGACCTGTAAAGCGACCCATATGTTGCTTTATGAAAATAAAGAACTCGGGTGAGTAGTTGTATATGTGCGTGATGGAGGAAGAGAATGGAAAAAGTTTGCGATACCCATGGGCGCTAGTATGTATGATTTAATGCCCTGCAGTACGCAGCTTATGAATCATGAGTCAATTTCTTTTTTATAATTCTTTTCTTCTTCTACTTTTATGATGTTATCGCTTTGTCTTAATTTCTGATTTTTCTTGCTGTGCTTGTTGCCCTCTACATCACCACGGCCTGTTACTATCCATACTTTTCTATGTCTGGTTCCCATACTTTTCTGCGTTTGATTCCCACAAAGAGCTGTCTTGCCCTCTGGAAGAATGGTTCTGCCGATTTTCTTATGAGGCATTGGAATATAGTGTACACGATGTATGTTTTTGCGAGATTTTGATTACTTGTTAATATTTCTGTATGTAAGATTCGAACTATTTGTGAATTAAGAAACTCTGTCACACTATTTACGATTTGATTGCTATTAAAAACAAAAGAGAGAGAGAGATAAAACAGATTTCCGCCTTTGCTGGTCAGAAGATATTCCAAACGCCTTGCTAGATAAATCGCCTTGAAGCTTTAGTAGTTGTAGCCTTCCCTTAGGTAGGTTATGTAGATGTTGGGACATTGGCGAAAAAATGGATATACATGGGATATAAGAAAGCAGGGAACAACAGGGGAAGGAGATTAATTAGCCATGAAGAAAAATTCCAGAAAAGAATAAGCAGGGTGTGTTTTTGTTTTTCAACACATCCACTTGTAGAATCTCTTCCATTTTGGCCAAGTCTCCCATTCTTCCCGTTCTTGCTGCACAAGAATAGGAACGTTGAAGTCTCTCCTTCCGGTATCAATGTCCATGTCTTTGATGCGCACGTAGCTCGTGCGGTAGTAAAGCTTGTGACCCAGGAAGAAAATCAAGGCAATTGGCGCGCCCATCCACTTGAGGAAGAAGTTTTCCGCCTGGAACGAGGGCGTGATGGTTTCGTGGCCCGGCGTGGGGATGGGAAAGGCGCCGACCCAGAACTGGGCGGCCAGGACGCTGATGTTGAGGCCGAGGCCGACGTAGGAGCCCGCGACACCGACTTGGGATTGGAAGGGGAGGTCGCTGGGGTGGAGGCCGCGAGCAGCCCAGGTGCGGCGGAAGCGGATGTGGCAGACGCAGATGGAGGCCCAGGTGAGGATGGAGGAGAGGCCGGAGATGGCGAGGAGCCAGTCCAGGACGGAGTTTTCCTGTTTGAGATCGGCTAGGTAGGCGAGGAGGCCGAATGCTGCGGCTACGAGGATGGCGACGAGCGGGCGTCCTCTTTGGTCAACGTAGCCGAGGATCTCGGGGGCCTGGCCGAGGTTGGCGAGGGCGGCGAGCGTTCGCGAGGATCCGAAGACGGCGGAGTTTCCGACAGACAAGACGGCGATGAGGATGACGGCGTTCATGACCGAGGGGAGAACTTCGATGCCGGCAGACTTGATGGCAATGACAAAGGGCGACGCGCGCGCATCTGCGTTGTTTTCGCCAACCAACATTGGGTTGTCGTATGGCACAAGCAGCCCAACCAGAGTCAGGGCGACGATGTAGAAGAGGCTGATACGCCAGAATACCTGCTTGATAGCAGACGGGAGGGATTTTCTCGGGTTTGCGGTTTCGGCCGCCGCTAAGCCGATGAGTTCAGTGCCCGTAAAGGCAAAGGCGGCTGTGACAAAGACGCTGCAGAGGCCTTTGAAGCCGTTGTGGAAGGCGCCGGGATCATGCCAGTATTTGCCGCCAATGTATCCTTGTGTGGGGGTTCCGCCGAGATTGAGAACGATACCAAGGAGGCTGAAGGACATTGGGAGTTAGCAAAAAGATTGAAATATAGACATTTTGTTCAAACTCACATAAAGCCAATAACAGCAACAATCTTGACCAGAGAGAATGTAAATTCGGCTTCACCATAACCCTTGACACCAAACATATTGATAGTGACGATGGTGGCAAGGAATACGGTGACGAAAATGGCTCTCTGGAGATGCTCATCCCAATAACCAATAGTAAGGGACGCTGCAATAATTTCCAGAGGCAGAATGGTCAGCCATTGCATAGCGTAGCTGTAAGACGGAGGTGATTAGCGAGTGGTTCACGAAATATCAACATCCCAATAATAGGGACAACACTTACTTCCAGCCCATGGCAAACCCCCAAGAAGGATCGAGGAAACGTGTCGCCCACGATGAGAACGAGCCAGCAAGGGGGTAGATGACTGCGAGTTCTCCCAATGCCTGACATGTGCAATATAGCATAATGCCGACGATGGAAAAGGCGAGGAGTAGAGACGCAGGGCCTCCCGCGGCAAGCGCCTTACCAGATGCCACGAACAGGCCAGTACCTATAAGAGAGAAGAAGCATCAAAGTTAGTAAAAGTAGTGGTGAATACCCAGTTGACTGAGTGTTTAACAGAAAGGCATGCGCACCTATTGAACCCCCTATAGCAATCATCTGCAAATGTCGCCCCTTGAGCTTCCTCGACAACCCGTTCGAATTCGCCGTCGCCAGCGCAGCCCGTCGCAAGTCGTAAAAGGGCGAGCCATTGTTGTGTCGCCTCACACTCTCCAGCGGACCAATGTCATCGAGGTCCCGGCTCGGGAAGAACTTGGAGTTTGGGTCGCGTCTGAAGCTGTTGATGATGCGGTCTATCCGCGGCTCCTTGGTCTCCTCGTAGTTTGGTTCCCGCATGCTGTAGGAGCTCCCGTGGGTCAGGGACTCTTCCTTGATCTTGTAGTTTCCAAAAGGGTTCAGTTCGATGTCCGGCGGCGGAGCCATTGTCCTGCCAGAAGCCCTTTGTCTGCGGATGGGGCGGGTCGCCAGCAATCGATAAGAATTGCGGCGAGGATGCTGCTGCGATCAAAGCTTATACCGGTGCCTCTTTTGCCACCAAAGTCTCTTTTGCTCGTTTTATTCGTCAATGTATTTAGAGTTGTCGTCTCTGTGTGGAATTGGGGCGGGAGATGGTGAATCAGTCCCGTCGTATCTTGGTCGCCTCGGCACGATAGTCCGACTCGTGGAGCCAGGGTCCAGTTGGCTGCGCTGCCATGCAGGTGCGGAAACTCGAAAAAGAAAAGAAAAAAAAGGTACCAGCGTCACACGCACGTGGATGTCGTCACCGTGAACTGCTACAAGGCTTATCCCAGCCCCAAGGCCATGTGGAAGTGGGCGGGGGTCTTGTGCGAAAAAAAGAAAAAAGAAAAGCAGTAAAGGTGCAGCGACGACGGCGAAATGTGTGAGTTGTAGAGCTGGTGAGGAAAAAGACGGCTGACGAGAAGAAGAAAGTCGGCTCCTTTTCTGGGGGGCGCGAGCCGGTTGAATTAATAACTATTGCTGCTAGTTGGCAGTGACAGATCGGTGGATAAACTGGCTAGTAAAACTCGATGGTGCCTTTTTATCTCGGGCTGGCGGTAACGTCAGACAAGGGGTGGCGCAGACGCAAAAACACGGATTGATTGAGAGAGATAGGTCGAGTATCAAGTACAGTACAGAGATGGAGGAATAGCGGCAGGCCACATGCAGCCATAGACCATCAGTGGCGAGCTAATGATCCGTGCTTCAGAGCGGCAAAGGCTGCAGCTTGACTCGACACCTGCTTGTAGGCCTATCAGCTCCAGCATCAGCATCAGCATCAGCCCCCGGATCGGCTTTGATTTGGTCAATTTGATTTGATGCAACGGATGCCCGTCAGCCTGCGGGATGCGACGCTGTCTCGGCCGCTGTAGTGGCTGCTAGCGTGCGTGCTAAAACAGCCCTGGAGCAGCACATGGTTCGTCCCTTTGGCGGGGGAGGAGCCTGTGCGTGCTGTGCCACGGGTCGGATAGCGCCCAGTCCAGTGAGAGTGTCGCTCATTATCCATTATCCATTATCCGTCATGCATCAATGAGATTGAGGCTCTACAGAGTTGGGACGATGCACCGCTGATGCTGGCTGCGCGAACATGAGAGCAAAAGGCACAAAACACAGCGTTACATTCCTGCCGGCCCTGGAGTTGGAGATGCGTTGCGCTGGAATCAGGTGGGGTGGAGACGCTGATAAGAACTGGCAATACATAGCAGTCGATACAGGCACTTTTTGATAAGGTATGCTAGGATTCAGGTAGGTAGGTACTGTAGTGCTGCATACCGCTGCTACTTTAGCATGTGCTCGTATGACCATTGAAACGAGGCGAACGGGTGAAGATGTATGAGCGCAAACAGCTCTATCATTCGCAGGGCTGGGAATTTGAGTCTAGAATCACCGTGTCAACAAGTCACCCACCTTCTCAGCTTCCACACCTTCTCCAGAGAGACCCTGACTCGAACCAACGTCTCGCCCTAGAATCCTGACGCCTCTCGCCGCTAAAAACTTGCAAGGCAACGGGGCAGATAACGCATGGAACACCTAGCCTGATGCAAGCCACCAACTGCCAGGCATCTAACGAATCCGTGATTGATCCTAGCGATAGCCCGCATGGGATCCTCCGCGTGGCGCGTTCTCCGCCATGATCCGTTTGGGGTCTCTTTGGAATAAGTGAGGCTGCCCTGCTTGTCCTGGTTGTAAACTACGTGTAGCTGGAATACAACCTACCTACCTACACGTATGTATGTGGATGGTGCCGCGAAAGACAGCTGTATGGCCAAGCAAGGACAGACAGCATGGAATAGCCAATGGAAGTCGCAGAGGTCTTGACAGCACGACGCAGACAATAGAGACAGGGGCCAGTCGTGGTCAGATCACGATGCGTCGGTTACGGATGGAATTATTCGACGGGCGAACAAGCCGAATAAGGCGAATTTCTCACAACATTGACGTCGCAACCATCTCCACCATCTCTAGAACAAGATAGTTCGAGCAGCAGATGTCAGAGCCGATATAACCAAGTGCGATGACAAACTATATGGGATGGATTAATATTGAAGTTGAACAAGACTCGCCCCAGTGCTTCTCATAAGGCTGACGTACCATTTGCAGCATGTTACAGTCCAATAAGAGCCTGCAGGAGCATCTACGACGTTGATTGGAGGTCGTGCCGCCGTCCACCTCGGCTTGCCATTTTCGCTGATTGAGCCTTGCGTCTCTTGCTGGGCAAATTCCTGCCTAAATTCTCCCGCATGCCTCTTGTTTGCCTGCGTAGTATCAACAGTTGCTCCTTGCACTGCTCTGTATTGCTCTAGATTTCCACTCTGGACTGAAAGTGTGTTACTGGATAGAAACTCCTAGAAGTGCCAGACGCCGGGCTGGCTTCCCACCAGAAATGGCGTACAATCGCGGTGTTAGTCTCACCCAAATCCACCCTTCCCCCGGCGCCGACGCCGATACAGACATCGATATCATTGCCATCCATGGCCTGGACACAAAGTCTCCAGACACGTGGATTTCGAAATCCAGCCATCCTGGCGAGGATGTCAACTGGCTGGCATGTCCGCGCATGCTTCCAGAAAGAATAGGACCAGCCCGGATCTTCACGTGTGACTGGCCGGCAGATCTCCTTGAAGAGCCAGATTTGATCCAGAAAACTGCGGAAGAGTTTGCTCGGCTCTTGCTTGCCGGAATCAAACGCCGTCTTTTACCAACAAAGACTGGCTATGCAAAGGCGAAAGATAGGCCGATTGTCTTTATTGCATCATGTCTCGGGGGCATCATTTTGATCAAGGCTCTCGTGATCGCTAGCCAATCTATCGAATACGCCATTGTCAGACAATCGACACGCGGGATTGTCTTCCTTGCTACGCCTTTCCGCGGAACCTCCTTCCAAGATGTAGCAGACTGGGCGGAGCCTGGTCTAAGAGCCTGGGCTTCGATTCGGGGCCACAAAGTGAGCAATCTTCTCGACGACGTCAAGGGATCGGCTTTCCACCTTGAGGAACTTGTACGCAGGTTCACTCAGCTGTGTCACGATAAAGATTATCCCTGTCAAGTGGTTACCTTCTATGAATTGGGCTTGACGAGTCTTCATCGTAAATTTCCTCTAAGCTGGCTGATTCCATCTGGGGTGCTTGATTTGGTTGTTCCGTCAAAGCCGGTGAGTACGATAAAATTCTTGGCGGTATCATTTCTTTTAAATAAGCAATTTCATGGCAAGGCTGACTCTTGATAGCTTGTTGATAGCTCTTCAGCAACTCTGGATATTGTTACAGACCCACTGCCACTCCATCGACGCCATGTAATGATGAATAAGTTCAACGGTCCTGAAGATCCAGACTATCAATGTGTTGTTGGAAAAATTGAAGAAATTCTTCAGGGTTTACGTACAAATTCACCACTCGACGACGCAGACGCTTGGATACGCAATAAGCATTATGCCGTGGACAAGCTCAAGATTGAACGACTCTCTGGCGACCTTTTGCCGATGGATCAATGCTATATCAATTTTGCCGTTGTGGAACAGCATGTTCAAGACTCAGATCGGCCAATGACAGAAGATACAAAGGCCTCCCCGTTTTCCCTCTTTAACCGACAGAAGATCGAGACACCAGATACGACAGTTCAGGTTGAATTGGCCACAATTTTCAGTCAACGCCAAGAACGCAATGGAGAAATGATACAGCCAAGAAGAATCTTGATTCGAGGACGCGCTGGAGTTGGCAAGACCACTCTATGCAAAAAGATTGTCCATGAATTTACTCAAGGCACATGGAGTGGGTGGAATGACTTGTTTGACCGCATCCTTTGGGTACCTCTAAGGAACCTAAAGCTCGAAGAAAGACGCCAGCACCCCGCATATGACTTCGAAGCTCTTCTCACTCATCAATATTTCTCTCTGCCGAACAATAAACCGGACTTTGCTAAACATTTAGCCCAAGCACTGGAGTCCTCCTCCAGCAGGACCTTATTTCTCCTTGACGGCCTAGATGAAGTATCCCAAGAACTAGCTGGCGGCAACAGCATGTCTCGCTTCCTTAACGAGCTTTTGGAACAGCCAAACATCATTGTAACTTCTCGACCGTCCGGCAGGCTACCACTAAACCTTGATCTTGAATTGGAAGCCATCGGCTTTTACCCAGATCAAGTCAAGAACTACATTAGGAAAACCTTTACCAATCCAAAAACAACTGAGATTGACGAGAAAACAGTTGGCAACATACAGTCTTTTCTTCAAAATCACTGGCTTATCCAGGGTCTTGTACGCATTCCAATTCAGCTGGATGCGCTTTGCTACACTTGGAGGGATATTCGCAGCGACATGCCGGAGACAATGACCGCCCTTTACCAAACTATAGAACTTAGTTTGTGGAAAAAGGATGTCGTGAGACTAGAGAAAAAACATAACGATAGGCTAGTGACACCATATCACATCCAATATGCAAGTCAGCAAAAGATCGAAGAACTTGTTAAAGACGAGATCTCTTTTCTTGAGAGTCTTGCCTTTGCTGGGCTGTGTAGTGATATGATAGAATTTGAGTCGAAGCATTTAAACTTCATATCCGACCACTTTCCGGGCTTCTTGTTAGACAAGGCCGCTTCATCCCTTTCTTTTCTACGAGCTTCAAATCCGTCATCAGAAAACTGCAACCGAAGCTATCACTTTATACACCTGACCTTTCAGGAATACTTCGCCGCGCGGTGTTTTGTACGGCAATGGACTGCTAGAGAACCTTTGGACTGTGTGGAACTCGGCAGTAGAAACGTCAACAAGATCGAGCCTGCCGAATTCTTTCAGAAGCACAAATACACAGCACGTTACGATATCCTGTGGCGGTTTGTTGCTGGATTACTTGACGCTGAGCCGGAAGGAGCATCCCTCTTTTTTCAGAAAATCGAGGAGGAGCCACTTGACTTCTTAGGCCCTGCGCATCAACGGCTGGTTATGCATTGCTTGAGCGAAGTATCAAGTAACTTTTCAATTCGAGCCGACCTAGAACAACGGCTTTCCAAGTGGTTGCTTTTTGAATGTGAAATCGCACATGGTCGCTCCTCCCACCTAGCAAGTGAGGTAGAATTTCCCGAGCTGGCATTGGACACTGCCTTTCGTGAAGCATCGGATAAAGTCAAGAAAATGATTTTGAGATCGTTCACAAAAGGGGCCACAGCTCCAATGAGCATCATTGAACTAGCAATTTCCTGGCTAAGTCGCAAAAACTCTAGTGCCCAAATGGCTGCCGTCAAGGCCTTACAGCAGTTGGCCTTACCTGATAGGTTTCTTAGGATCATAGCAGCGAGGCTTGAAGACAAGGACTTGGTTCGAAAAGCCACTTTAAGAATTTTGTGCAAACAGCCGAACTTGCCTAAAGAAATCCTTGAGGCTATAGCAGCGATACTTGAAGACAAGAATCCATCTATCCGCCAAGTTACTGTGGAAACCTTGGGTAAACGCTTAGCTTTGCCTGATGAGATTCTCAAGGCTATAGCAGCGCGGCTTGAAGACAAGAATCCATCTATCCGCCAAGTTACTGTGGAAACCTTGGGTAAACGCTTAGCTTTGCCTGATGAGATTCTCAAGGCTATGGCAGCGCGACTTGAAGACAAGAATCTATCTATCCGCCAAGCTACTGTGAAAACTTTAGGTCAACGATTTGCTTTGCCTAATGAGATACTTGAGGCTCTAGCAGCAAGGCTTGAAGACGAGCATCCAGACGTCCGATACTGGGCTGTTCAGGCCTTAGGCGAACGATCGACCCTACCTAATGAAATTCTCAAAGCTATAGCAGCGCGGCTTGAAGACGAGAGTCAATTCGTCCAAGAAACCGCTGTTGAGGCTTTGGTTCGGCAATTGATCTTACCTGAAGAGATTCTTGAAACTATGGCAGCGCGGTTGGAAGACGAAGATTGGCGAGTCCGGCAAACTACTATAAAAGGTTTGGGCCTGTTTAAAAGACTGGGCTTGCAGAGTAAGAGACTTGAGGACATAGCAACGCGGCTTAAAACCAAGGATTGGTCCATCCGACAAGCCGCTTTTGGAGCCTTGAACCAGCATTTCAGCCTATCTGATGAAGCTCTAAAAACTATAGCGGCGCAACTTCAGCATAATGACAACAGCTATATTCGAGTATCCGCAATTGAGACCTTGGGCAATCAATCCAGCTTACCCTACGAGATTCTCCAGGCTATAGCAACGCAACTTAAGGAAAATGAAAACATTTCTGTCCAAATAGCTGCTATTGAGGCCCTAGCCAGTCAATCAAACTTACCTACTGAGATTCTGCAGGTTATGACAGCGAAGCTTGAGGATAATGAAGATTATTCTATTCATGAAGCCGCTATTCAGGCTTTAAGCATGCAATCAAGCATAACTGACAAGATTCTCAAGGTTATAACAGCGCTTCTTAATAATAATAAAGTCAACTTTTCCCTCAAGGAAGTCGCTATTATTGCATTATACGATCAATTGGACTTGCCAAGAGAGATTATTCATGCTTTAGCAGCACGACTCAAAGACAATGACCCATATATCCAAAGCGCTGCTATTAAGGTCTTAGGCAGTCAGCCAATGTTACCTAAAAAATACCTTAATGATATAGCGGCTCAGCTTGACAACGATTCATCTTGGGTAGTAGAGCTTGCTGAGGAAACACTACGAAAGCGCAAAGATTTCTACCCCACGCTTTTTAAGGGCCCTTATGCTCCCTCCCTCTATCAGGTGTTACTCCGGCGGAGCTTCGGAGAAGAGATTAGTTGGTGTGTTGATAACGATGGCAGCTCCTTTATCAACATGCCTGAAGATGGTGGAAGATTGGTTATTGGTGAACAATATGACATGAAGGCTATAATAAAAGAGATCCGTCCAGCAAACTACCCAGTACAATAGAAAGCTAGGCAAGCGAATGGGCATTAAAACTCAACATACTTACAACTATCTATCTATACGCACCGCTTCGCGACTCCCACAGCTATAAACTGCGGAAATGTCATTTATTGTGTTAAAAAGAAAGGAGGCATGATCACATTTATCTAATTGTGCTCAAGCTTGAACAACTCCCGTGTGTAAAGCGATCCGCTTCGTTTTGAGTTACTTCATCATCACACTATCATCTATATATGATATGGCCAGCACAGTTTTCAATGACAATTCAATCGGCTTACCTGCACTTTAAAAAGAGGGAGAACCAAGGAGATAATCATTGCAATCATGCCATATATATACGTCCTATTCTAGTACATAACCTAGGACTTTTATAGAAATTATGTGCATATAACATTGAAGGTCGTATTCGCCAAACACCCCGCATTTGCTGTAAAACACCAGACATGATAAAACAAATGTCCACTCGCCAATCTCACCCCCTTTTCACGTTCTCTATCAAAGAAATGTCATCCAGCTCTTTATTCAGCCTTTTTGCTGGCTTTTGGGGTCCGAGGCTTTCGCTGCCACCCAGTAGAGAATAATGGTCCCATATCAAACCGGGGGAAGGGATGGGCCTCTGTATTCAGTACGATCTTGTCCAGCGGGAGCAGGTCATTTGGTGAGAAGAGGAGATACATGTACTTTAGTGTCTCGGCCTAGATGAGCAGCATCTCATTAGTAACTTGAAATAAACGGGTACGAGAAAAAGTTGAAGCCATTGCAAACTTACCAACCAAAAGCTTTCCATATTATCCTTGACCGTTGGCGGAATAGTGTTGGCATCAAGCAGACTCGTAAAGCCCCCTCTGTCTTCCACCGCAGTATAATTGGCAAAGGACTTGAACATCTCCCAGCCCCATTCACGGTACTTGACATCGCCCGTTATCCTCCACATGTAAAACAAACTCTCCACCGTCTCCGGACGCTGCAGGTTGTGCACGTCGTTGGAGTGAACAATAAAGTCCTTTCGCCACTCGGCATTCGGGTCAGGGTCAAACTCGGCCGGGGCTTGATGAGGTGCTGATGCAGCCGGCGGTGGGTTGTAAGTATTGAAGTATGTGATTTCGGCTGCTAGGCCCGTCTTCATGTATTTGTACATGCCCCAACAGGTTTGCATGAGCTCTCTGGCGAGCTGCATGTCGTCGTCCTTCTTCTTGGACCAGGTAGGCAATTTGCGAGCTTCGGCTTCGGTGAGGCCATCGGTGACCGCCAAGGCGATTGTGCCTGGCATGAAACAGACCAGATGATCCATTTTCGGAGACAACGGATATTCCAAGCCATCGGGGCGCTCAGCGATAATGGTGAATCCAGAAGGCTCGGTGTAAGTGACCAAATGCTTTCGTACGCCTTCGAGGGCCTCATTCCACATCTCTTGGTAAACGGGCTCCTTCTTGTTTGTTTGCAGATATTGTTTGATGAGGTACTCATAATAGGAGTCACCCCTGCTTCCCAATCGAATATTGCCGCCTCGAAACTCGCCCGTCGTAGCATAGACGTAAATGGGGACAAGGCCATCTTCCGGCTGGTTATCATCGATAACCTCCATGACTTTTTCGACTTTGTCCCAGAAGTTCTTCTCACCCGTAAGCTTTGCCAAATACTTAAACTCAAGCTGGAGAGTGGTGGCCTCAGCCGTAGAAGATGCTCCGCCATCAGAATGTGATGGGAGGCCCTTGTATTCTCCCAGATTGACACTAGCATATGGAATGCCCGACTCGGATTCAAATGCAGAAAGTAACCTGTCAGCTAAATCTCTAGCCTTTTCCAGATAAAGATCCTCCCCATCTGCTCCCTCGTCGTCTTCGGTCAGTGGTGCGAGGTCAGGAAACTCGTTGGAAAGATAGTGGGCAGAGAGAAGTCCACCCAGCATTCGAATGGTAGTTTCAAAAGTGTTGACATCTTGGTCTTGATCCCAGGTCAGCGACGTAGAAAGCCACTCTCGCGCATGTCGCAGGCGCGAGGTCTGATTCATTAGCATCATGGTGTCCAAAGCATCGATGATGATCCATCCAAGTCCTTTGGGAGCCATGTTCTTGCTCGTCTTTGAAACGGGGTGGAATTCATCCTTGCCTAATACCGCCCAAGACTCATTAGCAATTGGCTTCCATTACATAACAATGATATCACGGCATATCACATCACATACCCCATCCATAGCGTTCGTAAGCATCCCAGCTCACCTCGAACGCGTCGACCACATGCTTCCGCCGTTCGTCCCAATCAACTTGATCCTTCTCTTGTGCCAAGCCTAGCCACGATAATGCTGATTCTGAGGTCCTTGCTCTAGGATGACCAGAGAAGAAGCCCGTGAGGTATAAGAAGAAAACTACAGCTGCCGTGATGATCCCCAGCACCTTCTTGCGCTGCCACCACGGCCGCAGTCGCATGGACGGCGCATAGGCGTAGGGCTTATCCTTATACATGGGCAACGAGTCCGACTTCTCAAACATGCCGCCATTCAGCACTCCTCCGCCTCTCCGCGACAGAGCCGCCCAGGCGCGGTCCTCGAGCGCTCGGCCGGAGTCGGCAAAGTTGGGCACGTTTTTCGGGATGGAAAAGGACATTTCTAGTGCATTTGCGCCCGCCTGGGCCGCTGCGTCCTTGATGTTCTGCGCCGCTCGGAAAGCTGTAGCCTTGAATACGTTTTTGTTGTGTATGCCGAACGGGTCGCGGATCATTGGATCGACGAGGTCATGTCGAGAGGAGCGAGAGATTAGAGGCGATTAGATGGACAGACAACGCAATACCCAAAGCAAGTAAAAAAAATTCACCAGATCCAGACGTCGAAAAAGAGACACTCGGATATTCCAGCACCTGCGGATTCTCAACCCAGCAAAAATAAATGAGAATAAAACAAAAGAGAGACTGGCTGCACGAGCCCGTCTAGGGGTCCTTGGCTAAGAATGGACACATGCACCCGGAGAGGCCAAGGAAAAAGGACATGTCACCTCCAATCGATAAGGTTCGCGGCTGTAGACCCCTAGCATTTAGCCCGCAGCTAATCGCCCGCCACCAGTGCAGGCTTGCGCTATACAGTAGGGGGGCAATTCCGCATTGGTATCCAATGTGCAGCCTTTAACTCTTGAACCCTCCAACAAGATATCGTGATGTTTTACTGCTCAAATGTCCTTTTTGTTGAGCGGAAATATTAACAAGTACTGCTCTCTAGCGTTTCTTCTTTTCCTCTTTCCTTGTTCTCGCTCATTACAAATAGTAACGGCAGCCTCGGTTAAAAACTTCAACAAAGAAACATAATTTAGTTTTTTTTTGTTTCTTTTTTTAATTCTCGCAGGCAAGCGAGGACTTCGAATACGAAACTCTAAGTCCTCAAACCAGAAAATTCCTCAAAGATGGATATCAAAGACTTTCCCTTTCTGACCTCAGAAGAGTTCACCGAAGTGTGCCATCATTTCGATAGCCAGTACTGCAGAGCAAGGCTGGGGTCCATAAGGAAGAAATGGAAGTTCAGGCTTTGCACCGCTCTGGACCTCACTTATTCAACCAGAGGTGGATACATCACATATATTCAGGTGATCCGGCCGCTGGAAGAGACAGTAGACCCCAACGACATATCACTCGACTTGGGCAATTTTTCCATATCAGATCACGATGAGCAAAATGGGTTCCTTCAAGGAGACAATGACATGATTGATGATGAAGAATCTGACGCGGTATGCCACCTTGATACTGCTATTACGCCTTGAGCATACCTTGAGCATATTCTCACACTTCTTCAGAATCTCGTACATCCGAAAGCGGCGCCAGGGTTTGGCTATGTATCGTACGAGGTCCACCTGCACCCTACATATAGAGTGCCATGTCTCTGGTTCAGCCTGCATGATCTCCCGCCAGATGAGCCCGCCTTCAATATCGACACCGTCTTCCGTCGCTTAATTCCTGATGCCTACAAAGATGGTCTCCGCCGAGGAGTGGGGGGCATCGGTGGCATCTCAGCAGATGTGAGTTTCCATTTCTATTGCAAAAGTTAATTATGGTATCCCGAAAAATCCAGTGTCAGTCCGGCCGCACTAACAGCTTTGCCCCTAGCATCACCCAATCACTGGGGTACCCTCTTTCTTTCTTCATCCGTGCCTGTTGGGAGACGCTATATCCAGCTTTGAATGCTCAATGGAAAATTATCTCATGATCTGGTTCGGCCTGGTAGGGGGATGCGTCGGCCTATGGGTACCCAAGGAAATGGCCACCCAATGATGGCTCGTTTGAACTGGAAGAAACGTCTTCATTCATTGGGACAGCCTCGTTGTGGTTGAGCGTCTTCATTCATCGTCGCTATCTTCCTCCATTGCCACATCGCCCTCGCTATCTTCATCCTCCTCATCACGGGTTCGCTTCTGGCCGCGGTTCTCGTCGGCCTCGTCATTCTTCGAAGTTGGTGTGGCAGCCGGTACGGTAGGCTTTTCGAAAGCTGATCCAGGTGGCGGTGCGTTAAAGATACTCTGCTGGAGCTCTGTCTGTTCCACGACGGTGGCGCCGGCCGTTGTGGGGATTTTGAACGTGCCATCGAGTTTCGCTACGAAATGCGATTTGGATTTGGCGTATTGGATTTTCTAAGACGGGTTAGTTAATGGTCAGATGAGAGCAGGTCTAGGTTCCAGAGGAAAACGCACCATTGTGCGACCCAAAAAGGACTGTCCATCTAATGATCTCATGGCCTGGGTTGCTGCCTGGATGTCGCGAAATACAATGTGAGCTTGGCCGCGCATCTCCATTGTCTTGAGGGCGACGATATCGAGCACCGGTCCAAAGGTCGAAAAGAGCATGTACAGTGCTGTTCGCAGGTCTGCTTTCTGTATCTTGCCTGACGGGAGGTTTGTAACGTATAGACTAGATAGATTTTCAGCAAGCCAGTGCATCGTCTTCGATTAATAGAGAGCAACTCACGTCTGGTTGGGAGGAATTGGCTGCACTTTCGCGGGCAGAGAGGCGTTCGGCGCGAGGCCGCGAGGAGGAGGGGCAGCAGCCGATGCCATTGTGTGCTTCGAAAAGGATGAAATAATATCAAATATGTCTCTCGCTCTCTATATATGCAGCAGCGCCCTCGTGATCTGCTGTCGTGTCGAGAATGTGCCGTGCAGTCGCTGGTTATTGGCGGTTTGGATGGTTGAAGCGTGGAGTTTTTTTGGTTCCTCGACTGGCCTTGAGGTGTGGCCCCAGCTTCAATCGCGCCAATGGCCAGGTCCATGTACCAGGTACCTCGCTTTGGCTGCTACCCGCTTATGGCCAGGGGCTCCATGTACTCCCAGCCAGCAACGTCACCCCGCCATCCCGTTGGCTACAGCTCCGACCTCCCCCAAGCATTTTCCATCGTCATCTCCAGCTTCAGCTTCAAAAATCCCACATAACCTCTTTTCTTCCTAGGCGATAGTAGAGAGCTACTCCTATCGCATCCACTACCGCAAACATGGCTGCTCCCGAAGTCCACCACTTATTCCACAACCCCATTGCCGACCACTCGTTCTCGGCCGACCACGCAACTCTGGCCGTTGCTCGAGACTCGTCCGTTGAGCTATACAGCAAGGCTGGAAATGCTTTCAAGCTGGCAGACGTGCTGAAGGGCCACGACAAGACGGTCACCAGCGTCGACATTGCCCCGAACAGCGGCCGCATTGTGTCTTGCTCCCAAGGTTCGATCTCGCCGAACCCCTGCTCCGAGCTCCTTTCCGCCATGGATGCTGATACTTGACAGATCGAAACGCTCTGGTCTGGGAGCCGTCTCCCACCGGATACAAGCCCACTCTCGTTCTTCTTCGAATCAGCCGTGCTGCCACCTTTGTTCGATGGTCACCTTCCGAGACCAAGTTTGCCGTGGGCTCCGGTGACCGCGTCATTGCCGTTTGCTACTTTGAGGAGGAAAACGACTGGTGGGTTTCGAAGCACCTGAAGAAGCCCATCCGCAGTACCATCACCAGCGTTGCTTGGCACCCCAACTCCGTGCTCCTCGCCGCCGGCTCTACCGATGCCCATGCCCGAGTGCTGTCAGCCTTTGTTAAGGGTGTCGATGAGCGTCCCGAGCCTGGTGTCTGGGGTGAGCGATTGCCCTTCAACACCATCTGCGGAGAATACCTGAACAACTCTGCCGGCTGGGTGCACTCCGTGGCCTTTTCTCCCAGCGGAAACGCTCTCGCCTTTGCTGCGCATGACAGCAGTGTCACCGTTGTGTACCCCAGCGGCCCTGACCAGCCCCCCAAGGCCGTTTTGAGCATCCCCACCCAGCTTCTGCCATTCAAGAGCTTGCTCTGGAAGGCTGAAGACGAGATCATTGCTGCCGGCTACGACTGTGAGGCTTTCCGTTTCCAGGGCGGCGAGGGAGGCTGGCAGCTTGTCGGAACCATGGAGTCCAAGGGCCACGCCGGCGCTGGCGAGCAACGCGAGGAGTCTGCGCTGAACATGTTCAGACAGATGGACCTCAAGGGCAAAGTCAAGGATAACACACAATTGAAGACGGTTCATCAAAACACAATCTCCAACATTAGACCTTATGAGATCTCCGGCGGAAAGGTCACCAAGTTTAGCTGTGAGTATACTGGCCATACCTTTTTCAAAACCAGACCAATGAGATGACTAACAGCTACCTTAGCGAGCGGCGTTGACGGAAGAGTCGTGATTTGGAATGCTTAGAGTCGATTACCATAGATTATAATGAGGGCCACATGATGCGTCTTCTACGTAGCTAACCATGGCGGAAGCGCGAGCTTCTGGCGCTCTGTAACTTGTCTACTACATATTAAGCACCCAAGGAGGCGGCACAAGTGTATTTAACTCATTTGATTGGAATAGCATGTAATATTTCTATATATAAAACTTTTCCTGCATTCCCGGTGCAGCCATCTATGGCAGGGCAATAGCCTCAATCTCCACATCGACGCCCTTGGGGAGCGTCTTGACTGCAACGCAGCTTCGCGCAGGCTTGTGAGAGAAGAATTTCTCGTACTCTCCGTTCATCTCCTACAGCGAGAGTCATGAGATGTGGTTACTTGGACAGTTAATTATGGGACAAGATGACTTACAGCAAAGTGAGCCATGTCAGAGATGAAAATAGTGGTCTTGACGACTCTGGGCAGGGAAGAGCCAGCCTGCTTGAGAACGACATCCAGGTTCTCGCAGCACTTTCTGGTCTTCTCGGCGATGGTGCCCTCAATCAGGGTGCCATCGGCAGTAAGAGGGATCTGGCCGGAGCAGTAGATGGCAGTGGGAGTCTTGATGGCTTGAGACTAGAGGTTGTACAATATGAGAATAACGTCTTCGCTATTGAATTCAAGAGGTACTCACGTAAGGGCCGAGGGCTAGAACCTCGTTGTTAGCCTCAGTTGATCCATAAATCATTAATAGACTCTCAAATTATTGAGATTATACTCACGAAAGGGGGCTTCCTTAGTGTACACGATAGTTTGGTCGGCCATTGTGGATTTTGGTCTCGCGAAAGCTGTGACGAGTGTAAACTTGGGTCTTGCAGCGAATAGCGCCGGAGCAGACGCGGCGGCAAGGCCTGCGAGGGGCCGAGCTGAGCTGCGAGCAATAGGCAACATACCTACTTTGACAGGTGTGTTTGTGATGTCTTGTGGTTTCTTGATAAGGGGCAATGGGGAAGAGTGGGATAGGTATTTATGGAATGGAATTGGAAATCGAAGAAAGGCTCAATGCGTTTATTTGTAAAGGACACAGGCTTTTGGCGCGCCCTTGGACCCCTCCGACAGCCGGAAGCTCCCCCGCCCTTCCAATTGTGCGTCGTAGTGGCGCTTTGTACCGGGCCAAAGAAGAACCGCGGTGGATCGCATTGGAGAGCAATGATCAACTTGAAGCTCTGGTTGAGAGTTTGTTGTTGCATGTTATCCTTTGCATGCTTGCGTGTTTGTTTAGTGCTATGATGTGGTTTAATCTACTTGTAGATCCATATTCTCATGCAGATCCAATTGGGATATATCGAAAGGGACACTTCTTCAACGTTAGTAGTTACTCGATGAAAACTACATCTTTTCTCATTTCTTCAATGCATTGATATATTTTCAGCCTCACGATTCTTTCTCTTCTTTAGAGGCAGCCGATTTCAGCCTGGCAGTGTCAATGGGCAATAAATGGGGTTCACGGCCAAGCCGCAGAGAAAAGGCTTATTCGAGGCCAGACTCTTCCATTGAATCTCGCTTGTAATAGCTAATCAATTCAAAGTCATCTTATATGTGTAAACGCTCCCAGCGCCTACCCGCCAACCTGCCAATAGCGGAAACGTCGAGACTATATTGGGCTTACGCAGCTTCTCGATCATTTTAACAGGGTTGTGAACCGGCAGTTTGAAACACCCTGGGTGCAGAGTACACGCTACTTTGAGTCAGTCCCGGCATGTGACGGAGAAAGATGGAAGGCATAGGTATGGTTGTGTCTGAGAGTGTAGATGCGGTCCCTGTAAAGCAGAGATACAGGCTAAATAGATTAGCGAATGATTGTTCCTTTCATGTGCAACTAAAAGAGCCATCAACGACGTGCAATTGGTTTCCCATTTATCCTATCAATATTTCCTTCAGCCAGGCGGCTCAAAAGGAACACAGAGGTCTGGTACAAAGTACTCCATACCTGCTGTGGCTCGGCGCTGACCCCTGCAGCTTTAGTGGCTCCAGGGTCGAGACGAAGACACGTTCGCCTCAGCTCGAGTCGGTCGTCTTCATCCAATTCCACTTACGGGAGGCTCAATTCACCCCCAATTCGGGCCTCTGCTGCGCAACGCATCTGCGGGCTCTTTTTCTCCTTTTCTTTTCTATTCCCTCCTTCATTTGATGAGCAGCTCTTCAATTCTCTCCAAGCCAGCGCGGAGGCAAATTTTCTCTTCTTGTAAGTCGTCGTGCCACCAAGAGATGCAGCCCCAGTTCCACATACCCTAGCTCTTTTGTCTTTGGCCTCAGAGCTTCTCGAGATCTGGCATCACCTCAGGTTCCAGGCTGCAAAAGTTCAGACTGCGCTGCTCTTCACAGACCTCGCTAACTCTCCACCGGTGAAGCTTCTAAGAGCCATGGCTCGAGCTTCAACGCCGCAGGGAAGCCTGCGACAGCGGGGCGTAGCGTCCAAGCAGACGCTCAGCGAATCTACGTTTGCCCCCGAGGTCGAGCTCGACAAACTGTCCAAGGCGGCCGCATCATCGCGTCAAAATGTCCAGCGAGGCGAGATTGAGCACAAGATTGCATTGACTCTGGTCACCATTCTCGGCTTCGTCACTCGATTCTGGGGCATCAGCCACCCTGACGAGGTTGTCTTTGACGAAGTGCACTTCGGAAAGGTAAGGGACCATCTTGCATCAAGGATTGACATAGCCATGGCTGGACATAACAAGAAGACTGACTGTTCAATTGCTTAGTTTGCTTCGTACTACCTCCAACGAACCTACTTTTTCGATGTGCACCCTCCTTTCGCCAAGCTGCTCTTCGCCTTTGTTGGCTGGCTGGTTGGATATGACGGCCACTTCCACTTCGAAAACATTGGCGACTCCTACGTCGCCAACAAAGTTCCCTACGTCGCTTTCCGAGCCCTTCCCGCCGTCCTCGGTGCCTTGACCGTGTCCGTCACCTACTTGATCATGTGGGAGTCGGGCTACAGCTTGCCGGCTTGCCTTGTCGCTACTGGCTTGATTCTCCTCGACAATGCACACATTGGCCAGACACGCTTGATTCTCCTCGATGCCACCCTGGTTCTCGCCATGGCCTGCAGTCTCTTGTTCTACATCAAGTTCTACAAGCTGCGACATGAGGCCTTTAGCAGGAAATGGTGGAAGTGGCTTATCCTGACCGGCTTTGCGCTGTCCTGCGACATCTCGACCAAATACGTTGGTCTCTTCGCTTTCGTCACCATTGGCTCTGCAGTTATTATTGATCTCTGGGATCTTTTGGATATCAAGCGACGCAACGGTGCCATCAGCCTGCAACTGTTTGGAAAGCACTTTGCAGCCCGTGCCATTGGCCTCATCGTTCTACCATTCCTCTTCTATCTTTTCTGGTTCCAGGTGCACTTTGCCGTCTTGACTCGATCCGGCCCTGGCGACGACTTCATGACGCCAGAATTCCAGGAAACCCTGAGCGACAACGTCATGCTGGCAAATGCTGTCGACATTCACTACTATGATTACATCACCATCAGGCACAAGGAGACCAAGGCATACCTCCACAGCCACCCCGACACCTATCCCCTGCGATATGATGATGGCCGCATCTCCAGCCAAGGCCAGCAGATTACTGGTTATCCCCACAACGACACAAACAACTACTGGCAAGTCCTTCCTTCCGACAATGTGCACAACACGGAGCGCATTGTCAGAAACTTCGACCTGGTTCGACTTAGGCACATTGTCACGGACAAGATTCTGCTCTCTCACGATGTCGCTTCGCCGTATTTCCCCACCAACCAAGAGTTTACCGCCGTGACTTCTGAGGAAGCGTTTGGCGAGCGCCAAAACGACACCCTTTTCGAGATTCGAGTTGAAACAGCAAAGGTTGGCGCAGAGTTCAAAACCGTTGCCAGCCACTTCAAGCTTGTTCACTTCCCCAGCAAAGTTGCCATGTGGACACACACCACTCCTCTGCCTGAGTGGGGCTATAAGCAGCAGGAAATCAATGGCAACAAGCAGGTTACAGTCAGCTCCAACATGTGGATTGCCGAGGACATTCCCTCGCTTCCTCAAGATGACGCCCGCCGCCAAAAGGAGCAGCGACAAGTCAAGTCACTGCCGTTCCTCCGCAAGTGGTTTGAGCTGCAGAGGTCCATGTTCTACCACAACAACAAGCTGACCAGCAGCCACCCGTACTCCAGCCAGCCTTACCACTGGCCATTCTTGCTTCGCGGAGTGAGCTTCTGGACACAGAATGACACACGTCAACAAATCTACTTTGTTGGCAACCCCATTGGCTGGTGGATCACCAGCAGTCTTCTGGCTGTGTTTGCTGGCATTATCGCAGCAGACCAAATCTCTCTCCGTCGTAACATTGATGCTCTAGACCATCGTAAGTACCTTTCTCAGCTTTCTTTTTCATTGAAGAAACCACAACCTCTCCTTGTAGTGCACTCTCTGACTGATTTTAAAAGGCACTCGTTCGCGACTATACAACTCTACGGGCTTCTTCTGGCTTGCCTGGGCTACTCACTACTTCCCATTCTACCTTATGGGTCGTCAACTCTTCCTTCACCACTATCTCCCGGCCCATCTAGCCTCTTGTTTGGTCACAGGCGCTCTCGTCGAGTTCATCTTCAACTCTGATGCAGTAGAGGAGGAGTCTTCCAAGTCTGGCAACCGTTCAAGTCCCAAGAGACACGTCACGGCCCGTGAGCGATTCGCTGGTAAGAGCATGCTTGGTGCTTGGATTGCTTGTGGTGTGATCCTCTCTGCCGCTGCCGCTTGCTGGTACTTCTTCTTGCCTTTGACCTATGGTTATCCCGGACTGTCTGTAGAAGAAGTTGTTAGGAGAAAGTGGCTCGGATACGACCTCCACTTCGCCAAATAAGCGGGTAGGAGTCTTGAATGATACTGTCTGATGGAGAGGGGCTGATTTTGGATGGAGACAAGTTTTGTTTCTAGGCCGGCAAGAGCCTCTGCAAAGTACTGTCAACAACTAAAAGGTGTAAGTGGATGTAGCTCGTTTTTTGACGCGATGTAGGAGACTGTGTCTGTATGTGTACAATAAAAGGGGTGGGCTAGCAGAGGAGTAAGAATGCGTAAAGTTGAAAAAGAAGCATATCTTGTCAATGCAGAATAATAAATGACTTTTTTCTAATTCGAAATCTCATCTTGGACTATTTTTAGGAATGAAGCTACATCTCGTATAACAAATTGGGTACCTATCAAACGATGCAAATGACGGCTTATATCTGTCCCCTATCATTGTTACGTAAGCTGTAATGAACGCCCGCTGGCTGGAACTCTATCGTCATTCTCCAGGGATGCAGATGGAGGCATGTCAAGCTCCCAAACACCAATGTTCTGATTGCCGCGTCGCGCCTACGAATTGGCGCGATGGGCTGGCATAGCGATTTGCATTTCATGAAATTAGCAAGTACCTGAACTTGTTGCACATGCTTCCCATTTTCCAATCCCCGCATAGCGCGTCTATAGACAACGATGCTGTTTTCAGGCGCAAACAGGCTGTACCTCCGTCGAATACTTCGCTGGCGAGCGACGAGGATCGCACTTCTTCTTCTATTTCTGATCAACGTCTTTGATATTCTGCGCATACAGCGCGACATCGTCCATGGAGACCGAGAACACAGGCTGCGCAGCGGCAGCGGGGCGATGCGACAGCGCGAGAGGATATACATTGCGAGCATGCATTGGAACAATGCAGAGGTGCTCAAGGACTACTGGAACGATGCGGTGGTTAAGCTTACCGAAACATTTGGTGCCGACAATGTGTTTGTGAGCATATACGAGAGCGGCAGCTGGGACGACAGCAAGGAAGCTCTACAGACGCTGGATGCGGAGCTTGAGAAGAGGAACGTGCCGAGACGGGTCGAGGTGTCGGAGACTACGCACTACGACGAGATAACGAAGCCGAAGAACGAAAGGGGCGAAGGTTGGATAGATACGTCGAGGGGAGAGAGGGAATTGAGGCGAATTCCCTACTTGGCGAAGCTACGAAACAAGACGATTCGGGATTTGATTGAGTTGAGCGACAAGGGAATCACATTTGACAAAGTGCTGTTCCTAAACGACGTGGTATTCACGGTACGAGTGGACAAATACATTTGCTCTATATACCAAAACTGAAAGCTAACATTGAGGATTTGGTGAAATAGGTTGAAGATGTGTTGACGCTGATGGACACCAACGGTGGCAACTACGCTGCAGCCTGCTCCATGGACTTTTCGAAGCCGCCGCTGTACTACGATACCTTTGCGCTGCGCGATATCGAAGGATATGCGCATGTTATGCAGACATGGCCGTATTTCAGGTCCAGGACCTCGCGGAATGCGTTGGTGAACCACTTGGATGCGGTTCCGGTGACGAGCTGCTGGAATGGTATAGGTGAGTGACATCCCAAACTAAGCTGGGCTGTGATATAGACTAACGTGCTGTTCTTGCAAGTCGTCATGCCCGCTGAGCCCTTTGTATCGTCCACACAGCTCCGCTTCCGCGCCGTCTCTGACTCCCTCGCCGCTCACCACCTCGAGGGCTCTGAATGCTGCCTCATCCACGCTGATAACCCGCTCTCCAAGACAAAGGGCGTGTATCTCAACCCGCGAGTCAGGGTGGGCTACAATTACGCGGCTTACGCGGCGACGCATCCCGCGACAAAGGCGTGGGTGTCTCCGTGGGATATCTTTGCTGGCCGGTGGGTGAATCGATTTCGGAGATGGACGGCGTGGACTTTTGATTCGTGGGTGGTGAGATGGAGGGTAGGGCGCTGGGAGAGGGAGAAGAAGGGAAATCGCGAGCCGGGCGAGTTTTGCTTGATCAATGAGATGCAGGTGTTGGTCCACAATGGGTGGGCTCATGTGTGATCATTAAAATAGAGGTCAATAGACAACGAGATGATATTCCAATTATTGTAGAGTATAAACATCTAGCTTCAAGGTTCTTATCCTATTTCACACTATAACATCTTCGGGCCTGACTACATTCCTAAGCAGGCTATATGGACGGTTCTCCCGCATCTGTTGAACCGCCATCTCGTACAGCTTACGAGAACCCAAATCTTCGAGCGCCGGCTCCTCACACACCATCTCTTTCATCGTCTGACAAACATCCGGCAGATTATGCGATGCCCGTTTCTTGACCAGAGTAGCCAAGGCCCCGACTTCATCCGATATGGACAATTGCACCGCCTTTATAACATTGGGATCCGTCCATTCTAGCTGTTGAATAGCACGCAACAACGTTTTATTATGCTGCTTACTGCCGCGTCTATTGACGAAGATGCCGCAGCGGGAATTGTCGTCGTCATCGTCAAAGATGAGATCTGGGTTGGGGACAATGTTGAACGCGAGGCACATGATGATGAAGAGATTGCGGCTGAGGAACTTTTCAATGTCACCGATGGGAACGGCGAGAGAAAGACCAAGGGAGTGGCCGATGAAGTGGAGGCGGGTTTGGCCGTCGTAGCTGGGAAGGGCAAAGGGCGGGACGGAGTATTTAGATTCAGGGGGGATGACGCCGCCATACATGTTTTCTGTGACAATGGCCCATTTGGTGAAGAAGTTGTCGGAGAGGTCTGTTTTCTCGAGGCGTGTTTTGGTTCTTTTTTTGACAAAGTCCAAGAGGTTTGTGGTCCGATGGGGGTTGTGGTCGTCGAGGACGGTGGGAGAGGGAGCGGTATGGAAGGATGAAGTGGACGAAGTGGACGAAGTGGACGAAGTGGACGAAGTGGACGAAGTGGACGAAGCGGACGAAGGGGACGGGGGGGTTACTTGTAAATACACCTTCTGTAAATACGGAGGCGTGTATTCGTATTGAGAGGAATAGTGATGCGGATATGCAATGTGAACATCTTCGACTGGGTTGCCGTACTGGGGCTGAGGCGCTAGAATGCTTGCTTGAGAGGCTACTTGGATGGTATTCGGCGTAGCAGTGGTATAATATCCGGGATAATAAGGGCTTTCTAAGGATGTAGTCATCAAAAGATCAATCTCAGTTGGGTTGATGCAAGGAAACCCTCCTAGCTCGACTTCCTCCTCTTCAGGGATCGACTCGAGTATGAACACTTGCCTCGGCATCTTGATGGATGGCCTGTGGCGGGAGCTTTGATACGCTGAGAATGAGGAATTAGGTTGACGAGATTAGTATAACAACAACCAGTGTTGTGAGTTTTTGGGAAAATCGCTATTTCAGGGGATGACTTTGTATTGAGGGGAGCCGCGTATCGAGATGTCAAGCTGCTGTAAACACTGGTGCCCTTATATACATGTATACACTTACATCCTTACACTCTTAACGGAGAGTTTAGGAAGAAACCTGTTCAAAAGTGCTACAGTTTGGTAGTAGGCTAATTTTAGTGGTGATGAATGGACATCTCCTTATCTAGAGGTCAGAGGTTTACAATGAAAAATATATGTGTGAGTGTCATCTAAACCTGTAACCGATCCTGTCACTGTTCAGATACTACAGTTGAACAGGGAAGGCATCTAAGAGTTTCGGAAGACATTTTTTGCAGTCTATCCAACTTGAATGATCGCTTTTAGAAAGAAAGAAAGAAAGAAAGAAAAGGGCATGGTAATGGTGCAAAAGGCGGGAGTTGTAACAAACGGTCTTTCTTTCAACATCTACCTAGATATAAAGAGAATCTCCTCGCCTTGTTCATCGATTTTTATGGCCGTCATTTGCAAATGCTATGAAAAATCCTTTGTGAGTTCCAGCTCGTAATACGCTTTCACGTTATTCATCGCTGAAACAACCTTTGAGATATGCCACTGTTTTCTCATCCTCTAGATCAGCAATTGAGCGGCGAGATGGAACAAGTATCAAGGTGATGAGATCTCATTGTTAAATCACTCTTTTTTATAATGTGTGTAAAGATTGATGCCGTTTTCCCATATAATTCGGTCTTCTATGCGAAAGAAACTACATCTATGCGGCATATCATTGGGCTGCTTGGATCTATCGACCAGCAATTCCGCCGAAATTGAGGGGATATAGCTAATACAGATCCATGTAGTCAAAGAATCTCGCCATTCTCAAGCACCTACATATCCATATCCCATAAGTTGTCCGGATTCAGCAAAGGTCTCATAAATTGAGATTGCCAAAACATAATATATAAAAATACACCATCATCTTTTAGTACTCGATGAATCTTGACAGAATCACTGGAGGACATGGGTTGGGTAGCTTCTGCTAATGTCACTGATGTAATGAGACAGCAATTACTACTGCTCGTTTAACAGATTTTCTAGAAAAAAAAGGGCTCTGAGTCAGGGAAAAGGCGAAGCCACTCGTGTATCGGCGCCTTTATCCAGCTTAGAGTCCAAGCATCAGGGTGGGTTTGAATAGTTTAGTCTTCACACAACTGCTTCCTAGGCCTTTTTCCTGGTTAATTTCTTTTCTTCTTTTTCTTTCCTCTTGTTACAGCTACCGTGTCACCTTTCTAGCTGAGTCACCGGCGTGGAATGTCAAATGCCATTGATTGCTGCCAGTGTTAGAGCTGTGGTTGGCTTTCACTTGACCAAGCCGGAACTTGCACGGCAGTATCAAAAGGACAAGTAGCTAAGAACTATTACGACTCATCTATTTGAATGTCAAGAACTTCAAACAGCAAGAAAGATCAAGGTTCAAATGCCAGTCATAACGACACTCGAAAACCCGCGTCTGGCCGGGCCACAGCAAACAGCGACAGCAATGGGCCCGCTTTAATTACAATCTGAAATAATCGAATGAGCCCCAAAACGGAATTGCAGGTTTGCCAAGCCTCGGAAACAAAGGAAATCAAGGACTTTGACCTCACACCACTCGTTGACACAAAATTGCAGCTCTCAAAGCCCCCACTTCTTGGACCCACCGATGTGCCCATGCTTTGCTCTCATTGGAGGGCTAGTCCCGATAGGGCAATGGCCGAAAATGGCCAGCAGAGTCACTTTGTGTCACAGGCTCCGCATTAGAAAGGCCAGCCAAGTTGTGCTGCTGCTTGTTGTCTGCAAGTTGGGCTCTTTTTTTCGGCGTTTCTCTTCTCTGGTCGGGGTGATTGGTGCCCACTCGTTGACGCTGTTTTCTGACCGAGGACTGAGATCGGCAGAGAATGACCCGTCTTGCTGCATCAGGTCTGTCCGGGTATGATCCGAGATTTTGTCTTGCAAAACAGGGACCTGTCAAATAGAAGTACAGTAGGGATAGGTCTAGTATGTACTGTGTGAAATACGCATGGGGGCCCTGGTGCACCCTTGGCGCTTGTCCGTGGTAGTCACCATGCGATCTCTGCAGGGGTCATACTGCCAAAGTGGCATTTGTCCCAAAAGCATTTCTTTGTTCCCTTCGGGCTCCAAACTGTTGCGAGTTGCAATGGCCCAAATTTCCAAAGTGATCTGATGGTACACCATCCGCAAGGAGCTGAGAGTAAACACAGTGCCAGATCTCGAATATTATTGCTTCAAGTATCAGTGGGACAGCATTATTGTCTCCTTTAGGCGAGATTGGACAAAGGCTCGTTCGGGAGCTTGAGGTCGTGGCCCATATAAGGCGTGATTTCCTAGCACATCGGGGAGCGGTCGCCATCTGGATTTAGGACGACTGGTTCCAGATCGTTGAATATCCGTTTGTAGGAGGTGCGACCCAAGATAGATCGGACTTGGTAGGATCAAATAAGCGGATGAAGTAAGAAGCTCGAGAGCGCATTGCGGATTCGGGGAGATGCATTCACTCTCAGCCACCCCAAAATTGTCGCGTTTAATGGCCGCGATTATCCGTTTTCTCAGCGACGGCGCGAAGATATCCTCGAGTGTACGCACATACTATATACCGTGGCGCTCAATGTTGGCGCGCTGAGGCTCAGGAACTATAAGGGAGTGGGTGGGACATAATCAGATATCAACGTTATACCAAAAAGAGAGCTGCTTAAGCAAATAGCAAGGACTTGATATATGAAAGTATCGCTTGGCGAAGAAACGGGCAACTTCACTGAAAAGAGAAACACAGTAGAGGTGTTAACTTATGTGAACTCGGATCCAGTGTCTCTCCATCAAACTCTTTTCCGATGTGTTCTAGCAGACAGCGGACGTCAAGCACTCTTGGACTTTGCTGAATCAAAGGGCGTTCCTGTGACGTCGACTAAGCAGAAGCCGTTTTCGATGGATGCCAACCTTATCCAGTGAGCAAAAGCCCTCTACTTCATCCCATCGAGACCTTCAAGCGTACTCGGTGTCTATACGTCGTTGCAAGCGACCACCGTACAAAATGAGGTACCCTAACTTCAGCCATTTTGACTGGCCACTACTGTCAGTTCATAAGGACACGGCAACTCGCAATGGCCTATAAATACCAAGAGCGCTTCGGTCTCGACGGGATACCTATAAGGAGATGGAATGTCAGGAACTCCTCCAGAAGTGGCAGAAATGGCAGAAGCACGCAGCAAGTGCTTTCTTTAAGTGCTATACAACCTCGTATATCACACGGACAAGACCGTACACGTGTGTTTATTGCTATTCAGGCTATCCGTCTGGAGAAGTATGGTGCCAGCAAGATCCGGGACGGCGAGCCTCTTGCCCCTATCTAAATGTAGACAGCACAAATGCTGGCAAAAGTATAAGGACGTGTTTACATTAGTGACGTGATCTTGTTTATTTTAGGCTAAGTAAATAAAATAAAAACATCATAAAAATAATATATAAAGCTAAAGAGAGTATCATGAAAGTGGTTTCATTAATATATTGTAATATTAGTATTAATGAGTAAAACTTCTAATTCCTATTTTATTAATTATTATTATAGTATTTATATTATATTGTATTTAGCTATTATATATATAACACATTACTAATTTCTATATTTACTTCTTCTTACTGTTAGACTGCCGCTGTTGCAGTGCTGCGGAGTACTTCTATGCAGCAGCTGCTGCAGTAATCGCAACATCTTGGGAATTCTGTGCATCCCTTGGCAGCGCCACAATGTGCTCTCTTTCTCTCACTCTCGCTCTCACTCTCACTCCCACACCCATCCGCCAGTATGATGCATGCATGTCAAAATGCGGCCAGCACTACCTGAACCTGAGGCACGTCGCTTTCGATCCACACGTAGGGCTGGAGCAGCCAGTTGCTAGACACGAAGGGGGCTGGTTGGGAGGCGTACAGGTAGCTTTCCGGGCTTGACTCATTCCCTGCCGCCACCATTGAGGTTTCGCCGCAGATCGATGCGCGCTCTCGGCTTCGTTGTCCTGCATGACGGGCTCCGCCAAAAGCGAATGTGACCAGCGCCAGCATGCATGCGGAGTCCAGGTCCTTTTACGGGCTTGGCCATTGGCCAGCGCTCTGCTGTCGTCTCATTGTCACAGGCCGGCGGTTGGCGTATAAGCCCAGAGTACATGTAGCCATCACTACGATATGCATACAGGCCCAAAGGATGCGAGAAACAGGTCATCAACTCTGCTTTCCCCTCTTCGACCTCTTCTCTCGACTTTGTTCCCTTTTGTCCACGAGAAGGTACTTTTTATCAGAGCTCCACGAAGAGGTACTTTTTTAACAGAGCTGTTGTAGGCAGTAACTTTAGATGTCTGGCCCAGCCAATCAGACATCTTCATATCGAGCAGCCTGCTAAGGCACCCAAATTCCGAGCTTAGCTCGCCGGACCCCAGCAGCACCTATTGAAGTCTTCCCCTCAATACGGCGTATTACTCGTCCCCTCGTACATATGACATACATGATTGCGGCACAGGTGAAGCCCAGGATATGCAATGATGAGTAAACCCTCGATTATTGGGCAAAGTCAAGAAGCGGGGATGTCAAAATGCGGCTGCCTTCACAAGCTCGTCAAAGAGGGACCCGGTAAAGGTGCCGGGGGGGGAGTTGAAGCTTTTTTGGGTGATGCGGCTCTTGTAAACGGTTTTTGGGTTTGTCTCAACAAGCTTGTGCTAACGCGATGTGGCCGTATCGACGTTACTACTGCACCCTGCTTGCGTGGGTTGGTGATGCAATCTCAGACCCTTTTGTTTTTGATCTTGTCTATTGCTGTTTGTTTGTCTCTCAGCTGAACGATTGTAAACGACAAGGGTGATGAATTCGGCACGCAAGGTGCTTGCGTGTCCTCTTTCGTCTCCCTACAACTCCGTATTACTTCAGGCAGTCGTATTTCTGAGATTTTGGCGATATACACGCCCCTTTTTAACTCAAGGCACCGAAATTATTGTCTTTCTTACTCTCCAGGCAGCTTCATTCTTTGATCGAACCCTTACGATTCCAAGAAAGATTCATACCATTCATGGACCGTGAAACCAAAATAGATTTTGCTTTTTTTCGTAACAGGTGAAGCGTTCGTAATGCGCGTCCGTGCCGCTGACGATCTGGCTAAACCCCAGCCTACCCTTGAGTTGTGCGTGATCTATGATCCTGGTGCCAGTCGATTTTACACGAGCTGAAGACTTCTGCTTTTGTCTTCAATCTTTGACTGTTCCTCCTAGCCGCTAAAGGGGTTAGCTGGATTTGTGGACAGATCGTAGATGTAGATGTCGCTACACATCATTTCACCACCATCCTTTCCGACTGCCGAGTTCCTTCAGGAGCCTCGCTCGTAAATGTCAATCAAAGGCCGGGAATACGGCAATGGCAACGATGATGCAGCATAGTTGCAAACAGTAATATTAGCCAGTCGGTCACAATTCGACTACGAGCCATGTAATATGTCCCTCCTCAACGCAAGAAATATCATGTAGTGCAGGGCATTGCTGCGTTGTCAAATCTCTACTGCCGCTATAATTCGCCCATCAAAGTACCCGGATGGATATGGGCTCCATCACTTCTTGGACTTTCAACCAGCTTAAGCGGTGGCTCAGTCGCAGCAAAAGAGCCTGTGGAGCTTTGGAACTGATCCTACTGGTACGACTGATCGATAGCGCTCTCTACAGAGTGGCAGCGCAAAAAGCACACATGCAAGGGAGCAGACGAGCAAGGAACATGAAGCAATCAGCGGGCATTGTTGGTGTGTCCTTTATTTTTCTTTTGCGGGTCGCGGCCTCTGTAGTCCAACAGCAACTGGCCACAGATCCCTGCACAGGCGCGAGGCTTCACGATAGGCTCATGGCCGCTGCGGTGGTGCTGGAGCTGGTGCTGGAGCTCGCACTGTCGGCACGTCACCAACGGTCACACGAGAGTGGGTGGGCTTTTTGGAGGGTTCCGTGCATTTGCGTTTAGCGGTCACCACCTCGAAGCTGCGTTTTTGGACTGCATGTAAAGTATGTATGTATGTATGTATGTTATTATTGTTGGGCAAGCAGGAGGAGCCTGCATACGGCACAAGTCGGGACTTGACCGCATTACGTGGAAATTTGCCAACAACGGCAGACAGCGCAAGATTAGGGAGTTTTGCTAGCACGAGGAGCGAGTCGGACTCGCTTGGTATTTGCAGCAGGATTTGGCTTTCTGACCTCCGGGGAAGCTGGCCCGGATCGCAAAATACAGGTACCGGGGGGCTTTTGGGTGCAAGTTACTGTGCTGCTGATTTCCGCGCCGGAATACACGGGACCAGCGCGGTGCGTGTCGCCAGCGATAGCGCCGCAACCCGAGTCGCTACCAGTGGCACAAGCCCGCCGCAGCGCAAACTGGCATCTTGGCCGCTCCCTCGCATTGACGGCTGGGCTGCTTAGCGCAGCACCGGCGCCGCACTACTGGCCTACGAGAAGCGACCTGGGGGCTTCTGTTAGTGCTGCGAGTACCGTTGCGGCTCTCCCTACCGCCAGCTACCGCCACCGGCCTCCCAGCGCAGGGATGCTCGTCCTCCACAGCGCTTACGCCTCAGCCCACACCTGCGCTAGGCCGCTTCGGGCACGCCTGTTAGGCAGCAGCCTGCGGTGGGCTGAGTCGGCCTGGTTTCTAATCCGGCTCCAAGCCTCTCTCTCGTCTTCCCTCTCCGCTCGACCTCGACCTCGTTTCTCAACCATCGCGGCGTCGTTTGTGCCTTGTTACATGCTCTGGGCTCGTGCTTTCGTTGCATCAGGTCTAGTTACTGCCGCAATCCACGCCCCCCCAGTCCTCTCCACTCCCTGGACTTGTCTCTCGGTCCCTCTCGCGCCCACCCTCTTTTCCCATCCCCGTGTGTCCCGGCTCCTCACGTCCATATATCCAATTTACGCCCCGTCCTCATCGAGACCTCTTCTCTCTGTTGCATACTTTGCGCCTCTTCGCTGCTCTCATCAAGACATCCCTTTCGAGTCGCCAGCACTCCAGCATCAGCGCTTCTCTCGCCTGTCCAGCCTGTTCTAGCGAAGGAGCCGTTAATCCCGGATACAATTGATTGACTGCCCCGGCTTCACTCGTCTCGCATTGACGTCGACGTTTGCATTGGCTCGCTTGCCCGTCCAGCACACTGTGGGCTAGGATTGCCCATTCAGATCGCGCCTATCCATTGGTAAGGTTTTACTTTTCCTCTCTACTCATATATCTGGCCTCCTCTTCCCTGCCGGCCTCAACGCCTCAGGTTTCCTGCCGTTTCCTTTTCGGTACTGCATAGCCCTCGTACATCTTTGGGGCTTGTGACTCACACGCCTGTCGACCCTCCATTAGAGCCTCATTGCTACATTGACCTGTTCTTCTGTCGACAAGGGAGCTAACCATTTGTTGCTACGTGGATAGGACTTCTTGTGGCCATATCTCATTCATCTTCTTCCCCACCAGGGAAAGAAAAATCAGATCTAAGCCGCCATGTCCCTCCCAAACCCCCGCAGAAGGGCTCCGGTGACTCGCCCGGGAACCGACTGCGAACATGATCTTTCTCTTAAGACCTCTGTCATCCTTCGCAAGGGTGCCACCTTCCACTCTCCTACCTCTCCCACTTCTTCCAACGACGACTTTGTTCCTCCTCGGCTTGAGAGATCCCAATCAGACTTTGATGATGTCGTCGATGCCAGCCGGCGTCGCATTGCCCTGACTCTGAACGACATCGACGAGGCCCTCTCCCAGGCAAAGGACCTCTCCCTGTCCGACAAGAGCACTCGAAGCCAGACCCTTCGGGACACAAGTTTGCCTGTTCCTCGAGGCTTCCTCGAGATGCCTGTTGTCGACCCCGCCATGGAGCGACGCGTTCTGCGCCCTCGCTCTGTTCGACTCTCACGAAACCATGCCTCTGACAGCGGCATTGGCAGCTCGGCCGCCTCCATCAACGAAAAGGCCGCTGCCACAGACTCTACCAAGAAGCCCCAGGTGTCCGCCCTGACCAGGTCGGCTGCCTCTAGCACTACCAAGATGCTTCCCACCCTCAGCCCTCGGGCCATCAATCGCATCCGCGAACACACTCTCCGTCCTCTTTTGGAGAAACCTACACTCAAGGATTTTGAGCCCATTATTCTGGATGTGCCTCGACGCATTCGATCCAAGGAAATCATTTGCCTGCGGGATCTCGAGAAGACCTTGATCTTCATGGCACCGGTAAGTCGACTTCTGACTGATGATGGTGTTTGGGGTGATGCTTATCGGTTGTTACGTCAAAAGGAGAAGGCCAAGTCCGCCGCCTTGTACCTTGATTTCTGCCTCACGTCCGTCCGATGCATCCAGGCGACTGTCGAATACTTGACCGACCGCGAACAAATCCGGCCCGGCGACCGACCTTACACTAACGGATACTTCATCGACTTGAAGGAGCAAATTTACCAGTATGGCAAGCAGCTCGCTGCCATCAAGGAAAAGGGCAGCCTTGCCGACGACATGGATATTGACCAGTACGTACCATGCTTTATTCCTCTCATCAATCTAGAGAGCCCTACTAATGACCCGCCAAGATCTGACGAGGTCCGACTCTACGGCGGCATCGCTGAGAATGGCCGTCCTGCTGAGCTTGTCCGCATCAGAAAAGACGGCACCGCCATTTCAATGGCCACTGGAAAGGTAATCGACATGGCCGAATCCCCCGCACCCATGAAGCGCTCCCTGAGCCAACAGCGCGAGGACGAGGAAGAGATCATGCGGTCCATGGCCCGCCGGAAGAAGAACGCCAGCCCGGAAGAGCTGGCTCCCAAGAAGTGCCGCGAGCCTGGCTGCACCAAGGAGTTCAAACGCCCCTGCGACCTCACCAAGCACGAGAAGACTCACTCTCGTCCCTGGAAGTGCCCCTTCTCCACTTGCAAGTACCACGATTATGGCTGGCCCACCGAGAAGGAGATGGACCGCCACATCAACGACAAGCACTCCGATGCCCCTGCCATGTTCGAGTGCCTGTTCAAGCCCTGCCCCTACAAGTCGAAGCGTGAGTCAAACTGCAAGCAGCACATGGAAAAGGCCCACGGCTGGACCTATGTCCGCACCAAGACCAACGGCAAGAAGGCCCCCAGCCAGAACGGCTCTGTCGCCCAGCACACTCCTCCTCTGGCCAGCGTCTCTACTCCTTCTACCACCCCGACCTACAGCGTCTCCACGCCTCCACAGGAGGGCACTCAGATCATGACCAATGATTTCCCTCTTTACCCCGCCGAGTCGGACTGGCTTGCCACCTACGGCATGCAGCCTGAGACCATTGATGCCATGGACCTTGCTCTCGAGAATCCTTCTCCTTCTTCTGCAGCATCCTCATACGAGCAGTACCCACCCTACCAGAACGGCTCCACCTTCATCATCAACGATGAGGACATTTACGCTGCCCACGTCCAGATCCCTGCTCAGCTCCCCACCCCCGAGCAAGTCTACAGCAAAATGATGCCTCACCAGATGCCAATCTACCACACCCAGCCACAGCCCTGTGATACCATCCCCGCCATGGCGCAGCAGCAGGAGTTCTCTCCCAATGCACAGCAGAATGCAGTTCTCTACACACCAACCTCACTACGTGAAGTCGATGAGGGTTTTGATGAGTCCTTTGCTTCTGACGGCGCCGACTTCCAACTGTTCCCGGCGTCACTAGACAAGACTGCCGTTTTCCAGTCTCTCTTTACAGAGATGCCAAGTGCCAACCTGGGCTTCTCCCAGGCTACACAGCCAGACATTTTCCAACAAATGGATTGCTGGAACCTTGACTACCAGGGATTCCAAGAATAAACAAAGAAATAAAAAGAATGACAGAACCTCCCCAAGAAAGACGATAAAGACGTCTTGCATTGTTATCAACATTTACCCATTCACCACTACACCTTGTTTTAACGATTTTACGAAAAGATTTCGGCAGTTTTAATGATTAAAAGGGTTGCCTTGTGTATTAAGATTTTTTTTACTTTTTTTTTTTCCATTCTACTCCTTCATTCTCATTTACACTTGAGACGTTTTATGTGGCACAGAAGCATACAAAAACAGCTAAGGGTTTGGCCATTCGGGCCTCTGAGGAAGGATTATAGCTAGCTTTGGGTATGAATAGGGATAAGCACTGCGATCTTCCAAGACGCTGATATGTTGCTACCGGGAGTTATTTTCAATTCAATACGATTTATTTAGCCTCTGGCATGAGATGTTGACTACATGTAGTAATAGTCTGTAAATGTTGAAGTAGTAGAGCTCGATGTGAAACAAAGGTACCTACCTGCCTATGTAAATGAAGAAAAAATCTCGGCAGTCAAAAAAGACTACAAAAAATAAAGTCTCCGATACTGGGAATCGAACCCAGGGCTGCTCGGTGCTTCAACAGAAGTTGAGAGCGAGCGATGTTAGCCACTACACCATATCGGATGTGTTGAGTTGAGCGATGGTTGTCGCTTGACTCGTTGAGACGTGGGAACGTGAAGCAGTTGATAACCTCTTTGCTTGAAAAATCTCGGTTAGAGTTGAGCGGAATCTGAGTTGAGTATCTAGTGTGGTGGAGTAGGAAAAAAAAGACATGAATCGCGTGCATAATATGAAGTGGTGCTAGCTTGGACAGAAGAAAAGGAGACAGAAAAAGCGGAGAAAAAGAGAAAAAGAAGACGAAACCCGGATGGGCTGTGTGAGAAGGGCAAAAAAGCAAAAGTTTAAGTGTCTCCGATACTGGGAATCGAACCCAGGGCTGCTCGGAACATGAATGAGAGCGAGCGATGTTAGCCACTACACCATATCGGATTTGTTATTGACAAGGGGGGTGCACTTTGAGTATAGAAACTGTTTGTTGTAGTTGCTGAGAGATGCGAAGATCACGTAGAGATAAACAATGGACTTTTTATTATATTTTGTGGTGGTGTAAGCCATGAATTTCTTGGCAGTGATGGCATTAACTGTTTTGTCACGTATTTGTATCGGAAAGGGTGTTGTTTCACTGTATATACATTCTATTGACCGAGCCAAATTTATATACAGCAGCCCATCTCGGTTCATCCTTTTGCTAAAAGCAGCAACCAAGTAATGAGATATTGCAATTGTGTTTAGATCACAAATAGCTAGTAGTATCCTTAGTTGAGAGCGGTGATGTACGACCACTGCTCAAAAGGAGTGCTCAGAGTCAAGAGACCACCACCTGGGCAGCTGGCACTTCCGAGCATGGCGTTGGCGTTGACCTGTACATCGTGTTAGTTGGATTCACAAGGCTGAAAGGGTGGAATCAAAACATACGTTGCAGTTGTCCTCGGTTCGGATGGCGTGGAGAGCCTAATCGTTGTTTTGCATTAGCACATGTTGAACTTGTCCAAGAGCCTAATTGGGAGGAAGAAGAGCTACTCACCACCTCGAGGCCGTAGAGCTTGCCGTCATCTCCCAAGATACCGTCGGTGAGCGCAGTTGTAGCGGATTGAATACCGTTTCCTTGATCGGTTGGAGATGGGAAGACCAGCTGGGAGCAAAGGGTGGCGGCCCAGTTGAGCTTGATTGACACGTCGAGGTCTAGGATGTTTTGCGGAATGGTTTGGGGCTGGCCGGGAAGAGGGAAGCAAATCGCCTGGTCGGCTCTGGCGGAGAGCGCGAGGGCGAGGGAGGTGAAGATTGCTGTTGTGAACTGCATTGTGGAAAGACTTGTTGATGAAACTTGGTTGTGTTGGAAGTTCCGAAGAGAAGTGTTGAGGCGGGAGCAAAGATATATATATATATATATATATATAAATATTCACAAGTCTCTGGCAACTGTTGTAAACTAAATACATTCAGTAAGTTTCCTTGCCTGCGGATGGTCAGTTACACCGATTGACAGGAGAGCAAGCTTCGTTGTGTTTAGTATATCGCCCGGAATAGGAAGGTTGCAGTAAGCTTATGTTGTTTAAGCTATGCGAAATAATAAACTTTCGCGGAGTAGAAGGCAGACTTCTCCCATAGAAGACTACACGCCGAGAGGAACCAGTGAAGAAAACCCTCCGATACTAATTATTTCTTTAATGAATGAGCTTTACCGAGTTCCTATTTGCTGCAGACCCCGCGAATTTGGTGATGGAATCAAGTCATCAAGTCGATGATAAATTAAGCCTAAAGAACACATTTTACCCGCGCCTCTTATAGTCTACTCAACTGCTTTGCAAATATAAATCACGACATCAACTGGTCATTCGTCTACGATCTAGAACACGAAATACACGACCGGATGAAGTTGACGTATAGAATAATCTTATAAATCCGGGCTGATATGCAAAAAGCTCTCGACTTTCCTTTCATGGATAAAATGGATGACTACTCCACGAATACTAATCCAGGTTATTAATAGATACCCCGGAACCTTCCATGACGGTGAATTTTTGGTGGGTTCTCGCTAATCTTGTAAACATCCAAACAGGCGCGGTAGCATACATACAACGTATGCTGGATGGTAATCACATGTGAGGGAAATGATATGTGAGCATGCGTGTCGGAAGCGGGTGACGTGGAAATGATAAAAATGAGGATTTGCTTCGTGGATAATACAAGTAGCAGTCCTGACAACGAGAATTGCCTAAATGCAGATATACCTCCATAAGGCAATTACCAGGTACTGGGAATTTCTTCATAATGCCTGTTTCAGCCATTTTCGGTCTTTCTACAACGTATAAGTGTCGGTGTCAGTGCCGGTGCCTGCTATCTATGATATCTCAGCAGGGATCGGACCGTTTGATCGGATCCATTTGATGAGGATCTAAAGCTAAGCCTTGGATTAAGTATAAGTAACGATTTATGTGGTACTAAAGTACATGGGGCTGTGAGTGCTTTTGCAATTTGGATAAAAACGTAGAATCGTGTCCTGCCGGTTGGTGCATTTATATATTCCGAATTTTTCTCTTCCCCGGCTAATAAGATGTTTTGCATGCAAGTATAATACGACATGTCAGGCGGAGAAGTAAACATCATTTGTTGCCTGGGGGCATGCCACGCCAACGACTCCTGGGCATTTGTTTCTCATATTTAGTATTACGCTTTCTAGCGATACTCGGCTATTATAGACCAGAGAAGTATCAGCTAATACCCTCAAGGAGGAAAATTGAATAGAGCAACGTTTGATAGTCAATTCCATTTCGCGTTATACCTCTCTTCTCAATTGCTGAGAGCCCCAGTAATTTACAAGTCCTATTTCGACTGCTCTAGTTCAGAAATCCGTCAACAACGCACTTTTACATACAGACATCTCCCTATTTCCACAACGACTTCACCCTACTTAGGATTCTGCCAGGTGCGTGCTTATATGAATATACCTGGCTGGTCACTTCAGCGTAGGAAATTTGGGGGAAAGCAGATGGCGACATCAACTCCATGCTCCATCTATGACCGCCGTTCCCCAATTGGCGGTTTTTGTTCGCCGAGGGTAACGAGTCGTTGCCGTGAGATACTTCCCGTCTGTGGCCACTGCTTCGTTTCCCAGTAGCCATTGCACTGTACCTGTTCCGACCAGATGTTTGGACGCGGTATGGCCGTTCACGAGAGGTCTCCTCCAGCGAAATCTCTATGACATATTTGATATGCTTCAAGTTTTCGCCAAAATGTTGCAGCGCATACAACTTTTTCACCAGAGCATCAACTCCTTGCTCGTCAAGGAGCACGTCCTCTGGACCAGTAGGCTCCAGCATATTTTGCTTGAACGTCTCAACCAGCTGGAGGTGGATCTGCCTGTCCTCCTGCAATGCTTTGAGGCGTTTCTTGTTCGTAGGTATGCCTCGTTGATTTGCAGTCTCGATAATACTCTTTTCATCCTGAATGAGCATGTCGAGGTAGTCCAGCGTAGCGTCATTGATGACAGTGATTGAATTTTCCCTCAAAAAAAGACAAAATCGAGCTGCAGCACGTCGAATCTCGTCGAGCTCTTGTTTGTACTCTTCAACAATCTTGTCCAGCCTAGTGATGCTTGTTTGTCGTAGCGTTACATCGTCGGCGTTGGACTTGAGTTGTCTCTCAATTTCAGTATCTGTGACTAGAACTTTAGTCTCCGACAGCTCATAGAGAACGTGTAAATGCTCTTGCCATCGATGGCTACATAGCCTGCAAATATTGCTGCCACCAAAAGCTGTGCAGCGTATGAGACCTGGATCAGCGACGACATCTTCTTTGACATTGTCCAGGTAGCATTCCGGGTGGCAGTGCGTCTTGTAAATGGTGACAACTGCCCCGTCTCCAAGACCGCTATCCTTAAAATCACAGCAATCATGGTTTTGGCAGACCGTACGAGGTTTATCTAGCTTCTTAGCTGCGAACTGAATCTTCTCTATGCGGAGCCTCTTGCGAAGGTCTCTCGCTGTCGATTTTGTGTCGAATAACTCCGACCTCTTGTTAACGCACAGCGCAATGTTTTTTCTGATAGATTCTGCAATGCTGGCCATTGGTTTCGTCAGTTCCAATATCAGCTTCCGTGCTCCATTTAGGCTAATCGTGCTGGCAACAGGATGGGGTGGTGTTGATGCAAAGTAGTTGAGAAGCCTATGCGCCTCTTTACTCGAGTGATCCCAGCTTGTGCGGAAGTCTTCTTCGTTGGTTAGCGGCACTCCCTGCTTATATGCCGCAAGAAAACGAAAGCTTTCAGAGTCAAAACAGTACGTAGTTGTTGCTGAGAGTGTGATGGGAATATCTGAGTGCTCATCAAGGAGAGACCTGAGTGGCTTGAATGTATCTCCAGGGGCGTAATTGGAGATGCGCGTATTAGTGAAACCAAAGGCCATGCTTTTAGCGGCACTACGGTGTAGATGAGTGAGGAGTTCCTTGACGCAGAATCTGAAAGTAATGGTAAGGCGAGCGTTGTTAGATTTGACAAGGACTAAGATACCGTGCAGGTGCTCATAGCTGCTGATGGCTTTCAGGATATCGGCCATGTTCTCTTTATCGTAAGACAGGCCTCTGGTATCCCCAATTCCTGGCGTGTCAATCAAGCGATATGTCTTTGTCCCGATTTTCACAGGGTAGACAGATGACTTCTGTGTTGCCGATTTCCCCGTTGAACCATCCACTTCATCATCACGAGCGCCAACCTTGATATTGTATTCTTGAATTCCCGCAGACAAATTTGCTCTGTCCATGCTTTGGAGAGAAAAAGAGCACGGGATCACAGATGTGAGCTCATCCACAGCCATGGCTTCATCCAGTGTTGAGTAGGTCAAGTAGTTGACAAAAGCATTGATAAATGTCGACTTTCCCACCCCAGTCTCTCCAAGAATGAGTATGTTGATGTAGTCAGCCTCATCTAACCCGGTCAAGAGTTTGTGAAGCTCTTTTGCGTCATATCTTGCGGATTTAGCTCCGTGCTTGGAATCATTACACTTGAACTCGAATGTGCTATAAGCGGCCCGGCCACAATCGCAGTAGAAGTGTTCGTCGCTGTATCCAAACTCAATCTCGACCAAGCATACTGAACAAACCCATTCCACACACTTAGAATCGCAGTCGGGCTTGGGGCAAGGCACCCTAACAATGCATCTCTTGACTGGCCGTTGCCGCCTACTAGTGTCCAGAGCAGCATCGGGACATTGGGCGAAGCATTTTGAAGACATAAACTGACGGTGGTCGAGAACATCAGGGATAATCTCCTTCTCGCCCTCATACTGGGATATGCATGGACCCGCATCAGAGCAGAAATAAGAGTTCACCGAGTCATGATCCAGTAGATAGACTGGTATATGCTGATCTGGCTGATCTGGCTGACCGAGTAACTCCAACAGCAAGGTAGAGTTGTTGTCCCATTGTTTCTTGACGTCCATTGATGCAGAATTGAAATGAAACACATAAAAGCGGGTGTGTTTGTGTAATTTATTGACCGTCTCTAGAGAAATCCCGTTGAAGCCCAAATATCTTGCGCCCTGCGCAGTAACGCTGCTGATGAAGTCGAGCTTGCTAGATTCCTGTCTGATAATGGCGGATGCATGCTCCACGGTAAAATTGCCTGAAGTAGTAGCCTGTTGATATAGGTCAAACAACATCGGCGGCCCTCCTTTTCCCTTGCGAGCTTCCTGTAGAGCATAAGAAAGTCGTTTTGCAGTCCAGCTTCTGAGATCCTCTAGGGCTTTCATAGAAGCAACGACTTGATTGAGATGATTTTTGCTAGTGTGCATCGTATGGCCTACCAGGTAGGCTTCATACTTCTGAAGTCCAACTGCGGAGACCTCGAATTTATCGAATAGCTGAATGAAGGCAGCGAGATAGTCGTGATTGATTAAATGAAGAGAATACCGAAACCCCAGTGGGGATGATAAAATGTACGAAAGCGCCGTGATTGGAGTCAAGATATACTCTATGGGCCATCCCTTTCCGCCATTCTCTCGGCGAATATGATCTGGTACGATTCGAATGAAGTTGCATATTTCCGAAATGTCTTGCATAACGAGGCCTTCTTTTGCAAAAATATCGCTATAGAGCATGAGCTCGTCGCAAAGTTCCAGTTTAGGAGGTGTTTTAGGTGTGAGGAACGCGGATTCGATGGCGTATGTCAGAGTATTCAGATCTCCTTGGAAGATGATATCCTCTTCTTCGGGTCGACCAAACTTGCTCGACATGGGGCTATTGGCTGCAATGATAGTCCTTAAACCCCAATTGATGCCAGTCACCACGTGTGTGCAGTCACTTTTCCCCAAAGGCGTCAAATCGCTGCATGATTTGAATGCCTCAATCACATTGTTCAGTGTCTGCTGCACTGTCGAGACATGATGAATAATTGCGGCGCGATGATCACCACTGCCGGATGTGTAGTCACGAATAAACACCGCGGCACCTTGCAGATCATGTAACCCGGCAAGAATATTGACCGCAGTGTCTTCGTCTATATGGAGATCTTCAAACACATTCATGTATGATGCGCATTTAGAGACAGTGATGTCTGTGACAGAAGTTGGCCGTGTCGATATATAACTGGCCAGGAGGCTGGAGGGTAGAATTGAGGCTTGTAGAAATTTATCTGCTTTTGCATCATAGAGCGTGCCGATTTGCGCAACACGCCTGAGGGCTGGGCAAACTTGATCTTCCATGATTAATTGCAAGTCGTAACTCTTGGCTACGGGTTGACAAGAGTGAGGATAAGAAGTCCAGCTTCTGGTATCAAGGGTTGATCTACAGCTTGTGAATGATGGACATGAAACATTTTTTATATAGACCCATTCTACTAATTGAGTTGCATGACTACACAGCTCTCAATGCCTTCCAACTCATCTTCAGGCATATATGTGGGAGGCCGGCAACTGGTCAAGTATCATTTTTTATGGCTTGTGACATGTATATCGTTTGAGAGCAGTCACAAGCCCATATATTTGAGCCTAATATGCACACAATGCGGTTCGAGGCCAACAAACGCGGGTCTCTGCATGATGTTGCATGCATAAGGCATGCATGCGCATGGATGCCTATATACAGTGGGAGGCCTACGCCCATCATGTGTAAGCCTTTAATTGGCCAGCATAAAGCCAAATGCAACCAACACGGTGAATACAATGTATGCTGCCGCCTTATCAAAGCGAATTGCAACGAATACGGGCTTCTACATGGCCAGAAGCACGCCCGGTCAAGGAGGGAAGGGTCCATATCTCCTTGTTCTCCCGAATCGCTTGTCCCGTACACCAGTGAACGTCTAACACGACAGCTTTACCCCCGCAGGACGGAATGGGTCGGCAACAGGCTTCTAAGATATGTAAATTTTGTCATGATGATAGCTAGAGTCTATTTCTTTATACTTCAATCTTGTCGGATATGACAAGTCATCGGGTCTGTATAAGCCGTGCTGAACCTTTGTAGCACTTAAAAAGAATTTTTGGCTATGAATAACAAAGTTAGAGCTGAGGGAATTGTCCAAGAAAACAATGGTACAATAGTTTCAGTATTTATTTCCATCGTAAAGATTATCTACGAGAGTCATGACCGAGTATTCGCTCGAGTATCCGTCAATATCCTGCCTACGATATCCCCATCGTCCACATCAATAATAAAGTCACGTAGACCGTCTTGTTCCGTAATCTCCTCATCGTCATCGAGATACACGTCCAGAACAATACGCTTCACCTTCTCTGCGCCAGCCATTAAACTGCGCGCCCCCAACTTGACGTGGTAGTGGGACTTTGCAAGCGTTGAGCATACAATGCCATCTCTTCTAATCAGCAGTCTAATGTTACCGATGAGCCTCTCCATTGGGCCCTTGTTCAGGCAGATTGGAAGGCGCAGATCTTGAGCCAATCCCAACAAGCATTTGTGGGTAATGACAGCTTGTTCACCAGCTGAAAAGGGTAGCAGGGGAATGAAGTCTGATATGCGGCCAGTAACAGGTGCCTGTATGCCTACCAGATTAGAAACATGTAGCGCATATTTAGAGAAAGTGAGTAAGTTGAACTTACGTCGAATTGCTGTAGGAAGCTCTCTCGTAATTGTTGCGAGAGTTTTCTCATTTGTCGTGTTTTCTCGTTTCCGTCATCGCCGGTTATGGCTTCATTGTGCTTGCAGAAGTCCAAAATGGTGTTGTCCAGTGCATTTGTTGCTAGTATCCATATCGTTTTTGAGCAGTCAATCTTCTCGCCATTGCGCCTGTCTCGGTATTCGCCTTTTTGTTTTCCCCTAACTGTTAGCTTCTTGATTCGATGCATCTGAGTTAGGATAATGGTATCATACCATTGTCGAATGGGAGCAGCAGAGATGAATGTATTTCCTTGGTCGTCTTTTCAAACTCGTCCAGGAAGACAATGCATCTCTTTCCAGAATGCCCAACGAGAAAATTGTTCACTGCTGAGCCCTTTTCGTACCCGTGGTAAGGCCTTCTCGGACCAAACAGTTCCATTTCATGAGTAAACGTGGTACAATCAACCACCTCCAGGTCCAAGGAGAGTAGGTGGCCGAGCTGCCGTGCCAGCTCAGTCTTTCCGTGGCCACTTGGCCCAGCAAAGCACAGAACGAGTGGGCTTTTAGCCGGCAGCATCATATGGATGAGTAACCTTTGGATAAGTAGCTCCGTGGCGATAGTCTGCCCAATGAGGAAATATGGAATGCCTAAGAGCCCCTGGCATTCTCTAAGCCGGGCAATCTGTCGCCTCTTGGTGGAGGGTGGCTCCAACTTGGTGGATTTTTCCAAAAAGTATCGATGAGTGAGATTGAGATTCTTAGAAAGCCTGGCTTTTATCTCTGGTGAACACCAAACGAACTCCTCAATCGCCCCGGAGGTTTTGTGTCCAGAGCTCGTTGAGTTATCCTGTAGATAAGGTGTATATAAATCCTTGGGAATGGCGCAAGGTGAAGCTCCTTTGCTGAGGAGGACGCAAACCATGTTTGTCGTATCAATTTGCAGCGTTTCACCGCACATGATTGTAAACGCTAATAAAGGGACAATCGATGGCTCGTATATAGCATTTGGGTTCGCCCCGTATTCGATGAAGAGTCGCACGATATCCTCGCTGTTGGACGCTACAGCATAAAATATGAGGGGAAACCCTTCAACTGTGGCGTTCATATTCTCCTTGGTGAATAATGAAGAAAAGATATTCAAGTAGCTTCGGATATGAGAAGCCATAGCGCCATGTTGAACAGCCGAGGCGAGACTATACGAGTCGAAAAATTGCTCGTCTTCTAGAGAGACATCAACCAGACTTGGTAAAATGAAGTCCCACTCTTTGTTAGGGCTGTTGTCTGGTGCAACTTTAGTAGGCATCTTAATTGCATTAAGAAGCTCTGGCAAGGAGATTTTTTGGTCAGAAGAGGGAGTGTTTGCTTGAGAGCTTGATAAGGATCTCACAGAGAGATCGCTAGGCCCATCATTGAAGGAGGGAGCCAAGTCTTCGGGCGGGTCTTGAGCGTATACTTGGTAAAGATCGTGATGCTTCTTCGCCGCATCGACATCATTATTGCAAATCTGTAACAGATGGTTATTATACGTAGGCACTCGCGTTTTTGGGGGTATGGCTCACGCTGAGTAAATCGATGGCTCTCTGTCTAGTGCAGCCGCACTCTTTCATCAAGGTCCTAATGAGGTGATTGTCTTCCACAGCTGAATCCATTTCCATCCAATAGATCGATTGGGTATCTGACATGACGATAGAAACGTAGTGCTTTTGGCGCGATGCTATCGATGGAAGGTGGGAAATGCTCCTAGTCCTTTGCGATTAGGATTATAAAAGACGTTGTCATTATCTACATGTACGCATCACAGAAAAGTTGTAGGCCGCCCAGCAACAGTATCTTAACAGTCCCCGCAGAAAGCATATGTATGGATGCCTAATTTTCTGTTCACTGCTTCCTCCATACATGATTCAAGTGCATGTAGGTCTGCGTCGCTACAGACATGTACACGTATTTCCCCCGCTTTCTGCAGCTTTGCGACGAGGCTGTGGGAGGCCTTCAACGCAGCCGTTTATCTGAAGCCAATCACATATCAGATGCGTAGGCACATGCAATGTGACGTTGAATCATTCAATGCGCCCGGCCAACGCAGTTTAATTTGCAGCGACTCTGCAGCTAACAAATGTTTGGTATTGGTCAAAGTCTCATCTGCAATCATAATTACAGGTCACAACTGCATCCGCCCTATCACTGACTACCTATTCACATGTGCAAGTACGCATGGCACCATTTCTCGCATCTTCATGCCGGCGGCCTTCAAAGCTTCCTGCGATTCGGCTGTAACCCCAACCCCGAAATCAGTGCCGTCTGTTCCTCAAGTATCTTTTCGGTGGCCTGCAGCGAGACCTGAAGGTCCTTGTTGGTGGCCTGCAAATCTTGACATTGCCTCGATACTCGTTCTCCGTTACTTTTGTGAAATTCCAAAAGCCTCCGCAGCTCATTGACTTCCTCATCGAGAGCTGGCTGCAACACCCTGATTCGTCCAACTTGCTGTTCCTTTGTTACCGCCGTGATGCTCCTTTGGCGATGGTCGTGATGTTCGTCCACGAGTTGTGCCAACTTTTCACGTAGTTTTGCAATCTCAGCATCCTTTATCGCAACCTTTTCCTTTTCTTCCTCTAGGCGCGCTCGAGCAGCCAGCAAATCTTGTACCAGTCTGTCGGCTCCGCGAAGACTATCTCGGGGCTTCTGAACCACTGCCGTTTCCCAGTGAGAGTGCAAAGGATTGGTCTCCTCCTCTTCAAGCATTGAAAAATCTGTCACTGTCCAAGTGTTATCAGCGAGGGAAGTCTCAGGTCGAAAAGAAGGCGCGCGTCTGGGAACCATGTCTGTCATGGTAGACTCGGTAACAAGGTTCGAGGAGATTGACGAGCGGGATGAGGTGCCTAGCATAGCCATGATGTAAATATATATTGTTGTGATGGTAGTGAAGAGAGCTGAAGGGATGGATAACGAGAGATGGAATAGTACAGGTAGACCAGCCAAGGCTGTTGAATTTATATTGATTCAAGATGCTACTTTATACAAGCATTGGCTCCACTTTCATCACTTGTAGCTGCTTCTATTTTCATTGTAGCGTGCGGAGTACTGCATAAGTCTTGCATGAATGCAGTGCTATTGGTGCATGTTGACCAACCGATGTAGTGAATCGGGAGGTGCTCTTGAAGCGGCCTTATGTTGGGCAGCTTGGCTAACAATACGCAAGAAGCAAGATGTGCTAAACACTTGGGCATGGACTTGCAAGTATAGCAACCATTAATGAAAACATGGGGTTATATCATGCCAAGAATGGACAAGGAGGATTGCTTCATCCGAAAGCTGAATGAAAAACAAGTTCTAGAGATTCGTAGTTCCAAGATCTATAAAACACCTGCGCCTATGCTACAAGAACAGCCGAATAACTCCACCAAGAAAAATCGGGTATATTAAAAGTGACAAGCTGAAATCTCCATGCCAAGACTCATGTTGATGATTTAGCATTCGAGAGCAACGTCTTTGACGACAACGTCGAGCACAAGGCCGGTGTCGCCAGTAACCTGGATCTTGCCACTGCGAAAACAATAAACATTAGTACCACACTTGGAAAACCCCATGGATAATCGTGCAACTCACCCCTTGGAAGTGCCATCGTTGCGATCACACTCATCCAGAATGCTCTGTACGGCAAAACGCAGGTCATTCTGGTCAATGTGCGTGTTTTGCCATGAGTAGGTGTTGGCGAGACAAGCCCTGGCGCTGCCCATGCTGAAGCTGGCGGTATGTGAAGCCTCGATGAGGAAGGGGAAGTCTAGCTGAGGGTCGAACTTGTTGCCGGCAATCTCGTTTTGTAGTTTTCTCCCATCGGAGACGGAAAAGCTAGGAATGGAGGCATCATCGTGCGCGTAGCAATCGGCGGCCGCAGAGCCCAGAGTGAAGAGGGAGAAGAAAGCAGCAGCTCCCTGGACGTAGACTGAAGAGCGCATTTCGGCTTATGTGATATTTGATTCGTTTAAACGGCGAGAAGCAGCTTTGATGGTTGCGATTTGAAGCTCGGGTTGTAAAGACGCTGTGGGCAATGGTTATTGGAAGAGATCTACAACCTGCTGGGCTCGAATACCTTTATAACTACACAACACACAACAGCCACAGCCACCATTCACCACTATCCATGCTCGTGAGATTATAGCGATAATCTAGCTCTACGGCTACTATGCACCAGAGCCCATAGCTCTGGTTCGTGCCAGGCTATTCTTGGACGAGCTTTACTCAGTGGTCAACAAAGCCTCGAGCTAGATCCGTCCGACTCCAAAAATAGCACGGAGGGCGACGCTGCCGCCTTATTTCGGGCCAGGCTAACCGGCAACGCTCTAGGCTGCGCTGCTGCCCAATTAGTAAAGCAGAGCTATTTCTAGGGACAGCATCTAGAACAGGGCCAACGCAGAAACAAGCAGTGTATAAGCCAAATAGCGTCCGTCTTGTTGAGTTGGGCTCTGACGTGAGATGCCAAACCTTGCGGCTAATGTTTCTGCTGTGGCACTAAAGAGAACACGTACCTTGGCGGTTCCTGGCTTCGAGTTGTTTACTTCAGCTTGGTGCCCATGCTGGCCTCTCCCTCTATACAAGTGTATAGACGGATATTGGCGATTATTAATCTTTGGGCTCTACGGGGTAATAGAGTAATCTTTCTATTGTGGCATACACTAGCTGATTGCCTCGGCCTAGTCTTATGTCCATCACATGAATGGCTCAGGTACAGGAAACAATCTTGTTTGAGAGTAGCTATAAGTCTGGCATTCCGCATGCAACTATGGATCTTGGAAGCCACAATCTAGATAGCCGATGTTAGCGCTATCTTGAAGATATAACCTTGATAAAGAAACTTACAACCATATAAAAATTCTTTGGCAATGAGTGTCAAGTATCATGAAATGTGCTTTGAGCGCGCTGGGCCGAGAAAATACCACGTAACAGCAACAGAGCCGAGGATGTCGCCACACTTTTACTCCAACTTTTACCCCAGCAATAAGATCTTAGCATTATAAGTATGAATTGAAGCAGCTCAAGACACTGCAGTCACGTCTTTCAAACTTGTTCCTCTCATAACCAACATTTCATCCAATCTGTCTGTATTGGATAGTACCTAGCTAACTTACTGCGGATATTGTCGACACTGTTTCATAGCTTCTATCCCGGTTCTTTGGACACCCCAACACCCCAGAAGAGTAGTATATGCTCCAAAAGACTTATCGTAATGAAGGTCATCATTATCGGCGCTGGCCTTGGTGGTCTTACCGCCGCTTACGCCTTGGCTAAAAGCGGACACGACGTGCAAGTCCTTGAGCGCAGCTCCAAGCTCAACCCTACAGGAGGCGGCATCAGCATCCGGCCGAGCGCAAGCAAGGTCATCCAAAGCTGGGGTCTTCAGCAGACCTTGGAGCAAATCAGTGATAGATCGCCGTACGTGAGCTATCGCGAGCTCAACACCGGAGAGGTTCGGACCACCGTCGTCGATGACCCCCAACATGCCGACTGGGGCACCACCAGACGGGCCATGGTCAAGTTCCTTTCCAAGTATGCCGCCAATGCTGGAGCCCGCATTCGCTTCGGCGCAGCCGTGACTCGAGTCTCCGACGACGCGACGCGTGCTTCTGTGACGCTGGAAGGCGGAGAGGAGTTGTCCGCCGATCTGATCGTGGCTGCGGACGGCATCAAGTCACATACGCGTCGAAGCGTATTATCAGATCTTGGTTCCCCTGAGCAATGGGAGCCCATCGTCGACCACACGACCTTCTATGGCTTCAGCGTGGCGGCAACCGATTTGGCCAGCGACCCCGGCTCAACGAAGCTGACGGAAAACACAAACATCAACACCTGGAAGGGCGAAGGCGGCTTCGTCGTGACTAGGTACAGCGAAAAATTCAATCGCGTGGGACTCTTATTTGCCATCCAGGGAGAGACAGACCAAAAGGGCCTCTGGGACGAGAACGGCGACATCGAGCATGTGCGTCGCTTCTTTTCCTCGTCATGCAGCGACATGATCAAGGCCCTGAAACTGGCCGACGCCTGTGATCGCTGGAGAGTCGCCGAGGTGCCGAATCTTCCTCGCTGGTCGAGCAAGGCTGGCCGAGTCGTGCTGCTGGGCGATGCCGCTCACGCAATGCATCCCAACGCCGCTCAGGGGTACTCGACCATTATCGAGGATATTGGCGTTCTGCAACTCCTCTTGTCTTCTAAATCCGCGGAAGCCTCGGTGCCCGAGGTGGTGAATGTCTGGCAGGCGATTTGCAAGCCCCGAGCAGAAAGAGTCAAGGAGTTCTCGCGGTGGAATACTAAGCATCTGTCTGGAAGAACCGAGCATGCCATTGGTGTTTCCCATGCAGACAGCGTGCTTGACGGGGTTGTACCGGATGGAAGTGCAGAGTTTAGCAGCTTGGAATTCTGGAAGTGGAATGTCGAGTATGATGCCCTTGCTGAGGTACGTCTGTCCTATATACTTGCCCATTCGATTTTATCCTGCCGCTGAATCCTTACTGACACGAAACTATTCATTTTAGGCGAAGAAATATCTTGAAAAGAACAAGAGCCTCTCAAAACTATAAACTTGAGATATGACGCATAATTGCTTTTAATTTTATAGCTTTGAGTATAGGTGTAGGTTAGCAACCGTATGGACAACTATATCTATTTGAAATGAATGAAGGCCATAACGCCAAATACAATTGCACATACAAAAAATGCAGACAAATTACTTTCTTGTACGAGAAAAATTTTGGTTCATTAAAAGCACTTCTGTACATCAGCTGTAAATATTAGTACATCAACGTTGCTTGACCTGGGAATGAATTGCTTCAGTATCAATTATTCGGTAGAATATCGGTACCTACCTAAGATAACCTGGTGAACTTCTAGTGTCTGCGTGGCGCTGCTCCTGTAGCATAGCACGTGTGGCGCACGGCTTTAGCGCTCTGCCCTGAATTTTATCAGAGCCGTCAACGTGATCCTGGTCAATGCAAGATATCGCGTGGCCGCTCATTTTCTTCCACGGCCTACAATGTGCGGCATCCATGCTGCCATATCAGCAGACGCAGGCTACCACACGCTATCCCCAGGACTCGAGCAAAGGCTTCGGAACCGTGGCCCCGACCATCTCGGGGCTGTCAAGACGCAGCTCCAAGATGCGAGCTCCCTCTATTTGACTCTGACCTCCACGGTTCTATCCCTGCGCGGAGACCACGTTGCGAGGCAGCCGCTGGTCGACGAGGACTCTGGATCCGTTCTTTGCTGGAATGGCGAAGCCTGGAAGCTTGGTGGCAAGCCTGTCGAGGGCAACGACGGCGAGGCCATCTTGTCCATGTTGATCGCCGCGAGCAGCAACAGCTCAGGCGACAGAGACAGTGTCCTTGACGCGCTACGATCCATTGAGGGTCCATTTGCCTTCATTTTCCTGGATAAGAAAGCCAAACGGCTGTACTATGGCCGCGATCGCCTTGGTCGCCGGTCCCTGCTGCTGAAGAGAGGAGAAGAGTTTCTTCTCTCCAGCATCGCAGAAGCACCCGCCGTGGGATGGGCCGAGGTCGAGGCAGATGGTTGCTATACTATTCAGCTGAATGAAACCAGCTCGCCGAAAGACTTGATGCCTGTGAGACATGACTGGGATCAGATTGAAGCATTGGTAAGTGATTTAGAAGTGCTCTCGCAGAATACTTGATTACTGCAGAGTGTAAGATATTAACCAAAATCTGTGCTACTTACGTTTGTAGGTGTCAAGTATTGGTGTGTTCAACACTTCTATTCCTACGGCTGCGACTACTCCATTAAGTAGCCAGTCTCTCTCTGTAGAGCAATTGCGAGACCATTTGACGGAGTCGCTTCAACTACGAGTTCTGCACGTCCCAATGCCTCCAAAGGCAGCATCTTCGGACGCGCGGGTTGCGGTACTATTTTCAGGAGGTCTAGATTGCACGGTTCTCGCTCGACTTGCTAGCGACATAATACCCGCCGGGCAAGCCATTGACTTGATTAACGTTGCGTTTGAGAATCCAAGAATTGCTGCACAAAACAAAACTTTATCCGCCACCGAGCTATACGAGCTGTGCCCTGACAGAATGACAGGAAGAAAGTCTTTTGCGGAGTTGTTGGCGGTCTGCCCAGACAGGCCGTGGCGATTTGTGACTGTAAGGATTCCGACACATAAATTGAGTTGTGCAAAGCATTAATCGAGATTGTTTAGGTGAATGTTCCTTATGAGGAGACGTCTGCTCATCGAGCAGAGTTGATAGACCTGATATACCCCCACAATACCGAAATGGATCTGTCTATTGCCTGTGCTTTGTACTTTGCCGCGCGAGGCAAAGGAATGGGGCAATTGGCCTCGGATTTGGAAGCTGGGCCATATGATACAACGGCTCGAGTGTTGTTGTCGGGGCTTGGTGCGGATGAATTATTTGGCGGATATGTCCGACATGCAACCGCTTATACACGAAGCGGATATACGGGCCTTATAGACGAATTAAAACTGGATGTGAGTCGACTGGGCAAGAGGAATCTAGGACGAGACGACAGGGTCATGTCCCATTGGAGTAGAGAGGTTCGATTCCCATATCTGGATGAAAGCCTTGTGAAATGGGCGATTGAGCTACCTGCATGGGAGAAATGCGACTTTGATAACCAAGGCCCGGATTGTGATTATGACCCTGAGAAAAGGGTGCTGCGTCTCTTGGCAGGCAAATTGGGCATGCGCTCTGTGGCTGCGGAAAAGAAACGAGCGGTAGGTGATGACCTGATGAGGTACATTAAATTGCATGATTCTGACTAACTGTCTGCTGTTTTCTAGATCCAATTTGGAGCGCGAACCGCCAAAATGGAGAGTGGCAAAGTCAAGGGCACCACGCTGCTTCACCCATGAGGCACGCGGGATTCTGCATGTACATACATATAGCTATGCCGATCTAAAGCGAGGCATGTCACATTTCTGAGGAGGAGGAAAAAGGCAATCTCGGCGGTGATGACACAACAGATACTTCCGAGCTACACGACCGCAGACAGCACCAACGGAACGGCTGTGCGTTTGCTGCTTCGCAGCTAACCCTTTCGTTCAGATGCCTGTCTGTTCCTTTTACACAAGTGTCGGTAGCAGTGACGTCGTAAAAGGCAAGTCTGAGTCGAGATGTCTGACCCCTTTTCTACTTGGCAGCCTGGCGGGGGTTTGAAGGCACCCCAGGTCTGGCTTCTCGAAAAATAAAATGAATTAAAAATCGGTGAAGACTGACTGACTCTCAAGTGCGTATTCAAGCTGCGTATTCTCTTGCTGGCCATTGGTCGTATCTGGGCCTGGAACGCTTTCCATCGTGATCTGACCAAGCACTTGCATTACTTGACACGAGCTCAAAGAGCACAACAGAATCTTGGGCACTCAGGTAGTAATACGGATTTGGACTGTATCTGCGAACCCCGCGTGGAAGAAGATCAGATGCCGGGCGTTGACATCGGGAACCCCCTAATCGGATATGCGGGACCGGCAATACGTTGGACAGGGGGGCCTTGAAGAGAGTCCAGGGTTGTAGCGCAGAAGCGGAATACGAAGCGAAGGAGAAAGAGTCGATCGAAATATTCCGTAGCGATAGAAGTGGTTGGCGTCTCGGACAGTTTGTTCCTGTCTTACTCTTCTTTCTGCAGCACCCTTTTACCAGCCATTGATGCCGATAGGCCTATGCAAGTTCATAGCTCGGAGTAAGCAGAGACAATGCTCGTGTGGAGCTGCATTGAGATTTGCATTGTACATTCGTGGATGTAAAGATCTTCTACACGTCATTCATTACGGCTCGGGTGGGTGCCGTAGCAGCGATGAGCATTTCGGTTCATCGGAGGGGCCAAGTTTCATGTTTTGCCGGTCGTGATATAAAAAGAAGTCTGTGCGAAGAGGGGAACAAATCCTAGGTGGGCTGATGGTCTCGCGACAGCTATGGGTATACGTATGCTATTCAACTCGTATATCACCAGACGTTTGATAAAAAAAAAAGGCCGCATGTACTTCTGTCGCTTCGTATAACACGATGGTTCTTGGCATGTATGTATATTGCGGAGTTTGCGTATTGATAGGTAAGCTGCCTGTATTTTTATGTTTGCTGTGCTGCTAATAATATCTCGGGGTTGGATATTTCTCCGGGAGCGGCACAGTGAAGGGGATTAAATACCCTGGCCCAGCAAAAACCAGGGGAGAGGACAGCCCTGTATCTTTCAACCCTGTCCCTTTCTTCTTCTCTTCTTTCTAGCTTCGTTCTTATATAGCGTTCTAGCTTGCGTCAACCGTTGTAGATGTCAACTCGCTGCCCACGCGTGGATCCACCTGTCTGATATTAGCTTGATCGTCTACACATCTCTACAACTGAGACATGACTATTCATTGTTTGTTTAAGACATGGCCAACATATTAACTGCCCGCACTAGATGGTAGTACATAAGCTGTATTTCAATGACGCTTTAGCAGCAACCAGGCAGCTCTTCTCCGTGCTGCCATGGACGCCAAGGATACGGAGGCAGTGTCTATCACATCTCAGTATTGTGCGAGATTGCTCTTTGAAGGAGATAAAAAAAAAAAAAAGCCACGGTGGATACGTCACGCAGCCGAGAAGGGGCCTCGAATGCCGAGCCTCTTTCAGGCAATCTTATATTTTGCGGAATTAAGCTAGCATTGGCTGTTTATAGTAGACAGGTAGATTCCGCATCCACTGCGACCATGGTCATATTCTCAGCCTACGATATCAATATAGAATGATGTTAATAGATCGACTACAATGATCAATAGACAGTTGTTAGTGTGTTAGTACTCCATCTCAGACAATATACATATGGACTTTGACAACTCTTTCTTATATCCATCCATTCGGTAACTCCGTCCGTATACCTATTCCAGCACGGCACACATCAACCCAACTCCTTGCTGCTCCCCCTCCACCTCTCCCGGCCATCGACTCCGGGGCTCCGGACAACAGAAGCCATAGCAGAGCCAGGGTACATGCCGTGTCAACAACGGTCCAAGCATCCCCCCCCCCCCCCCCCCCCCCCCCCCCCCCCCCCTGTTAGCCGTTGGCTGAAGCCCTGAGAGCAGGTATACTTCTCCAGGCAAAAATTATACTGCACTGCATACTGCGGAGTCCTGTCCCGGCAAAGCAGTTGTGATGGCAACTCTACTTTGAGCCGTGTGAGGAAGCGATGGCAGACGAAAACGATTCCCATCAAATTTCAGCAGGGATTGAAAGGAGTCAAGAGAATCGATCGAAAGAAGAAAAAAAGGAGCATCGTCACAAATGTGTATATAAGTCAGTGTTGATCTTGCCCTCTTCTCATTCTTTTTCCCTTCCTCCTCACCCCTCTCACACTCATTCCCTCACCTCCTCCAGAAGCCTTCGGTTTCAGTCATTCCTTTTACACTCACCCACCAGTCATTCATTAATTAACTCAAATACCTTAATATTTCGAAAATGCGTTTCATCGCTACCGTCGCCTCTCTGGCCTCCGTGGCCTCCGCCGCCAGCGTCGCCGTCGGCGCCTGCGCTTCCGCCACGGCCAACCTCCAGCTCGGCAACCAAATCATCGCCGAGGTGTCGACCGACGTCAGCGCCGCCGTCAACCTCGCCGGCGGCTTCAAGTGCCCCAAGGGCATGGCCTACAGCCCCTGGGTCAAGGCCTGCGAGTGTCTCCCCGGCCAGAGCTTCGATACCACCAGCAAGACCTGCGGCGGCAGCGCCCTGACCGGCGCCTGGCCGGCCCCCAAGTGCGACAGCTCCGGTGCCAAGGTCGCCCTCTCTGCCTTCTGCGCCATCTCGCCCACAAAGTTCACAAAGTACGACGCTACCCACGCGTGGTGCCAGGTCGCTCTCGACACCTTCACCTTCTGCGCCGAGGCCGACATCGAGGCTGAGATCACCGCCCTCGGACTGGGCATCAACCTGGACGTCGAGCTCGACATCTCCCTGACCGCCACCATCAGCGCCGCCCTCCGCAGCACCTCCGCCGGTCTCGCCGCTCTGTACATCGAGGAGCTCGCCCAGGCCGTCGTCATCTTCAACACAAACGCTTTCGGCTTTGCCGTCGTCGCTGCTGACGTCGAGGCTTCGCTGACCACCAGCATCTTCGCCCAGCTGTCCGCCACCGCCTGCCTGCTCGGCCTCGGAAAGTGCCAGTTCGACTGCGTTTCTTACAACACCATGGGCTGCCACAACTACATTGACGTTGTCGGTGCTCTCGGTGGCCGTCTTGCCGGCTTCGTCGGCGTTACCATCCTTCCTGACGTTATCCTCAGCCTCAGCTCTACCAAGGTCTACACCAACCTCGTTGTCAAGGACCTTCTGTGCGCTAGCCTCAAGCTTGACACTCCTCTCATCTCCCAGTACAAGTACACTTGCTAAATTGGTGGTGTAACCGTTTGACGGGGTCGAGGAGTGTTGATGACTTTCGTGTTGAAGTGCAGTAGTAGACGGGGTTGTGTTTGGAGAGCAGGGCAGATTCTTTTTTTTTGTGCATAGAAGAGCGAGGTGTTGGTTGAGTAAAATGGAGAGGAGTTTGATTCACGTCAATACGTCGGTAATGAGTGAAGCGTTCTCAGTTCAGCGGTTAGAGATAATTGGTAATATAATACACATAGATAGATTAATAGAACTGTTGTTGTGGTTCAGAAATATGTTCGCTCTTCCTTGATAACTCATAGCTGTGATGGTACAGACTGCCAACCGTTATTCATAGAAACACCTAAAAATCTCCCATAAGAAACTCCGTCCCAATCAGGCACTTACAGGAATCGCTATTTGCTTGCCAAACTTGTCCACGCCGAAATGGCTAAATGCCTCCTCGTCATTATCGTCCAGCAGAAATGCTCGATCTTCATCTTCTGGAGAAAGTTTTGCATACAGGCCTTCGCCGGCTTTTGGCCACATTGGCGGGAGGGCATCCCCATCGTCCATCAATGGCGATTCTTCGACTTGGATGACCGGCGCTATCTTGACCGTCTTTTTAGAAATCTTGTGCTTGTTCTTCGTTCTTGATTCTAGTATGGTGTGTCCGTGGCGCGGCCGCGTAACAGACCGGACAGTCTGATGCGAGTGTTTTATCCTGTTAATTCTAACACTGCTGAGTGTATCCGCGTTCCAGTTTGGAGAGTCGAAAATTGGTAGGTCCGAATGCTTCTTGGCAACAGAGACCATGATGTCGACCAGCAACTGCGGCCTGAGCTGATCGCAAAATGATAAAATGTTCAACAAGTCTGTCTTCTTTTTCCCGTAAAAGTACTCCGTCAACTGTAGATGCCGAGTTAGCTTCGCTTCCTTTTGACTCCCTTATTCATCTCTGCTTACCGCCGCATCCGATGCCTGTCCTGCCCAGAAACCAACGTGCTCTGCTTTGGCCGGAACGGCATCTCCATTGAGAGTTGCCAAATTCCTAGCGCGCCGCCTTTCTAATTCATTTTGGTGCTGAGATTCTTGTTTGCTGTGATCCATTGCCTCAATTTCAGTCGCACTCAAACATGATGGACACGTAAACTTCAAGGATTGTTGTGACTCTTCCTCTTTTATTATTGACGGTGATACACAGCCTTGGTGCCATAACTGAGAGCAGTTGCCGCAAGAAAGGAGTGGACTGAGTGATGTGGATGAGCCTTGATGACACTTGGAGCACATCATGTAGCTGCTTTGCGGCGTGATACTCAGCGTTGCTGTTGTTGCTAGTACTGCCGCGGGTTGTGGAGCAGGTATAGGAAGTGACATTGTATTCTGAGTGAAATCATCCCCCTCAACTTGTTGCTCTCGCTTTCTCTTTAATCCCACCAGACGAGAGTTTGCCGCCATGATATTCTCAACGCTGCCAAATGAGGGGTGGGTTGGTGATAGGGGCATTGGTAGCGTGTCACTCATGCTCGAATCCCGCTTCTCACCCGTCTCACTCTTCTCCCCACTTGAAGTCTGTGGTGCATCCTTTACAAGAATTGGAAAATTTGAGCTTGTAGGTCCCTGTGTATTCTTCAAACGATCCAAGATCCACAAAGCTGATGAGAACTGCGGTGTGTATGAAGGTCGAGATATCGACGCCGGTGAACTCGGCTCCTCCATTCTGGAGCTGTTATTAGGGTATGGTTGTATAATTGTTGGCACTGGTGAGTATCTCATAATTGTATCTCCATCATTCGACTCGGTTGGAGTAATGGCCGAGAATGTCGCCTCCATTTTGCGTCACAATCCGGGTATTATTCGCGTGATAGAAACGGCTTATTGCGTATGACCCAAGATTGCTTTTTCATAATATTACACCTACAAAGAAGAGGAATTGAGGAACTCGGTGCCCGTAATTGGAACAAATAAATTGTAAAAGTGAAAAGACAAACTCCCCCAATCAATTTAAAACATGATGTCGCGAATTTTCATTTTGATCTTGCAATAGAGACTGAGAAGGAACCATTTTCGGAAAGCGCGAGACAGGAAAGAACGGGACAGCGAATCATGTGAAGAGTCACATGATGTGATGCGGTCCAGATTTGTACAGTGTCTCATCCAACTATGCACTGTCTTGGTCCTCTCAGTTACCAGCTCCTTTGATATTTGTTCCTATACATATTTATCTTCATCATGTTATCATTTCTCATCATCTAAATGTCTAATATGGTATATAGAACCAATTGTCACAGCCATATTCTAACTGACAACCCCCTGGTCCTTGAGCGCAGCAATATCTGATTCACTCAAACCGAGATGCTCGCCCAGGATCTCATTCGTGTGCTGGCCCAACATCGGAGGCGGTATCCTCATAAAGGGCTGAGTTTCTGACCACTTGACAGGCGTGTTCACCATCTTGATTGGGCCACAGTACTCGTGGTCAATCTCGATGACCATGTCTCGGGCTTTTGTGTGGCTGTGATTGAGAGTGCCTTGGATATCGTTGATGGCGGCATACGGCATTCCCGATCCCTCGAACGTCTCCAGCCACTCCTGCGTTGTTCTTTGCTGTGTAATGGCCTCGATTTCGGCCTCTAGTTCATTACGGTGCGCCACTCGGTCAGCGTTTGTCTTGAACTTGGCGTCGTCCTTCCACTGCGGCTTGTCAAGACCGTCGCAGAGAATGCCAAACAAGCGGTCATTGCCACCGCCAATAAGAATATCGCCGTCCTTTGTCTTGAACGCTCTGTACGGGACGATGGATGCTGCAGCACTTTAGTACAACTTTCATCAATCCACCAACACACATGCATCTGACTTACGATGAGCGGTTCCCCAGCGACCGCTGTCCTTCTTCCCGCTTATCAGGCTGCTGCTTGCAATGTTGGCCAATGTAGCTGTTTGGCAATCACTCAGCGCCACGTCAATGTGTTGGCCCTTTCCAGTCCTAGCTCTCGACAAAAGTGCCGCCATGATACTATTGCTAGTGTACAGGCCAGTCGTCAGGTCGGTAACGGCTACACCGACCTTGACGGGCGGGCCATCTCGCGAGCCTGTGATGTGCATGAGGCCAAACTCGGCCTCGACCATGACATCGTAGCCAGCGCGGTTAGAGTAAGGGCCGGTCTGGCCGTAGCCCGTAATAGAAGCATAGATGAGTCCGGGGTTGATCTTTCGCAGGCTCTCATAGTCCATCGAATACTTCTTCAATGTGCCTGGGAGATAGTTTTCGACCAGGATGTCGCATTTCGCCGCCAGCTTATGCAGGATATCCACTCCATCTGGGTGTTGGAACGATAGTCCTAGAGACTTCTTGTTGCGATTGGCCTAAGAAGAATGACGCAAATAAGCAACACGTTAGTCCCCTCGTTCATCGCAACAAACAGCTTCTCCAAGTTTAGGTGTCCATGTTGGTTGGTTCATACCCCCAAAAAATACGCGGATTCGCCCGGGCCTTGTCTTCCAGAATCCGGTTTGTACTTTGCGTACGGGGGACCCCATGCCCGAGTGTCATCTCCCCGCGTTGGGTGCTCGATTTTTATGACTTCAGCGCTGGAGAATAGTAATTTTTGACAAATCAGTATGCCAATCTTGGCTAGATGTAGAAGTTGAGATGTTTGAGAATAATGCTTACCCAAGATCACCCAGAATCTGTGTGCAGTACGGCTGCAGCAAGTTAGCGGAGTGATGAGCATAAGATTAGGGACATGCATCTATTTATATACGGCTAATCAAAAATGCGGGAGACATCAACTTACACCAGCCAGCACTCTGGACATGTCTAGCACGCGATAACCCTCAAGGGGCAGAGGCCCATTGCTGGCTGCGGCCGCAGAGTAGCGGCGCATGCCACGTGCTGCAGCATTGGCCCATTGGATGGAAGATTTGGAGCGAGCCAATCTGCCGAGGCGTAAAATAGCCATGCCCCGAACCTGGGACATTGTTACGGAGGGTGCGTCTTGGTGACGTCTATCATAAACGTAGCAGCAGAGAGGAAGTAAGGTGTAGAAAGAAGAAACAGATCAACTACCGAGCAGCCAAGATTGCCTATGCGTCTACCATCTGGTGCCACTTTGCGATGGATCGTGCATCGCCGGCTCTGAGTGGTTGATGGCGGAGTTGTCGCCAGCGAGGAATTGTCCCGATACTGCTGTATTGAGCGAAGCCCCATGGGGTCGGTTGGGTTCGGCTCACAATAGTGGGCAGATGTGGTTAGTGCGGTGCTAGAAGCAAACAGCAGTGCGTTCTCGGCCGAGCCAACTGCTAATGCTCTATAAACACATATTTGGTGTTTCTCGTGAGGATGACAAACATTCAGCTGCAGCATGAATGGACGCTGGACAATAGGATGCGCTTTTCCAGGTATGTGATACTATTGCGAGAACTCTGTCCGGTCTGATCTGATAGGCGCTGCTAGCGTCTGATGACCCTCGCAGAGTGTGGTAGCGATCTGCCTAAGCAGATTGTTGGCTGACCTAAGACCACACGATCGACTCTGTATTTCTCACCTTTCAGCGATAGGTAGATCCCGATTTTCCGTCAGAGGGTTTCCGTCTCTTTTTGCAAGAGAACAGAGTCTATCAGCGAGCCGCAATCTCATCGCGTAGGACTGCATAGACTCAATTACATTTCCCCCGTGCTACTACTGGCAGCCTAACCAATAACTGGATAACGTCACTGCCCAGTTAGGAAGCTTTCTTCTGATACGAGGTCGGTACTTCGTACAATGTATTGTTTACTTCAACTGTAGTATTCTTGGACTTTTCGATGGCCTATTTTCATTCCAGTTCCCTGCACATGCAAGGCTGAACAGATTCTAAATTCACAGCTGTTGGCTCCTCTACTTCCACCATCACATTCCGATTTCACCGACTCCTAAATTTGGGCCGTCGCAGGCAACAGAAGCAAAAAGAGGCGAACCTCTGGCCTCTGCATGGCTTAGCCAGCGGCACGGCAATCCGCGTTGCATCCGGCGCTGCTGATGTGACCCGACGCCTGTCCTGCCCTAGGGCCAAACGGGACAAGCACAAACCTTTGCACACGCTGCTCGTCTCATGTCGTCCGGCTAATCCTCACAGGTCCCACGGCGAGGATCCCGACCGCAGCGCTTACTGCCAATGCTACCGTGCTGGAGGCGGCGCCATACTCAGTGAAGAAGGCCTATAAGCTGCTGTAGGGACTGCTGCTCAGCAACTCGCGGGCCCCACCCCAGCCTGTGGGTGGTGAAGATGTTGATGCGCAGAGCCCAGACAAGGTCGTATCCGCCCCCCCTCCAGACGGCGAGGGTGTCCCCTGCAACGCCTGGCGTTTTTTACCTTTTGGTAGCCGTTTGCCATGTTTCTATTAATACTGGTGCGCGCTGTTGCTCTGCCAATCCCACCATGGGCGCAAAGCGGGCTTAGCACCCCGTTGGAGTGACGCAAAGGCCCAATTCTGGTCACCTCAAAACTGGAGAGCGTCCGCGGCCGTCGTCCCAAGATGAACTCTGGAAAAACAAAAGCGGAAACACAAGAAACAAGGCTCTCCCAACAGCAGAAGGGACAATCACGACTCGTTCGGGGCTGTGCAGCTGTTGGCAAGGCCCTCAGGGTGAGCTGCAGATCTGAAAATCGCCATGCTTGGGCGCATGCGCGCCATGAGGCTGCGGGCTTGATCGACTCTTGATAAATGTGGCTCATTCCGTTTGCGCTATACATCACGATACGACAGTTGACCCGGTTTTCGATAATCTCTTATACATATACGGCGTTCCGATAGTCTTCTCTCTCTCCTTTTGTCTCCATCATCACATTGTCAAATCTATTGTCCATATTTAAACAATTAGGTAACACTACCGGTGACCACCATGGAAAGGATTGCGATGCTCTCACGCCGCGAGTTGTCGCAAACAACCACGACGTACATCGTCATTGGCGTCGTGGTTGGTGTGACATGCACCGTCGCAGTCATCGCCATTCTCGTATTCACGCGTCGGAGGGGACAAAAGTATAGCGCTTTGAGGAAGAACAGCCAGCTACGGAAGAGACGCTCCAGCGCCCTTGATCGGGAGTCTTATAGGAAAAGCATGATGTCGACGTTTTCAGAGGTGGACGACGCTCAGAGGCAGGCCATGATTAGGAAATCGCTTGCGACTCGAAGCTCCACCATGGATTTGAACGTCGACGCCGCGTCAATACGCACTACTACGACGCATCCCCTGGAAGCACATGCCGAAGAAATCAATATCCAGTCCCCGCAACCTCAGCAACCACTGCCTCCTCCATCGCGAGACGAAGAGGAGTTGATGGGCCTCAGGGATGACTGGAAAGAATGGGAAGCGAGGCTCAACGCCAACTATTCCCCTTCGCTCGGCCTTCATCCAGCGCTTAGTCCTCGCCCAGCACTTGACTCTCATCCAGCTCCTGGTCCTCATCCAGCACTCGGTCCTCACCCAGCTTTCTCTCATTCGCGCAACAGCTCCAATAGCTCCAATAGCTCGACCAGATCTGCTGGCGCCTATCTATTAGCCGCAAGCCCGCCATCTCGATGCCATCTTGGCCTTTCCACAAATGAGCTCGACCGACGCTCATTACCTCCGATGACTAGGCCGCACTCCAACTCTTCCGTTAGATCCAACCGATCACTGCCGGCAAACTACGAGGTTGAACGTGATCCGCGCACTCTCCTTCCATCGCAGGCATCGCAAACTCGTTCATAACATCGCCTTCAAGTCATGGAAAGATATCGAAATATCTTGTCTTAAGCGCAATTCCACTCTTGGTGGATTTCTATGATTAAGAAATACTACTTTGGCTCTGCCCGGCAGAGCGCCTAGTTTCCAATCTCATTGGTAATATCGACAAACGCTTGCCACTGTCTCCAGGCTTCACCACTGGTGATAGCCCACTTAGCTCTTCGAACACCTTCCTTCCAACGTTGGCCGCCAGGGCCACGTTCTTTGATGACGTTTCCGTCATCGCCATGGCCCATGTCACTGCTATCCGCTTCGCAGATACCAGATGCGACAAGAAGGGCAGCAGTATTGATTAGAACAAATTCGACGACCGGATCATCCAGGGGAAGTTCGCCTTTCAAGATGCGAACCAGAATATCCGCATTTTCCTGAGGCTCCTTTCCGGAGGAGACCTCGTTCAAGGCGTGGGTGCGGACACCAAAGTCGCTGGGGTGGACTTTGAAATGCTCGACCACAATCTCTCCTCCGGGAGACTTTTCTTTCAGCATCCAGCAGAGCGTATTGCCTGCGCAGCTGATTTCATCCAATTCCTCTTCTCCACAGACAATCAATGCCTTGTGGCAGCCGGCAACTCTCAAGGCTTCGGCAAAAGCGGGGCCGAGATCTCGTCTTCCGACGCCGATGACTCGAGCTTCCAACACGTCTTCCACCGGGTTTGCCAATGGGCCCAAGTTGTTGAAAATAGTCCTCCAGGGGAGCTGCTTCCGGATAGGAGCGACGTAGCGCATGCCGGTGTGGAAGACTGGCGCAAAGAGGAAGCTGTAGTTTGTATGGGAGTAGACCTTGACCAGGGTATCCGGCTTCACGGCGCTGATAATAGGCGCCCGAGGCTTCATGCAGCTGACCATGTCGGCACTGCCTGATTTTGATGTGCTTGCCTTGTTGCCGTGCTTGGAGACCAGAAGCAGTGAAGAGGCGAGAATCGATGAAGTTGTACTGACATTGAAGGTGTCGTGAGAGTCGCCTCCAGTACCAACTATGTCGCACTGCATTTGTACGTTTTAGCTTTCTGTATATAACCATAGTAATATTTAATCAATCGAACTGAACTGAATTGTCATCTTACCAGTCCGCCCTTGTACGTGCCCTCTTTTCTTCCCCGCGCCTCAATGACACTCTGGAGCTCCTTGACCGGAATGGGCGCTGCGGCTTTTCTCATTACATAGGCGCAACGCTCCAAAACATCCGCTTTGAAGTCGAGCTTGGTGAAATGCAGAGCCATGAGGAGCGAGGCTGTCTGGGCCTCGGTCACCTGGTTTGTGAAGAAATGGGAGATTGCCTCTGCAATCTCATCGGGAGTCACTAGATTGTCCGTTGGCCAGAGCTTGGTCAACAACGGCTTGAGGTTGACGGGAGGAAGGGCCTCTTGCCCGCTGCCTGTGTTTGACGCCATGACGATTTGATGCACAGACGGGTATGGAAGAGAAGAGAGGAGAGAGAAAATGGACTTCACCCAATCGAAACGAATGAGCAGGAGAGTGACGCAGAGTCTACTTTTATGCCGGCCGCTATGAATATGCCGTACAGCCAACGGTACACACTATGCCGCATCTGTGGCACGACAGGCTCATTGGGGAAGATATTGTTCATTTTTTTGCCTATGAGTCAGCACAATAGGCTCCATATTAGCCTGTTGAATTGAGCGCATGGGGTTTTCTGCGATTAGCCATTGGCCGATTTCGGGCCCGCAGAGATGGCTCACAGATCCAACGCAAGACACAAAGGCGTAAGCCACGGCAGTTGGTGGTTCTCAGCCGATCTGTGGGAACAAAGTTTTCCCGGTGCCGCATTCAGCCCATCACTGCAACATGAAACTGGTTGTGGCTGCGTGATCAATCCTTCGCTTTCGTACGGTGGCGGCGCCCATTTGATTCCAGCCTGCTGAGTCACCCGCCGCCAGAACTTTCGCTGCCGGGCCTACATAGTAACGCCCTCCTCGCCCAAGCCGCTCATTCTACTCTTCCCCCCGACATACTCTTTCTACCACTCTCTTGCCGCCAAAAGTTGGATCACGCTCGCTCACGACGCTCACTGCTCTTCAAGCCCGCTGTCAGGAGCGATTCCGACATCTTGCTTTCGCCGACTAATCGCTGATCTGATTTTTTTTCCCCTTCGCGATACGATCTCAGACGCCTTCACTGGTTCAGAAAGGTCGGCCGGCAGAGACCACTTTTGCGCGTTTTTACGCTTCCGACACCTCTTTGACGCCTGAAGTCTCGGCAGCAGAAACGCTATAGGGATTTTTCGGACCGAAAGAGAGTGTTTCCTCTACATAGTTACTTGCCACGTCGCGCCTTTGCTGTTTACTCTCGCCTTTGGTTGGTGTGCAGCAAGCCGACACCGTTCGCCGCGTCTAGCGCTCCGAACTTTTTTTTAAACAAAGAAAAGAAACAAAAAAAAATAAAGAATACAAAGATACAAAAGAATTAAACAAGGAGAAGCGGGCGAGGACAAAGCAACATTCTGTCCGTGTCCGGAAGAGGTGCTCGATCTGACTTCGGAGGCTACCGCCACGCTTCCCCCCTTCTCAAGCCAGCAGGCTCTTTCGACCGTCAAACTGCATTCACCGCTCTTTGTCCAGGTCGTCAACGATCAACTCTGGATCAGAGGAGCATCTTACAAGACAAACTCCCTCGTAAGAAAATCAGTAGAGAAGAAGAATCAGCAGCTGCGACGACGAAGAAAGGAGGCCAAAAAGGCACGAAAAGTCTTTGACGAGATCACCAACATCTATAAGCCGAGAGCCTACCAGCCCAAAATGCTTCCGCCGATGGGCGGAGATGCAAATGGAGGGTCATTCCATGAAGACCTGAACAATGTCCTTGCCTGCCCCGACTGCAAGGAGTACCCTCCGAACTTGATTGAAGAGTTCTCGAGCGGAGACATGGTCTGCCAGAGCTGCGGTGTCGTCGTCGGAACACGCATCATTGATACGAGGTCTGAATGGCGTACGTTTGCCAATGACGACCAAGGTGGCGATGATCCGAGTCGTGTCGGCGGACCGCAGGATGAGTTCGTCGAAGGCCAGCATCTAGCCACGACTGTTGCCTTTTCAGAGTCCAAGGCTCACAAGGCCTTATCCCGCACCCAAAACAATGCCAATCAGGACAAGGCTCAAAAGGGCTTAATGCAGGCATACAAGGAGATTGTTGCACTCTGCGAGACGATTCATATGGGAGCCAACGTCTCCAACGCTGCCAAACACATCTTCAAGCTCGTTGACAAGCACAAGTTTATGAAGGGCAAGCCTCAGGAGGCCGTCATTGCTGGGTGCATCTTTATTGCATGCCGACAAAACAACGTGCCTCGAACATTCCGGGAAATCTTCAACCTCACTAGTGTCAGCAAGAAGGAAGTCGGCAGGGTCTTTAAGCAGCTACAGAATTTCCTGCAAAAGATTCAGGACAACGAGGGCGAGAGCGGTTCCGGATTGAATACCGTCACCAACTACGAAAACACCTCTGTTGGTGCCGAAGATCTCTGTGGTCGTTACGTGTCTCAGCTGGGCTTTAAGAACCAGCAAAAGATATCCAAAATCTCCCGAGATCTCGCAGAGCAGGCCACCGACATCTCCGCTCTGGCAGGCCGATCGCCCCTGTCTGTTGCGGCCGCTTGCATCTACATGGCGTGCCATCTTATGGGGGAGCCGCGGTCATCGGCTCCTATTGCCAAGCAGACCGGTGTTAGTGATGGAACTGTCAAAACCGCTTACAAGTTCCTCTTTGCTGCCCGTGATCAGCTGATCAAGAAAGAATGGCTCCAAGAGGGTGGCAAGATGGAGAACATTCCGCAAGTCCAAGTCTAGGACACTCATCTATTATATAGGTGCAGCGTGTGAGACACGTTTTGATAAACACCTCGGATCGATCTGCTTTGTTGCGTTGCAGTCTTTGTTTGTCTTTTTTCTTTTCTTGTCTTTCAAGCTGCCGCGCTATAGGTCGAAGGGCGTTTATTGGCGAAACAGGGTGATTTTGAGACGGAACAAGCTAAAGACAAGGGATGCTCGTTTGCACTGTTTTTTAAGTTTAATAATAGAGACTGGGGAAAGAAAATAAATTGGCCTTGCAGAAGGGATGGCTGGAGAGCGCGAGACTGCGACTCTTGTGCCTGGACATATTTGGCAGCCTCTCTTTTTTTTTTTTCGTCCACTTCTTTTGCCGTTTTGCTATAAGAGAACAATGTATCTCAGACTGTATAGATTCGAATAGCAAAAAATACAGAGAGCATTTGCGTATTCGTGGTTACCTTTATAGCCAGGCACGTAGAGTGAAATCTTGGCATTTATGGCGGCCTGTATTCATTTACAGCTGTACTCGATAGCCTCAGCGATTCTACTGGACGGCTGTTTGCGTGCATAGCGAATGGGTAGCATCGAGTAAATGCTGAAAACGGCCCGGGGTTATGGTGATACCTCTAGGCAGTTTTGTAGAAGTCTAGGTGACGTCATGGGGAAATCGTACGTCGATGCTGAAATCACATTTGACAAGGCCAAGTTGACAAGGAGGAGTTGTATATTGCGTGGCAGTTGATTCTGACACGAAACTCTGTGGAGAAGAGGCATGACTTTTAGCTTTTATGGGGGGCTGCGGCTGCTATTATACGGTGGCATATACGGGGGAGAAAGTTCCTCGCCGATGGAGAAGGTTACGCGTCAGCCGTTGGAGATGGGATGGCAATGCATACTGTACAGAACCGGGTATAGTAAGCCCTGGAGTATGAATTGGGGAGGTGATAACGACTTGAAAATTTAGACGCAGTACTGTACTGTGTTGAATGGCAACATGTTTTCTGCCTTCCCCATCTTTTGATCCATCTCGTGTTTGTCTGCTTTTCCCCATAGTTTAGTTCAAGCCGCCTGCTGGCAACACAATGAGCAGTTGGCAGTGACAGCATTCACACGTACGCCTTTGCATGCACTACTGTAGGCCGACGGGGAAACTCAATAGCGCCGAGTCAGGCACTCACATGGCCTTTTCGGAATCCTCTGCTCTCCAGATCCTTTGCGACGTCAAAAAAGGACCGTCCAATAGCCCCACGTGGTGGACATGGAAGGGCCGCTGTGCCAGGGGCGTAGTTGGGGCCGCCGATCTGCTCAGTGACCTTCTGGCGTGTTGCGCTACCGGCGTCGCAAGCACTGCGTCCTCACTAGATGCGCTGTAGCGCCAATGTTTGGGGGTGCCTGTGAGACCCGACTATTGTATGGTTGCATCCAGTGTGCGGCGGCTGGCCCGAAACAGGACTGGCTCGCTGCGTCTTTACCCTTGCAAGTGCTTCTTTTCACTAGCCTGGAAGTCGACTGACTCCGGCCATTGCCACCAACAAGACGCCTCTTGGGCCGAGCCGATCAGCTACCAGGTAGAGATGGTGTCGTATTGGGGATTGACTTTCGTCGTCTTGCTGTCATTGAGTTTTCGTATTTCTTTTTTCGACTGTCAAGGGCGCTGGCCGTAACCCAGGGACGATTGTCGCATCGACGCATCCGATCGCTACTCATTCCAAACATTTGTCTGTCTTTATTGTTTCTGCGGAAAGGGACCATCGTTTTTTCCTTGTACGGAAATTCATTGTGTTGCTGTGCTACCTACCTTACTTGGCTTCGCGGCCGGTAGCGATCCTCATTCTTTTTAGCGACCACCATCTTTTTTTGCGTCGCGAACCCGGAAAAAGGTCACGCACTATTGACGTCTTGGAGCTGGCGGCGCAAGTGCTCCGTGCCACTGTCGGATAATTCCTCGGCCATGAGAATCTGAGCTACCGCTCGTATCGTCAGCCTCGAATTATAGCGGCCTGGCCTGCCTCTCGCTTATCGTTATCGTGTGGGAAAAAAAGGAGGTTTCCTGGGGTTTACCACGATCTTTTAATTTTATGCACATTGCGCCATCATGGTGCTCAGCGTGCGCGGCGCCGATGGTCTGATACGCTCCAAGTCCGAGGCGGAGGCCAGCACGCTTCCCGAATACCCTCAGAAGGGCTGCGCCGAAACTGTGGCCCCCGTGTCCAAAGTCTCGGTCGCCAAGCGCATTCACGATGCCGCCAATTCGGTGTACCAGAAGACCATTGTCGAGCATATCCTGCAGCGGGGCCAGCTCGCCGCCTCCAAGGATGGCAGGAAGATACCGCTGCGACTCGACAACGACGAGCCCTTGACTGATGTTCGGCGCGGGCAAGCGTACATCTCCAACAGCATTCGCACTTCTCGCTACACGGTGTGGGATTTCCTGCCCAAGCAGCTCTTCTTCCAGTTCTCTCGAGTCGGCAACTTTTACTTTCTCTGTGTTGGAATTCCTCAGATGGTGTGTGCTTGTTATAATCATGGTCTTGTTCGCTTACTCGGTTACTAAATTGTTGCGCGCAGATTCCCGGCCTCTCGACTACCGGCTCTTATACAACGCTTCTGCCCCTCCTGTTCTTCGTTTGCATAACAATGTTCAAAGAAGGCTACGACGACTATCGACGACACCGACTTGACAAGGTTGAGAATGCCTATTTCGCGACGATCCTTGGCAAGGAGGACAAGTATACTGGCGAAACTAGGCGGACACACTTTCTGGATCGGTTTAATCCTTTTCACACAAAGACAACTACCGAACCTCGATCTGTCCCCGCCGAAGAATATCAGGGTGTGCGATGGGTGCCGACGAGATGGTCTGATATAAAAGTTGGAGACGTCATACGACTTGCGCGTGACGAACCTGTGCCTGCGGATATTGCCCTTGTTTACAGTGACGGCGAGAATAACCTGGCATATGTCGATACCATGGCGCTCGATGGCGAGACGAATCTCAAGAGCAAGCAGGTGTGCAATGCGATTGAAGGATGCGACACGATTGAGGGTATTGCGAAATGCGCAGCAGAATTCGTTGCCGAAGACCCCAATCCTGATCTGTTCAGCTTTAACGGAAAAGTCACTGTCAATGGAAAGGCAGTGCCTTTGACGCTCAACGAAATCGTGTATCGTGGAAGTGTGCTTCGAAACACCACCTGCGCTATTGGAATTGTGCTCAACACTGGAGAAGAGTGTAAGCTGCGTATGAACTCAAACAGGCATCCAAAGGCAAAGAAGCCCGCTTTGGAGAGAGTGGTGAATAAGATTGTCATTACTCTGGCTTTTTACGTCGTTATTCTGTCCGTGGGCGTTTCCATGGGCTACTTGATCTGGAAAAAGAGCACCGAAAGACATTCTTGGTACTTGCAGAATGCTAGTGTCCCGTTCCACGACATCATCATTGCCTTCATCATCATGTTCAACAATGTCATTCCCCTGTCACTCTATGTGAGCTTGGAAATTGTAAAGGTTGGACAGCTGCTTCTTCTCAATTCGGATCTCGGCATGTACGACGAAGAATCGGATACGCCAGCGCGGTGCAACACAAACACCATTCTCGAGAACCTTGGCCAGGTTGAATACATCTTCTCAGACAAGACGGGTACTCTCACAGACAATGTCATGAAGTTTCGCAAACTTAGCGTGGCTGGTACTGTCTGGCTTCACGAAAAGGATTTAGAGCCCCAGCCGCTGTCGGATACATCTGATAGCACTTCATCGATTGTGAAAAACTTTGACTTTCCCAGTCGATCCCCATCGGTATATAGGAGAGACCGCATGTCGGTTGTCATTCACGAGGATCAAGTTGAGATGACAGATTCGCCGATACATTCCCCAAGACAATCAATGGCAGGACGGCGATCTTCCTCCGTGTGGCGATCGACGGGACGGCCAGACCATGTTCAACCCGATGTCAACACCTCAGACTTGCTCGAGTATATGAAGCTGCGGCCACATTCAGCCTTTACCAGGAAAACGAAGGAGTATCTACTTGCCATGGCGCTGTGTCACTCTTGTTTGCCAGAGAATAAGGATGGGAAAATGGACTTTCAAGCTTCGTCCCCGGATGAGCTTGCCTTGGTCAGAGCTGCCCAAGAGATGGGATATTCGGTTGTCCAACGAAACTCGAAGCAGATAACTGTTGAGGTGACTCACGGCGATGGTTCGACGGAACGCTTGAAATATGATATCCTGGACGTTATTGAATTCAGCAGCGCCCGAAAGAGAATGTCTATTGTTGTTCGCTATCCTGATGGCCGCATCTCGGTTATTTGCAAAGGCGCTGATTCCGCCATCTTGCCTCGACTGCGACTATCTTCATTGGCTATGCAAAAGGCAACCGAAGTTCGACAGAGTGCCGACCTTGAGCACGAAATGTTCCGCCGCAGCGAGCAGCTCGAGCCTCGCAACAGTTTCGGTGGAAGGCCTAGCTTCAATGTTCGCCGTCCTACCATTACGAGAGAACGAAGCGTGCACCGGCAATCAATGGGAAATCGAAGCAAGTCTTTTGAGATCAACAAGCTGACTCGTCGGTCTGAGGATCGGCCAGAACGGCCGCGCTTGACCATCAACGCACGCGGTGCATCGTTTGACGTCTCCAATCGCCAGTTCCTTAGCCCCATGACACCTCACGTACCGCAACCGCTGGATCCCCGTCTGGCATTTTTGGAAGATTCCGGGATTTTCGACGAATCTGAAGTCTTTACGAAATGCTTCAAGCACCTTGATGATTTTGCATCTGAAGGTCTTCGGACCCTCCTCTTTGCGCAAAAGTTTGTCTCGGAGCAAGAGTATAGGTCGTGGAAGAAGCTTTATGACGATGCTACGACCAGTCTGACCGATCGGCAAGAAAAGATTGAGGATGCGGCTGAGAAGATTGAGGAAGCATTCGAGCTGGTTGGTGGCACTGCCATTGAGGATAAACTCCAAAAGGGCGTGCCAGAGACCATTGAGAGGCTTCGACGGGCCAACATCAAGATTTGGATGCTGACGGGAGACAAGCGGGAGACGGCAATCAACATTGCTCACTCTGCGCGAATTTGCCGCCCTGGTTCCGACTTGTATATCCTGGACGTGGCAAAGGGGTCTCTTGAGACGCAGCTCTCGGCCATGGCCGAAGATTTGAATGCCGGCTCGATCCACAGCGTAGTTGTCATTGATGGACAAACATTGGCGGCTGTCGAAAAATCAGAGGCCCTGTCAACCCAATTCTTTGCCATTATGCTTCTTGTCGACTCTGTTATTTGCTGTCGTGCATCGCCAGCCCAGAAGGCTCTCCTAGTTAAGACCGTCCGCGGTAAGTTAAAGGGCTTCCGAGGCAAGGAACGCCGGGGCTTGACATTGGCCATTGGAGATGGTGCGAATGACCTTGCCATGATCCAGGCCAGTCACGTTGGAATTGGAATCTCAGGAAAGGAAGGACTTCAGGCCGCTCGAGTGGCAGACTATGCCATTGCGCAGTTCCGCTTCCTACAGAGGCTACTGCTCGTCCACGGAAGATGGAACTACGTCCGCACTGCCAAGTTTATCGTCTGCACGTTCTGGAAGGAAATGTTCTTCTACCTGCCCGCGGCGCAGTACCAGCGATTCAACGGCTATACTGGCACTTCTCTCTACCAATCGGCGAGTTTGACAGTCTTCAACACGCTGTTTACAAGTTTGTGCACGATCTGCATGGGCATCTGGGAGCAGGACCTCTGCGCAGAGACTCTGCTGGCCATTCCCGAGCTCTACATCTTTGGCCAGCGCAACAAGGGTCTCAACTTTTGGAAGTACATGCGATGGATGCTCCTTGCTGCCATTGAAGGTGTGATTACTTGGAACGGCATCTGGGCTGGCTACGGGTGGGTGTCTCCGGCAGCGAAAGATGAAAACTTGTATGCCATTGGATCCTTGGTGTTTACGGTTGGTGTCCTGTGGATCAACTGGAAACTATTGTAAGTCTTGACTTTTTGCTCATTCCCCTCCTGAAAGCTTGAGTGCTAATTTTTGGGCAGCATCTTTGAAACCCACTACAAGTCGGCTTTAGTCATGGGCTGTTTCTTTGTCACCACAGCTGGTTGGTTTGCATGGTTGGCCTTTTTAGACGGTGTCTATGCCGGCACGCCATCCGGTGACTACGACATCCGCCATACCTTTACCAAACTTTGGGGCGCTGATGTTGTGTGGTGGTCCACTGTCTTTATTGTGCTCGCCTTTATGGGGATGATTGAACTTCTTTTCAAGGCGGCCAAACGAGGCATGCTTGTTGCCGGCCTATGGCACTGGCCACGGTGGCAGAGGAAGAAACTCGGCGACAATGTCGAGGAGTGGGATTTGGAGCTCTGGCAAGAGATGGAGCAGGATCCCGCAGTGAGGCGGAAACTGGCAAAGATGGCGAGAGACAATGACGAGGAGCTTGATCTGGATGAGGATGAAGAGGAAGAAGACATTATGGAGCAAATTGAGATTGATATCTCTGCGGGGAGAAGATAGACGGGGGAAAAGCAAGATGGGAGGATGGGGATTTGCATGCGCAGGTGACCAAGAGCGGATTTTCTTTTTCTGTCTAATTTTTTATGAGGGCTTGGAGTTGGAGATTAGTCCTTGCCTGACTTTGCTCATTGGTTTGCTGGCGGATTTACTTTCATTTACGACATGGCCTGGATGGCATGATAGATACCCAGAAGAGTATGAGAGTTGGAATTTGGGATGACATGATACCAGAAGATATAAGATGATGTAGTGCGCGTACATGGATGAATCGTTTTCTTTTCTTTTCTCTCATTGCTAGTAGTTATATTTGATAAAGGAAAAGTGTTTCGTGTGTTTATATCAAATCCTTCAATTCGGTTTCTAGACGAGAGGCAATCTAGCCAACGGGCATCGATTAATGTATTCTAAGGACTCTAAGAGATCTATGCAAAAATGGAAGAGCAACTAACAACAAATGAAGGAATCAAAAAGTTTCACAACTTCATTACGCTTTAGAATCCGCCGTTTCTTCCCTCTTTTCACTACCCGTCTTCTCATCATCTCGAACTCCTCCCCGACTCGGCTTCTTCGCCGCAGGTTCTACCTTGCCCACAATCTCCAGCGTCCGGAACGCCACGAGGACAAGCACCAGAGACACCAGCCCCAGCGCAAAATCAAACCACGAAGCCGCGCGCAGGCCCCTGAGAGAGTCGGCATCCCACGCCTTTATGCTGCCGACGTTCTTGACTGCCACGCCCCGGCCGTGGGCCATGACGGCAGTCTGAACAGCCGTAGCAATGGCGAGGCCAATGGACCGCCCAATTTGGCCAACAGAGTTGATCAACGCGCCGCCAATGGCCTGATCTTCTCTCGGCAACGCCCTTGACGTAAACAGCGTCAGACACGGCCACGTCGTATCCGCCCCAACGACGGAAAGCACCATTGCAGGCAATCCCCAGGCAAAATACGACGTCGTCGGCGCAATCGGCACGGCATACAGCAGGCAGGCAATCGTGATGGCCAGGTTGCCGCAGACCAGCAGAAACACGGTCGGCACGCGGCCGACCAGCTGCGAGACGACGATGGCGACGGCGGCGCCGCCAATGCCAGTGGGCAGGAAGCGCAGCATCGTCTGCAGCGGCGACTGGCCCTGGAACTCCTGGAAGTAGTAGGTGGCGTAGATGAGGTAGTTGTTGAAGGAGGCGAAGAAGACGCCCATGATGACCATGACGGCGCTGAACTGGCGGTTGCGGAAGATGCTGACCTTGATGAGCGGCGGCGTGGGCAAGACGCCATCACCATGACCTGAATCTGATGATGATTCGAGCAGCCGCGCCTTTGCGGCGTCGAGTCTGCGCTCCAAGTGCCACTGCCACACCGCAAACGCCGCAATCACGAGCACCGACACGACAATCAGGACCGGGATCCACGGCGTGCTCCAGCCCACGACGTTGCCCTCGGTCAGCGCAAACATGAGCGCCAGCAGCCCGACGGTGATGAGCGTGGCGCCCACCCAGTCGACGGACTTCGGGCCGAGCTTTGCTGATTTGTTATTTGCTGCGGGCGGAGGCGTCGGCGGGATAAAGAGCATGCCGCAGACGGAGATGATGCCGCCCATGATGGCCAGCACGCCAAAGACCCATTTCCAGTTGGAGTACTGTGCGACGAAGCCGGACAGGATGTTGCCAAAGACGCTGCCGAGGGGGGCGCCGGCGCCTTGATTGACAACTTTTAGCTGGAGTTTTTAAACCTCAAAAGTGATGATGACATACCATATGTACTAAAGGCGTAGTTTTTTGCTTTTCCCGGAGGAAACGTCACGCCCAAGATGCCAATCGCCGTGGGAACATTCGCAGCAGCCCCCTAAACACAACTCTTATCAACGCTTGTTCAATTCAAACAGCAGGTGTTAATTTCAAAAAAAACTCACCAGCCCGTGAAGCCCCCGAAACAGGTTAAACGCAATCTCATTCGGCACAAACGGATTCGCCGCCGTAATCGCCGTCACCCAGACCGACCCCAGGATGAAGACGAGCCGCTTGCCGTACAGGTCGGCGATGCGGCCCCAGAAGAGCAGGAAGCAGCCGAACGCGAGCGAGTAGGACGAGACGATCCACTGCTGCCGGCTTTCGGGCACGGAGAGGTGGTGGCCGATGGTGGGGAGGATGATGACGACGCTTTGGACGGAGAGGGTCTGTTTGGTTGATGAGTATTTATATATATATATATGTATATATAAGATGGGTTTGAGGCTTGAACTTACATTGAGAAACGCCGCGCCCGTCACAGTGGCCACCAGCGCAATGCATCTCGCCCTCGACAATGGAAGCCCGTCATCACTGGCATCCTCCTTGAGCTCACTCCCACCGCCATCTTCCGTTGCCGAATCCCCCCCTCGAGCCCGACTCGTAGCAACAATCCCCGTCTCTTTGCCCATCTCAGCATCGTCTTCCCTCCTCCTTATTGTCGCCAACGACAATGTCTTTATTCCCTCGCTCTGCTTCTGTTTCCCCGATTCCTCGTCGAGAACCGCCATGCCGGAGTAAAAAAAAAACTCTCCACCGGAAGCGGGACGGGAGGGCTTCCCGGCCGCCTCTTTTCTAACTTTAATAGGTCCGTATTTCGTATCAACTGTTGGCTCGGTCTAGGAATCGCAATTGGGTTGAGTAAAATGTAGCAATGGATGATGGGAAAAAACAACAACGCAGGCAGAATTGCTTCTCAATCCAGTAAATACAACAAATGCCGTTATCTCTTGTTTCTCCCCTCAACATGTACGTAGTAGATAGGTACGGAATAGATCAGCCGCAAACACCATCACCGAAACGTATTGCGTGCTCCAGAAACGAGGTAGACAAGGCGAGAGAAAAGAAAAGAGCAAGCAATCCAAAAACCGCAGAGGTAATAAATACGGTAAAGAAAGAATGAATAAGAAGGAAAAATAAAAATGCCAGTCCTCTTTCATATACCAATACCACCATACCATAGTCCCATGTCACCGCAACCGGACAAGGGTCTTAGTAAATAAGCAAGCAGAACAAAATGCCAAGGTCAAACCAAAGAGTATTTCCACAAAAAAAAAAAGTCGGAGCGCCGAGCTCAATCCCGTATTACTGTTCCTACGGCTTACGTGCATGTTCAATCCTTCCCCCCCTCTCCCCGGTGCCGGCCATCCACCTACATGTTGATCTTATTTTCGAGTCCCGATCTCTTGTGCCGAATCTAAACTAAGCCGGCTTCTCTCCGCCTTTCCAGTAGTACCTGTTCTTGGAGCGATTGAGTAAGGATGATGCTTCTTAGGAGCTTATCGACTCTTGGACTCAAATTAATATCAATCGATCAATTTTTTCCATTTGTCTCAGCCGCCGTTGGCGTCTGCCTTTACAACTTCTGTTGTGTTTCCAGATAAAGACATTCCCGAAACATGTCCGACTTACACAGCTTACAATATCTCCAGCGAATACACGTATGTATATGGCATTTGCATTTATGGATCAACTAAAAGAAAATGTTAGGCTACCAACTATGCAAATTGACGACATCTCACCCATCAATTCCCAAGAGTTATTAAACCTTCGTTTTTGTCTTCTTCTATTACAAAATCGTAATTCTCACCCAACCCAGCAACATCGTCGACGTCACAGCTCTCAGTCTACCATACAACCTACCATCACACAACTTTACACAAAAACACATCACACTCATCACACAAGGAAAAAAACACAGTCAGCCAATAGCTCATAGTCTTCTTCGTGCACTCATCAAACAGTTACATTTTTTTGTTGACTGCCTATTCGCCGTGTCCACCTGGTTAAGCATCTCAATCTCCTCAACCTAATCATGGTGAGGTTAATTTCTTTTTGCTTCATCAATGACCTTGCCTTGTTTCCCTTAAACCCACCGCCAAACTTAATATACCCCAGGCGGGATTATTAAAAAGAAAAAAGGCCCTCCCAAAAATAAGGAAAAAAAAGTGAATGAGGCACCCATGCGTCAAAATCACAACAAAACCAGTCAAAGTCTTTTTTTTCTTTGGCGGCTGCCCTCGAGAGTCCCCTAAAAACAAAAGGTGGACAAATGAGTGGGAACGACAACCAAAACAAGAATCCATGCTCCCATCCTTCCTCGTAGCCCTTACTTTCCATTTTGCCCAAGCCGCCCACACTGCCATCTTCTAGGTGATTCTCGAAAAAAATGAAACTAAAGAAACAATCGTACACGTTTGCATCAACGAGTAAGAGACTCAAGCAAAGATTTCTCCTTCTTTCTCTCCGTCTCCATGCTGAAACCCCTCTTTGTAATCAGAGGGGGGGCACACATATATGGTGCTCAGGTGTTCCCTCTCGCATACCGCGAAATCAACCTCTTCCTAAGGGTTTAACGTTTAAGTGTAGTGACACATAAAAGACCAACTGTATCAAGTGGGGAAAAAAAAAAGAACTTAGAAAATTCACACCAACCCCTTTCTGAGCCTGGAGCTCATGACGAGCGCCATCCTATCTCGCTCGCGGCGATATCGCCCTCGTCGTTTCCCATCACGGCTTCTACCCCACTAATGGTAGTTTCCGCCCCAGCCGCCGCGTTGCTGCTGCTGTTGCTGACCTTGCTGCTGTTGCTGGCCGGTGCTGTAGTAGCCTCCGCTGCCGAATCCGGCCTGGCCGTAAGACCCATAAGGGGTGCTGTGCTGGTTGCCACCGGCGCCGCCGCCCATGCCGTATGCGCCGCTGCCGTGAAGGCCGTGGCCTTGAAGGTGGCCTTGGTAGCCACCGTAGCCACCGCTCATCTGGGATGTCTGAGGAGGCGGAAGGCCGCCACTTTGCGCACCGGGAGCAGTGTTTGTGGCAGAGCCTGGCCGAGGGGCTCCGAGAGAGGGCGAGGGGCCAGAAGAAGCCTTGCTCTCACCAAACGGCTTCAGCTCGTCAGCCGAGGCTCCAGTGCTTGGCTGGGCCTGGCTGCTGAATGACTGTCCCTGAGATTGGAAAGACGAGGCACCTCGAGAGAAGCTGTCGTGCGTGCTGCCAAAGCTGCTGCCTCCTAGACCGGGCTGGCTGCCTGCTTGAGCAGAGCCGGCACGGCCGTATTCACCAAGGCCGGAGCCAAGAGGGCTGTCTCTGTGGAGAGATGAAGGGCCAAAAGTGCCGGGGGACGAGGTATGGTCGTAGGGCGCATTAGGCGAAACACCATAGGGTTGTCCGTACATGCCACCCTTGCCATAGGGTCCAAATCCCCCTTGGCCGTATCCAGAGTAGTACTGATGGTAGTAAGGGTTGCTGTAGTACGGGTGGTTATATCCGGCGTATTGTCCGTGAGCCTGAGGCTGCGAGCCAGGACCTCCCTGCTGCTGAGGCTGTTGCTGTTGCGCCTGAGTGACGGGGTTGGGGGTGGAGTGGCCGCTGTTCTGGTTCTCGTTGCTGCCACCGAATCTTGGCTGGTTGTGACCAGAGCCGCTCTGCGGGTACTGGCTAAGGTTATCGGGTTGGGAGGCATTGTAGCCTCCAAAGGGGCGCTGCTGCGAGGGAACGCCCTCGGGTTGGGCATGTGCTCCCTGCTGGCCATAGTGCTGGCCGTAAAAGGCATATGGGTTTCGATCCTGCTGGTTAGCAGTGTAGTAGGCGGAGTAGTCGCTGGGAGCTGAGCTGAAAGCTGCACCAGGCTGCTGTGCGGGAGGTTGAGAGGTCTGAGCCGTGAAGTTGTCAAAGGGTGGTTGCGAGGGAGCTTGCTGGTTGAACGGGTCCAGGGGCTTCTGCTGAGCCGCGGAGACGTCTTGAGGGCCAGCCTGGCCAAATCGACCGTATTGCTGAATGTTAGGGATGGGAGGTTGAGCTGCAGAATCATATAGTTAGCGATAGTTCTTCTTCACGTCTTGGATTCGCAAATGAAACGCACTCTGAGAGGAGATAGGAGCCTGGGCTGAAGTGGCTGCAGCAGCTGAATTGGGAATTAGTCTCAAAAACACACGCGGGGAAAATCACAATAGGGAACATGGCACATACCAATAGGTGTCATTCCGGGAGGGGGTGCAGTCGTGGCTTTAGGAGCATAGGTTTCCGGCACAGCGACAGGCTGAGAGGCCGGAGGAAGTGAAGTACGGGGAATGGCAACAGGTGAATCGGCGGGGGGTTGAGCTCGAGTCTCTGGTTCTTCGCGCTCGCCATCAATATCCTCGTCGTCATCGAGGTTAAAGGCACCAAACTGAACAGCAGCACGATCAACCTCTCGGTTGCCGGGCATGCGGACAGCCTCTTCTTGCTGAAGAACTCGTCGTTGGAAGCTAGGAGTGCGAGGCGCGACTCGCTCGGTAGTCGCCTTCAAAGCCGTGGCAGCATAGCCGCTAGAAGTGGTCTTCTGAGCCTGGTGCTGTTGCTGGGCGGCTGAGAGAGGCGTGGCAGTAGCGCTCGGGGGGCTCTGTCGAGGGTCCCAAGAGTCAGCAGCTGTGCTTGCAGCAGTATCTGTTGCAGGTGGCTGGGAGACATCAACAACTTGTTCGAGATTGGTTTCCGTCAGCTCATCTTGAGAAGGAGCGATAATGGCAGCGGGTTCTGTGGCTGCGGGAGCGGCAACAGGAGTTGCTTGCTCAGCAACTGGAGTGTTCTCTGCGTTCTCTTCGGCCTCGGGCTTGACGGGTTCAGCTTCAATTGGGGCGGGTTCGGGAGCGTGTTCGGGTTCGACGTGTTCGACGGGCTTGGGAGCAGCAACTTCTTTGGGAACTGCGGGCACGATCTTGGGGGGAGGAATCGACTGTCGGAGCATGCTAGCCCAAGTCTTGACCGGAGGAACAGCAGCCTTGGCGGGTTCGGCCACGGCAGCCGTCTCAGCGACCACGGGGATCTTCTCTTCAAGTCCGTTGGCAGCGTCATCTTTGTATGCGGGGGACTCTTCGGTGGGCACAGAAAGCTGCTGGCCATCCTTGGGTCGAGATCCGTTGGTAGGATGAGTCGACCTGGCACGTCCACCACGTCCACCTCGATCTGTAGCCCTGCCTCGGCCGCCACGAGGAGCTCCGTCAGAAGCACGACCTCCACGGGTGTTTCGAGCGCTGGAAGACAGTTCGGTGTTGGCGGGTGCAGAGGATGTGTCCTTGGCCTTGGTACGAGCGGTCTTTGTCTTCTTGGAGACTTCACCCCACTGAGAGATGGTGCCTAAGGACAGAGAAGAAAAAATTGGGATTAGCAATTGAATATGCCGATTCACCTGCACGTAGAAATCATTCGTAGAAGGGAAGTCGACAGGTGTGTTGCAATTGAATATTGAATTGCCGCACGCAGGATGCCGGTGCGTTTGCAAAGCGAAAAAGAAAAGAGGTGAAAAAAGAGGCAAAACTCAAATTGCAAATTTCGTCTCCCAACATACCTTCAGCCATTCGTGTCACAGCCTCGGTCTCATCGCCGTTTGTTTCCTTGAGAGCATAGAGGACATCGGGTTCAGACCAGTCGGGGAACATTTCGCGGATCACCAAAGTCTTGTCGCCATATTGCTTTCGAAGCTCGGCAAACTCGCCCTCGTCCTCAAACGTGCCCAAGTTGTCGTCAGCCTTGAAGTTCTCGCCATTGGATCTGCGACCGCCTCGGCCGGCGAAACCCCCTCTGCCACCTCGGCCGGAGCCTCTGCCGCGTGAGGCAGATGGCCGTGAGATGACCTCAGACATGGGGAGCTGATAAGGTATGTGGAGATGAGGAGGGATGTGGCAATTGTGCAGTGGCCCGTCAGATGGCCTCTGCTGAGGGTGCAACGAGCAGAGAGCGATGGAAAAGGGAAAAAAAATATGAAGAGAGAAAAAACAACAACGAAGAGGACAGAGTCGTGCGTTCTCGAGGGGAGACGAAGATGTAGATGCGAGATGGCACCAGAGCGTCGAGGGTGTGTGGTGTTGTGGCAAAGGGAGGTCCAAAGGTGGAGGGCAAAGGGAGGCACGAGGTTTTCCCCGGAAGCAGACGAAAGGCTCTGGCGCTGGTCACGAAGGTTTTTTGGCTGAGCGCCCGGTGACGCCCCCCTTGACCGCGTTGAGAGCTGGCCAGCAAGTACCTTCACTGTGGCACAGTGCCAGATCCACCAGCTAGAGCGCACGAGGAGGGGCAGTTTCAGCGGCCTTTTGAGCGCTGGAATAGGGCTCCACGGGCCTGGGCTCTGCCTGATGCGCCACTGCTGCCCACTATAACTGCGAGGGGAGGGGACGAGGCTGCACAGGCTCCAGCAGCCACGGCTTAAGGCTGGGTATTTGGGTTGACTTGGTCCAAGGAGGAAAGTAGAATGCATGTGGTAAAGCTACGAGATCCAGAGGTGAAGTTTATATCGTGCCTTCTGTGCCAGTAAAAGAAAATTGAGACGTGGTCTATTCTATGCGTTTCGTTCAAGTCATTTCAGCTCTATCCAATATTTGCCCCGCTCCCTCCAATCTACAATTTGCCACCCCTCGTGTCGACAGACTTTCGAAGCAGAGAAATGACCTCGGCCGGATCCTTGGCTCCAAAGACGGCACTGCCCGCGACAATGACATTTGCTCCTGCATTGGCGGCCTGGTCGATTGTGCCGGGGCCGAGACCTCCATCAACCTCGATGTTCAGCTCGGGGTATCGCTTCCGCAGTTCCTGGACCTTTGGCAGCTCCGAGGCCATGAACTTTTGGCCTCCAAATCCGGGATGAACTGTCATAACAAGAACCATCTGTAGTAATTGCCAGTATTAGCTTCAATTTCCTCCAGTTCAACAAACAGCAGAATGGCCAAACAAATCTGTGGATCAAAGTAACGTACATCAGGCTTCTCCTTGGGGTCCGAGCTCTCAAGGATGTCCCAAAGCACATCAACGGATGTATCAGGCTTGATCGCAATGCCAGCCAGCAGCCCTTGGTCGTGGATATATCTAATCAGTTCCTTGGGGCTTGTCTTCTTGTCGGTCGTCTCCTCGGGGGATTCTGCAGCCGATGAGAAAGCGGCTTCGTAGTGGAAGCAGTATAGGTCACAGCCGGCGGCCTTGAACTCCTTGACCCATTTCTTGGGCTGTTGTTGTTTGGGCACCCAATATTAGCTCTGGAACTGAAAAGGGTACTCTTCGTATCAAAGAACAGGTAGCCCAAAGTTCTCAATACGAGGCTTGCTGAATCCAACACACCTCCGCAATCATCATATGGCAATCGAATGTGCCTCGTCCGGCGGGCTGGCTCGGCTTCTCGACGTGCGGGCGGACCTTTGCAACAACCGGGGCGCCAAAGGTAATGTTGGGTACGAAATGGCCATCCCTGAATACAGCTTGTCAGCCAATTCTATCGGAATACAAAGGCGTTGCGATTGCGGGAAGCTAAATGCAGCTCTACTAACATGATATCAACGTGCAACCAATCCGCACCCTGCTCAATGGTTCGGGCACATTCTGCGCCGAGCTGTGCGAAATCCGCCGAAAGAATTGACGGGGCAATGAGAGTCTTGGGGGCCATGTTGTGTCGTGTCTTTGGGATTGTACAGAAGATGCAGTCGGTATTGGTGATATCGGTAAAGTATTGTCTTGCGGCAGTTTCCTCCAACTCTGGTCTCCAAGCTACCGCTTGGGTAGCAGTACTAATGACATGGGCGAGCAATTCCCAGAGCCGGCTGAGCCTTGCACACTCTTCGCACTGTATACATTGATGCCGGCCGGCAGTGGAGCAAATCGCCAGATCGGTGCGTCAGGGCACCGGGCACCAGGTCCCTTTGTGCTATAATTTTCCGCGATTACAGCACAGTGAAAGTCAAAGCAAGTTTGCTGCATCGTGGGATGAGATCAACTCCCAGCTGACACTTCGCACGGTTTGACTTTCGGGCTAGCCGCTGCAACGGGTGTGTGCACACTGTGAACGCCCTCAATTGGGCTGCTGCCAGAGCCCATTGTGTCTTGAATCAGCGACACAGGGCACAGGTGAGACCTAGACAATGTGCACGGATGGCCGATAATGACTCTGGTGCCACGCAATTGGCTGATTTGCACGAGACATGCCTTGTTTGCAGCGCTTTGTCTTGCCCTCTCAGCGTCCAGCCTCGCCAAGTTGCACCCTGTCAAGCTCGGCAGCAGCGAAAAAGGCACATGTCCCCGATACCTTGCCTGTCCCGCTAGCCAAGTAGCCCGTCGTATCTGTACATTGCCAGCGCACCCAAAGGCAGCGAGCCTGGCCTCTGCGTGGAGACGGGGCAGGTTACGGTACCGGGCAACGTTCCCCCGCAGCAGTTCGATTGGGGTCCAAACTCAGCCCACGTATCACATGACATGGCCTGTGCCGCGCATTATTGAATCATGACGAGGCTGGAGCCTTTTGGCTCGTTCCAGATAGAGCCTCGAACTCAGGATCAGTAGCACAGGACAGCTATAGCCGCCGAGTTTACCCTTGCTCAGCCTGCCTTGCTGGCAGTGGCAACCAAAACTATTGTTTTTCACTTGTCGAATTGTAACATTGGCCAGCCAGTGCCCTCTTCCTGCTCGCCATGTTCTCCACAAAGTCCGTCCAATCGCTGAGGAAGCTTTTCGCCGGATACCACGAACCCCTACCCATATCCAAGCAGCAGTCGCAAAAGCTCCTTGATGGCATCAAGGCGTCCTTTCGTAGCCAGTTGGACCGCGAATATGGACGCTCTTCCTCTGATCACACCCCTGCGCCAACCAAATCTACTGGAGAGACCAGCCCTCAGGCCCGTCGCTCCGCTGCGTCTTTACATTTGAAATCCGTTCTATCAAATCCTCTATTCAGCTACAACAACAAGGAGAACACGCCCCCCTTGCCAAAGGCGCTATGGGTGCCAGATCGTGATCCGATGGATGTTTTTGATCATGCCGTGTCTAGGGGTATGATGACGCTCAAGGCTGCCACGGGCTGTCTGGTGGCCAAGGGGCAACAGCTGTCAAACGCTTCGGACGCGAATCTTCTAGCGACGTCTTCAGATACCGCCCTCCGAGTTGTTCGATGGCTTCGATCATCTGGAGCGGAGAGTAACTTTCTCTTCCTAGACAATACGGCCTTTGTTCGGGCGCTTGTGCCCTTCCTTATTGCTGAAAATATGGAGTCTGTGGCGTGGGAATGGATTACGCGGGCTATGAATGAATCTAGAGATATCGGCGAGGAGCAGCGCATCGCTCGTGCGTCTTCCTTGTTGTCGCAAATCGTTCGCATCAAGAGCCAGGCCCAATACGGCAACCTGAACGCTGCCATACAGGCGATCCTCGAAGCAGAGCAGCTCTTCCAGCACAACCCTTCTCTACCAAAACTGCTGGTCCAGCCATGGAGATCGGTGTCGTGGCTATCTACGGTAGAATCATACAGCAGGGAAATGCCGTCAGAAAAGCTTTTTGAAGCTCACTTGGCCACGGCTGATCGCTTGTCACGGCCATTTCCCGTAGAGATGGCACATTTGCATTTATACCACCCAACGCATCCCGACCACCTCCCTGCCCTGGAGTTCTTCAACGACAAGAAGAGGCTGCGCAAGCTGGTGCGGGCCTTGGGCCCAGATAAGCTGAATCTTACCAAATTCACGGGCATGGGCACCATTCCGTGGATTGCCTTTCTGGGCCACGACACTGTCAACCATTTAAAGCAATCTGGGAGGAGCGAAGAAGCACGCGGCATCACGCAGTTGTTACGATCAGAGCTGTCCGATATCTTTTCTGAAACTTTAACACCGGCGTGAAAGCAGAGCAGTCTTGTCGTGAGAGTGTTTCTTTCTTTTTTTTTTTTGCATATAAATTTTGTACTATATTCATGATTTTATGGGAAAGGCGCATTCACGAGACGGTTTACGAAGAATATCAAAGCATTTAGATACCCAAGCTCAATAAAAAGGCTTAAAGAAATCATTTTTAAGAGAAATCTACATTGTTCTATCCATACATGTCTAAAAGGTGCTTCGTGAATGTGTTCGTTCGCCGTAAAATTATAATTTTTTTTCTGCTAGTCCGAGAAACCCTCAAACTCGTCTTCTCCTGAGCCTGCTGCCTCGTCGTCTTCATCTTCTTCCTCATCCCCATCCTCCTCGTCCTCATCGCCTTCCTCGTCCTCGTCTGGCTCCTCTACATCAAATGTACCAGAGATGTCCCACCTATCGCCATTGGCCTTTTTGCTCACATACTTGACAAACTTGAGAGCACCGCTATCACGCAGAACAAGCGTCATCTTGTTCCACGCAGCAGCCTGGAAAAACAAAATGTTGTCGTCATCTCCGCTCGACTTGTACACCGCGGCGTCTTCGTTATTGTCGTCATCACCAGCCATGTAAACTTCGTGACCGCCGACTTCGGCAGCTTCCTCTGGCTCTTTCTCAACAGCCTTTGCTTTTCCTTTGCCCTTGCCCTTGTTCTTCTTCTTGTTCTTTCCGTTGGGCTTGGCTTCTACCTCTTCCTCTTCCTCTTCTTCTTCGTCGGCGACGTCTCCCCAGCCAGTTGTTGGTGTGAGACCCAGGTTGAGCTCCAGACGAGCCTTGCCCTCATGGCCCGTGGCAAGAGTGTAGTCCATTCCGCGGCGGAATCTGCGGGCAAGGACGTCGTGGTTCTCAATGGTGCAGCCGGTGGCTACTTGCAGCCAGCGGCGGAATTGATCACTCGGGAAGAGCTTGTCCAGTAGCTCTGTGATTGGTGATTCATCTGAGGATTTGCTAGATTTGGTAGAAGGCTGCTGGTAGAGATATCTGTGCTTGTGAGGCGGCTTGGACACCTTCCAGGCAGAAGACTTCTCGATAGCTGCACTGTCTTCGGGGAGAGAGGCCTTTTCCTGCGCCTGGATGTAATCCTGGACGCGTTTGGAAAACTTCTTGGACAAGACGTCTGCAAGAGTAATGCTCGAGTTCTCTTCGAAATGCTCAGACACTTGCTCCAGCGTATCGGGTGTCAGGTACGTTGGCGCAATGTACTGCAGCAGGAATTCCAGATCAGCCTCCTCAAATTCAGCCTCGCTGCTCTCTGGGTTCTTGATCGCGACAGGGTTGGCCTGCGGCGCATCGTACTGAGCAGGATTGCCCTGAAGCTGCATGAGGCCGCTGTTCTTTGCGTTCCTCTCCTCCTCTCCCTCAATGTAGCCTTCCTCTCCAACTTGGGGGATGTGAAACCAGCCACTGATGGCCATGCGGACACGGCCACCTTCCTTCTCTAGCTGCTTCTTTGTCTCTGCGTGGTACACCTCCTCGACATCGTGGAAACTCTCGCCAGGCTGGACGGCGAAGAAGCTAAGCTGGTTCCACGCAGGCGGGATGACCTTGACCACGTCTGGCAGCGGCGTCTTGGCAACGTCGCCATCCTTGTTTTTGATTTCCTGGATGGGGAACAGACGCAATGCGCCACCCCATTCGGGCTTCCACGGGATGTCGGGATCTGTCAAGTAGAGAATGTAACTGACTCGTCTGCTGCCAATGACGTCGTCATGGCAGAGCAGGTAGCAGCCGGGAGTGTAGATGTTGATGGCCATGTCTGTCTTCTTGCCACTCAGCGGGCCGCAGTTGGTGATGCTGGAGACATAGTTTCGGAAAGTCTCAGAATAGATGGCATCGCGGAGGGAAAGGAGAGAGGGCAGCTTGGCAAGAGACTCGTCGTCGAGGCCATCCAAGTTGGCCAGGTCACCAGATTGGTGGATCTTGTAAATATCGGTCTCTTTCGGGGTGAATTGTACGTTTTCGCGGACTTCGTCTCGAACCGACCGGAGGAGCTTGTCGTCGACGAGCTTGTGGATGACGGCATGTTTATATGGCGAGGATTCAGCGTATTCGGTGGTATATGACTTGAGAACGGAGTCGTCGAAGAGGCCATTGCGGAAGCGCTTCTTTGCGTCCTCTGGGCTAATGGCTGAACATGACAGTTAGCATCCAATTGAGCTGGAAAGAGGAGAGGAAGCTTGGAGAAAGGGCATACAAGTCTTGGCCTTCTTGCTGCCGGCTTTTTTGCCAGAAGCATGGCTTTCTGCCTTTCTCTTCATGGCGGTGGCGGACGGCTCTGGCAGTTTTTGCGCAATTGGCTATGGCAGTGACAATGGCGAAAAGATTTCGAGTGGAAAAGATTTTTGCAAAAAGGTGGGAAATGGTATGAGGCCAGTTGCGAGATCAGCCGATGGCGCGCATCTTGAACTTTTTTTTCTGCCGCCTTCAGACTGGCACCACTTCCCCACCAAGCTAGCCCTGCAGATTTCCCAAAGTGGAAAACTTGCCATTGAGCTGCATTTGTCTTTTCTTCTCAGTATTTGTCAAAGTGTTGATGTCAACTGCAAGTTTACTTGGGATGATTCAAAATCCCTGGATATATTGTTTCTTCTGCCTCTTTTATTTTCCTTCATATGATAGATATATGACAGCTTGTCTGCATAGTGCAACCGATATGGAGCTTATAAGCTATTCATCTATCACATCATTTTGTAGCCAGGCAGCTCAGTTATTTCAGCTGCCAATTCACAGCCTATCATGGTGCGTTTTCATCAACGTGTATTTGAAAACTTACTCAATTTAACAAGTTACAGTTCATGTTGCTATACAGCCATATTCTCAACATCCTAGATCAGCATTTTGAACATGACAAGCGCCATACCCTGCAGCCGACGATTTGTCCGCTTTGCGACACAAAATGGAGTAGACGTATCAAAACCACCACGGTATAATGATCAAGACGCGCAATTTCACTGATTTAGTGTTCAGTAATATTTGACATTTGTCGTTGATTGGCACCTAGCACCATTGAACAAACACGCTTTTAGACAAAAACGGCGCTCGGTTTTAGTCACCAATGTGAACACCGAACTCCATATTATCCATACCCCGCTGACGCAAGATGGTTCAAAAGCCCATATCAGCTTTATAAGACTGTAGTATGCATAGCGTTTAATATTCTAGCACCAATTCTGGAGTTTGCTTCTTACCCTCTTACACAATTCACCAACATCGCCATTGACTCACACATCGCGGCCATGGTCTTTGAGAACCACCAGAAGGAGGTCCGGGACCACTTCCCCGCCCTGCAGCAGAACCAGGTCTACCTCGACAATGCCGGAGGCAGCCAGACGCTCGGCACCGTCATCGACTCCATCACAGACTACCTCACCGGGACCAATGTCCAGCTCGGCGCCTCTTACACCGTGAGCAAGAAGTCCACCGCCCTGTATGGCGCCGCATACAAGGCCGCCGCCAAGTACATCAACGCCAACCCGGATGAGATTGTCTTTGGCTCGTCAACCACTCAGCTGTTCCGCAATCTGTCCTATGCCCTGAAATTCAACCCGGGAGACGAGATTGTCGTTTCTTGGATCGATCACGAGTCCAACATTGCCTCGTGGCTGGACCTGGCCGAGCGGCAGAATCTCGTCCTCAAGTGGTGGAAGCCAAAGCCTAGTCTGAATCCCGAGCTCCTTGTTAGCGACTTGACTGCGCTCCTGTCGCCCAGGACGAGGCTGGTGACTTGTACCCATGCGAGCAATCTCCTGGGGACAATCACTGATGTTAAGGCCGTGGCGGCTGCTGCTCATGGAGTTGGCGCTTTGCTCTGCGTTGATGCTGTGGCGTATGCGCCTCACCGGCCCGTCGATGTAAAGGATCTTGGGGTTGACTTTTACTGCTTTTCTTGGTACAAGGTTTATGGGCCTCACATATCCATGCTCTACGGCAGCTGGAGTGCGCAGACCCATGTTCGACCCCTGGGACACTTCTTCAACCCTTCAGTCTCTCTGGAAGACAAGATTGGCCTTGCAGGCGGATCGTACGAGTTGCTTCAGGCCGTTCCGCACGTGGTCGAGTATCTGGACTCAAAGTGGGACAGCATCATTGCTCATGAATCCCTGCTGCAGACTACTCTTCTCGACTATCTCAAGCTGCAGCCCAATGTGGTTATTTACGGCACCCTGGACAGCAGTGTCCGTGCCCGAGTCGCAACGATTAGCTTCTCTGTCAAGGGACTGGCCTCCCAAGCAGTTGTCGAACAAGTCGAGAGCAAAACCCCATATGGCTTCCGCTACGGAACTTACTACTCAGAACGGCTGGCTCGAGAGACTTTGGGCTTGTCTAAAGATGGCGCTGTGAGGGTAAGCATGGTGCACTATAATACATGTGAGTTTTCAACCCCGCCCACAGATTTAGGAGGATTGACTAACACGATATCATCAAAGTGGATGAAATTCAAGGGCTTATCAAGGCATTGGATGAGGTTATTAAAAATTCCCCTAGTGCTAAGGCGTCCAAACTTTGAAGTAAATAGAAGCATTATAATTACGAATAGGTGTGGGAGCAGGAGAGGATTTGAAGTTACGAGCGAATCTTGAAGAGCAGCAAAATAGTTGCATTTTTCTCACCCTGTTAAGAAGGGTAACCTACACGAATGATACGAAAATTCAAGACAAAAATATGATTTAACCATTCAAAACCCGATTTTTGAGAGCAGAGATACCAGCGAGTGAGGAAACTCATGCCGTGTGTGGGGAAAAAAGACTCCGCATCGTACATTTTTGGAGAACTTAAAAGCGCTTGGCGCTGGAGCTTGGATCTGCTTTTAAGGTTACGATTTGCGCCCTGGCTTTTTAACCATAAATCGCGGAAACCGGATACTGCGTTCGCCGCTTAGAAATTCTAGGAGAAAAAAAAAAGACTTTTCGAAATATTTAAATCTTCTTGAGACCTTGCTGTTCTGTCTGTGCGCAATGCATCTCCATACTGCTGCTGGGGGATTCACCGTTACCATACGACGTCATCGTGCGTTCTCGAATAAGGGCTTCTTCCCCAAGTTGATGTATCTCGCATAGTTAAGCTGGGCGATTTTCTGCGCTGAGTGAGATGTATACACGGTGGACAATAGGGATGTAGCACAGTATGTGAAGAATTCTGCTTGAGTAGGATTCAGCATACGGAGGGGCGATAGTAGGGGATATATGAGCCATTGATAGGCAACGTAGCAATCGGTATTATAGTTTGGTGTCTCCCTCATTAGAACTCTAGTCAAATCATTCCTCGCCTAACTAGACTATTTACAACATTCATTCAGTTCGTGCAGTTACATTTAGTGCCTCCCCGTTAAAAGCATATAAGATTACTGTCACACCAGATATTCCTTGTCCCAGCTCTCTCTGCTGTTGCGGTATGGAGGCGTTTTGTGAATCCCTTATAGGGCAGCAGCCAGCATGGCAATGGCTGCACCAACGAGGCTACCAGCAGAAGCCAAGGGGGCAGCAGCACCTGAGCTCGTAGATGTAGCCGCGGACCTTGTGGAGGATCCTGTGGTTGTCTGTGCGGAAGAGCCGGTGGGAGCAGCAGTTGTGGAGCCAGAGCCAGTCGAGGTAGAGGAAGAGTCGGTGGCGGTGGTAGATGAGGAATCGGAAGATCCAGTGGTGGATGAGTCGGAAGAATCAGTCGTCTTGCTCGAAGCAGAGCTATCCGATGCAGTGGCAGATCCGGTCTGTGAAGAGCTGTCCTTGCACACAACGGTGTCGGGGGTGCTCACGCCCGCGGAAGAGCAGATCTGCTGAGCAAACGAGACGGCCTTGTCCTGGTCAGATTTGCTGCAGGCATCGGCCAGGCAGCATGCGATGCCGTTGAGGAAGTCGGCATTCTTGCAGATGCATCCAATGTCAAGCTGCTGGCAGCCGCCAATCGCGGAACCGGTGGTGAACTTTGTGACGCAGCCGGTCTATTTCAGCACGGATACTCGGTCAGTCTTATTCAGATACCCATAGCTATTCACGAATGGATTGGTTGGTGTAACAGATGGAAGTGAACCCATCAATGGGCTCCGATGAAGCCAGAGGCCGAGATTTTCCACCTGAGCGTCACCGATAGTCCGACGTGTTGTTGTCCAAGTTGTTATTACTTACAGCACAGGTTGGGAGGCCGCTGAGATCCTGGGCAGCAGCAAGAGCCGCGGTGAAGACGAGTGACACGATGGAGGCCTTCATTGTAGCTGACGGAAGCGTGCAGAGAGTCTTTGGTGAAAAAATCTTGTTCGGGATGAGCAATACAGCCGAGGAATAGCAATAGAAAGAAGGAGAGGAAGAAGAAGAGAAGGAAGAGACGTGCTGGCGAGCCAAAAGAAGCAAGACGTGGAATGCCGGCTGCTGCGTGTTGGGGGTAACACAGAGTGGCAGCGCGCCATTAGCAGCCCATCTTGGGCGCCACTGTTGACGCTAGCGACCTGCTAGAGGCGGATGGGCCCGATTTGGCCCTGGAGAAGGCAGCATTTACTGCCCAACAAGCTTTAGCGTAGCGCATCTGGGAGGCTTTGAGAGGCGTCTGACCATCCGTTAGTCACTGAATAGGCGGACGCTTACTGGCCTCTAGTGGAAAGTAGTGCCTGGGCTGGCATTGATTCAGGGCAGATGTGAGCAGAGCACAGCCAACAGCAGTAAAGGGGCTCTCCCTTGGAATCCAGCTGAAAGCGCCACCTTTGATTGGGCTCGGTATACGAGCTATTGAGGTGATTGATTGATGGCTTGTCTTGTGTACAGCACTGCGTACTACGCTACTGACACTGAGGTTGGAGAAGGGCAGAAAAAAAAGAGGCGGATGCTGCGGTGTGGAGATGCTCGATGCCAGGGGCTGCAGCCAATCAGCCCTTGGATCTATCGTCGACGGACTTTGATCGTCCCCGAAAGGCTGCTTGTCACTTGGCTTGGCGCGTTCTTACTCGTACTCGCACCGATGGTGATGGCCGCTGTAGTTTGCATTTTGTGAAATGACATGTAACCTTCATGTTAGACCTAGATACTGCTAGTGAGGCCTGTTTAGTTACATGTCTCAGAACAATCTGGCTTGCCTCATGGGGGCCGAATCACACACATACTGCTCCGCAAAGAAACATGAGGAGCAGGGCGAATAATCGAGCAAGCAGTAGGTATTAGGGAGCAGCAGTTGTGGTTTGCGATGTGCTCCCCCGAGGCTGTAGGAATTAAGAATCTGTGGCTCGAAATCACCTTCTTGTAGAGAGAAGAGCCGGCTTCGACCATTGTGAGGATAGCAGTAATCCGCCCTCCGCAAATATACTTGGGTGAAAGAATTATCCGCAGGCGGACATTTGAATGGTGCGGAGGCGGATCATTGGGCAGCAGGAAAGCAACTGCATGGCGATGGAATACCTGCTAGTACTAGATATAGTAGATAGGTATTATAACTAAAGAAGAACCCACAGCAAAATACAAGGATCCTAGGCTTGCATCTACTCGTATCTCATTTCAAACATCATATCACAACTCACTCGAGGTTCCTGCAGCATGACTTGACAAGGCATCTCCCGGGTGACTACCGAAGCTGACAGCTCATCTGTGTTAAGACGTCTTAGCTACCAGGGATTATTCTCGTAAACCATTTCCTTGAAAAGATGAGGCTGTATTGCTCTTTTCTCATACATTTTGCAAAAGTTGACTGCTTCCAGCACTGCTGATCATCTGGACAACATCTCACACCCGGGTGTTTATATCGATATTATTTCTTCTTCGGTTGCTATCTTGGTATTATACTCATCATGATATACATACATCCATATGCTTTCAAGGGAGTGAGCAGTAATATAAGGCCTGTCAAAACGCCTCGAGGCAGCTTTCCTACCGTTCAAGTATGTAATTGTTTCCCGTCCCCCATCGCTGGTTGATGGTCATTATACCTTCTTCCCCTGCTTCAAGAGCTCAGAGACTTTTGGAGGCAGAACCAACGCACTCCTATCGTTTCTGCGGTAAAAGTCCACCAGAGTCATGGCAGTTTGCTCTGGTTTATCCTCGTGGATAAAATGTCCGGCTTCTGGGAACACTTGTAAAGCGTATTTACCTAAATGATGCAACAAAAATTAATCCTCAAGCTTGCCAACCCCTTTCGAGGATCAACCCATCACTCCTCGTCGTGGCTGCACTCACCTTGCATCTGCCCAATTGTCAACTCCGTATCCAGTCGATCTGTACCAGCAAGCAGCAAGAGCTTTCCCCCACGCGCCCCCAGGAACTTCTTACTCAGCCCTACAAACCAATCTTCCCAGAAAGGCTGTGTAGCTGCTAGATTTGTTCTCCATCTCCATGGGCGAGACGCATCTCGGCTCTCGTCCCATACCAACAAGGCCGGCACTGAAGCTCTGGCGGAGAGAGAGTTTCTCACGGTTCGAGTTCTGATGTGCCAGTCAATGCCTGACTCGACAGTTGCAAACCCTCCCGGCCGCGTAGACAGGTATGTTTGCATGCTCTGGAGCGCATCCATGGCAGAGCCTTCAACAACATCCAGCACTGCATATGCTAGGAGAGACGTGCCCAGCTTTTTACTCATGGCGAGGTCTGTTACCACAGCACCCCCTAGCGAATGGCCAACGAGAACTATAGGGGGCAGCTCTGGCCAGCCCATCTGCGATTTCGTGGCCTCAATCATGGCGAAAAGGTCGGACGACAACGTATCCAGCCGTAGATCCAAGGCCGCGCCGTCAGGGGCAGTTGTGGAACCATGACCTCTGCAGTCGACTGCCAGTATGCCAGCATTTGGGAGTCGTTTCCTTATCTCAGAGCCCACCACCGCAAACGAGAGCCCAGAGGATCCGGCGCCGTGATGCATCACGTACAAGGGCCCCTTTTCTACCGGCGAGTTGAGGTAGACATGGTAAGTGACCTCTGGGTGGGCATCAGACTTCAGAAACAGCTCCCGCTCAAAGTAGGTGGTCCATGGGATCTGCTCCAGCGTTCTGCCCCTTGCGACGCTGCATGCACTGTCAGCCCGACAGCTCAATCATGAAAAAGCCCTCTGCCATATCCAGCTTGGGTGTAGTTGTAGTTACCCTTGGGGGCGAGCAAAGAGCCTCTGGCTCGGCGTCGGGATAATTGTCCCCGTCGACGATACCGACGAGGCCGACGAGGCCGAAGAGGAATCGTCGTCGACCCCTTCTGGCAGCTCCGGCACCTGGTCCTCCTCCGCCTCGTCCAGCTCCTCAAAAGGCTCCGCGGGAATCCCAAGCTTTGATCGTGCCCAGGCTCGCTGTAGATCGCTCATGATGGGTCGTGGTGCTGGAGCGCAGAGCCGCCGACGACAGCAGTTGATATCAGCTGATCAAGGTGGTCCAGCCATTCGCTGAAGCGGGGGACTGGATGACGATCCGTGGAGAAGCGAGGACGACGTCAACGGCTGAGACCTTGGGCAAAAGGACTGTGGGCCGATTGACACCGGTATCGATATTCAGTCGTCGCCTCTCTGGGTAGGGAGCGCAAGTATCGCAGCCCGCCGCGGTTTGCCCACTGACTTGGAAAAATCGTCGCTCAGATGCTGCGAAAACGGATGAGGTCGATTAGCGACCATGCAAGTGGGGACTTGTCTCATGTTGCACACTGTGGAATGTGTGGGACAATGACGTAGTGAGACAGTGCAGAGCCGTGAAATATGACTGTATTTGAGTCTTGATATCTTTCAAAAGCAACTGCCAATGGCTTTTGTTGTTACACGTTGTTCTCATATGATGCAAAAGCAAATAAGACAGAGTTGGGTTAAATTGTGAATTTGGAATTTGATAGCGGCGACTTAATGGTATCTCTGGAGATTTGACATACTTTGGGTAAGTCGACTGTGCTTACTGCGTCATCTCCCCAATCATCATCTCATTGCAAGCAGCAAATGTCGAAATATGTAACCGGGTAAAAGAAACGCTGTTTCAATTAGAGCGCAAAAGTTTCAAATTAGCCAGTCTGTCATATCCGACGAATTCACCTCATTTTACCGATTCTAACTGAGCCTGGTTATCATTTGTGTTGTCTTGGCGCGCTTTTCTGTCCATTTCCCCCAAGCCCTGCCTATTTTCTCACCCTCACTTTCCGAATGGCAGTTTCGGAACTACCTCTGCAGCAGGTGAAATTAATGCCGGGCAGGATGAAAGTACCAGAGGTACATCATTAAAGCTTAGAAATTACCGTAATCGCATTTTCTAAGCTCACTGCATTTTCGCCTGCTCTTGTCTAGAAGATTCCGAAACAAGTGCTTACGCTGTCTCACACGCCACACACACCCGTCCACTCCATCTTGGTTGCTCATTGGCAAAGCTTTTGGTCCTTTCTGACAACCACAAGTGGCCAGTTGACACTTCTGGCCTGGCTTCAGCTGGTTGGAACTGTAACTGAGTCAGTTTCATTGCCATCTGTTGGTTTGCTGTGCATGAGAATAACGCTTGTTTGCGTGGCTTGGCTTAAGCGACCCATTCAGATGGCCGTATGATTTTTCGGTAATTCGTAAAGTCCAATGGCTATCAAGGGGCTTGCAGTTTCGATGTCAGCTGCAATGACAGGTACTTGATATCAGCGTGCAGGAAAGCGTCCATCCTCCAGCTGCTTTGGGCACCGAGATGGCAGTGCATGCGATGGATGCCGCGGTTTCACCCAATCGATTTGTCAATGGACCGGCGGCTATTGATAATCATTTGCCAGATCGTTTCATCAACGTACTACTGCTTGGCCATTGTTCATCTTGGCCGTGACTCATGTTCATATGAGCTGATGCGAGGGATCTCAGGGGAATCGGAGCTGTGATGTCAAGGGGATTGGTTCTTGGCAGAGACATGAAATTGATGTTTCAAGCTTACTTGCATGCTCGACTAAGAAGCCGAGAGGCATACACCGCATATTGTTATATGATACGCTCACACATGCCGAGCCATGGTCTCATGCAATGACGGAGACCAGATGCCGAGCTTCTTTCAATAGTTCTCGCAACTACTGCTGCCCTACATGCATGTGGCTGGCTCCGTACGAGTGGCAATTCCAAGACGGCGTGTCTTATTGCCTTTACCATACTAGTATTGAACAGCCTGTCCATAGTGCGAGTCCCAATACTGTAGCAGAGACCTTGAATAGTAGTAGTAGTCATGTTCCTCGTGAGCCATCAGCTTGATTGGCGATGAATATTTAGGCGACGTACTGCAGGGCTTCTCCCCTGTTGTGCCATATTTGATTTAGAAATGATACATAGAAGACGTCCCCTGAAAACATGCCGCCGCAGCGACTCTTTC